CGATTCAACTGCTTTCGTTTAAGTGGAAACTGGCCCTTAAGAGATATTGGCTGAAATTTTGTATGTGGTGTTTTCTCCAAACTAGCTCTATGTGACAAAAAAATCAGGAAATTCTAAGACCATGGGTTACATTAGTCTGATGATTTCACATGGAATGTCCCTATATCCAATTGTGGATCAAAAGTAATGCAAGTGGAAGAATAACTGGTTTGGTTAGTTTCTTGGCTCAGCAAGTACAGAAAATCCAGAAGGGTAATAAGACTTGATTTCGCAATTAATGTGTTGGAAAGTAACTGAGTGAAATGCAAAAGCTGTTATGTCCTGCGTTTAGAATGAAAAATAATCTGTTTAGAATGTTATGGCTAAATCATGTGCCTAAATAAACCTATACCAACAATGTCTTTATTAGCAATTTTAACCAATTAGCTTGGCTCCGGGAGGCTCTACAGAGGAACAAAATGAATTAAGAAGTGGGTGTCAAGTGTATGGCTAACTGGCCAAAATCAACCTGCCTTTGAATTCAGTTAAGCCTACACGCGAGATGAATTTGAAAATAAACAATGCATAAAATGTAAATCTAATTTTTATTTTTCAAGAAACTGCTGTTTCTTTACATATTCTGCTGTTCCTTAGGATGTGGCGGCAAAACATTGATATTCAGAACTACAAGCATTTAACATTGACCCAAATTTTACTTGTTGGGGATCAATTCAGGCTTTGAGAATTATTGGGAAAATGTGGAAGACTGAATTTAAATTATACAGACTTTATCATACATATTCCAGTGTAATATCCTACCTTTCTGTCTGGAACAACAAGAAGCGTAGCAACGTTATCTTTGATAATAGTTGATCCACATCTCTTACAATGCACCGACTTTACATTCAGGCTTGATTTATTGTCAGCAAGTAAAGAATAATCACTCATCGGTTCCTGATCAGAGGTTTCATCATTCTTCTCCCCCGACGGCGTGAACTCCTGTTCCGACATATCAGAAGTGCTAGGCCACTTACGGTCGGTGTACCCAAAGAGTGGGAAAGAGGCTCTAATCTCTTTTCCGGGATACTTTTGACTCAAAAAAAGAGAAGACTAGACTAGTCTTTTTGGTACGCCATAAATTTTCATGCAAAAAGTTTTTTCAAAGAGCATTATAAATTCCCCTCAGTTTTACTGTAAATAGGTGGAATTTTTATTTGTAATTTTCATTCTTTAATGTTAAAGCAACGTGGAGGGTTTAGACTACCTACTCTTTGCGATAAATGAAGTTATTTAAAAAGAGCATAAAAGTATTTTCCAATCAAAAGTGTAAGGCTATAGCCTTAGATTCTGTAGTAAATTTATGATAAATTTTCATAATTGACTTGATGATTAAAAAAGAGAGTTAAAATCTTTTAATTTTATTTCAGACTGTTTGAGGCAAAAAAATGAATTAACAAAAAAATGTTAAAAAGATTCCACGATTTTTCTTAGCCTAAAGCCTTGCATCTTTGTAGCAAAGACGGCAATTTTTTTCTTGAAAATTTTTTCTTTAAACTGACAAAATTGCTTCAATATGATCAGAATAAACTAGAACTGAATTTAATTCTGAAAAATTGCATTTTTTTTGGAAAAAACAACTCTTAAAACCAGTCGATTTTTTATAAAAAATAAGGCTATAGTATTAGAAAAATTATCAATTTTTTCAAACACTCTTCTAAAAATAATATGCCAAAACTGATAAAAACAAAATAGAATTGAACTTGGCTTACGAAAAAAGTCGTCACTTTAAGAAAAAAACCACAACTTTTTACACGGTTCCGCTTTTGATAAAAAGAAAAAGCTAAAGTCTTACAAAAATCATTAACATTATCAAGTCTTTTTCTTCTGACAAAATCCTAAGTTAGTTCTGGTTGATCAAATAAAAAGGGATTGAATTTATTTAGGAACAAAGTTAAAAAACCCAACTTTTTAAGCGATTCGATTTTGAAAGAAGTAAGACTGTCAACTTAGGAAGTTTGTCAATTTTTCCCAATTTTTGATTCTTCTAAAGGAAATTTATTTTTTGTATTCACTTTATTTAATGTTAATAAGCTAATAAGCAGCAAATTAACACCAACTTAGTTCTTAGCTCTTAATTTTTATCTTATTTCTAATGGATCAGAATAAACAGAAATTAAATTAAGTTTAGGATAAGAGTCGAATTCTAAAAAAATGAGGACTTTTTACACAGGTCCGTTTTTCATAAAAAGGAAAAGGTTCCACTTAGAAAAAGCATCATTTATAATAATGTCATCAATTATAAAATGAAATAGAAAAATTATCAATTTTTAAAATTTATTTTAATCTAAAAACACCTTATCTTAGTTTTAAAAGATTAGAATAAACACAAATTGAACTTAGTTTAGGAAAGAAAGTCGTTCTTCTATAGAAATACCGTCTATATAGAAAGGTCGATTTTTGAGAAAAAGTTAAAGGTATAGGCTTAGAAAAATCATCAATTTTTTTCAAATTTTGTTCTTCAAAAAGAGCTTATTTTAATTCTAATTTATGAGAAAAATCACCAGTTTCTTTTAATTTTTTTACAGCTTCATTTAGTTCTAATGGATCAGAAAAAAACACTAATTGAACTTTGTTTTGGAAAGAAAGTGGTTTGTCCACCGGTCGATTTTAAAGTGTTAAAAAAGGGTCGATTTTAAAGAAAAAGGTTTTAAAAATTATCAGGCTATAGGTTTTAAAATTATCAGGCATTATCAGCTTACATTTTTTCTAATGGATCAGAATAAACAGGAATTGAACTGAGTTTGGGAAAGAAAGTTGTATCTCCAGAGAAATAACGTCTTTTTACAAGGGTAGAGTTTTTATTAAACGGTAAAGCCACGGGCTTAGAAAAATTATTTTTTCAGATTTGTTTTCTTCTAAAAACAGCTTAATTCAGTTTTAATGGATCAGAATAAACAGGAAGTGAATTTTGTTGAGGAAAGTTGTATTTTTAAAAAGAATTGACACCTTTCACTTGTGTTTAGTTTAATAAAAGGCTTAGAAACGCTGTAGGCTTAGAAAAATCTTCAATTATTTTCAATTTTTTTCTTCTTCTGTAAAAAGTTTAATTTTGTTCTAATGTATCAAAATGAAGAAGAATTGAATTCAAACGAAAGTCGCATTTTCAAAAACATCGCAACCTTTTATAAGGGTCGATTTTTTGATGTAAAGGTTTTTCTTGAAGTTTTTTCTCTAAAATAGGAAATATTTGTATAAATTGATCAGGATAAACAGGATATGAATTTACGAAAGAAAGTCGTAATTCGATAAAGGGACAGGCTTAGAAAAATTTTCGAATTTTCCAAAAAATTTTATTTTAGAATGACTGAGATGATCGATAAAAAGGATGCAGGATATTGTGCCAGACATTTCAGAATATATCACATATTTCAAAAATTCGTGAATAGAACTTTGGTAGCCAAAATCGGAATTTTGTAAGTCTAAAGGCTTTCTTTTCCCTGTAAATAAATGACCAGATTTTTTGTTAATTTTCATGAAAATTTACTGCAAATAGAGAAGGAAAGGTTGAAGACTATTGTTCTTGTTGGTTTGAACATTTTTGATTATATTTCTCAATCCATTAATCTATGTGATAGGCTATAGCTTTGCAGAATCTCCACTTTTTGTTTGAAAATAATTATCACAAGTTTTTCACGATTAGTAGGATTTAGAAAGAAGAATATACTACACACTTTCATATTAATCAGTTAAGGCAAATTAACTACAGGAATTGATCATAAAATTGACTGTATATTTATGGACAAAGTTGAGCCCATACCCTTGCAAAATTGCAATTTTTAATGAAAAATTCTTTTCACAAACTTTGTCTCAAGCAGTCTGTATCAGAAGAAAGTGTTTTAACATAAATACATGCTCAACTTTTTAGTTATATTTCATCGTTAAATGACTTAGAATGATAGTTTAAAAGGATGTAGAATTTTTTGATATTCCACACTAATTCAGGCAAAAATTTCGCACGGCTAGAGGCTTAAAGTTTCCAGTAAAGACATGTCCAGCTTTTTGGTTAATTTTCGTAGTTGATCAACTAAGATGATTAATACAAAGAGGTAAAAATATCATTCAGATTGTTTGAGGCAAAAATTTGTGAAAAGTATTTTCCAACCGAAAAATTCAATTTTTTTAAGGCAATGGACTTAGTATTGGCCAGAAATTTATGGTAAATTTTTTTGGCTAATTTCTCATAGTTAATTGACTTTCATGATTGGTTTAGGAAATTCTACAACCCGTAATTATTTGTAAAAATCAGAATGCCCTAATTAAATTATGCTTTGGCTATAGGTCAACATTTAATTAGAAATCGAGTGCGTGCCAAAACATACAGTGATTACAATTTTAGAATCATTGAGCAAGCATGGTCGTCTTTTCATTTAGGTGTTTTGGAATCTGTTTACATTGAAATAAAGAATCCCGACTTGTGTAGACAGAAAGAGTTCGTTTTCTCTCTTGGACTATTCAACAAGGTGAGGGATAAGCGGTTACGATGGGTCATAAAAAAGAACCAATCAAACGCGCTTTCTTTCTCTCGCGTTACTTTGGATCCGCATCTGTCTAAAGATTTTCTGTTCCATTTTTTAACATTATCCTATGTTTATACTCTGTAGAGGGTCGGACTATAGAATGTATTTTAGTATGATATGTTTCTGCTCTTCCGTGCTATTTTAGAAATTTGCGGTACCAAAGGCTTAAAGGCATTTGACACAGGTAAAGGTGGCTTACAGCCACTCGACCACGAGCGGTTGACCAATAAAATTGCACACAGAGAAAAACACGTGAACAGTTTCCGCCTTTCTGCAAATCGGTGAAATCCTAGAGCAGCGTGCAGTGGTTTCACGTGAGCGGTTTTCAATACCTTTCTTGTGCGCGTACTCTGACCAATTTGGCCTAAGTTATTTTTGGATTCGTCATACTTATACATGTCAAATGCCTTTAAAAGATCAAGAGCCACTTAAAAACATCGATGATCAATGTAAATAACTTTTGAATGAACAAAAAACGGCCTAAATAATACTGACTTAATCAACAGAAAGGTATAAAATCAATACTCTGTCTGAAACAAAGATAACCTTCAAATTAAAAAGCTGCATTACGACTGTTAAGTACAAATTTGTTGATAGAGCCAAAATAGCCTTCTAAACAATAAAAAGTAACTTGCTCCCCTATTACATTCCCATGATCCTGTGCAAATAGACTGTAAACAAGGTTAAAACATTTTCCTTCATACTTGTACCTGGAGAGTAATCTGGCGAAAATAAAAAAAGGCCAGTTTTCCAGAATGATGGACAAATATTTATGATACGAAAATTATAAATTATTCTCTAGATCTTTCATAAATTAATCAGATGGTTTTAATCAATGCTTTAATATGAAGATCGTTCACAAACCAACTTAGGCAGATACTTTCAGAGTCATAGATTAGCAAAAAAGCTAGAATAATGTTATATGGAAAAGTCTCAAAAAATGAACTGCAAATTGATAAATCAAAGTTCCAAAAACTATAATATATATATATATATATATATAAATGTATATAATAGTAATAATAAATAATTTGTTTAAAGTTGGCGTACTAAATGAACGTCTGATAGCTATAAAGAAGCTAATTAAGGCCAACTATTAAGGTGACTATATCTGATCTCATCAAAAAAGGTAATGTGCTGTCTGATAAAAATTTCAAATCTGAGCTTTTATAAACGCTGAAAATATACCTCACCTAAAAACATCAGAAAAAAGCGCTAATGAAATATTACTCCTTTTTATGGATAAATGAAACTTTGATTTATCAGCTCTAGAGTTACAAATATCTTGAGCCTTTTTCAGATTCTACAAGTATTATGATCAGTTAATATTTGAAATATGATTATAGGATGGATTAATGCAAAAAGTAAATATAATTTCAAATCAAAGGTTTCTATAAAAAAACAACTTCACCTTCGACTTGTAAAACAAGGTGACTTTTACAAATTTACAAATTAAAATCTACCCACAGTACAAGATTGTCAAAGAAACTGTTATTAAAATTAGCGTACAAAATTAAATAATCGACATATTTCATAGAAATTAAGTTAGAATTTAACTATAAAACAATTACTGACATTTGACAGCTCTGGCAAATTTGAACTAATTTCAGTGGTCAACTGTTTTGAAAATAAATATGGCGGAAATATCATAAAATATGGGATATCTTTTCTTAAATTGCTGATCAAATTAAAAAAGGTTAAGTGAGAAAATTAAAAGTAGCAATTTGAAATGAAGGAGGACAAAGTTTGCCTGTAGCATAAAAATACAATTTCTTTAGAGAACGCTCATCAACAGTTTTGAAACACGTCATCTTAGTTAAAATTTAGAATTAAATAAAAAATATAATATATTTTTTAAATGGCATTTGCATTAGATGAAGAATTGTTGATAAAAAGTTATCATCACAAGGCTGGTTTTAAAGAGATTATTAAAATTTCGAAAAAAGTGTCAAACAATGCTGGTTAGGACTAACATCTCATCATTTCAATATGTAAAAAAATATTTCAGGTTTGTGTTATAAGTTTTCAAATAATGCTCCATTTATGGATCATGACCGAAAAACTGAAAACTGCAGTACAGTAAAAAATCGGGGGAAATCTAACATATCCCTCAGACTCTTTCTTGTCTTTTTTATATAAAAAGCCATATAGCTGTTAACAAGCCAGCAAATTGTGCATATGGAAGTTTTAAGAAAATAAAGAAATTCCAAATGATTTGACTACTCACCACGATCCCCTTTACAAAAAATACATAAATTGAAATGAACTGTCTATTTAAGATCTCCAACTAACGATTTTTTTTTACTTGTCTCCTCCATTCATTAACTCCGTAGCTAAGCAAAATTAACATCTACTAGAACGTTTAAAATTGCTATATAATCTAGAAATATGTTAACGATCTCAAAAACGTTGTAATGGATAGATTTCAAGATTGAAAAGCATCAGTTTCCACTTTTGAAATTTTTCGTTCGGTGACAAAACCGCCACTTAAAAGTGAATGCTTCTTAGCTTGAACCGTCATAAGTATAAACAATATAAATCAATTCACATTTTACCTACCTATAAGACTCCATTTCTAAACAGTTTTTCTCGGTGAGCCGACCTTGTTTTCTTTGATACCGCGTGTTTGTGCTGGATATTTTGAAAATGTTCTAAGAGTTCCTTGAAATCTATTTTCTTGACTGGTTTTCTAAGTTCATGTTCCTCTTTCCCAATATGAAATCCACTGAGAACAAACAACAACAACAACGGATCAGTCAGACCTCTTTAGAGAAAGAAGACATATGCCTTAAGGCATTAATTTTAGATAGAAATCTAAAGATTGAATCAAAGAGAGAAAACTATAAAAGCATCGATTGAGGGTCTTCGTAAATAGAAATTTGTTAGCAACGAAGTTCTATGTGCGGGGAGACTACAACTGCAAACAATTTTGTAAACTAGCCACAGGACTGAACGATGATTTGTCCGTTGATTAGCTATTTTATGACGAGAATTACTTGGTTTTGGCCAATATCCCTATGCAGGATTGATGTTAGGACAGCATATAAAATATACAAGTACGAACATAACAGCGGATCAGTTGCTAAATAACAATCATTGATGAACTGACAAAATACTAGACGAGGAAAACAGAGAAATGAGTAATGCATTGCTGATAGATTTAAAGACAAGTTTATTTCACTTACCTTTGTTTTACTGCAGGCAATATGTGAACGTTTGGAACACAATCTAATCTATTGCGAAGTAGTGCAAAAGCGGAGCTTTGTGGCAGCAGCATCAACAGTCCGTAAAGTGCTTTTAGTAAGTAGTAATTTCTCTCGGTATCCAACAGTTGAAGTCTAAGATCTGAAAAAGAAATTTTGTGTCCAGTAAGTCGAATTAGTACAACATAATTATCAATACAAAATGGAAAAGGAAAATTGTTTAACCTTTTTGTGTATCAATTTTACAAAGCGATACTTACATGTGAAAATAGGAGATTCTAAAAGTTGAACTAATGTATCGATCTGTGTAAGGAACTCTGCATTCACTTCAATATTTCCACTGTGAAGTGTTAAGAAAGATAAGCTAATTAAAGACATTATAGTTGATGATGATTGATTACGATTCATAGTGATTGGTTATGATTTAGGATGACTGATTAAGTGCTGATGATGGTTTATTATGATTGACGATTGATCACGATTCATAGTGATTGGTTATGATTCAGGATGACTGATTAAGTGCTAATGATGGTTTATTATGATTGACGATTGATCACGATTCATAGTGATTGGTTATGATTCAGGATGACTGATTAAGTGCTGATGATGGTTTATTATGATTGACGATTGATCACGATTCATAGTGATTGGTTATGATTCAGGATGACTGATTAAGTGCTGATGATGGTTTATTATGATTGATGATTGATCACGATTCATAGTGATTGGTTATGATTCAGGATGACTGATTAAGTGCTGATGATGGTTTATTATGATTGACGATTGATTACGATTCATAGTGATTGGTTATGATTTAGGATGACTGATTAAGTGCTGATGATGGTTTATTATGATTGACGATTGATCACGATTCATAGTGATTGGTTATGATTCAGGATGACTGATTAAGTGCTGATGATGGTTTATTATGATTGATGATTGATCACGATTCATAGTGATTGGTTATGATTCAGGATGACTGATTAAGTGCTGATTATGGTTTATTATGATTGATGATTGATCACGATTCATAGTGATTGGTTATGATTCAGGATGACTGATTAAGTGCTGATGATGGCCGATTATGATTGATTATTGATCTAGATTCATGGTGATTGATTATGACTGATGATCAAGAGCGATAATTGTGATTTACGATGATAATCGATGATGATCATTGATGAAGTTGATGATATTGAAAAAACCAATCGAATTTCAAAATTTATTGTATAATAACAGGATATATAATAACGAAAAAGATACAATTTCAAGATTAGATCGCAAGCATGCTTGTAGGTTTGTGCTAACAAGCAGAGCGAAAATGTCGCTACTGGGTTATGACACCAACAACGGTACAAGCAAGAAAATAAGACGCAGCTTTCCTGCAAATGAATCAAACAATGAATCAAACAATTTACAAAATATCTAATTTGGCAAATAAATTAAATAAAGCCTTTCTATATTTTCTGGTCCAAGGGAGCAACAAGAAAACTTTTCAAATTATTCAAGACTTCAAAGACAAGAAATCCGAGAAAGTATACAGATAACAGATGTTCGCCATAAAGGATAAATAGCCATAAATCTCTGGTAGCATCCATTGCAACACAAGCATCATCGAAAAGTTTAATATGAAAAATTAAAAAAAAGTTGAAAATTCTAACATTTCGTTGTCGAGGAAAAATAAAATTGGTATGAACTGCAAAAGAAATGCATAAAAACTGTCATTAAAATATGCAAAATTAACACAGCCAACATCTACAATAAATAGAACACAAATGAAGTTTGAAAAAGAGCAATTAACATCGTTACAGTATACTTTACAGGATTCTCTAATCGGCTGACGAGATGAAGGGGACAGGGAAAAACATGTTCCTATCCCTACAACTTGTTAAACTTTCAATATTGCAGAATTTAAATTTATCACGAAAGAGACAAAACAGCGAAAGAGTGTATATCTTTTAAAGTATGACTGAAAAACCAATTCCTACACACCTCGTTAGCAAGATCTTTTAGCTTCTGGCGAAGTTCAAACAGCTCACTTGATGTGAGCAAGATCATATTCAAATTGTTTACCATCAGTGAGGCAAACTGCAAGTCTTCCTCCTGCTGGAGAATTTCTGATAGGGCGCAGTAAATGTCAGTTGCATTGAGCAGCAAGCAGAGGTGCCTGGCAGTAGATAAAAACGACAGTGTTGTGAAAGATTGAAATTACTATAAACGAAGTAAAAAAAGACACTGAAATCAATATTGTAGGCCAGAGGGTTATGAAAGACCAAGATACTGTGTTCGTCGTAGTAACAACAATTTTTGATGATTAAATAAAAGATTAGCTAAGCAAGCAATATTGAAGATATCACAGGGGCGTACAAAAAACGAACGTACGATTGGGTTTCCCAAGACAAAAAGCAAACTTTTTTCATTTTTCATCAATAAATAAGTTCGGGGTTATCATAAACATTGTTTGTAATACCAGAACGAATGTTAGCATAATAAAATTAATAGTATCATGATACAAGGAAAAATAATGAAAATATATATCACAATTTGCAAATAAAACCAAGAAAGAAACAGCGAAGGAACCTAGAATAATTTTAATCATAAAGTTCTAAAGATAAGAAGAGATACTAGTGTGTCTTAAGATATAAGTTAGATAAAGGTCAAGTTTTAAGACTACACGTTGGCAGATTTCTTGCAAATCAAAACGTAATCCAAAATGTTGTTGTTGAAACGTAATCCAAAGAGTCAAAGCAAGAGCCTGATCAATAAGAGAGATTTTATTGCTAATTACGTTGAGTGACATAGAGTTCACGTTTAAAGAAATAAGAAAAGCAGTAAGAGAAATTATACATAAAAGACAAATCTATGCTGGAATGTAGAGAGTGACCTTGATTTTGTCATTCCTAAGCATTTAAACTGTTGTGTGACTGCAACATTAAGCGCAAACTTAGATAATTTCAGGCAGTTCAATGTAGTGCCAATATATGTAATGTATGGTTGGTGGTGACTTAACAGTAAAATCGAAATTAATTAATTACTGACGCAAGAGAGAGAGAGAGAGAGAGAGAGAGAGAGAGAGAGAGAGAGAGAGAGAGAGAGAGAGAGCCAGCTTCGCATTTGTAGAGCATTTATGTACTAAATAAATTATGATAGAGCACAATATATGATTATGAATGAAACAATTAGATCTTTTCTATACATGAAACTTATGGATGCTATGTTTTGTTTTTTGTCCTTTATGCATTGTATTTTGTCTTCTGTAATCGTTCTCATATTTGCATTTTCTATTGTAGTACCAATGAAGGTTTGAAACTATGTAAAACTGTAAGTGCCAGTCATGGTGCAGAGCTGATGACGCTTTTTTTCGCTATGCTTGACAAAGTTGATCCTTTGTAGTTTTTATCACAGTTTGATAGAAAAAACTGAGCACGAGACGCAATCGAAGCTTTGTATACAAGTAATAAAATTCCTGCAGCAATTAAAAGTTAAATCGATTTTACCTGATGATAAAAGACCCACGGTCATCGAGTAGTTTCCGATCAGTACTAAACATGTTCATCAAATTCATCATAAACTTTGTGAAGTAGGTATTCAGTAATTTTTCGTGCTGAGTTTCATGGCCATCACTTGACTCATAGGCAGCCAGAGAATGGTGCCGCGGGGCCCCAGCCGTCGATGCAGAAATGTCTGATAAAACCTCGAGGTCCAGTAGCACAACCTATGAGAAAAGAAAATAAAAATCTGATTTCAATGAAATCTAGCCATTGTACAACTTCACCTGCATTCAATGTATACTTAGAAGGGCATGCATAATGCTCATTCATGTCCGGTTAAGTAGAAACTCGACATCCAGACGGCATATTATTTTCCTAGAAAAACGGAACTGATATGTTATTAATCCTCCTCGTTGTTTATCATCTAGCCTCGCTTACGCTCTGTGTCACGTGCAAGTTAGGCTATGACACCCAGGACATTTATAGGTTTATTACGTGCGCTCTCAGCAGTTCAGCAGTGTTCTTACTTATGTAACAACCAATGCAACTATTTGAATAAAATTTGAAAAAGCAAAAATCTTTAAAAATTACGTTGACAGGGTAGTAAGCTGAATGTCAACTTCTGTTATAAATTCAGTGATAACAGCAATATTGTAATTGTTGAAGTGTTTATCCTGTATGAATATTCGTTTTTTATTATTATAAAAATAATCAACTTTGCCCATATCTAATGTAAATAAAATAACTTTAATAAGGAGTCCCTTCAAATCAGAGAAAGCTGGCAGATATTTCGAATAAAATTTTCATTTTTTCAGGAACAAAAAAAGACCGAGCAGCTAGCAAATCCTCACATTCTTGGGCAGAGAACCTTAAATTTCTTTGTAAAAGTCTTGGTATCAAGGCAAAATGCCATTGATTAGTCTTTGAGCACTGCTCTATACTGACCATAAAAGCAAACGACATACTTTTCTTCCCTTGCAAACCATATTAAAGAGCATCAACATACTCCAATTTAGTCCAATCAATTAATAATGTTAGCAGCCTAGCTAATCAGATTTACTTTACGCCAGATGAAAAATACCCACTATTGTAGAAAAGCTGCGAAATTGCTATAGCACTTGTTACAACAGTTGCTAAGTTTAAGAGAGACATTTGGTATTGGTAATAAGCAAAAACCTCATCAGAGGGATCTGAAAGTGTCTTCAGCAGAGCCGGAAACAGCATCTCGATATGCTTGAATAGCTAAAATGAAAAAGACACAACTTGATCAATACATTGTTTTTCAAAATATAAAGCTAACGGTAAAGTAAAAAGACAGGTAGACGTATTTTCACAATTTGAGTGTTCATCAGATAAAATGAATAACAACGGCGTATAATTGATGGAATGAACGAATGTCTTTCAAAAACTTATATTTATAAAATTATATAAAGCCTGTGTACAAAGGCATATGTTAACTAGATGACTTACCTGCAAACCTAGAGAGCATGCATAAATGGCGAAACTATAAATTCATGAATACTCACCTTGTTTGGGACTTTCATATGTAACTGAAGAACCCAACGCAAAACAGCCACTCTTGTTTGAATAGCTTTATTCGAGAGCTGTTTAGTTAGAACTTCTACAAATGGCCCAAGCTCTAGCTGTACACTGGACTTTCCCGGATTATCTTTCTTTGCAACCTCGTTATCATCCTCAGTGGTAATTAGACGCATTAAGCCTTGGTTAACAGCTTTGGCAACTTCACGAATATCTAAGAAAAGCTAAGGAAACATGACATGGTAGCAAAGTATCAAAGGGCTTTGGGATACATTAATCCTTTGTAGCACGGTAACAATGCATAGCACTAATTTCAAGTTAAAAAGGACAAAAAGTACACCAATTTCATCTTATGACAAAAAAGATGAGACCACTTTTGTTTCCAACACATTCGAGAGCCCTTTCATAAAATGTCTAAAATACACCATCAAAGTAGGCACATGGTCAGCAGAAGAAACCTCAGGCCCTGTGGCATTACTTTAACAAACATCAAATAAAATGTTCAAAATGAAACTCAACCTCTTCGGAAATGTTTAAACCTTGCTATATAAGACCTCGAAATATCTTTATGAATTAGCAAAGTAGCAAAACCAATGCCATATGCATTAAACATTGCCCAGTGAGAATGGCAAACAAGAATTTCCGAAATTTTGGACGAAATTCTCAGACTTAAAGAGGGGTTATTACAATGTTTGGCTTGTGACAGTAGAGTGGTGGCTGATTTTCTATACACCCGACATATTCTTTTAGAAAGTTTTACTAGAACAACAGAGGATACGTTGTTTGCTCTGGTCATAAGACACACACGGAAGAACAGCAGTCAGAATGTTCGCGCTGAAGGCGAGCATTGTCCGACCAGACAACGCAACGAACTCGCGTATCCAAGTAATGGCTGTGAACTGGATGACTTCGTCTGCGAAAAAAGAAAATGAAGAAAAGTGTTAATGGTGTAATCTATATCAACAGAAAGTATTTTCACTGTAGATCATATATTCTAAAAGAACAAAAATTCACTCCTTTATATAAGTAATATCATTATAATCTGTTACAAATTGCTTGAAATATGACCTGACATTTCCTCAAGGATTCTCATCCAGTCGGTTTGGTTCATAAACTTTAGAGACAAGATCAAATTACGGTACAAAGAATGAGATCATCATCACGACATATCTAGCATCCACAAAATCATCCACATTTTTGTCCTGCAATTCATACACCAAAATACCCTATCAAGCAATTGTAATTCGCGATAAACTGTACTTGCTTCTGTTTTTAATTTATACAGAAACTCCGAGGCACTAGAAACTTCGTTTATCATATTGTCATTTTCTCGCTTTCTCCGGCACAAAGCGATATTCTTTGTCACATCTTCAAATGACAGTGATTTGATAGGGGAGACGTATGTGCTCGTTTGGCTATTTCTGTGTAATCACTTAAAAACTCTGTTTAGCTGTTTTCAACACTGGGTGCCTTTATCTACCCATAAAAAGACTGCAAAAATAGAAATAAGGTCAACTCGACTTTTCAATCCTAGCCCTGCATCTATCATCAGGAAAGCTTCTAGCTTTTATATTTAAACATCGTAATTTTATACATTTCATTTTTCTAACTTGGCAGCTTTCTGGTGATCGCATCAACAGAGGTGGCGCCAGAAATCTTCCGATAGAGTGGCTGGAGCTTTCGACAGGGGGGCTAAAATGACTAAAATAAGCAGTTTTCGTACGTTATTTTGTCAAATTTGCTCCGACAATAACCTAAAATTTACTCCGATGGGGGGGGGTGCTCTAGATGCTTTCGACAGAGAGGCTGTAGTCCCCCATAGCCCTCTCCTGGCGCCACCACTTCGCATCAAGCGTCAAACTCGGAAAAGCAACTTCATACCGTACACCAAAAGCGCGTACAGGTTTGCCTAAACGGCATCGAGCACTTAATGACAAACCCGTAAACAGTGACTTTAATTCAATTTCATTGCATCTAGTTTAATATCTTTTAAACACTTTTAGCTAATATCAAAATATAACACTGTTAGCTTATATACAAAAATCGACCTAAACGCCAATCAGATGGTCACTGACAACAGCAAATTTAATATAGATAGAAAATAGCAGTAAAGAATGTTGAATAGTATGCATGAGGCGGCAAGAAAATGGATTAGGCAGGATTGTATTAAGTAATAAAATTCAAGCATCTAAAGAGTCTATCAAACCAGTTGCAGAAGAAAATTACAGTTGAAAAACACTCGCAGTTACCTTCAGATTGTGAGTGTAAGACTAAAATATTGACCATGTTGGCAAAATTTACATTTGAATGGTTCTTTTTTATATCTTTTAAGAACTCTCCAAGGATAAATTCGCACCTGAAAATTAAAAAAGGGTTAACAGTGAGCTACCTGTGTTTGGGTCGTCAGGTTTGCAGTTTTAAAACAATTCTGGAAACTTCTGGAAAATTGACTATATTGACAACACGATTGTTCAGAAGTGGCAGCCCTAAATGTCAAATCCAACCTCAAATCAATCGAGGAAATACCTTTTCTCTAAAACTAACACCAATAGAGGAGAATGAATCCATAAAAAGTTTACAATAGGGTTGCTCCAAATACTTTTTCAGAATTATAAGTTGTATATTATTCTAACACTGAAAATCAGGTGCCATTGAGATCATTTTCTTATCCGAATCCATATAAATTGACAAGAATTCTTTCTTTAGGAAATCCATGCCAACGCAAAAAACAGCAAAAATAGTGACAACTGAACGAGAACTCTGGCAAACCAAAAGCACACTGTAAAGAGGCTGTTCGTCGGACCGTAACTCTGACGAAGCTCTTCATGTCTTCACTTAATTTTGCTAATCAATTTCCGCAGCACAACAAAGTTTTGGTTGTATGGCGCTGTTCTTCAACATCTTGCGCTGTTCTAGCTCACCATTTGGATACATTTGCAAGGCAGTCCCTGGAGGCAAGTGACAGCACTTAACATCGTTGATTTGCAATCAAATGTTACATTAAACATGTTCTTCATAATAAAGGTACAAAACTTACATTTTCCTTATTTCGCCATTGTTATCTCTAAATATACTGAAAAGACCATCTAAGAATTCAGGGAGATGAGCAAGCAAGTCAAGCTCTGGTACAGCATCAAGTGCAGAGAGCTGGAATGAAAACGTCACATCTTATACTCAAACAATGTATACAACATTAACAAGCATTGGATCAACATGATATCATGTACAAACTTTACAAATAAACTTAAACAACGGTAACATGGTCACTGCTCAAAATCACTGCCATTTATTCAAAAGGCAAATGTTTAGTGTCGAAAAACTGATGTCCCTGCTTTACCAACAATAGTTCACATTCAACAGTGTATTTGCTTTATCTGCCCTTCAACTTCACAGCAAATGCTTTACTAAACGGCAACTGGTATATAATCGAAAATGACAAATTTCTTAAACAGATTTCAAAACTGCTTAGCACAAGAATGATTGACTTTCCATTTTCTCACACGGATAAGTGCAGAATTTTCAAAAGATAGATTTCAAAAGGAGATATCCTCTCGTGTGATATGATACGTTTGTCGATATGATACAAATCGAAATTCTGCCTCGTAGATCTGATTTACGTATCATCATCCATGCCTTGCTCGATTAACATTTCTTTTATTGCCATTAAGTTTATCAGAGCTACGACTTTACAAATAAGGTGGGAAAGAATGGTCTTCGTTGCCTATAGAGCAATTATCTTAAAACTATCTGGCAAAGAAACTACACTAAAACAAGAGCAATATAACATTTTCTGCTTCAGCTGTTGAATTCTAAGTTTACTTCAAATTATATTCTTACTGCAGTACTAGGATTAGATGTTTATTGATCAAATGCAACAGCAAAATATCAGCAAAACTGTTAAAAATAGCAATCCAGTACTCTGAATGAAGAAAATTGGACCCGTAAGAAATGATGCTCAGCTGGATAGAAAATATTTGTTGCAGATCATAGCAAGGTTATATACAGATACCAACCCAAGAAACTAGAAACTGTTTGGCATGGGGGTTCGTAGTGTAAATCCTTTCCCTAAGCAGTGGCATGAATGAAACCAAATCAAAATCACCACTCTCAGTGACAACATCCTGAAAAAAGGACAAAACAAGAAATACATTTATATGCAGTTAAAAAAGGTTAACTTAAAAAGGCAAATTTTTATTCGATTTCTCTGAAAGCCTTTAAGGAATTTTATTATTAGATACTTCATAATTAAAATGCTGATGATCAACCACATGTGACAAAAAGCAATGTCAAAAATACCAAAATGGAGGATGGGGAGTGGCAACTCAGGCCTTGCCATTTGTGGAGAGCCATATCTCTTGCTCCCCTGCAGGCTCTTTTCTAAAAGGCAAATTGCTGTCCTTGAAATCAATTTTTCCCTTGATTCTATTCATATTCTTCATCTACAAATAGTTCACCTGAAAATTACTAGGAGAGCTGTTTACTGCTCCCCTGCTAAAAGTCTTGACCAGGCCTGTAACTCTGTTGCTGGAAATATCGACTTGACAACAAACAGACTCTTCTGTCCATTTTAGTTTATGACAAATAATGCCATAAAATTAAAATGAACAGTGGAAGAAGAAAGAGTATAAAAATGCCAATTCTTTAAGATTGCCATAAATGGGGCAGATTCAGTTTAAAAGATTTAACTCCAACCTTGATTAATCTGTCAAGAAGCTCTGCACCATTTTTTACATTTGGATCAGGATCAGCAGCTAACTACAAAAGAAAAAATATCAACTACATTGGCGGTGCCAGATGAGGAGGAGGGGCTTGGGGGCTTCAGCCCTCCCCCCACTTTTTTGCAAAAAGTGTTTTTTAAAAAAGGGCAAAAGAAGGAAATAAAAGAAAAGAACAATGCAACAAAACCTTTGGTTGCTTAATTTCGAAGGAATAACCCAACGTCCATGGAAACATTTGTTTATTTGTTATGGGGTCTCATAAAGTAATAAATTCCATTCTAAGACTTGAATTAATCAAACGTAATGAAAGCATGCCTTACAAATAGCAAAATGTTTTAAATAACTACTTGGAAATGACTACAGAAAATATTCTGAAAATATGTATTTTATACTAATCTAAAAAGCATGGTCGCGAAAATTTTCTGCTTGCTTCGCTCGCAGGGAAGCCTCTTCATTCGAATTACCTAGGGCTCACGACAACCTCTTGCTGGTCCCCTTCAAATGTACTGCTATCATAACAAGGGCCCCAAAAAATAATAGGCATAAAATATCATGAAGGGTTTAAGTGCGTTTTTCAAAGTTGGTTCTTCAGTCTAATAATGCTTTCAACTCGAGCCGCCCCCCTTCCCCCCCCCCTTTTAATTTCTTGATGCCACCCTTGAATTAAAAATATGTGAGTATACATGCAATGCCATGCTCAGATTATGGTGACCATAGGAGTAACATATCTATTGTGAATGAAAACAAGCTCCAAATTTACTAAAAGGATAGATGTCTCAAATTTAGCTGCATCCACATGTCTTTCATTGGTAGAGAGTAGCAATAAGCTTTTTCATTGAAAGTAACAGCTTACGGTGCATCTTAATAAACAGAGAGCTAAACAAAAAAGCTTTGGAGTTGTAATGCCTCTAATTTTAAAAGAATTTACATGGGTGATAAAAAATTTTCATTTTCTAAATATTAATTCATGGGAACACAAAATGAGAGTCACTAAAACAAGTAAGCATACGAAATGTCTTACCTTACTTAAGCCATCAAAAATATCATTGAAAAATGGCAAGATGGTCTCTCTTGCTACTTTAGCAATATTATACAAGGCTTCACAAGCATAGTAGCGGACTCTGCTGTCTTGATCAAAGAAGCAAGACAGAACTGGTGGGACGAGAAGTGACAGGTATATACTTGCATCCTACAGAAAAAAATATCAATTAGCTTTCTGTTAGCCTCACATTGCAGGATCCAATGTTTCGATTAAAGATATCAAATCACTGAAATGCTACTTATCATACTTTATAAACTGGAAAGGTCATATCCACATTAGAAACTAAATTGATGAAATTTCACTAATCAAGGTTGCTGAAAAAGATTTAACAAGACTCTACAAACAATGAATAAAACTGGCCAATCAATTAGAAAAAACATATTCCAAATTTGTTAACTGTTTTGTTTGAAAATATAATAGTTTGCTATGGCATAAACATGTATCATGACAAATTTTAGGTAACAGATCAATCTACAAAATTTTGCAGTAAAAAAAATACCTGATTGCTAAATTTTCACTTACCTTTCCCAATGCTATTGCTGTAGCTGCTAAACCTATCAGGCCTCCTTTTCGGCTATGAGGATTTTGGGAATTGGCAAATTCTTGAGTTAGAATTTGGACTAGTTTTCTTGTCTGTTTCACATCATTGTTACTTGAAAATTCTCTGACCATACTGTATCAAAAATAGAGTAAAAACAATACTTTAGTTGAAATTCCAGTGGGATAATAAGAATTATGAATTAAGGAGCCCTTAAGCTTAAGCAAAGAGAAAAGCTAAGGAACAATTTGCCACTTTGAATATATCTGAAGTGCTTAATAAATGAAGTGAAATAAAAGCTGCCTGACGGTGCTTCACAAACTTAAAATGATAGTTTTAATTTTTATGGTGAAGAGATTGAGTAGTGGTGCATGTCTTATGAGTATGAAAATCAAGATTGAGTATGTTGAGGTGATGAGAACACAATATTTCTACAGGATCAGTGAAAATGTTAAGGAAGCAAGTGCATCTCTTAGAAAGATGAATTATTAACTCACTGCAGGCTGTCACACCTACATACGACAAGACTTTCTTAGGCAAAAAAGTTCACAGCACTGTTAATGGCTGTAGTGTGGTATCAAAATACTTTGGTGACTGCAATGTTACTAGGTGTAGGTCCCCTATGATCTAGAATTCATCATATTTGTCAGAAATTTCTATCCATTGTATGATTTCACTAAATGCTATTATATACTGTTAGAAAAAGCTTGAAACTTTTTTGAAAATGCGTCTACTAGCCAGTCCCAGATTCTATCTAGCTCCCTTGCAAATGACAACAGTTATACTATTGCTATCATTTGCACAGTTATACTACAGTTCTACTATTATCTGCATGGGCATGCAATCATGTGCCTAGGCAAGGCAAGGTGCACATTTTGTCACACACCTGCTTCTCAAAAAGCAGTGATATAAGGCACCTCAGCCATTTTCAAAGATTACTTTTTGATCAGAAATTATGTCTTGTTGCACCAGAAATCATATTTTGATAACAACATTCATCATTTAGGGATTTGCATGACACAATATGCCTTTTAAACAATGGAAAACCTTATGTGCCAGATTAGGTGTTATAGACATCCAAAAAAGAAACTTCCACCATTTTGATCCAAAAATAAATTTGTAACAGTAAATGTACTGAACAAGCGTATCTAGACTTTAAACACGTTTTTAATCTAAAAATTATTTTCTGTTATGATAAGAGCAGCGACACAGATTTAGAGCGAATTACCTAAAGATTTCACTCAAGTAGAAACTGGCCTTTAACTTAGTTGAACAACCCGAGTTAAAAGTTCGGATCTCCAAGCATTACCTGTTGTGCCTAAAATAGATTTAATTGCTATTTTATGCAGGCTGCCCCTTGATCAATTATGTATTGGAGCATTCCTGAATGTAAGTGAACTGACAAATATTTCTAGCACCGGTCCTTTTAGCTAAGGCCATTCACTTGGGATGACTGCACTTTAGTGACCCACTTTTTGTTTCACTAAGTTGAGTTGAATTACAAACCTTTCGATCTAGCCAGGTTTCTAGGCTTCTGAAACAATCATAAGTTCGAATCTCAGAAGTTCAGATTCACTCTCATACAATTGCAGCTATAGATCAGTTTTAAAATCAGGTTGGATGACTTTGTTCTATGAATTTGTCTTGAGGGCAACCACCCCCAAACCCCCATACATTATCATTGATTGATTAATTTCATTCCATATCCAGTTATAAATGAATTTCTTTGTTTCTTCAAATCTTCGTTCTCATTTTTGCTTGTATCATCACTGCTAGGTAGTAGCGATTCAATTCAACTTCCAATCAGGAAACAAAAAATGTGTCGCTAAACTGCAGTCTAGACCGTTCACTTAAACTCGTTTTTTTTAATTAAAAGAGACATTATTCATTTACTTTAAAAAATTGACCCAATGATGTTCTTGGAAATAGTGGTACTTGACTGATGAATAAGCACAGCAGGGCTCACAACACATTACTGCATATTTTTCTCATATGATTATGGAAAAGTGAATGCTTTTTCCGATCTGCCCTCAATGTTTCCCGGCTTGTTTAGATATTTAGAAAGACTCCAAGTTTTGAAAAAAGAAAACGCTATTTATTGCTCTGAGAAATCTTTGATTTAGCCATGATTTAAAATTTTCACAACGAATGTAATAAAGTTTTGGGTGTGTGCAACTGCAAGAAAATGACCTTACCTGGTCTGGTCAAACATTTCATTTCGTGGATGTGGCCTAATAATTCTAAACTTAGAATAGAGTAAACAGCTTAATACACCATTTCTAAACCACAATTTTCGGCACTGTCCTAGAAGCACACGTCGCGATAATTTAAATTTATAAAGTCAATTATAAATTCGATCTACATCTAAAACATGACAGTCAACTTCAAATGGGCCTAAAGTTATTGAGGCAAACCATAAAAAGAAAAAGACCTTAAAAAATCAAAATATGCAAGTAATACCGCTCTATTTCCAATGCAGCAGTCTTCCTTTTTTCGTAAAGTTTGTCATTAAGGCCCCTCACAATTTGAAGAGATAGCGGAGATAAGTCCCTTTCCGCCATTCTTCGACGCTCTCTTTTGACCTGCTTGACCTCTTTTCCAAAAAGTGGACCTTGTGCCCCTGCCTGGTTGCTACGAGGTGGCTCCATTTCTTTTGATCAGTGTTTTGAAAAACAAACCAAAATTTCCCTTCCACTACCCTCAGAAAAATGCGAAACAAATATTTTGACGTAAAGACCCAATAAGGTCTCTACTTCAAGGAGGAATACTTAAACTTTGAAACAATTCTCGAATTTTTATCTTCACATTTTGGCAAAAATGGATCATAATTTAAACGCAAAGACGGTCAAATTTAAAGAAATATCTAAATATTCAAAACAAAGTAACACGCGACCGAACGGTCCAAACAACATGAATTTTTCAGTACAAGCTAATTTAAAGATGAATTGAAAATAAAATAAAGATGATTTCAATTCTGAAGTCCATTTTTGAAAAAGATCCGTAGATAGCGAGATACAAAATTGATGACGTCAACTCGGATCCATCAATCTACCATGCATGCCCAAATAAAAGGGGAAACTCAGGTCGAAGGGGCTGTTCCAGACCAAAACCCCCACTACCAAGATCTTTTGAAGAGAATGAGGGGGCTTGGCTGAATTTTCTTAAAAAAAGTGACGGTAGTATTTCAAGACTTTCGGCAGAAATAGTTCATTGTACATTCGAGGTGATCAATTGTGCAAACAGGGGCCTCAGCAAAACATTTTAAATATCCAGTCTTATCGTACTTCTTTGCAGTTTTTCTATGAATATCAGTTTACATAAAGATAGAAAGTTTTCGCGAAAGAGACATCGGTCATGAGTCTTTACTCAGGGCGATAAATCTCTTCTTACAAATGGTTTATAATAAACAACAAGTGTACCCACGAACATTTTATCTAACCGAAGCTGCATGTCTCACTGCAAAAACATTTACAATAATGCTAAACATGTGCATTTCCTAATCGCAACGTACAAAATTTAAATTTCTGTCAAGAAGCAACCTAACTCAGTACTGAGATAAAATTAACTGAAAACTTCAGAGATTGAGCCCTCAGAACATTGTCTTCCTCTTCTTCAATGCTTTGAATTATCAACAACGAAACGAGAGCTGATCAGACATTCAAACTTAAATCAACAGGGTTCATGATAATAAGAATAATCATGACACTTTAGGTGGGTTAGGTGCGTGATAACTCGTTTTTTGTAACATATACATCGCATTTAAGACAACAAGGCTGTGTTCGTTTGTCAAATAGACTGCTTAAAAGGGGTTTTTGGTGTGCCTACCGAGGTTGTGCAGTGAAACTGTGGCTAAAAACGAGTTGGTAATTTATTTTACACAGTCCTTTCGTTTATGAGTCAAATGTAACCATGTTTGATAAAATCAGAATTTAAAGATCGTAGAGTGGTAGGTTCCCAAATGGAAAAGGCATAGAAGAAAAATTAATGTGCACACTTAACATCAAGTTTGATAGAAGAGTGGGCACATTACATATCGTGAGCCTCGTATTGACACACTTTTTTGGTAATGGGCAGTTGTAACAATATACAATACTGGTCACTGGATACGTGATATACCTAAAGGAGCGTGTTAGGGTCAATAAATGTTATTGAGCAGGGACATTTAAGGCCAACCGCAAACTTCCCTGGCAATTTTTTGTTTAATGGCACGCACTGTAGACTCCCCTGATCTGGATGTCTTCTCGGAGCTTGTTCCCGCGAAGTCGCATTTGGAGAATGATCACAACCTACAGGGACGCCTGCACAAGATTAGGCAGGAGGGGCAGTGTTGGTGCCGAAGGCAAATCATTGAATTTTTCTACTAACATAATCGAGCAATTTTAGGTGGGAGGGGCGAGGGTGGGGTAACATAATAAAATATTAACTTAAATATGGGTTTTTTACCACCAAAGATTCTAAACATAGATAAATTGTTGACGAAATTATCCATAAATAAAATTGGTTATTAAATGGCCTTGTCACTATTCACAATATTTGGTTTAATAAAAATAATGGCTGCTATAGATGGGCTGGTTGTAAATTTTGATTGCCCGCTAAACTTTTATACCGATTTATCCTTCCTAGGTTCCTGGAGTACTTTTGAGGGAAAACGTCTTTTGTTTATCATCTGCATTTTTGTGCTGGTGTTATCATCTTTCTAATATTTTCTAACTAAAATAGTCCAAGTGGTCATCAATTATCGATAAAATTCTATAGAGTTGTCTTATATTTCAGGGCACTTCTTGCCACCTCTGCCCCTCTTCGAAAAGGGCCCCTGACAATCTACTACCAAAGAGCGAACTTTGCGACCAAAGATATCTTCAAGTACGCATGCGTACATTAGGTTGCAGTGGGTGCGCGAATAAAAGGAGAAAATCGGGGGTAAGCCTTTACCAAACTATTCGAATATATCTTGAAACTCCTAAATTTGCTCATTGTACACTAATTTTGCGAATTGAGCAGGGTGTGCTGGGGCCCGGGTAAACATCCTATATAGCCATCTTCCCGAATAACAGACATTTCATTGTGCAGACGTGACACGTAAAAAATTTCCCTTTGTAGCAACCCCCCCCCCCCCATTGGACCGCATACAAAAAACTGTTACACTCACCCAGAGGGTTGCATAATTTATGAAATTATCCATATAAACCGTTAGCCTCAAAGCATACAATTTTTTGTTGGCCTTCTGTTATGGCGCAGGTACTTGTTGGTTGGATGCATGTTGCAGCACGGTTGAGTTGCAACATCGCCCTACCCCCTCCTAAATGTAAAGGTACCATTTAAAAGATACCTGGCTCGTCTTCGAATCGAGGGAAAGAGCCTAGCTTGATTCACGGGTCACGGCGCCAGGCCAAGTATTTGTAAGGCAAATAACACATTGCGGTCCCTTTCTTACACCACCCAAGATCAACAAACAAATTTCCAATGTTTATCTGGAAAGTTTACTTTCCTGCTTATCTAGCTTTCTATCTTATGCATGTGAGATTAACGTCTTCTGTAAAAAGGGGAAGCTCCTTTTTTGCTCAACAAATTCGACATATCACTGAATATGCTATGTCTATGCAGGACCTAAATGCTGAAGTCTAAAATATTTTAGTTAAGTCATCGTTTTGAGTGAATGAATCGCTGACATGGCTATGAGTTTTGGGAAAAATTTGCACTCAAAGGTTGACCCCTCTAAGCAGGAGGCGGACCAAAGCAGTGCTTTCAGGCAAAAGACAGCATCTGGTTACAGCAGAGGGAACAGCAAAGCAGATTCAAATAAGGAACAGAAATCTAGCGATTCCACTTTGACTGGGCAGCCTCTAGATCTCAAAATTCCAAGACAGCACCTTCTTGCCAGTGAGGAGAAGGAAGAATCGTCTGAGTATTTTTCGATGATTGGGGAAATCGGAGCTTCATCCAAAATTAACAAGCAGATGACTGAAGTAAAACTGGACGACCTCGGGGAAATAAGACAAATTTTTGATGTTTTCGACCAGGATGGTAATGGAGTTATAACAGCAAACGAACTTAGATCAATTCTTGGATCACTGGGACAATCAACAACGGAGGCAGAAGTAATGGATATGGTGAATTCCATTGGTATGTCATTGAAAGTAATGATCACAATGCATTTGATTAAACTTGCAATTTCCCTGTTGCGATACATAAGGGGCATTCCTAGAAAGGCTGGGGGCAATATGGCTTGTTCCTGAATGCCCCTGCATTGGTATCCAATGAAGTTAGTCTGGGTAATTTGCCAAAGGTAATAATCTATTTTCACAGAGTGATATCAACTGAAATGCGCAAGCATCGTTTTCATACGAAATCTTTCTTTGCCAATAGGTGTTACAACCTTGAGATGAAAAACAAGAAAGAAAGTGTGACTAACAATTTAAAATCCGTAGTAGACGGAGCTGTGGCGACATGAGGCAGCCTTGTATGCAGAAAAAGTACCTACCATCAATTTGATCGTGATGATGTCTAACGTGAAAATACAGTGGAATCCCGATATAACGAGCTCCCGATATAACGAATCATTTTCCGGTTCCCTTCGGAGTTCGTTATATCGGGATTCCATTGTAGACCTTAATAAAACACTAAGATAATTATTCTAAATGCAGGCCGTCTTTCTTTCCTTCTACCTAAAACATTCTTCCACACCATCTAAAGACCGCTGTCAAACCATCAAAAGTGGCTTTTTGCAGTCAAACATATCTTATACTTATTTAGGTGCATTACTAGCTGATTTTCTTCCGAAAAGATGAAAGTAAAGCTCCCAAAAGAAGATCATAACTTAACTGGTTATTGTAGTATTAAATGTGTATAAGAGCCATATCCTTCCACAGATGCTGATGGCAACGGAATTATAGAGTTTCCTGAATTCCTGGCAATGATTCACGGTAAACTGCCAACAGCAAAATCTGCAAGCGAGTTTGGAAGGATTTTTAAAGTTTTTGATGTGGATAATTCTAGCGAAATCAACGCTGATAACTTGAAAAGAATGTTTCGAATATTTGGTCAAGATTTCGATGAATATGATATATCAGATATGCTAGCCGAAGCAGACTTTGATGGAGATGGAAAAGTTGGGTTTGAGGACTTTATTAAACTAATGAAAAAATGATTTCTATTAACAAAGAAATTACTTCTACTGAAATCGCATAGGACAGTGTAACGGGTCTCAGTTGGAGTTTACTCACTGCATTCACTGCAGTATATGACGAATAACAGCCTCACCCGTGAAGAGTTCTACGCTTGAATAATGGACAACATGATACTCTTGAAACATTTTTTAAACATGACTCTGCTTCTTGGTTTAATAATAAATACAAATCAGATCTTCTCATTCTACAGGGACAATTAGGTACTACTCTATTTATGAAACATCATCGTGTTGATGCAAAAACATCTCTTGGCGTATTCTTACCCTGCTAGGTAGTAATATTTTCTTGATAAGTAATCCCACCTGAGAGAACGATTTATAAAATGGTATATTCCAGTAAGTTGAAATGTTAATAGTATGACGCAGTTACACAATACTTATAAACTATTTCGAGAATATCGTCAACAAAAAAGGACAATCAGCCTAAAACTGATCCTGTGACACAAAACACCACTTAGGAAAACGGGCCCCGATGCAAGTTGGGGAGTAGGGGGCAAAGGCAAATTGAAGACCCATAAGTGTTTGCAATAAAATCTTGATGGGTCAGATTTAGTTTAACTAACCCTCCCTCAACTTATAAACATTTATTATACGTTTATTTTTTAAACAAAACGTTGCCTATGACTCCTTCTAATGTCCCGAAAGTACAATACAGAGAGCTGCTACTGCAAAACAAGGAAAATTAAATCTGAAAATTGTGTGAAAGAATAGTTACACTCCAGTTAGAAAAAGCATTCGGAATTATTAAGATATCATAATTTCATAATTTGCATAATTAAGTTGCATAATTAAGGTATCTAATCACGTGTCTTGCTTCCCTCGTCTCATCAGGTTCAAATACCTCTTTTGCACTGCCATCTCTTGCAAACGTCACAACGAAGACATTTCTTTATCTCCCAAAGAAATGCAGTTAACAAAAAATAAAACATAACCATTTTTACAGCTGTATCCCTCCAACGATATAATCCACGCGCTGAAAAATAATATTTTTAAAACAAGATTATGTTTACGCAAAAAAATCGATAAGAGCTTTTACCTATATAAACAGTAACACAATAGGCAGTGATGCAAAGAAAGCGACAGCAAGGTTGACAGTCTGTCCAATGACACATGTTGCGTGATGAAATGTATGTGTGATGAAAGCTTGTCAAGCAATCAAAATTTGGAATTTTTGCACATCAAAATGTCTTGTTTCCAAACTTAAGAAAACTTGGATAATGTTTGACCTCTGAAAAAAGTCGAATTCATATGAATGTCTTTTTGTAAAATTGGTCTACAACCCCAGAATTTACCTAGCATATGCTAGGTAAATCAGTGTAAAATTACCACTTGAAAGAAGACAAGTTCTCAACTCAACATCATTTTCAAAAGATCTAAAAAACAACGCGGTACAAAAAATGAAGAGATTTTGCAATCAACATGGAATTGACTGGAAATGATTGAAAAAATGCAGCAAAATGTTGATAATCGCTATTCTTTATTGCATGCTGTGCAATGTAAAAGTATAAACTAAGAATTTAAGTAAAATTTTATTAGGAAAAATTAACAATTTATTAAACACATATGACATGCATAAGTACAGCGATCAGATCGCGCGAGTATGAAAGGAATTGGAAACTGCTAACGTGAAACCATTGGGCGCTGCTCTAGGATTTCACCATTTGCAGAAAGGCGGAAACTGTTGACATGTTTCTCTCTGTGTGCAACTTGATTGGACAACTGCTGATGGTTGAGTGGCTGTAAGTTGTGTCAAATGCCTTTAATGACGTTTCAAGCATAGTCCGTTATCCAGTCAACCCATGTTGATTACCTCACTCGATAAAAAGCTTTACTCGAAACGTCGTTTACAAATTCGTCAATTTTCCTAGTGCAATTTTACTTAAATTCCTAGTTTTAACCTTTTCAACTGTTTGAGTATCATAAAAATCCAAACCTGACGATGCTCTTTAAACGCAAGCCAATCAGAAGGTGCTGTAGGCAGAATTCCCATGGAATGGCATTTGTAGACAGCGAGCAGAAGACAAAGTATATTGCCAAGCAGATAAGTGAATTTCAGCAAAATACCTTGCTCACCATCTAACATTTTAAATGCTATAAAAGAAGGATGTTTAATCACGGGAGCGAATAGGAAGCCTATGGCAACACTGTAAGCAGGAGTCTTCGTCAGTTTATTCAGTTCTATCAAGGTACAGAAACTTACTTTCTGTGTACAAATAAATCATTAAGCTTTTTGCCCTTATCAGACCTGGCTGTTTACTGTGGGGATGTCCATTGTCCAAGGCAAACCATAAACCATGCAGGTACAAGCCAATGTGCATAAAAAATCATCCAAATTTTGAAGCCAAATTTGAACCCATGTTTAAGCCAAATTATAATCCCATGTCAATTCAATTTCATATTGAATCAGACAATAGATATCATTCACAAGCCTCCTTCCACAATACTAATTCTTAGATGATAGATACAATAAGTATCAAGCTTCCATTAATTCCAAAAAAATTTGCAATTCAGAAAGAAAAACAAATTGGGTGAAATTTCATAACTCCCAAGTCCCCAAGTCCTTTTCACAACCTTTTACCAAGTTAAAATCAGAGACCACATCTGTCTATATTTAAAATATTTGCATGCTGCCGGTAGGCCTACTTAAATGCAAGTTAATTTTCTCCAAGAGGACAAATGATTGTTTTTTTAAAAAAATTATTCTACAGAATAAAAAAGGTACAATTAACATCTTAACATAACTTACTTGATTTCAAGGTTAGCATAGCTTTTATTGGTTTAAAAATCATCATTCCAACTATCATTATTGGAAAAATTGAGATTGAATTGCCAGCCATATACATTATGAACAGGTTCATAGGTAGTTGCTTCATTGGGGCCAAAGCAATGTTCCAAGATTTCTAGAATAAACATTTATTAAGATTGATTTAATGGAAGCTCGCAAAATGAAAAGCCTCTTTCAATTATCAGCTTGCCAAAAAGCAGCACTTTGCCATGAAAATATAGCATCATATATTCAACTCCTAACTATCTTTACCATGATAACAAAACTGATGTTGACTATGATACTTAGTAGATAGATATTAATTACTTAGATCAGCTAAGAATGTCATAATCAAAACACTGAAGAATTATATTTTGATTAAAAGCATGCTCCAAGGCTCAAATTAAGTCAAAACTTAGGAAAAATCAACTTTTGTTTTAACTAGAAACATAACACAATGATTTATGCAAGGCACAGCTGCAAATTTAGAAAAGGCATTTCAAAAGCTACCAAATCTCAAAAGCTCCTGAAAAAATCAGCTGAAGAAATTTTTGTTATAAGACTCACTTTTGCAACAAGTTTTGATAAATCTGCATCATGGGTTTCCTACATCAAGAGAAGCATAAAAACATATGTTGAAATCTCCAGTGCAAAAATATCATAATTTGAACTAATTATAAGTTGTAGTGCATTTAGCATTTCTTCAAGGAATAAAAGAATAATGTTTCGTTCAAAATTTCCCAGAAAATTATTAAACCAGAAATTCTTTACATTATTTCAAAATGATGAAGAATTATATGCACAAAACAAATATGAAGCAGCACCTTTCTGAAAACCTTTTGCTGTTTAACATCATAAAGGCAAATAGTTCTGAAGCTTATAATAAAATGCACACTTGTAAAAAAGAAATTTACTGTACCACATTGTAGAAAGAATCGAATCAAAGAAAGGATCACTTACAACAGTGGGATATGAATGGTAATCTGCATATCCTACGGGACCAGGAATCTCTGATTTTGACTTCTCTGTCATACACTTTGGCCTAGACATAATTTAAAGAGTAGAAAATTGGGGATAAAGTGACAGTGAAATACATAACAGTGGACTGGACACAAGTGTCCCTGTCTTGGAACATCTTTTGGTGATATTGTCAAGTTAGGTCTTCATCTCATTTTATTTATCACATCAAACTATGACAGTAAACAAATTTTAAGGTGTATAGCTTTCAAAGTTTTAGTGCAAAACACAATATTGGGCTGGGTACAAGTACCTCCATCTAAAAATGGTTCATTTGTGGATTTTTAATCTGGATTTGTATAGAATTTTATACAGCATGTAAAATTGGGTTAGAAAGCAAAAAATCAGTTTGATAATTTGCTCAAACATATAAGATTCAGTTCATACTTATGTAACAATTAATTAAAAGTTAATAAAGAAACTCCTACTAAAATATACACTCCCCTCACAAAAGTATTGCACCACCTTGTTTAAAATGGTGGCACTTTTTGTCAACATTTCAAGTATCAAACATTTGAATACATGCATTTGGTAAAGTAGTTGTACTTTTTTGTAGCAAATTTTGGCAGAAAACTCTTGAAAGTCTTGCTGACGCCATAAAAAACATAATTTGAAATAGATACATTAAACAGAAAAGTTTTCATTTGTAGAAATATAGAACATACCCAAGGGAGGAAAAATGTCAAATGACAGGGGAGTCGCTATAAAATATTTACGGGAAAGAGGGCTTAAATTTTCGAAAAATTATTGAGCAAGTTAGATGCAGTCACTAAACAGATGTGTTTCAGATGTTTTTTGAGTGTTTTTCATTAGCAAAAAAACCAAGCAGTGGACGTGTGAAAAAATTGTGTTAGAGGGGAAAGAATTTGTCTGTTTCCCTTTACAGGGTTTACACTTGGGGACACTAAAGGATATGAAACTCGAGCCTGAGCAAATTTTTTCAGCTGGAAATCCTTCCAGACAAAAAACAATGGGTGTCTTACAAAAAAACAATTAAAAAAGTTACCTGAATAGAAGGAAACCATTCTTATAATGATTTATCTCGAAACAAGAAGAATTCAAGTTTTTCCATGGCATCCATCAAGTCCAAATTTGCAAATCATTAAAAATGTTTGGCTTCGTATGGAAAACATTACGAGCCATGATTGAAATCGTTCTTGAAGTACCAAAGAATCATTAAATTAGAAGAATTCTTCAGGTTTGACACAAAATTTCACAATAATAGATTGCCCAATTATATCCAACAAATTCAAGAAGGCTGCAGGCGGTTTCAAAAGTTCATGGCTCCTGTCAAAACATTAAAATTATAAACTGTTAAAAGACCTTTCTTACTGTTATTTTTTTTAAAAAGTACTTTAAAAAGATTGAAGTTTTGATTGGTAATTCTTTCACTTCCGACCCACTCCTATTTGCTTTTCAATTTGCACAACAATAGCTTTCGATAATTCTTGGGCCATTTCACCTCCTTCAAGGTGGTGCAATACTTTTGTGAGGGAAATGGATGAGGTCTTTTAATAATGTCTTCTTGATGTCTATGTTAATTTTATAAGCCCCCCTCTAATATTCCCCCCCTCAAATAACCCCTCATTCAAAAAGATCAAAAATTAAGTAAATTAAATATGAGTGTGGCCAGATGGGAGTAACAGGGTGGGGGTCAAAAACTGCAATTTGAAAATGTCTTGTAATTTAATGAAAATAACCTACAGCTTATCAGTCATCACTATTTGATAAGTCACAACCATTAATTATTTGTTTTCGAATTGATATTTCCTGTGTTTTACACAACCTTCAAGGGTGTAATGCATAGCAAAATTAAAAAAGATTCTTTGGTGAAAAATTAATATCTTCTCAACTTTTCCCTAGCACTAGTTGCCTCCAATGGCCAAAATAACTAAAGTCAGTCAAAATAACCAAAATAACCAACATCACAACTTTATGAAAACTACAATCCCAATTTTCAAAAAGGGTAGTTTTCCAACCTTTTGAAAAGTGAAACGCTTTCTAGCAAAAAATTTCTAGAGGAAAAGCTCTCTGACCCTTACCTGCTAGCCACGTTACACTGCCCCTGGCCCCTTCCAATATTGCTTTATTAGCTTTCAAAGAGTGTAGAAAGGAAGTTGCTATTCTCATTTTGAACATTCCTGGCTATTCTATCAGTCATTCCAAATCGATCAGTCACTGTTATTCCAATAGTCAACACTATTCAATCACACACGATTATTCAAATAATCAGCAATTTGATAAGTCACGGTTATTTGAACAATCATTGCTACCTCCAACAGTGAGATTATTTACACTATTATCTCCAACCGAATAAATAAACTATTCAAACTATTTGCATGTCACCAAATATTCACTTTGGGCTTCAGCTAACCGAATAGTTAAAAAAGTAACTGAATACTGATTATCCAACCTTTGGCAGACAACTCTATTTACAACAGCCATAAAACTTTGCATATAGGTAAGATCACATTGATGTTCTGTTATCTTGTGCTTAGTTTTGCATGCTTTTTCAGTGGTATCATCAGATTTGAAAAATTTGAAGGTCAAAATTTTCCTGGCTTCTCCTTTAATGATTTAAACTTTAACAATTTCAGTAAGGCAAGTGGCTAATGCAAAATTCTCTGTTTAAACATGTTTGTATTATATGTTTGTTTTTCTTCACATCCCGGTGGGAATTATACTCAGGAATATCTCACTTTTCCTGTTGTGAAACTTACTGAAAGTAATACAAAGAAAGTATTATGTAGGTTGAGGTTAGGATTATGAAGATAAAAGCATGAGATTTATATGTGGCCTCCTGGAAGAGAAGCAGTTTTAACAATTTACTTACGATCTTGCTATTGATTTGACTTTTGTATTATTAGGTGCTGAAGGGTTTATTTTCATGCTTAATATATTTTCCCCTAGAAAAGAGGTTGAATTCCGGTATGAACTTAAAACCAATAGGGCAGCCATAAAAAATATGTTGCGTTTGCGCCACCTGGCCAACTTTGTTTTCCAGCAAAATCCTGATTCAGAAAGTCGGAAAAATTGTCTGGTACTTTTAAATGACAAGAAGTATGTTTGAAGTCTCCACAATTAAACGATGCGCTGCTCTCTTGCATTTGAATATCTTTTGGCCTGATTTTGGGCAAACATACCCCTGAATTCTATAGAAAGTCATTGTAAAGGAGGTACTGAAAACCTGACAAGATTTTGTACCGGCCGACCGGCCAACTCATTTTGACGGGGCAATTAGGATAAAAAAGTGGTTAAAAAAGCAAAAATTCCATTTTCATTTAAAACTAGGTGTGATCATCTTGCATTGATCAGAAATCAAAGAACAAGACATGCTTGAAGAAAAATAGGCTACATTTTTATAAATGCCATGCATCAGAGTGGTCTTGGGCAAGAGATCTACGGCTTTTGCATGTATGTAAGCTTAATTCAAAATAAGGAGAGCCTTCTTACAACATACGAAGATTCTTTGCAAATTCTGTTACACTCGATGTCATGATATTTCAATGTCTGAGCCACATCTGTTAATTTTTAATTCTTTTTCTGTTAATTCCAATTTTCAATAGTGAAGAATTAGGTGCTTGCTTTCACGTAAAGTCAAAAACTTAAAAACAGGATGTTTTCAAGTTTTTGACTTTACTTCTTGTTGCGCTGTTCCATATAATTTTTAAAAGCAAACATCTTTTCAGAGTTTTAGAATTCTAGAGACGTGGTTCCACCACACACCTACCTGGTTGTAAAGTCAATAGCCCATTTATTCTTTGGAAACTTCTGGACCGTCTTGGAGGCCATTTTGAAAATCTTTGAAGGCTTGCATTAGATCGAGAAGGAGGCCTAGATTCCTATAGCCTCGATTGTGTAAAACAACGGGTTACTCCCTTGGCCGTAGTGTGAAATAATGGCTTTATTCAATTATCTTCATTCCAGGCAAAAAAGCAAAAGTTTTCAAGTAATTTTCTTTGCTGTGAAAAAGTTGCCAATGTCAGCTTTAACGTGGTCTAAACTGGGGAAGCGCATGTCTAAACTCTAAACTCTATCATCAGCAATGCAGCAATTGCCGAAATGGGAATGCTAGCTGATCCATTGTTAGCAGCTTCACACTCGCTTCACATTCAACAAAATTGATAAACTGTAATTTCTTATCAAAAACTTGACGTTGCTGAAGATACAAGAAGATATGAAAAAAGTTTAATGGACAATGTCATATAAAGAACTACAAATAGCAAATTACTATATTACTCAGATCTTTCGGTTTTAAAATCCAGCTACACTACTTCCATAGCAATACAGTTATAAATGGAACAATAACGAGCATGTTGAACTAGGAATAAAAATAGTTTCATCATCCAGATGGTAACATTGTCTCAAGGCAAATGTCTTCCTCTGGCACATCAAGGCCAATGTTTGAACCAATATTCATAGCCGAACAAAGGAAACTCGGAACCACTGTCAATCAGGACGAGGAGGTTCTTCTCCAGACTGCGAGCAACATCCTTAGGTTAGGATAATTTTGAGTTGCTGACAATTTATTTGGCTTTTCTCCTCCTTGCGACTTGTCATAAAAAGAGTATATAATAACATGTAATTCGAGTCAAAAAAATGTAGTCTCTTAAAATTAGTCTCAAACTCTCCATCATATGCAAACAAAATTAAATAAGCCATACAGTTAACAAATTAAGGGCAATAATTAACTCAAATAAAATTTTTTAAATTACTCTCGAAAAGTAACTCTCCTTAAACTTGAAAAAAATCAAAAAGGTTCCTAGTCATCCAGAAACGAAGTCATTGGGAATTAAAAAAAGAACAAAAAAATATCAATTTACCGGTTGTCCAAACATGGCGGGCTTGGCAGTTTTTCGTGCCCTTCTGGGCCGCTAAAGGACATTGCCAACCCACATGTTCTGGCGTTAAGTTGCTTTGTTTTCGCACTGTACTTTTGTTGCTGGTCCATGATTTTTTTCTAAAACAAAAATCAGCCACATGTTTATTGTTTTTGTGGGGAAAAGAAAATGGAGATATGACGAAATAATCAAGAAAAGACTTGGCAACTTAACTAAAAATGTTACTAAATGATTGAAGCTATACCTAAACAATTTACCCGAGACCACTCAATAAAAAAATTGTTCAGTTGAGGGCAAAGGTGCATGGCTGTTCAAGTTGAAACATTTGCGAATATATTTCAATCTAATTTTTAAAAAAAAAATCAAATTCTCCATTAAAAGCAATATCCTCTTTTTGAGTGCAGATGAGCTCTAAAAACTAATAATTAATCTTTCTAAGATAACAGCGCAGCAGCAAAACCAGTCGACTACAACTTCAACAAAATCTTAGAGAAAATATTTCAATTGAAAAATCATAAGTAAGAAGAACTGAAAATATAGTCTTACCGTGAAAAAACTTTGTACTGCTCTTCGTTTGCGTTTTTACAGCCTTGCCGATGGTTAATGTACAATTGAATGCATCTCCATTGATATAGGGATCCAAGGGACTTTCCCTTATGCTAAGGCTGTTTGGCTGAGGTACTTCCCCCTGGCATTGCATAGCAACATTGGTTTGATTGCACAAAGTTGCATACATTCACACCTAGCTTGCTCATTAAGCAAAGGGGAAAATTAAATTAGTTAAGCAATGGGAAAGTTCAAAAAGGGTGCTCCTTCGCAGAAGAAGCAAGGTTGAATGATTCCCTAGAAAGCTTCATGCCTTGGCTGTGTGGGCAATTTCATAGCAACATTGGTTTGATTGCACAAAGTTGCATACATTCACACCTAGCTTGCTCATTAAGCAAAGGGGAAAATTAAATTAGTTAAGCAATGGGAAAGTTCAAAAAGGGTGCTCCTTCGCAGAAGAAGCAAGGTTGAATGATTCCCTAGAAAGCTTCATGCCTTGGCTGTGTGGGCAATTTCGAAAAGCAAGTTTTCTGTGAAAATCATACTCTTCTTACAAAGTAGCTCCTGTTAAACTGATAAATACGTAGTAGTTGCAATTTTGAGTTTGCTTTCCGTGCAACTGGTAAAAGCTGGCAATATTTTTTGTAAGATTGATTGATTGTTCTTCAACTATAATGAACTTGAACTCGCCCCTGATCATATATTTTCCAAAATGAAATGGATATTACATAACTACAGCTAAATTATGAAAAAACATTTTAAATAAGAACCTTTTGATGGCATAATCAAGTCCATAAAATGTTTTAAAATATAAATGTATTTTCTTATTCGCTCTTTTCTAATGTAATAACGTTTTTTCGTTAGAAAGAGAATAGACTAGATTCTTTATATAACTTCATATGAGAATAGACTTCGCAACACTGGAAAAATGATGCATTCATTAAGACTCGAGGTCTCCTTTTTCACAGTAATTGAATGACCACTAAAGAAAACAATCTTATTGCACTGGGATGTTCCCTCTGCAAAGCACGAAGAAATACCCATTAAGTAAGAAAGAAATTCTGAAAAAAATTATATGAAAACAAACTATTATAAATGGCAATGGGACATTCCCAGGGCTCAGCCGTACTTTTAATTTTGATGAAAATATTGCATTTTCTGCATCACTGTGATATTTTAATCCGAAAAACATATTATAAGCAAATTATAAGCAGCCAGGAGCAAGCAGATATCTAGGAATTATAAAAAACGACACATCGAGATCTTTGCAGCGAAATTATCAGTGTTGTCGGAACAAAATTGATAATTGGGGGAGGGGGCTGCCTGTTGTAATGATCCCTATTCGGTACACTATTTGAAATGAAATATAGTGCAGTTTGACAATTATTAGGTGTGTGATACATCCAGTTTATGATACCATTACATTCCCGGCCAAGAAATTATTCGACAAAGACTGGCTAGATGAGACATTTTCCATCGTCCATTAATGACGTACACTGAAATAGCAATAGAAAAAAAGATTTCTTCATTTTCAACTGAAGGTTTTAGCTATGTAATTTGCACGTTATTTGCACGTAACAATATTGTCAAGCCATCATAGAACCTCCATAGAACCTCTACATCTGGAGCATTCACAATTTCGATAAGCTATTAACAACGTTGAAACAATCTAAACGCTTTAGAAAACGTAAAATTTGGGCTAAAGACTGTTAAATTAGTTAAACCTGCTAGTTTATTTATTGAGCTATATTTATGAAAGTCATAAATACTTTGTTAGTACCAATGTGCATTCATACTAAGATAAATTCACATATGCATGGGGGAAATACCTAAGTGGTTGCTGTCAGAATTGGTTAAATTACTGTGAACTCAATAAAAACTACCCTGAAAATTAAAATGAGAGCGACCGGGACATCCAAATGCTCAAAATCGATAAAGTTTGGTAAAAGGAATTACACCAAGCCTAAGAAGAATCGGCCAAGGTAAATACCAAAGGACAATGGCAAAGAGAATATATAAAATGGAGGGAAGACTAGTAGAACATGACCAAGGTTTCGAGCAATATCTAACATATAAAAATAAGGTAAAATACTTGGTATCGAATTTTTTACACGATGAGTTATGATCCTCCAAAACCATTCTTTATTGGTAAGTGTTTTGTCCTCCATTTGGTTGCTTATTATTTTGAGCCTATTAAAGGTATTTACAATAAGTTACAGAACCTCTGCATCAAAATACCTCTATTTACGTGTATTGATGTTTTTCTATGAAAATGCATTGGAATTTATAGAAGGACAAGAAGTTTTGACATATTATTTCTACTTTTAATTAACGGATTCAGCTGCTTAAGAGTGAGCGGAACACAAGTAAATAAAGGTAACATTCAGAATATAAACCCAGGGTTAGTAATGGATCAAAGACCATTTGGGGGGCATGTATTTAGGGGGAGTTATATTCGGGGAAGCTTACATACGATAACGAGTTTATGTGGGTGATTAAATTAGGGGGGACTATATTTGGGGGGCTATATTCGGAATTTTACGGTATATTGCTAGAAGCATGTTTCATGGAAGTTCGGCTTTTGTGCATTACGTCCTTTTAATAAGGCGATGATAAACGAGGCATTACACCAACCAGCAAATATGGCAAAAACATAACATTTGTTTGTACTTTAAACTTTAAAAGTTAGTAACATACTTTTTCACATACTTCTATGAACATTGAATGCTTTTGATCAAACGTACCATGGTTCTGAAATTATCTTCGTGGGATATTCTAATTCTAGCTAGATTTCTTATATTTCTTAGTTTGAATTTATTTAATATCAAGGTTGAACAAATCGCGAATCATATTTCAATATTCTCGTGGAATAAGTAATAGTACACCTCGAATATTTATGATATTAACACGAAAATGGAAATATTCGTTGTAGGTGGCTTTCGGGCTAATTCTACTCTGGCTTTAATTTATCTTATCACATATATTCATCATATATCCATCACTTACAAAATGGATGAATCAGGTTTAAACGTTTCAAAACAAAAGCAAGAATTGGTCTTAAACCAACAAAAAAGGTTACATTAACAACAAATATTTTCGTCAGGTAAATTTTCGGCGGATAAACTTCGTCGAAAAAATTCCGGACAACCTTCAAGAATTTCGTCGTGACAAAATTTCGTCGCGGATTTTTAACACAAAGATAGCAATATTATGAGACAAAACCATGCAGGCTCCTTTGCATTCAATCGCAGTACCGACTTCGTAGAGACTTTGGGGCTTGAGCACCCGTTCAGAATTTAGCACAGCCCTCCAGCTTTCTCACACAGAACAGTATGTCAGGAAAACCAAATTACGGCGATATATTCACTCAGTTATTGCGAAGGTGGGGTCAAAAGAGATGCTTTTAGCATTCAAAGAGTCTCTACCCTATATCTCGTTGTCAACTATTCCCGTTGCCTTGTGGATTCAGAAAAGGCCTCCAAAAGCTAATCACTAGAAAGTCATAGACCAATAAGTGTGCTTCCCTCAGCTTCAAAGATATTTGAGAGAATGATGTTGAATCAAATCTACAATTACATCCTTATAAACTACATCCGTTGCCTTGTGGATTCAGAAAAGGCTTTAGTACACAACACGCTTTATTACGACTTATAAAAGGCCTGAAAAAGTGCCTGGATAAAAAGATGTCGCTGGTGCAGTGTATCTGGATTTATTAAAAGCATTTGATCGTTACCCCATATACTTTTAGTAGCCAAATTAAAATAAACTCATATTTTAGAGATTGGATGGACACAAAGCAGGGAGTTCCTCAAGGATCAATCTTAGGCCCGTTGCTTTTCAACATTTATATGAACGATATATTTTTGCATTTGAACAAAAGCATCTTGTGCAACTATGCAGATGACAATACATTTTGGCAGTCAAGTACTGATATGAATAAATCAACTGACGACCAACAATCTGAAGCAGCTATACTTTATAAATGGTTTTGTGGAAAATTTTGGTCCTATATGGTGATAAAAGTAAGCTTATAACTTTTAGAGCCAACCGATCGATTTTAGAGGAATCTAAAATTCAGATAAATGATCCTACTACAAAAGAGAGTAAGAATGTTAAATTATTGGGAGTCATCAACTTAGACCCGAAGAACATATATATTTATTGTCCTCTTATTTGAATGTTTTGAAGTAGCAAGAAATAGCCAGATAAACCGTAATCATGAAAGAGCAACGAGAATAGCTCAGCTTGATTAATCACGTTTAATATGTGACAGGGTACGCCTTTTGGGTGCCCCTTGGGCTTTTGTTTTTTTGGGCACAGATTGCACAATTGTGGAGTTTGTGTTAATTGTAGAGGTGCTCGAGTAAGCTTTACATTGTGTCTTTTATACGGCTATAGCAACAAGCGTGCAAGTGTGCATTGGCCTTGGGTATATAAACTTTGTCTTAGCACAGTTTCATTCTCACACCTTGCACGACAACTTGAACTTGGACTTTGGAGAGGAAAGGTTTTTCCTTTGCGACCCTGCCCACCCAACCCATGTCTGGATATCTTCAAGGGTTTTTATTTTCTTCGTGCATTAGTTAATGGCCGTATGGCTTGCGACTTTTTGCATGAACAAGGTGCTGCTAGTCGGCGGAAGAAGGTCATTGTTCTTCTTCTCAACCCCCTCAAAAACGGTTGGGGTTTTATTTTTGGCCGTCTTTGCGATTGGCGCACCGACAGCCCAAAAATGAATGGTTCAAATGATGAGAGAACACCACCTTCAGTCTTATGATTGACAATGGTAAAACATTCTGAGGACCATCTTACCCTTATATGCTAATGGTTTTTGTTTAGTAACCTGGAACAAATATTAAATAATGATTATGAATCAATTTTTGAGCAACTTTCAATAAAGAATAACTTCTCACAATGAAAACATATAATATCTTGCGGTATAAATTTATATAACATTTAAGGGTGTGAACCACTTTTTATGGATGAAGCATTTTCCATAAATGAATGTCCATTAAACTTAACAAAACTCCCAATTTAAAGCAGCTGAGCCACATTACAAAATGTATGGGTTTAATACTGTATCATACAGATGTAGCCAAATAAAGAACTCAGTTCCAAACGAAATAAAATACTCCCCAGCTTTACAAATATTCAAAAAAAGGTTCAGAATTTTCATCGTTCAATTGTACTTGTGATCTTTGCAAGGAATACGTACACAACTTCGGTTATATTTGATTTACCGTAAAAGGTCTATTAAGCCCCCTCTCTTTTTAAGCCCCTCTCTTTTGAAGCCCCTCTCTTTTGAAGCCCCCTCTCTACAAAGGCGCCCTTTTTTAAGCAAAAATTTAAAATAAGCCCCCCTCTCTACTTAGCCCCCCCTCATAAGCCCTTGATGTTATACAAAGAAAACATGTGACTTCATTGGGTCTCTTGACTGGTGCGATGAAGATAATATTCCCTGATTAAAGATGACAAAATAGCCACTGATGACCATGATTTAGGTGAGATTTTTAATGATTATAGCATAAATATTGTCGAAAATACTTTCGATAAGAAGCCTTCCAATTGTAAGGTTAATTCTTGACAAATACAAGGATCATCCAAGCATTTTAGCTATAGTTCAAGACCCTGAGCAAACTTTTCAATCTTTTTCTTTCAATGAGGTTACTGCTAGTAAAGTGTGGCTCCAACTGAAAATGCCCGATGGCAGTGTGTTGATCAACAGGTGTTGATCAAATTCCACCGAAACTTGTTTCTCTCGCTAGTGATGATTTGGATGTACCTCTTACTAAAGCCATCAATTGCAGCATTTGAAATTTAATATTTCCACAGACTGCAAAAACTGCTGCAGTTTGCCCTTTAGACAAAGGTGAGCCCGTTCGTACTGTGGAGAGAAATTCCACCGAAACTTGTATCTCTCGCCAGCGATGATTTGGCTGTACCTCTTACTAAAGCCATCAATTGCAGCATTCGAAATTTAATATTTCCACAGACTGCAAAAACTGCTGCAGTTTGCCCCTTTAGACAAAGGTGAGCCAGTTCGTACTGTGGAGAGAAATTATCGTCCATTCAGTATACTCAACACTTGTTTCAAAATCTTTGAGAAAATTCTAAAGGAACAGCTCAGCCCCTTCCTTGATAAGACTCTTTTAATTTTTATTGCAGCTTATAGAACAGCTTACAGTACACAGCATGTTTTGATTAAACTTGTAGAAGAGTGGGAATCTAAGCTTGACAACAATTCTATTGTAGGGTCCGTTTTGATGGACCTGTCATAAGCTTTTGATTGCATCCCGCATGATTTGATAATAGCTAAACTTCATGCATATGGTTTTGAAGAAAATGCCCTGGAAAAACAGAAGCAGAGTGTCCGAATAAACGTCTACAGTTCCTTTCAAGAAATTGTATCAGGAGTACCACAAGGATCCGTTTTAGGTCCAATTCTTTTCAATTTCTACATAAATGACCTTTTCTCTTTTATAAAGCAAGCAACCATGTATAATTATGCTGATGACAACACGCTTGCTTTCTTTTCCAAATCCTTGCCAGATCTTTTCAGGGTCTTGGAAAATGAAGTCGACAGCGCTTTGTCACGGCTCGAACGAAATGAAATGATTGCGAACCCGAACAAATTCCATGCAGTTTTTGTTAAAAAGGACCAAACAAATGCTTCTGGCATAAATCTGAACTTTTAAGGACATTCTATCAAATCTGAAGAGACTGTTAAACTCCTAGGTGTAACACTAGACTACAAATTGAACTTTGACCCACATACATATATCAAATCTTTGTAGAAAAACTGCGGCACAACTGAACGTTCTTAAGCGACTCAAATCATTTTTTGGTTTCGCTGAAAAAAAGTTTTGGTTCAGAGTTTCGTGTACTCGAATTTTAACTATTGTCCTTTAGTTTGGTATATTTTATCTTCAAAATCACTTCAGAAAATTGAAAGGATACAGGAACGTGCGCTAAGATTTTTGTACAATGATCATAAAAGTTCCTATGATGATCTTCTTACTAGGTCAAAAAAGTGTACAATGCAAGTTGCTCGTCAGAGAACCCTCTGTATCGAAATATTCAAGCCAATTAGAAATTTGAATCCACCTTTTATGCATAGCATTTTTAGTTCAAGAACATTAAAACATCCTTCTCGGAATCCTAAAAACCTGAATCATTTTCGACCAAACCAAGTAACTTTCGGTTCCAAGAGCCTTAGGACCTCAGATCTGGAACTGTCTGCCAAATGAACTAAAATCAGCTGACAATCTTAACAACTTCAAACGCATGATAACACGATGGGATGGTTCTAGCTGTAAATGCAACGTTTGCAAATATAATGATATAGATATCCTGTAAAATTTGTCAATTCATATCCAAGTTGCTTTAAATATTTAGCTCATGTATGTGGGTATTTATTTCCTTAGTTATTTCCTCTTTATTTGTTAGTCAGTCGAAATCAAACGGATCAAACAAGTAGACCAGGCGGAGAAAGGGGGTATCGTCCCCCGCAGGCGAAATTTGTGACATAGAGTGGTTTTTTTCAATCTTAGGGCACTGATTACGAAAATCAATGCTATACGGGCAAATTCGGGGGCTTTCAGCCTCATTTCGATGCTGAAAGTCTCGTTTTCGACTAAGTAGATGCTTCTGCATTTAGACAGTGTTAAAACATAATAATTGTTATTTGAACAAAACAAACGTGTCTAGGGATATTGAAAAGTCATGTCTAGGGATGCAACAATTTTGAATCATATACATGAAAATTTAAAAAAGAACCTCCCTCACAGTTTCTTCTCTAACCGACACCAACAAAGGCAATCACATCATTCTAAAGAAACTCTCGTGAAATTTTAAGAAACAAAACGAAAGATAACAGCCTTGTTAAAATAATAAATCTGAATAATGATGCGTCAAGAATCCAGAGAAGTGGTCATCCTCCTTTCAGCCAATGATTCAAAAACTTCAACATTTTATAGAGAAAACAATCAGTCTGGATGTAGTAAATAAAATTTCTTCAATGGTGGCCACACGAACGGGAAGAAAAATTACCGACAAAAGGTCCATAGTTTACCAAAAGTTTTGCCGGACTAAGAGAAGACTGTTATCCGATTGGGGTTTTTAAAAAAAAACCAACTATTGAGGGGCTGCTTCCTAGCCCAATGGCTTTTATTACCTCTAAAGATCTCCTTTTACATGATTTAAAGTATTAGATGAACAGAATTCTGTGTAATTATATTACAAAATAATCAGCTGTTTTATGCTGTTAATAAAACAGCTGATTATGCTGTTAATAAAGCAGGAAATAAAAATTCGAAAACTTTGTGGCTGGATTGTTTCTTAGTTGTTTTTTTTTTAATTGTAAGTTAAAAAAAAATTAGACAAGATTTATTACATTAGATGAGTATACTACAGATATTGTTTTTTTAGTAAAATTAGCAAAAGATGAATCCTGTCATGAGGCATACAGGACCGCGGAAGCGGGGGGACTACGGGGCTTTAGCCACCCAATAATTTCCAAAATATACTTGAACCCATACAAAAAATGCCCTGATTTTGGAATTTTTAGGCCCCCCCCCAGACACAAAATTCTAGTCCCCTCAATCTGCAATATGCTTTGCGGCTCTTGGAAACATATATTCTTTATAATAAAATGTTCTTGAATTGTAATTTTTCTATTACAGATGAATTCATAGTGAAAGTGAAAACCGTAACAGATCAGACGTACAAAATCGGTGTGTCCTCTTCCACTACAGTTTTACAATTAAAATACAAGATAGAGAGCCGGATAGGTAATTTCCTTTTACATTCTTCATTCACTACTCCCAAACACGATTGCGCATACTAAAACTGTTGCAGACAGAAATAATCTTGGCTTATTCCAAGTTGTTAGGAAGAGGTGCAGAGTTCCTAAACATAGTTGATACCACCTTCAACCCACGGGCTTGCAGGCGAGATGAAATCATCGCATGTTTACATAAGAATTCTATCCCACCTTCTGTTTATGGCTTCTTTTCACTCGGTGAATAAAGAAAAAACTTTGGTGAATAAAATACTTAAGTTCTTTAAATGAAATATTTTCTGTAAGCTATTTCAACATAAAATTATCTGGAATGCAATCAGAAAGGTTACAAAAATCGAACATTTTGATGTCAGCCAAATAAATGCAACTGAAGAGTAGGCAAGAATGTCATAAAATATGATTAGAGGATGTCTTTTTTATATTTTTTTCATAACCCATGGAAGAAAATTACTTGGAAGGGTTTACAGTTCGCAATATTCTCCATCGCAACGAGAGGATTAGAAATTCTGACCAACTGTAACTTAAAAAATTGAGGCAACCATAATGAAACAATTGGAACGTTAGAAAGAAATAATTGAGAGAAATTATGAAGAGCCAGTAGAAGCATCAGTTCAGCCCAAAAAGAATTCAATTTTCTTGGATGTAGAGGGCGCAAGAGAAGAAAGTGAAGATGAGCTGGATATCTTACTTGTTAATGACGAAGGAGAAACAGTAACTGAAATTTAATATGCATTGGATGTACAGTAATACATTAAAAATATATAGGAAAACATTTTATTGTTATTTTGATAGTCCATTGGTGTTAAACGAGATTTTTCTAGCGTTTGAAAATTTCGGTAAGAAAAAATCCGGTTTAGGAAAATTCGGTGGGATTAATTTTTTGTTGCCCTGATTCACCGAAAAAAATCCCACCGAAATGTTTGGCACTTAGTGTAATTACGAGAAAAACACAAAGGGAGAGAAAACACAAGTCTGAACACACTACCATATTCATAATATATTCGTAGAGAGTTACGTGTATGTGTTTTTATATTCCATTTATGTTTAATTAAAATTAATAAAGGTATGAAGTTACCTAAATATAAACTTGCATTTGACAGTCATAAATTTCAATTTAATAGAATTCGCATTCGCACCATCGAAATAATTCACTGGAATTTCAGGGCTCAAACCAAACGAACAAGCGCTGACGTTCAAAGGAATTGCCATGCAAGACAGCAAAAAAATGTCTGATTACGGAGTCCAAGCAGGTATACATGTCATTTAGTATATCTTAACGAGGCGAATACAATATACCCAATTGACATATCTATTTTAAAGGCACAATGTCCCACCGCATTTCGATGGACGTTTAAATTTCTCATTGGTTGGACTATACAATAGATCTATTGTTACGTATCCAATCGGCTTCTGAACGGTTGTCTGACGGGCGACGCACTTCGATGATAGGGTAAGCTTGTAAAAGCATTAGTGTTATTTAGAGGACAAGTGATACACTTTTCACACTATCTTTTCTTTTCATTAACTTATAGACCATCATTTAGAAGTAAGTTTTTCCTGATTTAGAACGAAAATTTCGAATCGGGGGGCGCACAGGGCGCAATTTTGATAATAGGTTATTGTTACTTTTATTGCTAAATAATTCAATAATATATATGTATATATTTTAACAGTAAAGCGGAATTTCGCTTTAATGAGCCCCTCAACTTGATAAGTAATGAAACTAAATTTTTAGAAAAAGTTGCATTTTGCTTCCATTTGTCGGTTTTAATTTTTTTGGGGGGACAAATTATCTTCACAGGTTGAAAAATATTAGCAAAATGATAGGGTATTATTTCATAACCACCCGCCCTTCTTGTAACTGCTCATACTTTGACATGATTCGAACAATTTACCTCCACTAAATACATCGACTCACTAACTAAAAAGGAGGATTAGTTTTTCTCTTCCTCATTAACTATTGCAATATTTGAGATCTGCTCACAAGAAAGTAGTGGCGAAGATACGGGAGAGTTAGGGAGAAGGAACAAACGTCATCCTATTCAAAATTGTTCACAAAAGGGTTATGATCCGTTAGATTGCAATGAAAAGAGCAAAAATGTCCATTCATGTTCAGTATTTCATACTGGTTCTACTCCCAAACGAACTATTGGCATCCATGAAAACTCTCTATCTATGAAATCTCTTATTTTAGGCTTCATTAAAAAAGAATGGAAGTTTTATTCACTTAACTTTTTCATATAACATCAAAGTATGCATAACAACGGTTTTCATCTTTTCAAGGTGATACAATACGTCTTGTCATGAGAGGAAGAGGAGGCTAAACCTGGGTATGCTAGCTAATTATTGAGTAGAATTGCAAAAAAATAGATCGACCTCAGCTGTTGTTTTCTTAAGTCGACTAAATATTTTAAAAAGGAAAGAGGCAAAGACAATAAATTTTCGAAATTGGTTTTTCTCTAAAATCAAGTCTTTCGGCTGAACGCTAAAACTAGTTTGCGATAAACAACTATCAATAGCTTCTTGCAATCCAGATAAAGTATAGTGGGAGGGTTAAGGAAAAAAACCCAAAGGAAAAAGCTTTATTCGACAAATCTTTGTCAATAATGGGAATATTGATAGGATTTGAATAAAAGTACCGTGCGCCGCGTCTATCTCAAAATGTAGAAAGTAAGATGTAGAAGAAGATAACTTCCCCTGAACACAGAAAATTGTCAATTCAATTCAAAAATATTCATCCTCTCAAGCTTCAACAACTGCGGAATTCAGCAAGCATTCTCACCGTGTTTCTGCAGACCCGCAAACATCAAAACCTCTCTAATATGTAATTTCTGATAAGGCTGAAACTCGGTGATACAGAATGCTCTATATAATTAGTGCCGATCCCATATCAAATGGGGGTTTTTAAGCAAATCAGGGCACCTTGGATCATAAAGATTACAGTATCTGGACTGCTGACAAACACAATTCCGCCAGGTAAATTAATTTATGCTTATATATTTCGGCTGCTTTCACCATCAGTAATAAAAAGATTGATGCTAATTGAGAGAAAACTCGAACGTTTCATTTTAAGTATTTTGAGATCTATGTAGTTCTAGTCATTATTTTACCAGTTCGAGCATGGACCTAGGTTACCCTATGTTTCATATATGTGAGATGAAAATCAATATCCAATGTGTCTTCGAATGAAATTTTGGCTGAATACAAAATTTACTTATTGAATACTTGCTCATGAAAAAATGTGCTCTACAAATTTGCGCAAAAAGAGTAAAGCAGTATATCCCATTACTGATGAGATGCATAAGGACATTTTTTTATTACTTTTAATTAAGATAATCAGCAATATATATATAAAAATTTTAGCTTATCAATTTATTGAAGAGAGACAATAAATCCGAGAAAGGTAAAAAAATTAGTGTGATAGCTATAAAAGTAATGAATGGTTTAAAAAAATTGAAACTCTAACCTTAAAGTAATTGCTTAAAACCAGGCTATCAGCCTCTGCGTTTCTGCAGAAAACACCATTATCTTCAGTGAAATGCCATCCAAACTTACTGAAAGAGAATTGAAGTAATTCAGTTATTTTCTTCTAGATTCCGATGGAACTACAATATCAAGTCTAGCCAATATAAAGGCCAATATAAAGCCCGGAGGCCAATATAAAGTCAAGAGTGAGAAGATTTATGAATTACGAATCTAGTGACATTTTATGTTTTATATTGTTTTATTGCTTAAGCTTGTAAAGTATAAGTTTATGTTCTGTTTTTTCCTTGCACATAAAGCATAGAAAGTTGTCTCTCTCTAAGCATAAGCCTACAGACCAATGCTGCATCGCGCATCCATAATATTGTTAAGCTAACACACATTAGAAATCAGCTACTTGTTCATTGGCCAAAATTAAATATCCAAATAACAGTATTTCTGGCATCTTCGACATTTTCATCTCGAGTATTGCTTCCCAATATTTTGGCGATCATTTTAGTAGAGGATTAAGCATTACCTGCGTTTATAACAATTTCGGATATTACTGTATCAGACTAACATGTGTGCAAAATCATAGCAAAATCATCATGTAATCGGACAAAGATTAAAACGTCACATTTTAAAAGCGTTCTTGGATACGAACTACCTTTGTTGTGTATGGAAATTGAAACCATTAAGTGCAGCTACGCGTACAAATTCGGGCCCGATCCTTGTGTGTAATGTGCTTATAGCCTGGCGTTAAAGGATAATTTAATGTAAACTTAGAGTTACGGTTTGAGCAAGTTTCATTCATTCAGGCGAGCATTCAGGCCTGATATTGGAAAACTTCAAATCCTGCAAAATTTTAGCAGCTACTTTTTTAGCACCGAGTTCACGAAATGCTAATCCTTGTAAAACATTAAATTTTATTTCCGGAGGATTGGTTTGCTGTAAGTTTTGAAAATGTTCATACTGTCATCAAAAGATGCAAAGAGAAACACCGATCAATGTGAAATTGGACTGCCGTTGCCACGGCCGAAAGCTTAAGCATGAATTTAGCATTTTCATAAAATGAACAGCAGGCAGTTTCAACATCAAAATATCCTTCTGAGATTTGTTGCCAGGTTCTGAGCCAGAGCTTTTGTATGCTCCGGCCACTGGACGGATCTTAAGAAAACGAGCAACATAAAATTGCATTGATCTTCAATGCTATGCTATGATTCACCTTCCCAAGTGCTGTTAGTAGAAAATGCTAAAGAGCAATGTCACAATGGAAGATAGGGTAAAAGTAAGAAACAGATCTATGAGAAAAACAGATGTTTTCACTGGACGATCAAAGGTCAACAAAGAAGTCTTTTTGAAGAAACAAATACAAAAATTACATTTCATAATTAGGTATCTGTATAGCATTTTAATTTTCTAAATTAGAATAAAACAAAATAAAATATCTTAACAATAGAACGATGAATATCAAGAAAATTTCCACGGCATTGGCTAAGTTTCCATTCTGTGAAGTTGTATGCTTGTTTAAATCTCCCACTCTGCACAACGTTAGGCGTTTGATGCTGGTATAACCTAATGATACAACAAGCCTGGACAGAAACACCTTATACATGATTTCCAATCAAAGCTATTCACTGTCTACAGTATAAATTTTCCAATCAAATATCCAATAATCAATGCCAATATGGCTGCCAGAATCGGCGATATCTGAGAGGCATTTAATTCTTGACTCATATTCATGGTCGACATCGTTGTAGCGGCAGTGGTTGGTTGTTCCTTTGATACCCTTTGTCTTGGCCCTTCCTCCTAAATTTGATTAAAGAAAGGAATAAATTCCAGACATAATCAGGCCTCGATATATTCTGAAAACAGTTATCATACATCACAGGAAGTAAAAATATGAAGAACCGTCTTTCGCATACGAAATACTAGTGTTTGTAGCGTACTTTTTTCCGCCTTTTTCAGTTATTCTGATTGGTCTAAATCAACAGTCAAATAGTGATTGACATGCTTATTTTGACCAATAAGACTGCCCACCACAATCCCTGTAGGTAGTACGTGCCCCTTTTACCATGGTCGGCACTAGATCATAGTCAGCTAGCGTACATGACGCCAAACAAACTATGGCAACCTAATGCATGAGTGGTAGTATGACGTCATCGCATTCCAACCATTTGATGAAAAACTTTATTGCAAGCGGCATGAAATTCAATTCCTATGTCAACTGTCAATACCTCAGGTCAGTCAACGTTCTAAACACTAAACTATGGAAAATGAAGACTGACACAATTTTGTCGGGGAACTCTCCTTAAAAGCTTGATAATGTTCTTATGCGGCAAAACCAGTTATCTGAAATTTTAGCAACGGCTTCATACACAATTATCAATGGTACTTACTCTGACTCAAGCGAAAATGTAAGAGAGAGTTTTCGTAGCTGCACAGGCACTAAAACGAGTTCTTCAGATTCAACTGTAAGAAAGTGCTTCAAAACAGGGCCTATTTAATGCTTTGGCGTAGAATAGATACTTTTTTCCGTTTTTCTCTGTTTGTGTGTGCTATGAATTGAAACCCCTGGAGAAAAAGCTAAATTCCAGCTTTAGCAGAAAATTTCCCGAACAAAGTAAGCAGAAAATCTGGCAAACACGCCCCTGTAGATTAAATAAACTACAGAATGATTTCCTGATGTCATTTTCTTGCATTCGCCTAAAACATTTAACTGTTCTGTAGGGATGCATGGGCCTTGTTAATGTCACAGCAAACCACAGGCAAGTTTGCTTGCGGCCTCCGTCTTATTTCACTTAGTCCTCGGTTGTAAAGATGTATGACGTCATGTACGTTAGCTGACTACGATCTAGTGCCGACCTTTTACCATCTGCAACACATGGTAACAAAGCTCAGTGTTCTTATTGGTTTTTTGAGAAAGCTAACATTTAATCATTATTGAATTATCTTAACTTGAAATTTAGAACAACTAAAAAAAGTGACCAGCGTATAAGATCTTTGTTTGAGGGGCACATCACTCCAAGAAAAACTCGTACATCCTTTGTGGAAATTATATTGTTTTATCTGAAAATCCCTTTAAATCCTTTTGTTCCTGAAAACCTCGTACGCTGTTTGTAAGAGTGAATTGCCTCTCGCCTTTGTTCACAGGGTTCTGATGACAGGGTCACTAAACAGGTCTTAAGCTTGAAAAAAATGCTAGCTCTTTCAAGTTGCCTTCGAGATATCTGGTGACTTAACACAATTATGGCTTCCTTCCCTCGAGATATCTGGTAATTATGGCTTCCTTCCCTCACCACCCGACAAGCGATATCGTCATAGAATTTTCTCGTGTGGCAGTTAAGACTGTAATGAAACCGAGAAACAATAGAACATCCTTGATGTTTGATGCAATCGCTATAATACGCAACAAAGCTCAAGTTCGATTAAACTTTACCTTTAAGTCAGCGAGTTCCTTCTTTAACTTCAAATTCTCAGTCTTGATTGCCTCTAATTGTTCATCAATCTGAAAAAAATTAAAGGCATCCAGCGTTAATATTCTATTGAATATTATCCTTAGGTCCTTTAGCACAAGTGTCAGTGATGTGTAATACACGTGATCGCAAAATGTGACACGGGTATGGTAAGCTTTGAATAAACAAAAGATAAACGGGGTAACACTTAGAGAAAAGGGCAAATCAGATAACAACAAAATTAAATCTCTTTTCTACAAAGTCTTTCGAGGATTTCAAAGATGAAAGTAGCGAATATGGTAAAAATATCAATTCGGAACTTGGGTTTTCAATCATAAACAACAAACTTCACATCATTATCCATCATTACCACACCCAAGTCCAAGACCTTTACTGGTAACTTATCAGCTATTTCCTTCAAAACGTTTCTTAGAAGTTCAATCGAAACTCAAGAGTAAAAATTTTTGTAATCGTGCACTTATCATGACTAGAGCCAGTATAGAAAATAAATAAACAAAGCAACTGTGTATAAGGGATGTCGAGAAGTCTTTTGCGTACAATCATGCATTCAGAAACGACAAACAAAGTATTTCAGGAGCAAAGAAAATATAAATGAATTATTCGCCAATCAGTTCTTATATTTGAGCTAGTTCTTCTAAATGCATAGAACAGGTGATAGACTAACAAGGGAATCATACTTTAAAGCAATAGTTAATAGTTAATAAAAAAATTCATTTGTTTGTTGAAAATTTCCGGTGAATGTAGCCGTACTTCGTATATAAATCAAAGAAGACTTGAAAATTGTAAAAAAATTAATGACAATCTTCAGTTACTAGCGACATGTTTGATGGTCAAGCATAATTTTCTGTCCAAAAAACTGCATTATAATTAATTTAATATCACTAAGAAACAATTTGAAAGAAATTTGAAGAATCATGTTTTCTTCTTTTGAAAGATTTTAACTAACAATTGAAGAAGAATTATTTTCATCTGTAATGGTTTTCTCCAACATGCCATACCTGTTTTTGATTAACTGGCGAAGTCTGGGGTTGGTTATTTGGAGTGGTTGCGTCAAGTGGCGGCTCTTGGCTTGGCTGTACGTTAGTGGAAGGATTTCTAACAGATTCTGAGACATCACTTGCTGGCAAAGTTGGGGCGGAGGCGTTTGCCGCAGGTGTTCCAAATGTTGTTGTTGTTTGAAGCGTACTCTGAGCAACTGTTGCGGGCTCTCGCGGTTTTGGGGTTGATTGGGCTTCCTCTTCCTGCAAAAAAACAAGATTTCTCATAGTTAAACAAAATTTATATGGTAAGGTTGTATTATTCCAGTTAAGGGACTGTCAAAAGGCAGAATAAATGGTAGAAAACAACGAGTCAATTTTCAGCGTATTTCAAATTTCTAGAGAGGAAACAGCTGGGAACCAGAGAATTTTACTTAGATTTCAAGGAAAATTTAGTGGAAAGGCAGCTTCAATTTACCATAAAATCCCTAAATATAATTTATAGAGCTTTGCTAGGTCTAAATATATTTTAAACGTTTTCATTATCGCAAAAATGTTAAATGGATTATAAACAATACATAATATTAAAAATTCTCTAAAATAGCTTGTCATTTTGCTAAAGCCAAAAATGTAAAAAACATTTTTCCATACTCAAAGCTTGGAAATTTCTTGCTCTTGAAAAATTGAGCTTCTGAAAGACCCATAAAAATTGAGCTACTGAAAGACCCATAAACATGAAAAAATAGTCCGTAAATACTTTTAATTGTGGAATATTTTCCTTTGAGGAATGTCGCTTCCCTTCGGTACCTTTTGAAAATTAGTAGGGATATCAAGTTCTCTGCCCCCCCCCCTGGAAAACACCACTGACTGTATTTCCCATGCTTTCGTACTGCTTTTTCTCATTATAACAATGAGCTCCGAAGCGACTTCTACAAGTGAAGTGATTTCCAAAATCGAGAAATTAGAGCTGCAGATCTAACGATCTTTAAGCAAAGTATTCGGTTCTTACCAAAAGAATTTTATGAAAGAACAAAAATTAATTTAAATGTCAACTGTAAGGTAATTATAGAGCAAAGAAGTTTGGCGATCTAATGTGTTTATTTTTAGTTAGCCAGTAGATTTGATGGAGTCCTTGCTGTATGTAGACAGCAAATCTACTTCGCAGTTACCTTAACTACTCTATATGGCTTTTATAGACAGATTGTAATCCTTTTGTCGGATCCCAGTCACATTAAGAGACATATTGAATAGTAACATATGGATGCAAATACTAATCAAACAGACAGAAACTTTGTCATTACAGTGTGAAATATGTTTCCGAGTTCAACTTACAGTTGCCTGTGCTTCTGTTGGCACATCAAAGACACATTTCAACTTAGAATCCATCATCAGACTTTGATCACTAGTCTTCCACTAAAACCGGAAGTTGAAATATTTAGCGCACAAAAAACAAACATCTTCAGTCTACTGCTAAGAAATCAAACATGATAGATTTTAAACCAACCAGAATGGTGGGGATGAAAGATTGTGAAGAAAGCAACATTAGATGGTGGATGATCATTTAAACATTTACTACCCCTGTGATATGTAAATGTATTAAGAAGGCTAAGGCTAGAAGGATGAAAATTCTTGCCACCAGTGTGCTGCTTAATCGTTTCTATTAATCGTATCTAGCCACTCTTGGTCGTTCAAAAATAAACGTTCATTCCACTGAGCCAGATGACTTAATGAAACGAGCGAAAAATTTCTGAAGATAAACCTAGAGATCTCACTTTAGCCAAGGGAGTTGTATTTATTGATAAAAAAAATAAATCTTTACCAAGCTCTCTACATCTGAAGAATCGCCGCTGACAATCATTGTTTGAACCATAAATTTGTGTCTGATGTTCTCTCCTGTTTTGTATTCGAATGGTTGAAGCATCACTGAAAAAATGATATAAAATGAGTTGTGCTAGCAGCTGTAACTAGCTGAAATCAGCAAACTAACTTTGTATGGAAAACAGCATCTCAGATCTAAGAGGAGAACGCAAAAGAAACACTAAAAGCAAGGTTAAGGAAACAAATTTACCATCAACTTTGACAAAATCATTTGGAGGCACAAGTCCATTATTTGGTTTCACGCAGTAATGTCTTGGTGCTGTGGTTTTCACTTTGAATGCAACAGCCTTCTCTGTTGGATTGCGTAAGGTCAGAGTAGTAGAAACTACATCTTTGAAAGGTCCTGCCATGAAAAACGGATGATATAATAGCAATACGATAACTATATGGCTACAATTTTGGTTTGTGGCAGTTACATCCAGTGATTACCAATGATTGTCAAGTACCTTGTAACAATAAACATTTTCTGCAAAGGTTTCTGTACAAAATTTTTCATGTCACTTCAGTTCAACTCTGAATGCTCTAAACGAAGTCATTCTTTATAAACTCCCTGTAGGATAGGCATATCATCAGAAAATTAAAGGTCTTTAAAACTTAATTGTAAAGCAGGTCTAGCAAAAACAACTGACTCTTTTTACTCTATAGTCCCAAATAAACAATAATTGCTTGAAAAACTGTGATTTTCAGTAGAATGTGCCTGTAAGAAGAACATAACTGCCATGTTTATAATCTTTTGTAAAAAAAACATATGTGACTTAAAACAGGCAAAGTGATTTTACACAGGTTCATTTTAATCAAATAATTTCCAAATAAGACTCAAAATCAAAAGACGTTGAGTGAACTTCTTGGGTCTACTTTGGTGGCTCCTTTATCACAAGCCTCAAAACATCTGTGAAACTGGAGATTACAAAGTAAAGGCATCTGAAAAGCATTTTATGGTAGCGATAAAGGCAAAGGTAATAAAAAACTGGGGAGAGAACAACAATAGCTTGAAATTATCCACAAAACTTTAAGAATGTTGATTTCTTTGTAAAATGCTGAAATAACGCGATCTACTACTTGCAACTTGCAATCTACTTTCTTATTTCTTACTATGTCAGTCCCGAAGAGCTTTAAACAAAAGAAACATTAAAGTGTGAGTATAACTATAGGGAAAAAGAACCAGAAAGGAATCGACATTAAAGTAAGCACCCAAGCAAAACTAGTATGCTTTCTAAAATACTTTCAAATTGATCTATCTCATTTAAACACATGCTCTGATTCAACATGCTTTTGACCAATTTTCCAATGACTTCTAGAATTGAGGAAAGATTTGGATAAAGAGCATGATACATTCCTAAACACATCAAAGTTTAGAGAGTCCAAATAATAGCAATTGCATTATCCTTAATTACTGTGAAGTGGGTCACTTGAAAACAGAAGGCTTCCAGTCAAATACCTCCAAAAAACCTTTTCAGAGGTTTTCTTGAAGCATCTATTTTACTTTTAGCTCATTTGTCAAAGCAGCAAGGGCCTTACAGATTCAGAATCTCACACAAGCAGTTAATCAAGCATGTGAGACAAACTGCATTTGTGATTGAAAATTACAAATCACAAAGAGCCATTTTGATAAAAATGGAAGAAAAATTGCAAATCTTTTTTAAACAATTTGACAGACTTGACCAGAGATGGAGCTTAGGGTGGGTGTGGTTTTGTTAAACTTTCCCAAGAGCATTTGTTAAACAAATGGCACATTCAGCAAATTCTGCATCATTCAAGGCTTACTTGGCAAGCTTGGTGATTTGCATAAATCAAGAAATCATTCTGGCACAGGACACCCCAAGAACTTCTTCTAGTGCTGCCCCTGGGTCTGGGCAAACACAGTTTTAGGTGTTATACTTCAAGTTAAGGCTTTGCAAGGCATTGGCAAGATGCCAATCTACAAAAACAAGCCATTTCAGTCTAAAAAGTTGAGACTAAATTGATTTGAAACCAGTTCACACATTATCATCACCATGGCACCACTTTTTGCGAAAATATTTTTTGCTGCAAAGCAATGAAGAAGTGAAGCAAATATATTTTGAATCCAGAAACTTTATAATGCAATGCATACATTCATTGATATACCATAGACATTATGAGAAGCAACCAAGGGCTTATTGACTGTCGTATAACTTGGTCATTTATTCACTTCAAACTTTAGCCAATAATCCTCTTAAAACTGTATAGCTAAGGAAGCAGTTGAGCAGAATTTTAAAACCAAAAGATTTGTGCAGTATAGCAACTTACTAGATCTCTAGCCCAAGTCAAAATTTGGACTTTTCAACTTGTGATGGTGTCCTTGGTCTTCAGTTCACAAGAAAATAAATTCTAAAATTGGTTTGGAAAGGCTTTAAAATCACTAAGAAAAATATCTAGAATTTGCCGCCGCAGCTTTCAAAGACTACAAATAAATGATTTAAGAAACTACTACATACCACAGAAAACCAATTCGTTTGCAGGTTCAAGCTGCAATATTTGTTCAGCCTTCTTACGTGGCTCAGACATCCTCCTAGTAAGGAAATACATTAGAACTTAAAAGCTGTATTTATCAAAAGCAACTGACATTAAAACAAATGAAAACCACTTTTTATGCATTTATTATTTTATGCACAGTGAGTTTTAACCATTTTTAAATTACAAAGCATAGAGTTAAAAAGGCGTAACAAAAACTTGTGGAAAAAATATAGCACTTCTAAAGATTTCAAATATCCAACACAGCAGGGAATGAAACAAAATACAACATACAACAAAAGAAGGTTATGCTCAAAATATCTTTTCAACCAAGGCTTTTTCTGTAAAGCTGATGTCAAAAAAAATCTTGATTGTACTTTGCTAGTTTGGTATCAAAAGTCAGGTATTTCTAAAATTTATTTTAATAAATAAATTATTAACAATTGAATACCCAATATGGATAGAAAATTGACAAGAGATGTCCTCTAGGGGCTTTTATTGATGTGAATGTTACTAGGAAAGAATCAAAAGGACATGGATGAAAATTTGAATCTTTGATAATCTGGATAATCATTGCACCTGAACTTTGGATAATTGATTTTGGAGATAACGACTCAAACCACTTTAAAATGATGGCACCCCAAATCCCAATCCTTTATTTTGATCAGCATAACCAAATTAAAATAGCCAGAATACAGCCTTTGCAGTCCCTTAGAAAGGGAAAATTTAAATCTCACTATAAGTGCAATAAGAGTTGATATTTCAGGGGGGGGGTGGCACTAGGAGATATGTCACTTCAAATTCTGACAAAGTAGCAAATTTGGTGCTTTAAGAGCAGCAGCCCCCTAACACCCCCTGCTAATGTTCCCCAGAGCCTTGTTCCTAACAATTATTTTATTCAAGTGTGAATCCTACTGAAATAGAATATTGTGTCAAATTTCATTTGATTTTTAACACATTAGCACATATCAGGGCTCCTTGTTTTACATAAAAATCACCCATTCCAAGGTCCCAGGTACAAAATGAATCTGAATGTGAATCGTTTTGACAGCAAAAGAGCCAAAAAAATTAAACTGAGTAATTTTTACCTGACATTCCTCATCGTATAAACCACAGATAATGCCAAAGGTATACAGAAAATTTAAATCCTGATGAGGAACGAAAGTAACATGGATAAAGAAAAATGTGTTTGATTGGTTTTTTGTTGTTGACCAAACACAACTGCTTATCAGCTATTTCTTTCTACACAAGTCAAGATCATTCCCTTTTAAGACAGATTCCAAAATACCTAATTGAAAAGAAGAATCTCCCGTGCTCAAGGATATAAAATTTGTCATCAAAAAGTTGATTTTAAAATTGTAGTCACAATTGGTAATGACTATCTTTATTTGACTTCCACATTTTTACCTGAAACATTGCCAGTCCATTATATTTTTAGATGCACTGGCCACTTAGAACCAAACTTTTCCCCTACCAAAAAATTTATGATTTTTTCCCTAAAACAATCAAAATCCCTAAAACAAGTCTTCCAGGGAACAATTTTCCAGAAAAATTTCCTTGATATTGTCAAGCTGTGAACCCAATTTAGTTTTGGAAAGGAACAAATCATGAGAGCTCTCTGAGATAAGGTTTAAATCAGGCTGATTTTCCTTTTTCAGACAAAACACAAATCATTGCCCAGAAAATGTTGGATTTCTGTAAATTTATTCTGTAAAGTAATTTCAGTAGTGGATTTGAGAGCTAGATGCATCAAGATTGCTGCCAAACAAAGCATCAGCTAATGTCAAACAAACACAAAAATGCTTTGTCAGCCTGTAATCTAGGCTTTGGATAAACTGGGCAAAAGAAGGAGCTTTCATACACCAAAATGAAAAAAGTTTTAAGGACTGGTTGCAAAACTTTGGATGACCACTTTCTCTTTGAAACTTGAAACTGTTTCTTTCTTAGTAATTCAATGACTTCAAAACTTATTGCTTTTAGTGGACATCTAATTATAAATTTGATACAATGTCTTATGTAGTCAATGTTATCATGGGACAAAATGTGCAATACAAAGGGCTGGAATTGCACACCTATCAATTATGGCTGCATAGATGCAAAACAATTATGATCCTGCTACTCTTTCCCAATGTCAATAGGGTATTTTTGCAGCTGAAAAATTTATTCAGCCCCAAGCCTACTTCATTTTATTATCTTTGAATAATATTCTATGCTCATTTTCAGCTTTTTCTTTACTTGCTTTTCCCATTTTAGCATATGCATCATAAGAATTTATAAATATAAACTGCCTTATAAACAAAGCAAGTGATTCACAGATCAACTATATTTCATTCACAGACATTTTACTTTTATTTTGAATAGAAAAATATTTTAACAGTGCCAAGTATCTTTTAGTTTACACAAAGCTCATGGATATTCAACGAATTGGAATGTGATTTAAGATTCTGGTTTTAAGTTTTGATGCTAAAGCATCATATGGGGTCAATTATCTGCAATCTACAATTATAATCTCCACATGACAGAGATGCCTCTGCAGCATGAAATAGAAAGCAGACATTCAGGCCTTGCTCTAAGGAAAATGAAGGTGCTCCATAAAAAGAGCCCCTTAGAAACTCTATGCGCTCTATTTCGCACCTCTAAGTGAATGTCTTTGAGAGCATCCTTCGAGAGCTTTAGGAGATCGAGAGCTTCAAATCGAAAGCTTCGGAAGAATGTTAAATATGAAATTCAACAGTGATACCAGAAAGCACCATAATATGAAATAACAAAACATGCAACAAACACTATGTTAATATAAATATAGAAATATAATAAAACAAAGTCGCAAAATTGTTCAGATTTTTCTAGATATGTAAGTTGCCATCATTCGATGAGCTTTTATCAGTGTCAGTATCACTACTGTTATGTTCAGCTTCACATATTGCTTCATCAAAACACATGGCTTTAAATCAAACATTTAATTTTGTTTCCTTTTTTCATGTTATCCATTCTATAAGAAACGCTAAAACATCTACCACTCGCAAAAGCAAATGAAAAATGAAAAGCAACGCGATAATTTGGACGGAAACGTGATCGTTGATTTGCGGCGATTTTAAGTTATTAAAAAAACAGAAAATAATATATACTTCAATCGGAATTTAATGCTTGCTCGAAAATCAAATAAATCTGCCGGAGAATACGCTTAGGCTTGATGGCCTGTGTCCTTGATGGTTATTAGAGGGTTTTCAGATTAAAAATGATATCGAAAACCCAACGTCGAATTTGCTGAATTTTTTCTCAAGGGGTAATCTTACGCAAATCATAATATTGCGGTCTGTTGGGAAGATTGTTTATGCTTGATCAAGTTGATTTAACAAATTCCAAAAATTTATTTTGCTCCCCGTTAATATTGTTTGAATGTTTTGAGGGGCTCTATAAATCGCTCTCCAAGGCTTTTTTTGGGTGCGCTTTAGGCGCGCGCGCTTGATCGAGCGCCTTTCCGGCCAAGGCCTGGACATTAGAGGCAGAACAGAAATACCACACATTCATGTGCAAAATGATTTAACACCTAAAGTAAAGTTATATGCAGTTATCTAAAGTCATCAACAAAAGGTGCTGGGGCATCAACAAAGGCATTAAAATAAGCTGTAGTTAGCCTAAGTTTCCTGGGGCATTTTGATTGATAGGCTGATATAAAAGGTCCATTATCAGCTATGAATAAAAGAGCATACTATAAAAATAATTATGTAATTTTTGCACCTAAAGAGGAATGTAAAAGGGCAGGCCTCGCTAAAGTGCGAGAGCTGCACTTGCAGGCAAACCATGCCAATCAAATTACGTCTGCAGGTACATCTGATAAAGCTGTCTTAGATAGATTTGTTCAAAGTTTTCAATTGTTTAAGAAGAAACAATAGAAGAAAGTTTTAGAGAAACAATTCAGCTACAAGTTTCACCATGATAATATTAAGCTTAACCGCTTTGTGAAAGTGATTTATGTAGCAAAGAGAGAATAATAGATTTTCTTAACAGCAAGAACAAGATGTCCAAAAATCTTGACATGACATGATTATCTAGTCTGTTTGCATTGCTGCAGCAAGTTATCAGTTGAATCCATCATGGATTGAAGGCTTCTGTTTAAAGAAACTCAGGATAAACTACCAATCTGGGTGCAGCGTGCAAGAGATGGAAATTGTGATTGCTGTTAATTGTTAAAATATTATAAAAGCTGTATCCTTAAGTATCCTTAATTATAGCATCAAACAATCAAACATGTCAAGCAATAAAACCGACTGCCATTTTGTTCTTTGCTTGAATAAAATTAAGGACACAATCGCTTCAAATTTTCCATTTTTGTTGTAAGCTTAAGTTTGTTTAAACTCTATAATGCTATTTTTGTTGACAAAACAATCGTCATTCTAAAGTAATTTTCTGTTAAAGTAGTTCTTTGAAAATTTACTGGTATTTGCATAATTAAACCTTACTTTATGTCTCTTATTTTAAACAGTTTATATCCTACGCATTACAAAGGAAAAAGAAAACTTGCAGGTACCTTTAATAATAATAATAATAATCGAATGTTTTAACAGGGTGACCTATCAGTACAATATATACTGTTATCATTAGGGTCCTGATATTTAAGCACTGATAAATTAATGGTAAAAGATCGAAAAAACACAAGCGTCCACTAACAGCCCTATCCAGAGATAAAATAATTTAAAATCATATAAAATGATTTTTCTAAAAATCGTCTAAAAAGGAGTTTAGATTCAATCTTTCTGGCACTTAGTGGTAAGTCGTCAAATTCTTTCCCTGCCAGATAATAAAAACCTTTGCGTTTTGATTTAATAATTGAATTTTAAACAACTTACCTAAATGACGTAACATGTAATTAATTGATTTGCTGAAAAAATGTGTTTGAGCTTGAGTTTTCACTTGAGGAATCTTAACGAGATGTTGAATGTTTCTTTCTCCCATGAACATTGGTAGCAAAGTAACCTTTCAATGCATCACAGACGTTGTCTTGCAAGGTATCAAACTATTTTGCAAAACAGTTTCTGGCAGGCACAAAAAAATTTTAGGGAGGTCTGTAAAAGGGATTTCTGAAAAAATTGGACCTTGATTGATCGACCAAGGAAAGAAATCGAAGGTTGATTGAAAGGCGTATTCTTTCTGCTATTCAAATACATGCTCAACATCTTTAAAACAGAAAAAAGAAAATTTAATTCTGGTCATGTTGAATAGAATAAATAAAATATGCTTGCCTGTAATTATCCTGATTTCCTGGCGGAGTCTGGAAATCTCTCTTGCTGAAGAATTAGGCCCACATCGCAAGAGCTATGAGTTGTACTGCGCGTGCGCACATTGTCATGAACAGGTCGCAAGCTGACGGTCAATGATTGTAAATTTGAAATCAGTTTTTGTCACGATAAAATGACAGCAGGTATGGAGATGCCAAAAATAAATTCAAGCAGTCACAGAATAACTAGAAAATAGCTGATGAATTCCGGAGCTATTTTTCGCAAAAATAAAAATCGAACTCTTGCTTTATCATGCTTAAGCTAATGGTAGGAGCAACATAGAATGCCAGAAAATTTGATAAATCAGGGGCGTGGTGGGAATTTTTATGGGCCGGAAAAATCATGTTTGTTTCTTGTTGTTATCACTTAAACCATGTTGAAAATGTGTGTTGCGGAGGCAGCGTAGGGCCTTACTTCACTTTTTTTCTAACGAATCTAATGCTACAAATGATAACAGCTTAAAATGAAGTAAAATGACCCAAGGGGCCCGTATGAAAAGTTTTAAGGGGCCTAACGGGGAATTTCTCGAGTCCCGGTGGGCCACCACGCCCCTGTGATAAATTGACCAATTTGAAGAACAGCATAGTAAAATAAGTCAACAGAGGCTTTGCGAGATAGCCTTGTTGCCTCTTTGTCAAACATATGGAGAAAGAGGGTCAGGATTTCAGGAATCATTGGAAGGAGTGCACCGTAAATCCGCGAATTAACCCACCAGTGGCTTATTAATTAAGGTGCTTTTTCATGGGGGCTGAACAAATGACAAGACTTTCAAGATCCTTTCGTTTGCAATTTTACTTGCTAACTCTATCTAAGATATTATAACAAAGCATTAATCAAAGCACAGAAAGATGTAAATGTCCAAACATTGATCTTTTCATTTTCCTTCATCAATGTCTCATTATCGTAGTTTTTCATTCGCCGATTGAATGTGTTGTCAAACATGTACTAGAATGGGGGTTATTCGTGGTTTTGTTACCGTTATGTGGTGTTGTAAATTTGATTTGTGGTGTTTTGATTTCAAATTTTGGATGTTTTAAATGGACCCTCTGGAACATTTTTTTGCAAAATAAAAGGAATAGTGGGGTAAAACCATACCAAGTTTAAATCAAAACAAAAACTTAATACAGCAGAAAAATTATAGTTGATGATCAGCCAGTCCTGAGTCTTAAACTTTTTTACTTTTGATCTTGGCTGTTTATCTTCTTGGTGTCTTTTTCTGTGTCTACCTTCTGTCTCTTTTCTCTGGCAGAGGTATGCTCATCAGAGATACTTTGCCCAGGATTGTCAGATTTGTTGTCACGGAAATGAAAGTGTTGTCCAATCGTTGTCCTCAAAGTTGGAATAAAATAAAAGCTTTTATTCCAGGAGAGGTCTCATGTTTACAGAAATTTTATTCCAGGACAGGGTCAAAAAATTATTTTGGAAGGAAAATTCCCATAATTTTTTCCAAAGTAAACCTCCCGGAGTGAGAGCTCCACATTTCGAGCACCGGCAAATTGAAATGCTCATGTAGGTACAGATTTTGTGTGGTACAGATAATGATGCATGCACTCATTAGCCTCCTAACATTACATCTGCAACTGGCTCTGCATCTGGCATCCTAGACAATGCTTGCATAAGATATGGATTTACACTTTTATTTATGTTAGTTGAGAGGCATAACCAAATATGCCAGTTTCAAATTTTTCATCACGTTATCCATAGAATTAACCACAAATTGATACGTTAATGCCAGTTCTGTTATGTCCAGATCCGGGTATATAACTGAGGACTTTGCTATTTTTTGATGCTGGTCTTTTGGTGCTCTGGCTGTCTGTTTATTGGCCTAACAAGATTGTTAGCTTTATCAATTTCCCATGTGCATAGATTATAGGGGGTTGTGTCCTGCTGCCCGGGCAAGTTTTACTACTTCATGTATATTTGCATCTTTATTAGGTAAAAGCACACCACACTCTCGGTCTACAATGCCAACACTAAAGTCAAAGAAAATTTTTTGTTAGGACAGTGGTTCTAACACTACCGTTTTTTGGTTTTTTCTCAACAGTAGAGTTAAAAAGTTTAACAGAAAAAAAATTACCAGTGCTTCAATTTATGATTTTGTAAACTTTTTTTTGAACAACCCCTAAGAATGGGGGTTTCCTTTTTTGAATCTCGTTTTAGCCCCTTTACGGGCATGTTTGGGTGGTTTGTTCGAGTTTTGATGGCTTATTAAAAGATTTTACTTCCAGGTATTTACGGTATTTCAAGGCTATCATATCAAGCTCCATTTCTTTTCAATCAACGTGCGGGAGCGATCAAGGGCAAGAATGGTAACGCAAAAAAGCTAAAATTAGTGGCTCTCAGGAGGGGCCTAGTGGTGGGCCCCATAAAGAATAAATAAATTATCCCTCCTGATCGCCTGAATATCACTTTCAGGTTGTAAATCTGCATCCATTCAATTTATAATGGTGCAATGACATCAAACAAGAAAGTCTGGATATTCCATTCGAGTGATCTTTTTTCTTCCTGCTATTAAGTTACAGTAGGATACTTTTTCCATGACATTTAGTCTTGAGCTTAAGTAGAAATTCTAATATACTGCATAGCAAAATACCATGATAACTTTTCACTCATTAGCTGGAAGATAAAATTGCAGCCATAAAAGCAAAGCGAGAACGATGACTGAGAAAATATCCAGGGCTAATGAAGATCGAACTGGTTACATATGCTGATGAAAGTGAATAGTCAATTCTCTGTGAGATTTGAGATAAATTGAGTATTTTCTCTTTACTAAGGGGGCCCGGAAGGGTCACTTGAAATTTCTATAAACAGGGGGAGTTCCATCTGATAATTATGTGTAAGAATTATCCTTGTGATCGGATACTTATGGGTACCTGATTTAACAATATAGAAACAATCTTTTAGTGATACAAAACTTGAAAATGGCTTTGAAAAAAAACAAACATTTGAGTAAACTAAAGATAGAAACCACAGCTAGGTATATATATTTCGACTTATCCCGTTAGAGTAATGGCCTGGTTATTTGTTTAGAAGATATCACAGGGTTATCAATTGATCTTGGTGATTTTGATGAAGATAAGGACCTTATAATTGATAAATTAGACTTTCGAAGCTGCTAGCGAAGTTTTCTGAGAACATTTGTATAACATTTTTATAACAGACAAATTGACAAGGCAATTTTAAAACATTTATTCTTCAAATTTTTAGTAAGCCCCCTCTCTCTAATAAGCCCCCTCTCTTTTAAGCCCACCTTCTAGGACTGAAAAACATAAATAAGCCCCTCGGGGGCTTAATAGAGCTTTTACGGTATGTCCAGTTAGACCAGTTCAATGAGTTAGACATCTAGCGCCTTCGGCGCTTCTATATCATTGCCATTGATCTAAAAAAACTGTTTTTTGATCGGTTTAAAATCTGTTTTTTTAGATCAGTGATCATTGCTGGGTGATTGCTGATGCCCAAAGGAGGTTGCGCCGTATATGACTGAGAGGCAGGTTTATAATGTCTGCCTTTGCACGTTAGTTTTCCAGCAAGTTTACCATACTAACATGCTATTTTTTACAAAAGTATATGCATATTCTCAAGTTTGTAATACTTGTTTTGGTATCTCTACGCAATGGGTAAAATTGAAGAGCAGACAAGCAATTGTTTTGGGAAAGACAAAGGTCCTTGGTAATGGCCAGCCTATCGTTGCAACGAGATCTTATTCTGGAAAAGAGAGCATCATTGCTGGCCCAAATGAGTTTGAAATAAGTCCAAGTGGGCAAAACCCTGCCTTTGACTACATTTCTAATACTGATAATAAAATACACAGGTTGAGAATGGACAATGTTACATTCAAAGGAATGGGCTTAAGAAGTGATATTATTCAAGGACTGGAGAGCTTGAAGATTAGTCAGCCTACTGTTATTCAAATAAAGGCCATACCTAGAATATTGGAGGGTAAAAATGTTTTATGTGCTGCACAAACCGGTTCAGGTAAAACACTTGCATATTTAGTACCAATATTGGATGTTATTAAGAGACAGGAAGAAAATGGTATTATGACTAGATTCCAACGCCCTCGGGTATGTATTGTGGCACCATTTAGAGAACTGGCTGTGCAGATCTTAACTGTGATAAAGGAAATATCACATCATGTACCTGTGAGATCTCTTGGATGCATTGGTGGTGGGAAAGATAGGCTTATGCACAAAGGGTTAAAAGAAAGACCAATTGACATAATAGTTGGTACTCCAGGAACAGTTCTTGATTTAGTCAGAAAGAGGAAGATATTTTTTACTGATTTAAACTATCTAGTATTTGATGAAGTTGATACAATGTTTGATGCGAGTTTCAAAGGCATTTCAAATGAATTGTTTGATAACCTTTCCCCACATATTAACAACTGTGGGGATGCTAAAGTCAATTTTCAAAGCAAATTTGTATTTGCTGCAGCAACTGTTCCAAAGTTTGGAGTCCTTAATAAAGTCAAAGCTGTTGTAAAAGATTTAGAGGTTATAACATCAAGATTGCATCACATATTACCCCATGTTAAATATGTTTTCATAAAAGCCTTACAACCTGATAAGCCATCACAATTGATCAAGCTTTTGTGCTCAAGAATCACCAAAGAGAAGAAATCTGTTATATTTGTAAATTCTTCATCAACTTGCAATTGGCTTTCAAAGTATCTAGAACAAAACTCCATCAGGCATGTAAAACTAACAGGAAAAGACAAGCCAGATGAAAGGCATAAAGTCTTTCAAGATCTGAGAGCAGGAGGGAGTGAAGTTTTGTTGTGCACAGATATTGCATCAAGGGGTTTGGATTTCCCAGATTTGTTTTATGTTATAAACTATGATTGTCCACTGAATCCTACAGACTTTATTCACAGAGCTGGAAGGACAGGTAGAGCAAGGGCGGAGTATTTTGGTGTCCCTGAAGTTTATACATTTCTTTCAAAAAATTGGGAAGTTATGCTTGCAAGGAAAATACAGTCAGCTGCACTCAGTAAAAAGGAAGTTGAAGATGTCACTGTAATTAAACGTTTAAATGGACCTCTAGATATTGCTAAGTGATGAAAGGAAATTTAATGTAATGACAGAAATGTTTTTTCAAATGAAATTTTATTTGGAACTTAGTATTATTAGTATTACATAGCTTTTGTAGGTTATTAGCTGAAATCATTACCCAGAAAATTAATAACCCAGTCTTTCTTACTCAGTTATATCTGCATGCATTTAATCTTCTTTTACTTCCACCAACATCTTTGCATGTTTGTCCCAACATATTTTCATATTGTCACATGTTTCATATAGGAACTCCTTCTTCTTTGCACTCCAAAATATTTTTAGGTCATGCTCATGGCCATTGGCATGTGATGTTGTCTTGAAAATTCTAGTTTTTCCACTTTTCTTCATGTCTTCTGCTTCTTTGCTTGTTAATGTTATAGTGTGGTGATGAAGTGTTGTAGAGGTTACTCTTGAGCCACCAGTTTTCAAAATTATGTTGGTTTCATTCTTTGCCCCATTGTCTCCATCCTTTGCCTCCTTTATGTATGGGTGAGATTCTGGGTCCATAATATAATCAATCACTGCATTAAGTTCCTTCCAGATGGGTGACCCTTCTCCGTAAACTGGGAATATTGGGTATCTTGTACGAAGTTTCCCCACACCATTGATTTCTGGCAGCATAATCCTTGTGCCTGAAGCAACTACCTGTCTAACTTTTCCATCTGGGTCCAAAACGCATGATGTACCTGCAAGATAATCATTAGAACATGTAAAAAAAATTCATAATGATTTTCCTTCCAAGCAGGGTATATCTAATGGAGGAAAATATTGTTTGAGAACAATAGAGACAAAATAAAATTTTTCATTGATGCATTAGAGGCATGTGTCTCTGAGTGATAATAATTATTCTTCATTGAACCATTTTGATTATTGTCTGATTGTTTTGCTGTTCTCTGACTGATTTGAATTTTGAATGCTTATTTTCATCATCAGATTAGAGAAGGTTTATTTCGATCAATTTTTACTTTCATCATTATTCTTCATTGAGTCATTTCAATCATTTTCTGATTATCTCTATTGTTTAACATGCGCAAGGGACTATCATTATTGCCATGGTAGCGTATAATACCTCTGGTTGTGTCTGCAGCATCAGTGTCGTGTTCTTCACCACTGAAAAATGCCTTTGGAGTCATGTAGTACGTTTTGCTATTGAGCCCATTCCAATGCTTTGCTGGGTCCTTACAATCTCCATTTCGCCCGCCTTCAGTAACCTTTTTCCCTTCTGCACCCCTTGCCGATCCTCTGTAAGTTAGATTGTAAAAATTCCAACTTGTCAAAGGAGTGAGGTAGATCATTTCAAGAGGAATGGCATACGAGTATCGATGCGTAACCATCGGACATTTTCTATCCTTTCCGCGCCCAGTGCATTTAGATTTGTCTTCTCTTTGTATTCCAGCAACCTATTTTCCGAAATGAGAAAGGCTGAGCTCAATGCAAAATGCTTCATCTAAAAAAGTAGACCCGTAAAAAGCCATTCAGTAGCAATCATACTCTTCGCTTGGGGGCAATCATTTCTTTGTCTATGCATTTTTATCAATGCGTTAAGGAAATAGCCTACGTGGGTCATATACCCTAGTCGTAAAACAAAGCACGTACAAATTTTGGAGAGTGAATGGCTGCAAAAACGACGAAAGTTTTTTAACATTTACTGGCACCAACGCTTATATTTATTAGTAAAGGGGATATTTATAATAATTAGTAGCTGTATAAAATGATCAACTTCAACTCATTTTCAAAATTAGAACATGTTTGATGAATAAATGGCCCATTTCTTTCGAAGAAATATGATAGGTAAATATGACGGTGCATTACAGCATTGTAATTAAGAACAGAATACTGAGCTCCTTAGGCATAATCAGGTCTAAAATTGATGCTTATTATTAAAGACGACCCAATAATAACGAATAACGTGTGTTTGAATCTGAAAAATATAACGAATGACCGAAGTATAACGATGCAAAAGTTGGCTTTGATTTGATTAGGTACCACACGCGTTTGGTGGGTTCTTAGTCTTTAAAATGCTTCAGTGTACAATTATTCATTGTATACCTACTTTAGATTGATTGGTCTTTGCTGAAAATAGGTAGTTATCAGAGAAGCCTCGCATGTAACGGCTCTGACCCATTGCATCTTTTCCCACCGTTTTGAATATCCTGTGATAACGGGAAACGTCTTTTGGCTTACCCTGAAGATCTGTGACCATTGTTCCGTCTAATGTTTTTTCGTAAAATTCACCTGGATAGTTATTTTTGCCAGGAATTTCCCCCATCAAAACGTCCAAAAATTCTTCAGCAGATCGCTTTCCGGGAATGCTTTTGTTAAGCCTGAAGCGAGCACTTCTTGAGTTTTGGTACTTTTCTCGTGTCTGTTTTGCATACATCCTGGTTTTCATGTCCTCAACCAGCTCCAAATGGCTCAGCGGAACATGATGTGACACTGGGTGGCAAGCAATACGGTAGTTCCACTGCGCGAAAACCGGTATAGATTCATTCACGAATTCCATTACGGTAGTTGGGAGGTAGGCCAAGTTCTCCAGACGACTTTTTGTCCCTTTTTGTAGAAAGAATTAGTTTACTCCATACGAGCAGTTGTTAATCGAAAATGAGTGAGCAGCTGTTAATCGCTATTACAAAAAGCCATTACAAGAATAACATCTAGAAAATATGGGAATGGTGAATATCAGAACTACTGAAATTGTGAAAAACTGGCATCATGGAGTTTTGTTAAGTACTGTCCCAACAAGTTGCGCTTGTCACAAAATATAGTTAGAAGGAATGGCACTTTTATCTTAAGTAGGAAGCGGAGTAAAGCGTAATGAAATGATGTTTGTCATAGAAAGTAGCAATACCTACAGCTTTGCCGTTTTCTAGGTTCATTTTTGTACGTTAAGAAAAAATTTAAACAAAGCAGGTTAAAGTTTAGCAGGAATACGGTGCCTACTTGCAAAGATTAGACAACACAATGAACGAATTGCCTTACCTGTGTATGAAGTGTATCTTACTCGTTCTTGTAAATCAAACCAGTTAGCAGCATCGATAAAATGACGATCACTTTCAAATGGTTCGTCAATTTTTCCACCTGCTGTAGTCCATGCTCCTTCCAAGTAACAAAGAACAGCTTGGAAGTATTTTCTGTAGTCGTAATTTGAATAATCACTATCCCTCCAAGCTTTGAAATAATTATGCAGTTCATCGATCTGTTCTTTCAAAGTGGTTTTTTTCAAAACTGAAGGTGGCACTTCTGGAAACGGGATAGGCTCTGTTGCACCGTACGTGCTGCTGTTTCGATGTGGCATGTACAGCCTGTAGTCGTTGTGACGTGTCCTGAATTCCACTCCATTTAAAACTGCAATGAATTCTCCCATTCCAACTGTTCTGTCATTGTTTGCATGGTCGTGTATGGCAGCGACAGACCTACCTACATGTGAAGGTGTATTGTAATTGACGTCGTCGTGTCTGTAGTAACGAAGCTGCTTCAATCCAGAATTGCCATCTGCTCGACGTGTTTCTTCTGTAAAAAACTGCTGCAACATCAGTTGTCGCGTTGCACTTGTAAGCTTTGCTTCCAACGTCTTAATTTGTTTCTCAAACTTTGCGCTATCTTGTGCTGCAACTAACACAGCCATTGCGACTAGAATCGCCACCTTGACGATCTGAGAATGAGAAAATATATTGAGACCTACAAAAATACTCGTCGAGGTCTCTGATGATCAACAAAACATATGTTATATTCGAATGACTGTTAGAGGTCCATGGCAACAGACAGCAACATATATGAGAAGAGAATTTGCAGCCTTTTACTAGTTAAACAAATAAGAAGGCTTGTTGATTATAGATTAAATGCTTTAAAGTTAAAAACTAGAGATTTAGAAGTATCTAGCATTTTAATTGCATACCTCCATATTTTCAAGACACTCTTGATTGAATAGAAATCTTCTCTTGTTCAGGTAGATGCCACTGATCTAGCTTGAACTGGCATTGAACTGATCAAGATTTTGCTGTTTATAAGCTCCTTATTTGCTAATAATTGCATAGCTGACTTTAATAAGTGTTTTTAAGTTGACACTTTTTCAATGAAATCTGTAGAAAGTAGAATTATCAGCTGCTAAAACAAACGATCATTTCATAAGAGCGAAATTGCTTTGTTAGCTTACATTTACAATAAATTTTTTATTTACAACTCGAGAGTAACGCAGATGAACTATCAAGGCCCAATTTAGGTATAGCTAAGTAAGCAAGCTCTTTAAATCTTCAAGAAGTTACTGTTGTTTTAATTTTCATTGGTGTTTAAAAAGATTTATTTCTTGTCAGAATACAGAATAAGCGTCGTGAAGTATATTTGCTCCAGGGGGCTTCAAAGATCATTAGCCTAATGTAGTAGTAAGATGACTCTTAAAAGAGTTCAATAAGAGATTTCGAGTCAAGTCCTTTTACAAGGCTGTCCATAGCTATTGTGCTCAAGGGCGTACTCAGATCCCGAAAAAGTGGGTGCACCATCCTTTATTTACCGACAAGTCTGAATATTTGCCGACGAAGTTCCCCTAAATGGCAAAAAACTCCTCGTTTTCACAATGAAATTTTTATCAAGGGAGTGGAACACTCTCACGCGTCAACATAGCGACGAAAATGTGCCTTTGCTTAATCAAATTATATCAACTTCAACTGCGAAATAAATGGGTATTTTACAATAACTGAATAGATGTTTTTACGACAGTGGAATGTAGCATTTTACCAGGCCTGTCACACATCAATATCAATGTCGACTTGTAAAGATCTTAACATTAAGTACGACCGCAAAAAGCCTTCGTAACTAACGACTGCAAAAAAAGTTTTAATGAGTAAAAAAAGTTTTTTAGAAATTTATCAAAGTATCGATACTTTGCAAAAAAGAAAATAAGTTATTTTTCAGTACATTTTACAATACTTTTCTAGATGCGGCTGCAGGGACCACACACCAATCTATAAATCGGGGGGCTGCAATAAGGGGCTTGGAGCTTGCCCCCGACATTCTTCGAGGCCTCGCCCTTTAGAGCACCGGAAAACGCCCCTTTTCATAAGATACTTCCTTTTTTCCATCCCTTTCTTATGAACAGTCCGATTGAGGGAACATTTCAATTACTATGAAAGGGATAATTTAGCATTACGATGATTAAACACCAATTTGACCAAGATAGTAAATGTAACCTATTCATTTAATACCAAGAAACTGGACAGTAAAGGGTTCCTAGTCAAGAAGAACCGCTATTACGAAAGGTCTGCTAGGTTAAACTTTTCAGAGTTGCATTTTAGTAAACTTTCCTAAAACTTTCGAAGATATTATTGCAAAAAAGTGGGAAGGAGGGGGCTATAGCCACTGTTAGCCAAATGCATGCGCGATGCCTGGTTGGGTGGAATATGTTTCTTGTTGAATTCTTGAACTCCGATTGGTCTTGTCCATAAGGTATGCAAAATTTAAATATCTTCGTAAACCAAGGATTGGGAACCTATGCTGCTGCGCCACTGTATTCTTGGCAATAAGCGTTAGAATTATTCTGGAGATGAAACAAAAGCAGCCACAAAAACACAAACACTATTGCATTCACAGACTGCAGATGAGCGGCAAAGCAAAGAAACGTGCTACTTGTGTCTGTTGATAATAGTGTATCCTGAATCATGGTGCTTGGGATTCAAATTGTAGAACTGATATGTTCATAGGCCAAAGCAAAATTAGATGAAACGTTAATTCACTGAAATCTAATTAATCCAAGATAACATTTGGCTTTTTCTTTGCTAGCTTTAACACTATAGAAACTAGATTGACTCTTTCCACGTCAATAAGATAAGAAAGAATAATAAAGACGATTGTATTGAAGTTTCGAAATTAAAAGGACACGAACCGCGTGCCATGCTCTAGTTCATATCTGGAAATTACTGTTACGTGAACACTGATGGTGGCAAATCTTGACGGTAGGAGAGATTTTTGAAATGTTTACATGGACCACTTGGCTTTGTACCCATTGCCTTCTTTTACGCTAAGAATACCTTCTGCCTAATAAAAAATAACAACACACCAATAGATAGGTAGTAGACAAAGGATATTCAAGATTGACATAAATTCTGTGACAAAATTATCGTTGCAGTTCCATTATAAACTCTGGTTGGTTACTAGTACTCATGGCCCTTTCTGTATAATAAAAGTAAGTTGAAATGGTAAAATTTCTAATAACTACAGTCTTGTGAAATCAGCTACTTTTATCAAAAAAGCCCTTGTTCTTCAATTCTGTTAATTAAATTTGTCAATTATGTTAATTAGTTTGAAGATATCTTTTCGTGATGTATCAAATTAACTGTAAAAATCGGGCATGTATAGCCAAAGGTAGCTTGATGTAACTTAGTAAAACAAAGCTGCAAATTAAGGTCATATTCAAATATATCTACATGATCAGAGATGAACTGTCATCCAGAAGTTACAAATAGATACTAAATAGAAGTATCATTTAGGAAAGTTTTTCAATCCGCTGAAGCAAAAAATGGACCATTCACTGAATGTTTTATCAGTGGCCTGTTATCGGTTAGAGCAAAAGGCTTGTCTTTATACCCACCTTTTTATGTCCATTACAATTCATGGTGATATAAAGTCAGCAAATTGGATTAAAAGTGATAATATGATAAAACATTACCCACAGTTACTTTTGATCTCAAAGTAAAAGCACGACAAGGCTTTGAGACAGAGAACTTTTATCACCCGAGATTGATATCATAGAAGTTCTTCTTCGAGGAGACCCTTCACTGCAGAAAAATGCACGGTGGGATGGGAAATTTATGACTTCTAATAGCGTTTTTCGGAAGGGCAATTCACTGTCATTTAATGCGGTCAAGCACTTTTTCAAATCGTGGATTGATATAACATATAACTATCTATGATGTCCTGATAGCATATCATATAAAGACTTAATACAGAAAATATTCAGAAATTATCTTTGGTGAATTGTCCATTCATGTGCCCCCGAATTTAATACAGATGGTTGTTTTCGTTACGTGAACTTAAACAAGCTTAACGACTTGATTAGATTCAGGTTTGTTTGAAACCACTTTCTAAGCTGAAAATCCTTTTAATTAAGTAATAAAAAAATGTTATCACTAATAGTGCAGGATAATGATACACATGTGTAACAAAAGCCCTGTAATCAATCACGATACTCTGCCAGAATGCTCACCTAAGCGACACAGTGCGTCTAAAGTTTTTACATCTGAACAAACCTTGGTCGTCTGGGCTTCAGCTGAAAAAAAAATCAAAATCACAGCTTTGAAGAGATTAGAGCACATGGCAGTTTCTAGGAATTAATCTGAAGTTTCGACATACTAGACAAGAAAGAAGGGATAGGTTTAATTCAGGCCGCAAAATGGGCTTTCAGTGTTAGGTTCCAGCTTGGGTTTACACAAAAAGAAAGAAAATGTATCAAGACAACGAGGCTGCAAAAGCCTTGCTTCTTATTGTATCTCAATATTTACTGAGAAAACAATTATTTCATATGCATTATAGTTTAAAGCTAGAATAAAAAGGCCAAAACGCTGGCAGTCCTTATCACACTATCGGCTCAGGACAAATTACCTCTGCACGAACGGATTTACAGGGGGTTTGGGGGTGCGACACCCCAATATTTTTGTGTTCTTCGGTGAATTTTTGGCAGTCTGTAGTAACAAACCCTGGGTGACAGAGCCACAGTGGAAGAGCGGGCCGGTTAAAGCGCCTTAGTAACTGGTCGACCAACCCATTCAATAAGGATCTGGTACCCAAACATAGTGGTAACAAAATGACGCAGAAAAGTTTTAATTGTCTTATTATCTTTTTTGTCTTAAAGTTAAAAAATTAACTTTTAAAATGAGCGTTTCTTTCAGTTTCTAGTCATTTGAAGAGTGTGGCACAAAATTCAATTATTATTTAACACCTGCCCCAATCCTTGCCACTTAAATTTCTCCCTGAACCTCTGGCATCGGCCCTTGAGAAGCTTACAAAGCGTTTACAGAAAGAGCCACATAACTGTGCAGAATGAGTTTGTTTCATTCTGATTTGTAATTCAAAGCATTTATGTAACTGTGTGCTGGTTTAATGAGATAATCAGCACAATGACTGTGGAATAATGGCATAAAGCAATTTGCCGTAAAAAGTATGTTTCAAGAGACAAATGGATTAAACTTTATACAGTAAATCATGCATGAAACTTTACAATATGCTCTTAGAAAATTCGGAGATGTCTGTATGCGGTAAAAGGTCACATAGTCTATGAAACCAAACATTAGACACGTGAACGGCAGAACATGGCTAGAGGCATTTAAAAACAGAGAGAGCGTGTTGAGTAAAGCAGATGTAGGCTACTTTGAGACCGTCACAGTGACTAAAAGGAGCGCTCTGGAACAGGATCTGAAAATTGTTGTTCAGGTGAGCACATTCTCGTCATAACATCTTATATAAACTGGCATAATTTTTCATATTTTTCAATAAGATCTTTGCTCAAAAGTAGCTTTCCTGTTTTGACGTTTTTCTTCATGATTTGTTTCCATTACTTCTTCGCGCAGCTTATACATAGTACGGTTCTCTAAATTTGTAAGCATCCCTTTTTATCTTAGATTCTTGCAAATATAAGCCATAACTTTCCCAATCTTCTTACAAATAAAACAAAGCAGCATGAGCTTACTTTCTAACCACTTCAAACTTGCTACTTTTAGCAATAAAACCCCCTTTCAAGTAGCAAACTGTTGCAAACCCAATTTTTTTGCTTAAAGGCAAACTCTGTTCTGAAAGCCTTATTCAAAATGCCAACAAACTGTTGTATAATATTAGCAACAAATCAATATTAAGGAAAGAAGATATTGAGATAAAGGCAAAAATGATAATTGAAACATTCATCATCGTAAAGTGTCAGCCAACTTTTATGTGTAACAAGGCACTGATTTTTACTGAGCATGTAGTTGTGCACAATGAGCAGTATATTTTTCATTACTTACTGTTGTGACAGCTCAGTAACTTTAATTTGTCAAAAGACGCTATTTATCATAAATTGGACTTGATAAAGCAACCATACAGCACTCTTACAGGAAACATAAGTATATTCAAGTTTCTTTAAAAAGCTTTTAAATACCAAGTACTTGGCATAATGGTGAGACAGATGACGTTTTGAGAGCAGAAAGGTTTAGAAAAGTATTTTTTGTCTCAAAAGTTTTCTTGACAAATTTGTCAAAATAGCAGCGATCTAGGCGCTTTGTTGGATCAATACAAATTTTAACAAAAATTCTTATATTATTTCGCACTCAAGTTATTAAAATAACTGTCTCCCGAAGCTTCCTAAAAAGTATCCAAATTGTGTACCAGATTTTGCATTATAAGCGTATGGAACTTCAAACAAACAATGATTCTTACACATGCTTGGTGCTGCAAAAAGTTACTTAAGCAAACAATGTTATTTATAAGGAGAATTTAGTGTATAAAATCCATTTATGCATTTGAAAATGTGAGTACAACTTTGTCTGTTTCTAATTGATTGCTCATGTTGTCCAGTTGACATGAAGTTAGCATGCATTGTTCAGTTGACACGAGTAAACATTAATCAGTGAGTTACGGTATGTCAGCAGGACATGGGATTTTAGGCGACCTCTAGCAAAGGATTGTTGTTAGTTCAAAGCTATTCATTCATAGGGGAAAACAGATTCTGCTAATCTGTATAAGGGCGATTGTGTTAATCAGGTACAATTGCTTTTTTCTGTAGATTAGCTTCTGCATCGAAAATTGTTCGGCAAGGGGTTGACCTGGTAGTTTCATTACGATGCTGAGAGAAAACTATCAAAGTTTGCCCTTGTCACGGATTGATTTCAGAAATTAGGTGATACAGTGAAGTGGAAACTTCGATTAAATGCTAATAAATAGAAATATTAACATCGGAGCAGATGCTTTGTGCTTCTATCTTAAGAGATAAAAAACTTTTAGGAGGTCCGCTGTTTCTGCATTTTGTAACTGACACTTGTATTCCAAAACCATGCCATGAGACAGAATATCTTGAACGAATCCTGCCACTGATTCAGGAACCAATGCCTAAGTTTAACTTCTTTCAGTTATTATTAGTGAATTTTAACAGAATCAGAATGATTCGACAACAGAATGCTCTGGTGTGTGACAAAGCCTCAGCAAGATGAATTGCAGAGTAGAAAAGTTGATATGAAAAATACATTGAGCAACAGCAACAAGAAAAATCATTGAGTTAGAAGTGGATGTGAAATCAGTCTATAGTTGTGAAACTTAGATACATCTTGTTGAACTCCTGAAAGTGTATGAAAGAAGAATTAGATTGTGTCTCAAGTCTTCTACGGATTATTGTATCTTTCGACCATACCTGTTAAGTCTTGCGTTTTTTCTTTTTGCAATGTGATTTTTTCAATGTGCATGTTTTAAACAATGTGAAATATTTTAAATGCATCATATTAAATTTCATGTGCTTCCTGACAAAATATTGAAATTTGAAATAGAAAGACGTTTGCCATCTTGATTTTGCAAAAAATCTTCTAGCTATTATGAAGTTTTGATTGGTGGTAGTTTTTTCATATCTTCTGAAATCCTTGCAAACTGTACTGTTGGCATTGAGTAGTGTTTATACTAAGTCTTTTGCTTCTAGTTTTTACATATATTTAGTTTCATTCTGCACTTGTTTGGAAAGAAATAAAAAGGGAACAACAGAAATGCGGTTTTCATGCGGTTGAATTACCGTTTTATACACAAAAGTATGGTTGTATACGCAATATCTTACGACAGGTCACCACAGGTATGTGACAGGTATGTGACAGTAGCTGGACAGGTATGTGACACTCGTCAATTTAGCGTCCAGCAGGTTGAGAAATGAAAAAAGTGAATGTATTTGATGCGTGGTTTACATTATATTTTATGTGCCAAACATAAATACAAATTCACTTTCAAGATATTGATGTAAATAACCATTGAAGTGAGCGAAATAAGATGGGATATACAGTAGTTGAATTGAACAGGGCCGTCGCGAGGCAAGCCTTGTTGGGGGGAGGGGGGGTATGGACTACAAATTTACCTGATTAAAAAAAAATTACCTGAAATTCTTAAGTTGCTGTCACAAACCTCTGCAATACATTTTGCCAATCTAACTGTGTGGCATATAATTCACAACATTCATTTTAAAATGATAATAACGGACTTTCCTAATGGTTTTGCCAAATCTGTATACCAGGACGGGCATCTACCTGAGGCGGCACCGGCTGCCGCTGAAGGTGGAGGGAAGTTTCGAATTTCAATGCTTCCAGTTCCCTGGGAAATGCACTTTTTTAAGTAAATTTTACTAAAGCAATCCTCCTAATCCTACCAAAAATTCTTTTTTTTTTGCAAACAAATTGAACAGCAGATAAAAACAACTGGTACAATGTTGTCAGTTACTTCTAAAGCTAGGTAACGAGCAGCACTGGTTGCCAATCAATTTAGATCCCTCTTTCCATCTTAGCATGCCTTTTTAGGGGAAATGGACACAAGACACAATTTTACCTAAAGAGTGACTGGATTTTTAGCTTTTGTGCCAACAAGAAATCTTCAGATCTTCAAGTCATTGGTTTTTTTTTCTTCCTTCATATCAAGAAGTATCATATTTAGCCAAAGGAGCAACTATCGTTGCTTGATCCTTTATTGATGTTAATACATGAAGGTCGCTGAAATACCTAAAGCGTTTCTTCCACCACTGGACGGATTTTACCTGAAATTTCCTATCGAGATACTATTAGGGGGAGGGGGGGTGTGACACCCTTCCACACACCCCGGTCGCGACGCCCTTGGAATTGAAGTGAATATCATTGCACTGTTAAAAACACTTTTCGCAGAGGGCTTAGTTCGTCTAATATGATTCAAAGAAGACCAAGCAAACATGATGGCTTTTGTAGCAAAGCGACACAAATCAATTGAAATTTGTAGGGTACGTGAAGATTTTAACACACAATTCGTAACCGCTAGCGGATTTCATAAATGCTGTAACCCACTATATTTCTCCTCAGACTATTTCGCACCAAATCAAGCAAACAAAAGAGTTTTCCTGGAGCGTGTGTAAGGTAACTGCCGACTAGAATAATAGCGTTTTTTTCAATAGCGGTCTTTCTGGAGTGGCTCCCAGTTGTGCAGAAAGTGTAGATTTTATCCAGTTACTTTATTTGTTTAAACTTTGAAATGATGAATTTGAAAGCCTTAAGAAATGTTTAACATATTCTGTCTAATTGGTTTTCAACTTTGATATAGTAGAGCTATAGAAAACAAAAGATAGTATTTCAATATTGACTCTGTTATTTATGCTGTTTAATAAAAAATGGAAAATTTTTCAATTCAGGAATATTCGATAGACCTTAAAGAAAATTTATTGCAAAAATCAATCAAGTGAATTTTTAGGACAACTAGTGTGAATACGAGTAAAAGCACAGATGCTGATGGTCCCCCAACACAACAACTAAAAAGGGAAATAATCATCAACTTTTTTGTATGTAGCTTTGAAGGAAGATGGATACTTTTTCTAGGTCTTAACTCTCTGACTTCTCCTTTCCAATTTTTTTTAAGATAACAAAATGACAAAATAGTTCTTGAAGATGAAAAGTAGAATAAGGAGTTCGTTTTCATTTCACCTAAGGCTCCATTTGTAATATTTTCAATTGGCAAGCAGTATTGATTTTGCAACCTTTACAGTCATGTGCTTGAGATTCTGGTTGGCCTATTTCGATCCACAATTGGGTATATGATTTTCTAGCTTAGTTAACATCGATCCCAGTCGGATTTAGTGAGTTTTACGAAGTGTATGTTTGCCCCATCTGTTATATACATCAACGTTTTGATTCCAGTTTTGTGGCTATGACCTCTCCTTCTATATGAAAGATCGTATATCTTACACTGTCAACAGGTGAATATGCATGATATATCGTTATAAGACTACAAAGAATTTTTGTTGGGCAGCTGATCATAAATTTGGTAAAGGTAAAACGTCAAGAACATAAATCTAACGAGGTTGATCAGTTTTGGTATTGTGTTATATTTAACATAAAATCTCAGCACAAAATCTCTAGAGTAAGTCAACCTTCCTTGAAGGACGTGGACCGTCTCTGGCAGATGAAAAGACATAGGTAATTCATGCATTTATCTTTGGTTAGTTTTCAAGGGATTAAACCCACTAAGGCTTGTTGTACGTCTGGCACTTTTTGTCTGAGCTCTCCTCTATGAGGATCCTGATAACACATCAGTACGATTCAAAAAAATTGAAAGCCACCTTGTCGTATCTGCTTGGCACTCTAGCGTCAGGTCCTTCTTTTAATCTCCATAATTTTAAATCGTCGATAATGCTTATCGTTTTGACGAATCTCAGAGTGAAAATTTGGTCAAAATAACTTGAAGCGCCACACTTGAATGAAAAATTTAATGTTGAAGGAGACTTGTGAATCTCGATATCTTAAAAGAAGACATGCCACGCTCAAAGAACTTTTTATGATCAAACAGAAAAGTAGCCAATACAATGTCGAGCACATGGAATCAAATGCTTCAGTGAAGTAAGCAAACAGAAACAGATGTAGAGCCAATAACAAACTTCTTGTAATTTTACTTCACTTACAATGAAATATTGGTGACTAGGCCGGACAGAATAGTGAATGTATTAAACAGTCAGGTGGTTGAATATTCGAACTCCTTCGGGTGATAAGAAGTTAACATTATTTTCGAAAGAGATTAAAATCGAATGCTGATGAAAAACAGCGAGAACGAGCTTATTTAGAGATGTTACAATTTTTTTCTTTTGTTTTATTTCCAATAAAAAAAATTCCAATCAATTTAGAAACAGTTTTCTAACCTTTGCGTTATCATGTAATGGTTGTTTGTTGAACGTTTTCTATCTTAACTTCAAAGAAATTAAGAAATTCATCATTTAGGCTTCAAGTGTGAGGAGTAAAAATCACTTTACGGACATTAATCATTATGGACATTAAAAAAGGTTGTTTGCTTTTAGGGATATCATTAGTTTTCAAAAATGAAACAAAACCACACCAGTTTAACCTTGTAACCTATGATGGGACAAAAGCAGACAACAGGAGACGGAATTTAAATCAGATAAAAAGTCTTGGTATGCGGATAGACGACTCTCTATCATAATTTTAGACATAGTTGATTCTCCAGGTTGTTTGTGTCTGGATATCGATAAAGTGAATGCTATTATAAAAGTTTGATTTGGTGGCCTACATTGTCTCGTTTCAGTTCATATGAAGGCATAGATTAAAGCCTCGCTTACAAGAGCAGTTTATCCATGACAGTTTTTCTTCATCGTGTAGTTTGAGTTAAATTGAGAAAATATTAACTTGACAAATGTATTTATTAAGAAACTGACATGCCAGCTTTCTGTATGCCCAATAGCCAGCCAGCGATTAAAACAAGCTATTGCTAAATCCCTCTCTTTTTGTTTTGAGCTTTTATTTCATCATTTCATGAAATATTTCATCACTCCGAAGATAATAACTACATTCGAAATTGTATTTCATTTTCTTGTTTTTTTTTCACAATACCTAGCATAATAGAGTGAAATATTATATCTACAAGCCATTTGCTGTGCTGGATAAACATGTTCATAACGCTCCCGATCTGCTCTTATTTGCCCATATACATGCTCTCATTAACGAATGTTTTCAATGTCCTAAAATGTAGAGTTCGTAAAGCATGGTTTTCATGAGCTAGAACAAGAGTAAGAGCTCAAGACCGTTATCGCTTTACAATTTGATGATTCTTAAGTTAAATTGAAACTCTAGACTTTCAACGGCTGTAAAAACCCAAAAGAGTACTATAGTTGCGTGTCAACAACAACAAAGAAAAAACATTTCAATGCTTTTTGAAAGAGCCCTCTAAAGTATGGTAGGTAAAAATGAAAGTGAATCAAAGTTATTGACAATGAAAAGTTCTGAAAAATCATAAAAACCACCTCTTGCTTAACATAAGCATAAAACAAGCCACAAGTCTGGTACAAAAGCTGGATGTTGAACTGACTTTCTTGAATAAAAACTTAATTATTTAGTTGCTGACATTTAATGACTAGTTACTTATTAAGATTTTGGCGAATGAAGTCGGCTTGTTGGTTAGAATTTACGTATTGACTAGAAATATTTGACGAGTAGAATAAGAACTTTTTGTTCAAATGCCAGGTCAAGAAATCAAATATGGGCAAAAGATCGCATCAAATAACATGACTTAGTTATATATAAAAGATTTAGCATGAATCACTCATTTAGATTCTAATGAAATTTAACCCTTAACCGGTTTTGTAGTTTACGTCATTCTAAATCTGTTATAAAGGTTTTAGCTTTGGTAGTTGCAATTGTTGTTTACATTTGTAAATACCAACTTCAGAGGTTACGGAAGAATCTCCGGGGGTTTTAAAGCCCAAGTACTTGCTATCCGATAATGCATTTTTTGCATTTGAACTGGATACGTCAGAGCAGGCGATATGAGCATGCGCAATTCAAAATATTTGAAAACTTGTCGTGATAAAAGTGCTATCCGGTGTTGTTTCTGCAGAAGTAAATTTCAGCTCAACACTTCTCGTCGACCATGTAGGATCACCAGGAGATCTAGAGATTTCAATCATTGTGGTTTTGGCTTCCTTTCAGAATCAAGAAAGTGTACTGATAAGAAAAAATCTCATTTATTTTCAAAGCTTGCTACCAAACAAGGAATAATGCAAGTCTGCTTTATTAAAAAGCTAGTCACTTCCAAAATAGCTGTCCCAATCGTTCCAATTACAATTACCACATTCTCCGGGAGACAGAATCAATTCTTGTTTCTTAATTTTATTATTCATCAATATCGATTACTTGTACATTGTGCAAATATTCTTTATTTTTTGTCTTTCTGCTTTCTACCTCCCTGTAAACCTCGATGAAAGCGTTATTGTCAATCAGAAATGAACGTGTCAAGTTTAAAACTGTCAATGAATTATATATAAGTCTGAATTATTTTGCCATCAGAAAGCTGAAATACATAGTCCATATATAGTATTAGTAGCCATCTTCCGAATTTTTCCTTGTTGAAGGGTATTCTTAGCGCTTGTTTCATTGAGCTTTAGTTTTGTACCCACTTTTAAACGGTGCTTTTTGTTATCTGAAGCTGAAACTCTACTACCTTCATGGTAATTAGACTACCTTCGAGAAAAAAAGTAGGAGTATGCTTACAAGAAGACAAGCAAAAACAAATTGTATGGCTGTTTGATCTGTAAGAGACTATGGGAGCCAAAGAAGTGGCTTTGAAATTACTCCGGGGGAGCTTGTCCAACACTCTAATTGAGTGTAATTTCTGTTTGCTTGACAGTGTTCTATAATTTAGCTCTTATTCTCTGCTCTGTCTCCATATCACTTACATAAACCAGATTGAAATTTTCCGTCAATTATGATCGGCTTCATAAATATCTTATAGCCTTTTATATAGTTCATCATAGTTTCTCTTTGAAATCCCTTTCAGATTTCGTGGCTGAACATCCAATGTTTTGATACTAGTGGAATGTCAAATATTTCTTATTGGTTCACGATGTACATCTTGACTATTATTTCTATTTTAAAATTTTCAAGGCGCCTTTATTCAGCTCATTTTACAGCTCATAGCAAAGTAAGTTTAATAAGAACAAGTTTTTTATTAAGTTCAATATATTAAGTTCATACGAGATTAGTCTGGAAGCATTTGCTGATCTGCAAGTTATTCTCAAAATGAGAAAACTGACATCTGATAAAAGATCAATTACAAACTATGCGCTCTTCAAGAAACATTTTCTACAATTTTTGACACAATAATGAGATTAGCAAACAAATCCTACTTGATTATGAAAATAGACTTTCAACTGAAAACTCTCTGTATAGACATTCATTAAAAAATTATAACCACACGAAGTGAGAGCAAATGTAACCTACAAATTTGAAAAAGTTTTGTGGAATAGTTTCAGAGGGACAACTGTTTTCTTAGAAGAGACAGCTTAAAAATAATCCAGTTTGTGGTGGAACAGCCCAGGAATTCTTATAGACAAATTATCTTATCTTTTTGGTTTTCAGCGGATATAGGGTTAGAAACTCTGGAGTCTTCTTGATTCGAAAATCTGTTTTAAATTCGTCTCGCTAAAACAATCGTGCAACTATCCTGTAATCTATCCTGGCCAGAACAATATTTTTATGGAAATCTAATGACTAAGGCTTTTATACTGTTTATCCTTTTTTCTTGTTTATCTGCTCTCAGGGCCAAATTAAGGTAGTTGCAGTTGGTGCTGCAGCAATTAGGCCCATACCTGATATAAGACCAAATGAAAATAGACGAGGCAGTCGAAGTAAAGTTCCCAATGGACATCAAACATCACAACTATTTTCACTTAAAATTTTTTTCCCCGTTGAATAGTATCCAATAACACTTGCGGCTAGCCTTAGAACAAGAACAATGTATCTTTACTTCTTTATTTCCAAAGGGAAAGATGAGATTGACAGTTGTGCTCATTATCCTGTCAAGCAGTCTGCAACTATATCAAGAAGTTATAGCAGTAGCAGTCAAGGCCAACCCGTATGGAATCAATATACCTTACCCATATGGAGCTAAAGGTGAGTTTTGGCATTTACCAGCTCGACTATGTACACAATCAATCCATTACAGCAGAACTACATGTATTATTCTGGATATAACATATATTATACAATCAAAATAAAAAGTGCTTTGCAGGAGTTCAAAGCGATTAAAATTTCAAAATCAAACGGAACATTTTTACAAGACGTATGAAAATCTTTCACTGATAAAGAACTAAGCATAAGATAATTCATGCCTTCTCCTGTTCATTAATTACCGTAGTAATTTCAAATATTCATTTTCGCCAGCTTAAGCTTTTAATGTTTATTTTAAAAAATTTTAAAAAAAACTTATTGTTTACATGTAGTTAATCTTTTGCTAGCTCATTTGATATTCCAATTCGTTGGGCAGAGTACACGTTGATTTAGATAACAACATTTCTTAAGTTCTTTTAAGTTGCACTCAACAATGGTTCTTTTCAGCTCTGAATATCTTTTACATTCAGAAATTACGGAAAATACACATTCAAAATCGGAAATCATCAGATAGTCTTCCCCTATCTACTACTTTCTGAAAATTTTCTTCGCCACATCTACATTTTTTAGCTAGATACAGATAGAATTGAAGCAAAACTAATACAGTTTTGTATTGAGTTAAGAAGCTATAGGCATCAGGCACCACGGAGCGTTGAGAAAGATTGGTGGGTCTAAAAAAGTGGGGGAGGGGGCTAAAAGGGTATAAAAAGAGGCTTTAATGGTAGTTTATTACTTAATATTTAGCACTTTTTGGGAAGGCTTAAGCCCCCCCCCCCCAGCTCCCCTGCTCCGCGGAGCCTGGGCATCCATTTAACAGCTGAAGACAACTACTAAAATTAAGAATTTTCTTACAGACCCGCTTGAAAGTCCCCCAATATCACGTGATTTATCAATGGGAGACACAATGCTCACACCGGGACAACTGGAGTCATGGAGAAAGGGCCTGGATATGAGTGGAATAACTAAAGGCTCTGAGAGGCGTATTTATTACTGGCCAAAAGCTGTCATTCCGTATCACATAGACTGCAGTTTGAGTATGCAACATCGATTAAATTTCATGATTGAAAAGCTTGGCAAGCAGATCTGAACACTGGGTTTCAAAAGAAGCATAGGCAAAAACCACATTTAAAAGCTAGATAGACGTGTGGAAACATAGATGTCAGACCTGAAGGGAATTCGGTCATTTTAGCAGTTCTTATCTTTCCAGAGCAAATAGTAAAAAATTTCTAGTCTAACACAAAATAATAACAAAAATATTCGTGTTTAAAAAGAATCATAACAGTAAATGTTATCTAAATTCCATGAGAGTTTTATCGTGTTGAATTTAGCCGTATAGTATTTAGAGGTATAAAACATAAAAATCTGAAGAAAGAACAAATATTTCATCTCCGCGCAAACGAGTTTGGCGAATACAAAATATTGACTAGTTTCCTATGAAAGCATAAAGTAATTCATTGTAAGTAGAAATATTACAAATCGTTGCTATTATCGATGCCATTATGCTTATTTATTGCAGAAAACATGCCCCGGGCTTTGGCAGTAATAGATGCAGCGATACTGGAATGGCAGGCGGCCACCTGCATTAGGTTTATTCAAAGGACAACGGAGAAGGATTACCTTGTTTTTCTTCGAGACAACAGGTACAGTCTATTCTCTGATAGCAATTATTGTAACTATATTGATCCACGGGCCCAAATGATCACTTCGACTGGGATTCATTTGACATTTGGCTGGGCATTTGGCTACAGCTTTTGTCTACAGGCCTATAGGTTGAAAACTCAGATGAAAACGACAGCTCAATCAAGTAGTAAAGCTAAAATTGTCCTTTTTTTTAGGTCCAAAGAGAATTTATATGCACGTTTTCTGCATACAAAATTCTGGTTCAAACTTAGATAAGTTGGAAGGTTAAGAAAAAGTTCGACAATAATTTTAAGCAAAATTTTTGTTAAGGCTTGGCAAGAAAGGTTGCTTTACTGTCCGCAACCAAGATTTTCCTATTGTACAACACGCTTATAAAATATAGAATATATACAACACACTCATAAAGATTTCATGCTCTTTATCACGCTCATGGAATACCCCCTCGTCGCTGACCAGACGAGAGTCGTAACTTGCTATTCGTTTAATCGTTGTAGATCAAATTTCATATCTTTATTAATCAAATTGACAAAAGGTTTTTGATTCACTAGTAGATTTCTCACTTTCCACTCGTCAACCTACATTTTTCGACAAAATTTGGCATCTTCCTTTTCAAGCCGCGTTAGCGAAATTCATAAGATCGATGTCGAGTATATTAGATAGTGACCTATTCAGCCAGTAAGCCCATTGATTTTACAAACAGAGGCTCTGTCACGAGGTTTTCTTAAACAGACAAACCTTTTTGAAATCTTAGCAACTCGCGCCTAAATAAAACACACAAAGCAAACCACACCTCTAGGATCAATTGTCTGTCTTATGTACCAGAAATGTCTCATGTACCGGAAATGTCTTATGTACCGAAAAAAGTATATACAAAATATTCCAGGAGGCTGCAGCCTTTCCGCCAGATATTGGGAAACCGCGATAAATAATCCTGATTTATATATTACAGCTGCTGGGCAAGTCAAGGACGAGTTGATGGGCCTAGTCTAATATCAGTTGGCCATGGCTGCGAGTACCGAAACGTAATATCCCACCTTATTGGTCACGTGGTCGGACTCTGGCATCCCCAGAACCGGATCGATAGAAATGATTATGTAAGGATATTCTGGCAAAATATTGATGCAGGTGAATCTATCCCATCGTTGAATGTGACTTTGTAGAACATGCTGAAACATTATTTGTTTAGAGTGCTCTTTTTTCAGATAATCCTAAGCTAAATAAGCACAATATTTTTCTTGCAAAAAACTTTCTTGCAAGATTGTCTTTTTTGAATCGTAAACTTCAATTTGGTCCATTCATTAAAATCTCCTTAGACAGTAAAAATTGTGGTTCAAAACCCCTGGGACACAAACTAACTTGAATTTGGGGCCAAGTTATTTTAGAAGGACAAGGTTATTCTTATTACCGCAGTCTAAGGATACATCTTCGAAACCTCTGATTAATTGTATTCTTTAGTTGATGCTTTTTTGCAGTAACATTGTTAGAAGCAGGGTAGCAGTACTGGACTTCCTCTTGTTGAATCGTGAAATCTTCCAGCTTATTAGTTAAGGCTTGCCAGAAAATCTCACGATGCTTCTTGTTTATCCATAGTTGAGCGTTCCTCGTTCAGGACCGTAGATGACACAGACGGATCTTCCGGTCCATATGACTATTCTTCTATAATGCATTATCCATGGGATGCGTTCACAAATAGCGGCCGCCGGACCATGCTCGCCTTGCAACTTGTGAAAGGGATGCCTTACAAGAAGATAAGTTCCCTTGATGCTTTACAAGTCAGTGTCCTTTACAATTGTCAACCCCCAAGTAAGTGTTTTTGGAAATATCTCCTGCATCGTAGTCCATTTTGTTCTTTTTAAACAACGTTTAAACATAACCCGTATATACAATGCATGTATCGTTTTCACAGTATCGTTTGCATGTATCCTTTTATTATACAGGAGGCGTTATTGTTTCTATCCATGTAACCGCGATTTATTTTGATCGTAGAGTTTGCTAAAGCAAAGATAAAAAAAGCACGAAATATTCCTGCCTCTCGTGATCACCTTAAAGGTAAACGCATTTCTTGCTAACCATTCACAGACAAAAATATCGTCCCATTGCTGTATGACTAAGTTTCAACTGAACTAGGCAAATTTAGAGTGGCAACTTCAACAAATAAAGTTGCATTTAGGAGAGCCTACAGGTTTGCTGCATCGTCTTCTGAATACAATTCTACAACATTTGCTATCAATATGGTTGATCTGAAACTATTGTTAAAATTATTTTCTATGAAAACAGAACAGTCGAAAGAAGGGTTAGCCAAGAAAATTACCTAGTCCGGTATTCTGAATGAGTAAGGAAATATAGCGTTTTAATCTGGAATACTTTTTGAGCAATCAACTTTTACTGTAATCTTGCGAATTAAATCTTTATTAAGTCTTGGTCCATCAGGGACGACACAGTCCACTCTTAGAAGCGGTTACTTGGAGAAAAGATCACATGGAATTGCTTGGTCGATTGCTCAAGCCAAGGTTTACACTCATTGTTGAATTGTGTTGATCGGATTTTGTAAAAATATGATCAGTTTTTAAAGCAATGGAGCAACGGAGTAAGTCAAGACTATCCGAGCGGCCTACAAACTTACAGTCACTTTACAAATTCTGAAACATGGACCATGAGTTTAGAGTAGAGCACCGATATGCATGAAACCCCTAAACAGTCTCAATCTCTTGCAACACAATTTGCCATTTCAGGTTGTGTGGACAGAAACAGCCGATGTCCAGAGTGGGCTGCAGCTGGTTATTGTGGGAGAGACAGATTTGTAGACGAAAACTGTAAAACGTCGTGTAATATGGGATGCGGTGAAAAAGTTGACGGTATTTATCTTAATCCATTTGTTAAAGGTTGCTATGGTAACCATACTGATTAAAATTGATACTGACTGAAGAGCCTTTTATTGATGCCAATCTTTGAAACTTTTCTTAGCCAGTAAACACGTAATTATAACTGTAAAGTCTACTTATAACTGTAAAGATTTATCGCCAGCAAACGACGTTCTTAAACGTCTAAATATTATCCTATCCAGTAAACTTGGTCACAATAAAGGCACTTACCAGCACCTCACCTTTCTAGATAACTGCAAGGACCAATATCAAAGTTGTCCAATTTGGGCTCGGATGGGCTATTGCTCCAGAAAACGGCTAGCGGTCGGTTGCAAAAGAAGCTGTGGAGGCTGTAAGAGAAAAAAGGAGAAGATAAGTATGTCTGGGGAGTCATTATTCGTAAGAAATTTCTGATCAATGAAAAATCTTTTGATGTCACGTATGACGGGAAATGGATGTTTTGACCAAAGCTTATGGGCTGTTATAATTCCAGGCAGCGAAGTTACAGCGACGAATTCATAAACTTTTGTACTGACGAATAACCTGCAAACGGCTTTAGGCTATGCGAAAAGAGTTTTGAAGAGGGAGTGTCAGTGGTCCATCGCTTAAACACAAATTTTTGGAATCTCGGTACAAGGCTTTCGTAACATGGAGATAGAGCGAGTATATGATGATAGGTGTGACAAGATGACCGAAATTAAAAAGGGTTAATTTTTGTCTTATATATACAAACATAGTTTGCACGAAATTTTTGAAGTTCTCGTTCAGTTTTATCTAATGGAATTCGGCTTCTGCAGAATCACAATGTAAAGTGTGTGTGCCATTTTTGTAGGATATGATTAGCAAATTTCTTACAGTTTTTACTTTCATTCAAGAGAGATGCCGTGACATGGGAAAAGTTTGCGAAATACGAGCTCGCAATGGTCATTGCTCGATTCCTTGGATTAAAATCAAATGCCAGCAAAGTTGCGATCCAAGATGTGCAAAGCGTAAGAATGGGAAAATCTTTGTCCTGCGCTTAAGGAATCATTCTGCAAGATTTCAATCTAAAATAACTTGAAAAAAACGCAACAACTGCAAACTTTAATAGCAATTGCAAACTTGCAAAACTAACTTTTATACTTGCAAAAAGACTGGTGTACCATTCTTAGTTATTACTGGAGTTGATTGCACACTTCAAATCACTGCTTTTTGTTTTGTAAAAAGACTTTTATCGTTGCCAGCTCTATCTCCTGCTTTCGTCATGCAAAGCGTAAACCAATAGCAAGAAAGCTAAAAACCAGTTCTTGTTATTTTTTATGAAGCACTTTCAGTGATTGAATCATGTTTCTAGCCACAGCAGATACATAAGACACGTCAACGCAATTTAACCACGTCCATGCAATTCTGCCATTTTTATTTCTACCAGGAACAGAATACGCACCAGTTTAATCAGTTAAAAAAGGCCGATAAACCCTATAAATTAACCACTTATCAACCAAGTAACAAATACAGGTATATCTAACTTTCAGGTAATTCACCACCTCCAGCAAAGAAACGGAAAGGTTTGTTTTTTATAACTTTATCCCGTTAATATCTACCTTAGGCCCATACATTCATGTTTGAAGGATTAAAATAATTCTAGGCATAAAGTTTTTTACGCATACTCCTGTTGCAAACGATTAAGTTCAAAAGTGACGTCAAAAGTGGAGCGAAAAATAAGGGAGGGTTTTTAAACGTAGCTATGTGAACGTGAGGAAAATTTTTCAGAAGACAGATTGTTTAGAAGACAGATTTACTTTAGTCCTATAGATAAAAAACTTTGCTGACAGATGTTCAGTATAGGCAGGCAGATGTTCAGATTTAAAGCTATAAAAGCTAGAAATTCTAAAAGCTAGAAAACTTGCCTACAACCTTAGAAGCAAAAGTCATTTTTTTTATGTCTGAACTTTAGAAAAACTTTAGAATTTCACAATAATGTGTAACATAATTGCTCTCTCATTTTTAAATTTATATGATAAAAATTTTACATTGAAATTTTTCATAAACATTGCGTAAGTATAAGAAATGACGAGTTTAGAATAGAATCCTCTTCGACACCACAGTAAAAACTGCAGTTGGCTTTGTCTTGACCAATCAGGGTACTGAGGGGTCTGTCTCACCAACAATAAGTAAATTTCAAAAGCTTTTTGTATAATTATTTTCATCGATTATACAATTTTTCTTTAGAATGCACTGACAAGTACATGTTTTGCAAAAGATGGAGTGCTTTAGGCTACTGCAAAAAGCACAAACGACTGTCAGTGATTTGCAAGGCGAGTTGCACTGAAGAATGCAAGAAGATAAAAAGTAAGCAACAGCATCAATCACGAGGTTCTTTTCCCTTAGTCTCGTTAAACGCCTGAAAAGTATGCAGCTATGGACTACAACCCAAGCAGAGTCCAGATAACCTTACGATACCACGGCTGTGAGCCGGAGGAAGGTTGCCTAATGATGCAGCAGTTTTGAGGAAAGACAATGCATAACTTAACAAGTGTATATCAAATAGGAGGAATTTTGCTTGAATTTTTCCTGACAAAATACGAAGGATGACTACTCTTGAATTTTATTTCTAAGGAATTTTTATCCCAAAGATAGAAATGAAATTCAGAGGAAGGAAAATAGGGTATATATTCATCCAGAGGAAGGTTAAGGGGCTTTCTGAACTTTGAATCAATGCTAAAAACACTAGAGAACTTCCCGAAAATTTCACCCAACTCCTTTTATCCCAAACAATGTTAATATACGTAAGCTAATGATATATGAACATAGTATTTGATGAATGCAATCAAACATAATTCAATGAACATGGTTTTGCTGCAATCAAATGCGTATACAAATTTTATAACCAAAATTGTGGAGGAAAGGTGTGCGGTGTTAGGTATTAGATGGTCCCGAGAGCACCGTGTTTCATTTCTCAAGAGTCATTGGCAAGAATTGTAGCAGTCAGATTTATCAATTTGAAACAAAGTTTGCTAATCTTGAGTTTGCTAAACTGAACATTACTTAATTGTGATGCATACAGTAAAAAGCTGCGTGTAAAAACCTAGGGATTTAAGAACCTTCTGGCAGAAATTTGTTTTTTTAATACTCTAAAATATAAGAACCTGTTTAGCCAAACAATTTCCAACAGGTTCTTCTTATATGTTGGGTTTAACCATCTAATATACTTTTTTACTTTTATATACTTTTTTAGCAAAATCAAAAAAGGTGACCGAATATTGAATTGCTAAAATAAAACTCAAAAAGCACAATGTATGTTAAATTTGAACTGTTATTATGAAGCAATTATTGCTACTATTTTATATACAGTACTGTATCATTGATCAATGTTGGTGAACCTTTGGCAACATTGGTACACTAATAAATATCTAGAATGAAGAGCAGACCAGATTTAATACTATTTTCTGATAATCAACAACAATATCTACTTTGTAGAAATTAAGACACTAGCTAAGAACCTATTTAGCTTAAACTGTCAATAGGTACCTCATAATGCAAGAACTTGTTTTGCCAAATTCTTAAAAAAGTTGGTTTTTACATGCGGGTTTTTACTGTACTTAGAGATTAGAGAGCTTCCTTGAAGAAGAAAGTAGAAAAGAGGCTTCATCTGAGTTTTCAATCAGCAATATTTAGGTCAAATTCAATGTTTAAATTCAATTTTTTTTAAAACAGTTTCATTGTTTTTTAAACAGCCACACCAAGACCAACAACATTACCACCATATGCTAAGAAACTCGATTCTTGTAAGTACAATTATGTTAACGTTTTTGTTTTCAATCTGTTTACTTGCATTGAAACTCTGCTAACGATGAAAGGTCTTTTCGGCCTAAGATTTCAAGCATCTGCTTGAACTTAATCTTTGAGAAATACAGTTTACATTTCAAAACCTTCCAACGGAAGCTGCAGTGCGAGGCTTGTAGAAAAGTAACTGTTTCTATCTTCAAAGTTGTTTTCGGAATATCTGTTTGTTGTTTAATTCTTTACATTCGCCTCAATAATATTGAAAGCAATAAGATGCCCGTTTGACTGCTTTTGTCTGCTTGCTTCTATGTTTTTTCTTTCAATTGTTCATTCATTTTACAGTGTCTGTCCTGACTTTAAGAGCCTCATTTCCAACTGATACAGGCCGAGGTTGGGAATTCGGAAAAGGTAGGACTATGCTTATAACTGCACGCATAACATAACATACAAAACGTAACATCACACTAAAACATGGAATCGTAAGCACGAACCTCAGTTACACAACAAGACGTAATTTTTTCATAAATGCTAGTCGGGTCATAACACGGACATTGTTTGTAATAGGCTGCAGAATGTTGAAATAATGTCCAAACCCCAATTTGATCTGCAATTTGATCAACGTTTCTGCTTGTAACAGCAGCGCTAATCAATCCAAACAGATTCAATGCTTATGGTACACAACGTGAAAAAAACTTTTCTGTCAAAAGAAATTTAGAACAGTAGTGGTTCTAAAGAAGGTTCTAAAAACTAAACATACCAGGTAGCCTTGTCCAGTGGCGTAGCTGTTTTGTGACCATACCTCCAATTAGCATTGAATGTTGTCTTACGATTTTTTGATGATAGCGAAATGATATCAGCTAAATCTTTTGGCATTTACAGGAATACTGTGTTTCAATCGAAACTCGTACTGCAATTCTTTGCCACTAAAAAAGTGTGAAACAGATAAATGGATGCAAGAAAATTGTGCAAAAACATGCAAGTTAAAAGAATGCGATGATGTTATATATAAACCAGCAGGTATGAATGCAAATGCCTTTTCTCTGTTGAGCCAAATACAAATGATTCTCGATCCCATGATATTTAAGGCTGAATGTTCAGGAAAAATGAAAGATAAAGCTGACAATTAAACACGTTGTTTCATTCAAAAGTATGTCCAGCAAAGATGTGAGAATTGTACAAACGTTAAAACTGATTTCTAAGAGAAATTACACTCTAAGTTTCTTGAACGGGGATAACACTAAGTTTCTTGAAAGCTTTGTTAATTTCAGTGCTAAACGTTTCTTAAAGGTTTTTCGAAAGCCAATTGCTAACGAGCTATGTCACTAGGAACTGGATTTTCTATTTATTAATGTTGATCAAACAGAAAATAGGTGCCTAATTGTTGAAAAGAATCCCTCCCATACCCATCTCCAAAAAGGATTTTCGAGCAGTTTCTGGTTGAGGGTGATCAGTACAATGGTTTCTTAATTTTTGGGTCATCGTAGGGCTTAGTTCCTTATGGTCATCTGGAAAGAAAATCAAATAGGTTGAGCTCACTGTCATGACTGTTAAAGAACAGCTAACATTTATAATAAGATTTATATACTTATATCTACAAAGGCCATGATTTTCTAAAACTTGATTATGAAATTTACTTCTCTTTTAGAAAAATGCGCATATCCCCTTGGTGTATCGTACGGTGGAATTAAGGGAAGGTTACCTGATTCAGCCTTCAGTGCATCTTCGCATTTTAACTGTAAGCTTTTGCTTTAAAGATAAACTTAGTTTTGTTTGACTAGTAAAAAGGAACAATGCAGATCTATGAAGTACAAAGTAATACAAAGAGAAATAGCTCTCATTTTAAAAAAGAAACGACTAAAATATCGTTTTAGCATAAAGAATCTCCATATAATATAAACAATTTGAATTATGCCAGTATTAAGTGAAAGAAATCAAGCTTGTTGAGAAATTCATCTCTTTTTACCATCAAGAGGTATTTATCATAAAACCTGGATTGGCACTGTTTTACTTTTAGACAATATGTGGAAGGCAGCTCCTGAAAATGGTCGATTGTATCTAACTGACGACCCCAAGTCAAAGAAAATTGGTGCATGGTGTGCTGCAGGTAGTGGCAAAGGAAGCTGGCTGCAAGTAGACCTTGGGAAGAACAGGACAATTGGCTACATTGCCACACAAGGTATGAAAAACATATACGATCGTGAAGTATTATATCGCATTCACCCAAGATGCACAGTTAGCCATACTCCACCTCTATCTCCTTAAATTCATTCAGTATTCAGTCAACTAAAATTTTTATCCAGTATCTAATTACCAGCTCTCCGCATTAATTTCTTGGAACAGGGCGTGACAAGTACTACGAAAAAGTCCGAGAATACAAAATTGCAGTAAGCTTTGACGGGAAGAATTTCCAGGACTACAAGGAAGATGGAAAAGTCAGAGTAAGTTTGATTTTGTTTGTCCTGTTCTCTTAAAGATATCAGATAGAGTTCAATTGGTGGAGAAGTGTGTAGTCATTTAATACTGAAATGATACGGTGTTGCCATTTTTTGCTGTTGGCAGTATAGCAAAAAGCAGTCATGCTAATCAACCTTTAAATAAGGTTAAAAAGACCACGCCCTAATCTGATATGCTATTTCATAAAAATGTCTCTTTTCTTTTCATGTAATTATGTTTTTAGCTAGTTTATTTTCAAGTAATCATGTTTTTAGCTAGATACAAATAACATGACCAATTTGGCCAAATGCCGGCCATTATCGGCTTACGTGTCGAAGTCAGAACCGAACAGTTTTTGTTGTTTATGTTTGTATAAGTTTTCAAAATGTTTGATTTGACTGCTTCTTTATCGCGTGTGAGGCCATTTCTTGATGTTTATGCAGGTTTTTGATGGAAACTGCGACCACTTCACGCCAGTCATGAATAGATTTCGAAGTCCAATACTCACAAGGTTTGTGAGAATATATCCAACGAAATTCAACTTTGCCTGCCTAAGGATGGAATTATACGGCTGCTGATGTGGAGAGTGAAAGAATACACTTGTAAATAAATGTGAATTTAGCTCACTTCATAACTACAATGAAAAACTCGAATGCATAGAACAAATAGTTTAAGCAAACACAGGCACAGGCGATAGGCCTTCCCAACATGCCAACTTCTTCCATGTGCCAAACATCATTTTCTCTTCAGTTTGCTTCACTGACAGGTGCATCCCAAGACCGATGACAAGAAGCAGAAGATGCAGCAACTCGCTGCCATCAATATTTGTATTAGTTTCCGCTGAGTCTGGGCATAGAATGATTTGTTCGAAGTATGTAAAGTAAACATGGAAGTAAGGAGAATAGGAGATAGTGGTAGTTCTGTCGTAAGCGTAAACATGTTTCGTAAAATCTTGAAATCCAGTTTATTTTCAATACTGTTGTTTTAAAATCATAGTATGCAATGAATGTAACAGCGCATTTTGCAAGGGGTGGCCTTTAAAGGGATCTATCGACAAGAGTTCAATAGTATTTTGTAAAGTCTGCATCTCAGAGAGAGGCCATTTAATAATAAAAATGTGTTTTTGCCTTGCATATCTCTCAGGGTAAAGGGAGGGTAACTCGTTACTGGTTCATTGAAAGTCTAGAAGTTCTGTGAATCCACTGCAAAACGTTTCGTTAATCGTTGATAAGTTCATAAAGGCATCACTTTTTCACAAACTTGAAACAAACTTGTCTTCTTATCAGATTCTGCCGCTAAAAAAGACTTTGAACTTTTGAACTAAGCATCCATGTAAAATTCAGATTCTTGTCCGTTGGCGGTCCGTTGACGATGTGCCTCAGATAACGTAGGCCATAGATACCTTAAATATTAGATCACTCTGGCACAAAGACACAGAAACATTTTTCATAATACTAAAAGACAATTTTTAGCAATTTTTACCTAAGTAAAAATGGCCATGTTTCAACTTTGCATTGTGTCTTGAAAATATATATTACAAAGGCTTATTTGAAACCGATGTCGGTGCTTAGAAACATAACAGAGATGGTAAGGATTGAAACCTTTAATGAAGCGAAGAAAAAGTCACCAATAAAATACAAAATGTTCTGCCTACAAACATTTTCGTATATGAAAACAAAAAGGTACAGGAAGATACTACATTTTGCAAATCTTGAGCCATTTCATGGTAGTGGCAATATCAACACAGCCATATATCTTTTTAAATTGACATGAAGTTGTGTTTTACAGTTAAATTGGAGGCATCGCCTGAACTAAAAACCGGTTTATCAGAGTCAACATGCTGATTTGTAGGATACGGTAAAAAATATAAAAAATAGTACGAAAAATTGTGTTGATTACGTCATAATCCACGACTTTGAAACATCAATACTGATCTTTTAGAATATCGCAACTTGTTCCTTTTTGGTGGTAATTACAACAATCCTAGTAATTCAGACGACGATTCTAGGATTGTAAGTTACGGAAATTGCAACTCACAGTGTCACATGTTATTTCAAAAAATGGGTCAAAGTGATAATCGAATAGTCTTCTAGGTTTCTCGAATGGGAAATCACTAGCGCTTACATGAATTTCAAAACTTGCTGGTCACATTTTCAATGACAGAAATCGAATAGAAAATGCACCCCTTACCACGTAACCTAATCAAAGTTAGTCCAATGACGTCACAAAAAACAATAAAAGTAATAAGTGGAACTAAGGTCATTATTTTCAATGCTACTAACACTTGGAACATAAATATTTTAGTGTTCATCATAGATTTGCTCTTTGGTCTTTTGTCCAATTTGAAAACCAACAGTGCCAGAGCACAGGCTCATTAATTGTCCATGATGCAATTTATCCTCTTCTTAAACTGACTCTAAAATTCATATTTTCTTCTCTCTTTTTTGCTTGTTTTTTCTTTTCAATATCATTTTCATCACTTTGTTTCTTTGTAAGTATTCTTTAAACAAGTCATGCAGCTTGGTTTTTTTCTCATTCACATTCCACTTCCTGGAAATTATTTAACTCATATTTTCTTTTCAACACAGACATTCTTTTCCTTTCTGACATTCCTCTAAATTTCCCAAGTAGGCTTTGGTTTTTTATAACATTTTTTCGACTTCATCTATTTTTTTATCAAATTCACACTCTCAGCTTGTAGAAAAATGCAAAGGCGTGAGCAGAATTGAAGAAGGAAACAATAATTGGCAGTAAATGCTGCATCTGCTACTGCTGAAGCAAATAAATGGGGAGAGAAGAATAAATAAAAGGAAAACAGAGAGGTAAAGTTCACAAAGTGGAAATTATGAGGAAAATACCAGAGAATTATTTTCCATAGAAAGAGAAAAAGCCTTTATTTCTTATTAGACTAGATCAATCATAATGAAAAGGAAATTGGAATTGACAAAACTCAAAGGAAAATGGGCAGTTTTATTCAAGTTTTTCTTACTCTAAAGGCAAAAGGCTTTGTTTTTTCATTACCCTTGGTTGAAAATAACAATACATTGCATCACAGAATTTTTTCTTTGTTAGGCTGTTTTGGTGAAAGACTAGAAAACATTGATGGATATGTTTGGTAACAAACTAAGATCAATATGGGGAAAACCAAGCTGCGCGTCTTGACCTAAAACAAGAGAGCAATGTATGATACTATCAATAATTACACAATGTTGACTAAATTTGAAACCTTACTTTCATATATAAAAGGAATGACCAACAAAATGAATCAATATCAATGAAAAGCTTCAAAGAATGAATAGATATTGGATCTGAAAACAAAAAAAATGTAGTGCAGGACCGTGACACAAAAAATAAATGTAAGTAATTTTTCTTGCTATCATTTCATCCAAACTTCAGGCCATTTTGCTTTATGATTGCCCTCACCTAGGTCCTCACTAAATGGATAGCTGGGGCTATTGTTGGGCGATCTACGTTGCAAACTCAATCATGCAGGAGTTTGTTGCCCTTGTGAAAATTTCTTAATGACTTGCCCGGTAATATGGTCAACATCACATGGTTGATTACTTCAATTCAAACAGAAATATTCATTTTATTCTGAGTTATATGCTATTACAATTCATTGAAAGATTCAATTCAGCTGCAGAGTGAGTAAGATTAACATTTCTTAAATTTGATCAAAAAGTCAACTTTAAATTTTTGTTCAAGTAGGTACAGGCTAAAGGTAGGAAATTAATTTTTCAATCTTCAGGTCAAGGTTTTTACAAAATTGATGATGATATTAAGTAAAAATTGTTATATCAATTAAAATTATCAAATTATTAGATAAAATTAGAGTTTCATTTAGAATTTTGCCGAATAACTCATTAAAGAATAATATCAGTTGAATATTGATTACTTAAAAATATTGAAAACAAATTTGCAAATAATATCAACAACATTGTTAGTCTTTGAAAACAAGATATATTTATCAAAGTACAACATGATTGGGAAAATATTTACACTGATAGAAAATTTATCCTATTGGTAGAAAAATAGAGAGGATAGATTAACTTATCAAGGTAGATATAAAAATAATAGCTAATGGCAAAGATCATAAGAAACAAAGTGTGGCATAGACAAAACTGTTTAGAAGAAACATACCTGTATGCGCCCCTTCCTCGAAATCTTGGATTATAACCACCATAAGAGCCATGTGATGAAAAACCACCTCTCCAGCCACCTCTGGGATGAGAAAAGCCCCTTCCTCGTCCTCTATTTGTACTTGAAATGCCTGGAACATTTGTCCTTTTTGCACTTACCTAAAAACCAAGAGAACAGCTAATGCTTAGCAAGCAAAGAACTTCATCCAAGTGATGGCTTACTCTGGCTCTTTATGTCATTCAATAAAACCACAATGACTAAAAAAAAATGCTCTTTTCTACAATAAATGGTCCCCTTTTTAATTAACTGTTTTGAACACACTTTTAATAGAAATAATGCATATATGCAGATAGCTTCAACTTAGGAATGAGCAAATCAGGATGCATCAGTTACACCCATGGAGCATAAGATCTAATTCATTTATTCAAACATTCTTATTCCTTGAAAACCTGAGGATAAAAAAGATTTTGCCAAATCCACTTAATAACTTAGCAAGCTCTCAGGCAACTCTAATACTTAGCTACAAATAAGATTAATACTGCTCACAACTGAGATCTTCAAATAGCTCTATTTAGGGTTGAAATCTGGAACAGATTCAACCTTTTTCGGATAAGGATCCCAGCAGAGCTGCAAAAAGTATCGGAACCTGGGAACTAAATTCCCAGAAAAGTTTTTGGCTTGGCAGACAATTCTCAGCATAACTTGATAAAAACAGCTGTCTTTTGCACTAACAAAAATTTTTTCTTGACTTTTTCACAACAGATCAAAGTTTATACAAATAAAAAATTTATACAAAAGTTTATAGTATATATTTTTGAAACTTTATAAAAACTATTACTCCTTTGTCAAATATCACAAAAATTTGTCAAACTTGGAAGCAACCTTCAGTTTTCTTGTCCAGGACTTTTTAACAGATAAAGCTGCAGACCTTAAGTAGGCAATTTATATGCTTTGAAAAATGCTGTTTTAGTGATAGCCTTATATCAGGCTATGATTTTGGATCTTTACAGATCAAAAGCTATGAAAATTATATGCATTTCTTTCTGCTAGCAATACAATACTTGACTTGAGTCTTGACTGAGGTCTTGATAGACTTGGCAAAGTGTTGAGACTTGATTGAGTTTTGGCAGACTTTGCAAAGTTTTTGATTGATACTAAATTTCACCCTGATGTCTTTTCAAGATCATATTTGTCCTTTGAATATTGAGATGTCACCATTTATTACCATAAAATATCTTGCTGACATGTGTACCCATTATATGAAATGAAAGGCTAAAAAAGCTGGCTGATAAGTATAAACAGGTAACCAGATGCATCTTGTTTAAAGCTAACATCTATTACAATTCCCCAACACCAGGAATTTGTGGAGAGCACTATCTATGTTGAAGTTTTCTGCCAGTCAGTAAAAATATCCCCATTTGGTTCACAAATCATTTTTACTTTTTCGCATAGCCAATATTTGCCAAAAACAAAAAAAGATGCAAACAACTGAATTAGACATTTTAAAGGAAATTTTCTCTAGAAGCAATAAATTAAAAAATTTGTCCACATTATTGGTAGAGCTATAGTACACAATACTTTCACCTAGCAGAACAATTTTTGTCCTGTTTCCCAGGTTCCCAGAAAGAAAAATATATTTTGCAGCTCTGGATCCCAGTTTGCAGTCCAGGCAGAAAGCCTCTCTAAAAGTTATCTGATTCAAGTACGAATTAAACACGTGGGCATTTGGATCTATGTGTCTAGCAGCAAAATCTGCATTTGCTTTTGAATAAAACTTAAACAAACTGAGCTGATCTAAGCTACAGCGCTTATTTTGAGAAAGTTAAAACTATTTATAGAAATGACCTTTATCTGTCTTCCTTTGAATAAAGAATCGTTCAGTGCCACTGCATTATCAACACTTTCTTTGTCAGCAAATTCCACATATGCAAATCTGTAAGATAAAAAGCTCAGAAATTGAACATTATGTATATAAAGATAAAGGTTCTTGATATTAAAAATAATGAAAAATTGCAGTAAATAAATCTACTCAATAAAGTTACCCTACCCTTTAGGATGACCTGTGAATTTGTCACACAAAATTGTCACTCTATTGACGGATCCTACACCATGGAAGTGTCCTTCAAGTTCTGCTGCAGTGGCAGAATAATCAACCTATATATAATTTGAAAAAATGAAAATTATTCATTTCATAAACAGTTGAGCTTGAGACATATCACAAAAGGATGTTTTAAAACCTTAAACCCTTTTCATGTAAAAAAGCATATCACCAACAATTTTGTAGAAACTTAAATGCTATATTTTCCAGAAGAAAGTTCTACACAACAACATCATGCATTCGAGTATGTATCAGATCTTACTAAGAATCAATATTTAGACACATGGTAGTGGCTTTGAAAGTTGAGCTTTAAGCCAGATGAACAAATTAATTCAAGTGATGCAAATAAATGCAGAAAAGAATGTTGTCAGCACATGATCATAAATCAAACTAGATTCATGATCAAAAGGCCAATACATCTTGTCTTAAAGATTAAAAATCCTTACATTTCCAACATAAATTGATCTGTTGTCAATTTCACTTTTGTCTTCAAGCCCTGGTGCACCTGTGATTTAAACATGGAAAAATAACATAAACAAAGCATAAAAACCACTTAAAACTACTCATGGTAAAAATGAGACTAATTTATAGCAACATGTTTTACAATAAAAAATATAAAAGGGGCCAATCAGAAACTTAGGAAGTTGCTAAGGAAATTCAGGTACTCAAATTTGGTCTTCAGTTGAGGAATTTGTCAGTACTGAACCTTAGCTGAAATTCTATATAAAAGCTTCTTGAATAAACTATATATCTATTTATCCTATATAGAACAATCAGAAAAGGATAAGCAATTAATAATTAGAAATATCTTACTAGTTCCTGTTGTTCCTCCTGTGGGGCTCATGAGTGAATCTTCCACCTGCTTGTGCATTTCTTTGAGTTTTTCAGCTTCTTCTTCCATCTCCTTAACTCTTGCTTTAATTGCTTCAAGCTCCTAATATATGCAAAGTTATTACACTTCATTACACTTTAGCAGTATAAACATCCAAGAAAGGATAATACATCCAATTTATTTGTCATTTTTGCTCAGCTGACATGTTATTAACTATCTTAATGTTTACCTGCTTTACCTAAAGGTTTGCCCTGGACTGCATGGTACTAGATCATGGTACTAGTGCAAGAGCAAAATTTCAAGAGCAAAGTGTACAAGTGTGCAATTCTTGCTTACTTGTGGACTTCAAGTGAGCACATCAGTGCATGCTTCAAGTGTACACACAGACATTGAGCCTTGCATCCGAGCAGTTTCATGAGAAACTGACATAATATGAGAAGAAATTAATTTGCCATACACATTAGCAACAAAATGCCTATGTAACTGGCAAGGCAGACTGGAGCTTTTCAAATTTACAGTTGGCTACTCATGGAATGACAAATTCTTTGAGAATAGCTACTTTACATCCTTGCATTTCAACCACTCAGAACACATTGTTTTTCCTTTCAAAATATTCTACTTCTGCACATGAGCACATTGGCTGCAGGCTGCACAGGGCTATAAAAACGTATCAGAACTATACTAAAGCCCAAAAAAAAATACATAATTGATAGTTATTTTGTTATCAAACTTGAATATTACCAAAATAAAATAAAGAGCTAAGATAGTCTCACTGGTGAAATGGACTCTGATGTCTGAAACAAGACCACCTTTGACAGAGAGCCAGCCTTGACATGGCATATGAGCCATTGCTCTTACATTTCTTTCATGTTTTAGTATGGTTTTCAACCACTTTTCCTTTGCCAACTTTTGCCCTTTGTATGTTCTTGACATAGGCAAAGTGTCACAGTGATCAATTGTTTAACTACTGTTCAAATGCTCAAAAAATGGGTTCAATCCGCATGCAGAGCTGAGAACAATTAAACTTGAGGCCAAAAATAGATCATGAATTGATCACTTCAAAACTTTGCCTCTGTGAAGGGCATACAAAACACAAAAGTTGGCAAAGTTCTAAAACATGATAGCAATGTAAGAGCAACAGCTCATTTGCCACGTCAGAGCATGCTCTTGTCAAAGGCGGTCGTGTTTCAGACAACAGAGCCCGTTCCACCAAAAATGGGGATTTTAAAATGTGAAGAGGTAGGTAAATCAAGGGGTTTTAGTTAAACCAACTTAGTTCCTTATTTTATCTTGATATTAGCCATTCTTCCTACTCTTTAGGCCTTGAACAAATGCAATTCTTCACAAGAAGGGCACATGCATACAAATCTCCTTCGTTTTTGAAAATCATCTATATTTCTTTCTTGTTCTCTATATCCCTCATTGCATGTAATTTATTTCCTCTTTTGTAACCTGTTGCTGTATTTTAAAAGATTTGTATGCATGGATTTTTAAAAATTAAATGCACTGAACTGAATCCATGCCGTGCCTATATCTTAAACTGTCATACCCTTTACACGGTGTGGAGGGGCATTTTAGAACAAAATTACGGATGTGCATCCTGGCCCGGTGTTTGTATTGTTAAATGAACTGTTAAATTTTTAATAATTAAAGCTATAGATCTTAGTTTCCTGATGTTGCATTACACTTCGATCGTTGGATAAGTTAATTTTTTATAAGAGTAAGATATTCGAAGACAAAATGACTTCGAAGAATAACTTACGGGGTCTTCAGCGACTTCACCTTCTTCCCCACTGTGGTCATCTAAGACATACGAGTCATCATCCTTTGAGGTATCAAGGGCAGCATCCAACAAACTGTCAGTTTGTTCATCAGCCATGATAATTTGATTTGCTAGAAAAAATCTACAGACACAAGACACGCGAAACGAAAACTAATGAACGCAACGTTCCACAAATCCGAAGACAAGACACAAAGAGTGGATGCTGTAAGAGGCAAATCCATAATGGCTGAAAGTCTTGCCGTAAAGTCTTCGGTAACTGTCGTTTTCACATTGCATCATTTGCATCTTGTTCAAAAAATGAAATTATACAGAATGATCAGACATCAGCTATAATATAGAGATTTGCAATTTTAAAAAATTAATAGTACGCTGAAAGGATAAAAAGGAAAAGAAACATAACGACTTTATGCCCAACATGCCCAAATCGAGGCTAGTCAAGTTCCTACCCTAATTTGGCGGGAGTTTGATTCCGATCACATCGATGGCTAGAGTGTTAGAGGAAACTTCCCGTGAAGGATCAATTAAACATATAGACAGCAGATCTGTGCATCAGATATGCTCTGGGCAAGTTATATTAAGCCTTGCAACCGCTGTAAAGGAACTGATCGAAAACAGCATCGACGCAGGCGCGACCAATGTAGAAATCAAATTGAAAGAGTTCGGGGTCGAATCCTTTGAGGTCAATGATAATGGGTCTGGAATAGAAGAGAAGGATTTCGAAGCAATCGCACTGAAGCACTGTACTTCTAAGCTGAGAGAGTTTGACGATTTAAATTCAGTGGATACATTTGGCTTCAGAGGGGAAGCACTTAGTTCATTGTGTGCTCTAAGGTACCATAAAATCCGTACTTTTGGCAAAATGGAAAGAAAACTTACTGTCTCCAAATTCCAATAATAGATTTATCAAGCTGTTTTCGAAATATTGATAGTTTGACAGATTTAAAAATTGGTATTATTCTCACAAGAAAATTTGCAAATCAAAGCACTTTTAATAATTCAGGGAGAGGGACTATGAAAAACTTACAGTGCTGGAATATTATAAACCTCGTTTCGTACACAAAAAACCCTGGTTCAAATTCTTTTTACAAAAAGAATGAATTTGAAAGTGTTAATTTGATAGAAATGAAGAATCAAACAATAATCAAAAGCAAAGCAACAAGTCATGAATTGTCATTTTAAAAGTAAAACCACTGACAAAAAGCTCTCTTAGTAAGAAAACTTCAATTAGGTTGATAAGCTTAGCAAAGGGTAGATTTAAACATAATATGCCTTTTATATTTCTAATGCAATTGGGCATATGTTGAAGCCCTATACAAGTTGAATTCAATTTTGCTACTAAGACATTGATTTTCTTGAAGCACAGACTGCAGCTGACTGAAATCTCAGCCCAAGGCATGTTGCAAAAGGATCACACTAACATTATTTTTTATACAAACTCCCAATACTCAAATCTAAATTTGGACTTCTCCACTTATGTAATTAGCTTTGAATTAATATAATATGTGGGACCAACTTTGTTTAAAGTTATTTTTTTAACAATGTTTGTAAAAGTTTATAACCTTTTCCATATCTCCATCAGCAAAGTTACAATAACTACCAGACACAAGTTCAAGAATTTTGGAAGTAAACTTGAATTTGATTACAATGGCAAGTTAATCTCTGTAACACCATGTGCTAGAGAAACAGGAACAACTGTCATAGTAAGCCAGCTTTTTCACACACTTCCAGTCCGATACAAAGAATTTCAGAGGAATATAAAAAAAGAGTTTCCAAAATTGAATGCAGTGCTTCAAGCATATGGAATTATCAGCAAAGGAGTTCGGATCACTTGCTTAAACATAACTGAAAAGAGCAAGAAAGTGGTTTTACTGTCAACACATGGAGCAGAAACTACCATTGAAAATATTGCTAGTATCTTTGGAGCAAGGCAGGTAATCAATCTTTGTTGTTTAGTAAGTCACTATATTTTCACCTTAAAAAACTAATAGCACTTTTTGTAAACACTTCTTGTCATTTGCAAACAACATGATGGAAATGCATCATCAACAAAAGGCGCTTGAAAAATCTACCTAACGATGTGTGAGTCCTTTAAAATGCTTAAAAAGTAGTGTTCTAAAAAGCTAACTTTGTAATATTCTCACATATTGCTTCCAAACAGGTGAACACTTGCATGGAGATAAATCATTATTTCATTGTTCAAGAACACGCTTGAAATATAAAGTAACAGTGCAAACAAAAATTCTTCCCTTCATGTGTACTTCTTCAAAAATAAACTTCTCTTTGTAAAATCTGTAAATTCTCTACATCAGATACAAAATTTATTTTCTTTCTAATTGTTTCTTGATGGTGAACTTTATTTAATTTAACTTTTCCATATTCTGAACAACTTTCTTATAGGTTCGGAGTTTGATGAAGTTTGAGCAAACCTGTCCTTCAGAGGACATTTTAGAGGGTTTCAATATCTCTCCAAAAAAATTGCCAGACAGCAAAAATATATTTTCTATTGATGGATATATTTCATTTGTTGATCACAAGTGTGGGAGAAGCTCTTTGGATAGACAATTCTTTTTCATTAACAAAAGGCCATGTGATATTGCTAAAATCTCAAGACTGGTTAATGAAGTTTATCATATGTTCAATAGACATCAGAATCCATTTGTGTTCCTTGATATCAACCTAAAAACTGGTAAGAGTTCATTTTAGTTTTCAACTGCTTTTCATTTTCATTTTCAATGGTTTAATGTTTATCTGTATATGTATTTGTCAGAGATACACCACGTCACAGCATTATTAATTACTGATAAATGAGGTTTTAACTGTGCGTGAAGAGTCTTGAAATCTATGAAGATTAAAATCCCTTTGCCAAATTACCAAGAGACAGAGAAACTTTGTAAAATAAAATGTTACCATACTGATGGTATATAGACAACCCCTTGAACCCATGGGCCTGCTATTGTTTCAAAATTTGTGATACATGTTATGAACCAAAGCACAGAACACTAATATACCATAGTTTTCATTCTTTTTGTCTGTAGCTGAACAACTGCTAGAACTATGCATATCAACAAGGAATCGTATAATGAAACCAGACGTTACTCTTATGTGAAAATTTGAAGATAAAATTGTGATAACAAAATTGAATTTATAGTTTGCAAAGAAAGTTATTTTTGAAATTAGGTTTTCAGATCATTTTTCATTTTTAAGGTTAAACTCTCTGAAGTTCTTCTCATATCTATAATATGTTTTTTAGATATGGTTGATGTCAACTTAACTCCTGATAAACGACAGATATTCATTGAGAATGAGAAGCTCCTGCTCGCTGTATTGAAATCATCTTTGCTCAAGATGTTTTCTGATTCTGCAGGTAATTATCAAATGAACATGACACAGCAAACTAAATCCCCCATGTTAAGTTTGCAAAACGTGAGTCCTTCTACACAAATATGTGACGGAGGCATAGAAGATGGTAACCTCAGCACATCATTTTCAGGCCAGGACGGTGTTGAAATTAATGGAGTTGTGAAAGAAAATAATTTGAAAGCTAATTGTACAGCAAAACTGAATAATGGAAGCAGAACGAGTGTTTCTTCAATTTTGAGCAAATTTAAAAGTAGATTTTCGAAAGACAAAATAGATACCTTAGCCGAAACACAAGGGAAAAAACATGAACAGCTCAATATGGATAGATTTACGTTCAAGGTAACCAAGGAAAAAGACAGAACAGAAGTTGTTGAGAACGGAGATATAAAAGATGATAGTTTGGATGGAGGATCGACTACTGGAAGGCAAACATTTGGACTTGTAGGCCAACTGGTTGAGGAGAAGAACGTGAAATGTTTTGACCGTAGTGCGATACCTGAAAGAGGAGAGAAAGCAAAGTTACAAAAGGACTTTCAAAAAAGGGAGAGTGAAAGCAGTTCACCACAGAAATGTGTTGGCAGCTACAATATTGTTCATATTAAATGTGAGATGGAAGAAGGAAACAAAGGGCTCGGTACTGCTGAGGAAAAGACCAGGAAAAATTCGGATGATATCAAAGACGAACAGATTGATAGCTTTGTCGTATGCCGCAGTTCTCTGCCAGTAAAAGTCGATATAAGGGATGATGCGAGTATCCCTAAAGCACCATCTTTCAATGCCGAATATGAGTGTACAAGTCATAGTCCTGTTTTTTGTGAATCAGAAGTATCTGGTTCGAATTATGACGGCTACAATCAAGTGAAAAGGCCAAGATTAACAAGTCATGGGGCTGAAATTTCATTTGACATAAATAAGATTAAAGAACACTGGTGTTCAGAGAAGATGGATACCGATTCATCTGCTCCTTCACAACTTCTTGGGTTCCATGCAAAAATATCACCACAGCAGAACAATGCTGCCGAGGAAGAACTTCAGAAATACGTTTCTAAGGAAGCTTTTAGGAGCATGGAAATTATTGGCCAGTTTAATCTTGGTTTTATTATAGCTAAAGTACAGGATGACTTATTTATCATTGATCAACATGCAAGCGATGAAAAATATAATTTCGAGACATTACAAAAAGAGCATTGTTTGAAAGGTCAACGATTGATCCAACCAAGACCATTGGAACTGACACCTGTAAATGAAAGCATTCTGCTGGACAACTTAGAAATCTTTCGCAGAAACGGATTCGAGTTCAACGTTGATCAAAACCAACAGGCCGGACAGAAAGTCAAGCTTTTGTCACTGCCAACTTCCAAAAACTGGACGTTTGATATTCAAGATATCGAAGAGTTGATATTTATGCTCAGTGATAATCCTGGGGTTATGTGTAGGCCAAGCCGTGTGCGAAGTATGTTTGCCAGCCGCGCGTGTCGTATGTCAACTATGGTTGGAAATGCGTTGAATATCTCGCAAATGAAGACGCTGGTTAGTCACATGGCTGAAATTGAGCATCCATGGAATTGTCCTCATGGCAGACCTACAATGAGACATTTGGTCAATCTGAAGCGCATTGATGTGCCATCCGATGCGCAACCTGAAGAATAGATTTAGAAAAAATACTTTTTTAACAAATTTAGGTCTTTTATGGAGAAAATTCTCTTGAAGCTGCAATGCTTTGTCGTAACTTCCGCAAATCTCACCGAGGTCCGTCTGACTGTAATATACGTAATATAAAAATAATTTTTTGTTATAGTATGTAAAGCATAATGTAAAGAAGATGCAGTAGGATTATTGAATGTCACTTCATATTTGTCGACCATTAGATCTTTATATAAAGTATTTTGGTGAATATTATGGAGCAGAGTTGTATTCTATTTTTTTTACATATTAAAAAAGGTGATTAGCTTTTAGGCTGTTAAGCTTTTATGTTTCTTGTAAGCTGAAAATGGTAATGCAGTCACTATTCTTTTTCATTCATACCTCTTTTTGTTTTGATAATCGCAATTTCTCACCTAAAAAGAAATTGCAACGCTTGCAAATTTTTTCTCTAGATGCTTTCACGCCTTCCCCTACTTTAGCATTTTATCCATTTCTAGAAAGTGTACTTTGTTTTTATGAGGCTATAATATGTACTGGTCTTGGCAAAGTTCAAAGTTCGGAGAATTTCGAAAGATAAGATAAAAACCAGGATACCAGGGAGGCCATCATCAGGAAAGCTGGTCTGGCAAGAGCTTGACCCATTTGGAGAACCCTTGAAGACATTAATTATTGCCCAGAATTCCAGCCCCCACTTGTTAAAAGACATTCTCTGGTTCGTTTCCCCAACAAAAATCCCATTATCCCAAATCACCCAATATAAAAATCCCAAAGTAACATTCGCTTCTTTGTAACATTAACAGTTTGCATTTTAAAGTCTGCATACTGTATTTCCTCTAAAGAACACCACGGCGTTTATTGCAAAATCCAAATTTTGGATGTGAGGTTTAATAGAGAGCGGCGTTTATCAGAGAGCGGTGTTGTGGTGTTTAATACGAAATGAAGGTTTCTCAAATGAAAAATGACAAGAAAAATGCGATGAAAAATGATTAAAAACAAACTTTAAACAATTTTTTCCCAAAAACAAGTAATAAAGATTGTGTGAAAAAACTTTAAAGTTCACAAAGGATGTGTTCACGTCATGGAATAGTTAGCGTATAAACTATTCGTTACTTCTTGTTTGGTATGTTTTCTAATGAACGCCGCTTTTCAAGTTGCGTTGCTTCAAGAGGGCGGCATTTTTGCAAATGGTTGGTTGAAAGCAATAGAGGGTGGCATTTATCAGAGGGCCGCGTTCGTAAGAGGAAAAACGGTACCCCGATTCATGTGACACGTTTTTTCTTAAATTTAGTTCAAGTAATAACCGTCACCAAACAGGGTTAGCTTTGTTAAATGGGCAGCGATTGAATAAAGCGTTTTCATCTATAAATCAATTTCAATTACTTTGTCCGAGGGTAAGTTTATTATCATAACCACGTATGCTTCAAAAAATTATGGAAATATTTAATTTAGTAAAGAGATCGTCAAAATGGTCAGAAAAGATAACCTTGCGAAACGAATAAAAAAAATCAAGAAAATAACAAATCAAGAAAGAATATGTAATAACAAGTCGCCGAAAGTAAATACAAACAAAAGAAATAATTTAATAATCAGTACATGAATAGTAAGCTATGCCCAAGACAGTTGTGCACTAGAATACCAATACAAATTTCAAGCAAGAACGGTCAACATCCAGTTTATAAATCCTGCGGCATTTTTCATCCTGAATATCAAATAATTGTTCTTTATATCATAGCTCTTTATACATGCCTTTATGCAAGTTTTGCAGACAGAGGTGGCGCCAGAAATCTTCCGACAGAGGGGTTGGAGCTTCCGACAGGGGGGCTAAAATGACTAAAATAAGCAGTTTTTTTACGTTATTTTGTCAAATTTGCTCCGACAATAACCTAAAATTTTCTCCGATGGGGGGGCTAGATGCTTCCGACGGAGGGGCTGTAGCCCCCCTAGCCCTCCCCTGGCGCCACCCCTGTTTGCAGACGAATTGTAACGAATATGTGCCTCTGTATCGGCTCTGTAATCTTCAGCCATTGGTTTTCTCAAGCTGCAGACGAGCTGATTGACACTATGTTGACTGTTTGTCAACAGTCATCACATGCTATGACAGTTTGTGTGGACTTGTAGCAAATTCACACGGAAGCCTAAATCACTTCCCATGCACAATGTTGAATGTGCTGCTCATTTCAAATGCAGCCTGCGAAAAAGCTCCAGGTTCTGAAGCGGTGTAAAATTTTGATCGAACGTTGATGATAATGGCTGATATCGCTTTATGGCTCATAACAGCAGTCCTGTGTACCCTGCATCTGGAAAGAGCAAGCTCCTCGTCACAGCAGCAAGGTAAGGAGAATGCTAAAACTTGGGCTACAAAGTTTGTTTGAAGTAAATGTTAAATAAAACGGACAAGTTTAGCAAAAAACTTACTTCATCAGAGTCCTCTCGCCTGACCCTTGGTAGAGAACGAACTGTTCGGATATTTGTTTGCGTTGTAAATATTTTCTCTGTATTCTAGTAGATGGGCCTTAATGTTTACGGATCAACAAAAAATGATTTTGTCCCAGCTAACAACAATAGGCGCGGGTAACTCAACCGAACCCCTTCCTCTCTTAAAACGGATAATTCTATTTGACATCGCTTACTAGAAGAATAATTTTTGTGTCGAAAATTCCCAAACAGAATCAGCTACATAGTGACTAGCCTCTGATGTTTGTAGAAAAGGTTTTGAAAAAGTATTTTTTTATTTTTATTAGATATATTATTATTATAAGGTGCTACAAATTACTTTCTGATAATTTGCATAAAACACATGAAATCAGTCATGCAATTTTTGTCCCAAATTCACATTCTTTTTAACGGATTTCAGCTAAAACCCCTTCCCCCCTATACTGCCTAATTCCGTTTCTCGCTTTAATATAGAAGGAAATGTTAATGAAAATTTTTCACTGTTCTGTTTCGTGACAGTATTATTTCCCCGCATTATCCTTAAATCAGCCTTTATCGAAATTTGCATTGTTTGTGAAGGAAGGAGCTGGATGCTATTAATAACATGTCACAGATAGAGAACGAGGAAAAGACGAAGACAAGGTGTTTGGGGCTTTAGCTGTGCCTGAAAATACGATGTGTTGTCATGCAGGTTGTGTAATGCTCTCAAAATAACAAGGAGGAGTCGTTTGCGACAATTCGCAAAAAAAAGCAAATATAGAAATTAGCTACTCTCCAGCATTAACAAGGGGCTCAGCCTCCTTAGCCCCCTAGCACTACATCCCTGGTCAGCAGATGTGTGACACTATAGCGGACCTTTGTCCCCCCCCATGGCACGTAAACAAGACAAAAGGAACATGTATAGAGGGGGTGACGTATTCATTACCTATTTTGATCTTTTCATTACATTTGTCGGGTAAAGAACCTAGCCTTTTCATATTATTAAAGCGCTTTCTGAGCTCTTCTATCAAATTTTCTCTATCAATAAGTGTTCGGGAAGGAAAAGACGTCCACACCAACCAACATGCTGGAAGCAGTAGCAGAACTTATCATGGATGCTCTCAAGTAATTTAGAACAATCATTCATAATCAAAAGCTAAATATTTCTATTTTATGAAATAATCAAATGATAAAACTTCAGTTGGTGAATGGTTTTTATCTTAATCTCTTCCCGCTTCTTGAAACAGATCAAAGACCAAGTTTTATTGGGGAAACGCCTATTGAAAATGGCTATTCGACACAAAAAAGGTAAAATTGATCAATACTTGAGCAATGGCATACTCTCCTTTATACAGAGACCTCCATCAAAAGTCTTGGCAACATGCACTTATAAAATAATACATCAGACTTCGCTTTTTTTATTTTTCTCCAGGTACAGTCTACAGGCTAAAAAGGAAATGCTTGCTTACTTGAGATAAATATTCTAAAAAGTACCAACAATTTCGTGAGAGCACCATTTAGTATCGTAGTCAACCTATGCCACCATAAGTTGTAATGTAGTCATCGATGCTAAAATTTTATGCTGTAGAATAACTGAACTATATAGAGCACATAAGAGCAAATTGTTTTGAAATTTTCTTTTTTTTTGTAAAATTCACCTCATGCATCTCCAAATTCTATTCTCCTTGAAGAAGCTATCAATGCTATTTATTGATTTTTTAACGGCTAGCCTGATTTACCTTTACGGTGTAAATACCTTCACCCACACTAGCCTCAAAGTCCCTCGAGTCCATTTTTAAATACACTGCCTCAAATTTTATGGCTTCAATTTAGATACAAAGCATGCCAAAGATGTGAGGTATACAGGTTCAAGCATTGTGCTGAAGTGACGTCATATTACAACACTACAGATGTAAGCATTGACTGTGGAAAGAGTTTAATTGATTTGGATACTACACTAAGGCAGATATCTTCATCTTTGTATACAAATCATGGTGCAGAAATAAATTGTCTCAAAGGATCTAGGTGGTAAGTTATCATTTTAAGTTATATCTTTTCATATCGACTTTCCTTATTACCGACTTCATCTGGCTTAGTAATTTTTGAACTTATGTCAAAGTCACTAACGAAGAGACTTCCCGCTACATAACGTTAATAGTAACAATCAATAGAGGTTTTTATATAACATTTTGTGACACGTTCATCGAGTTTTTCTACTGCTATAGCATTCATTCATTTGATATTGCACCATCTACTGGTAATGATGCCTAAATAGTATTGTGTTTTGTCCTGAATCTAGATTTCGTATCTTAAGTTTGCTAATAATTCGGAAGATTATTAGAAGAACTGTGCATATTGTAATTGATACCGACCAGAAACTTAGTGGAATGGGGCAGTTCAGTTTGACTCGCCAAAAAGGATATAGAGACACGAGCTTAAAAATCACCTCTTGTGCTATCATTAGGGCGGGGTTCTAGGTTCCAGACCTCCGGGGTTGTAATTGTCATATTTCATTGTATATTTTCATACAATCAGCTGAAACGTAGAGACGGGCAGCTGAGAAAGATGATGCTCTGAGAAAGATGGGATGTGGCCAGAAGATCAAATTTTGCACAATTGGTTAATTTTTGTGCATACAGCCCTCACTCCTGAAAGGAGAAGCCCACAACGAATGAGGTCTTTCTTAGCATCTTGGCCTCGTTAATGTGTAACTAAAGGTAAGTGTGCTTTTTCTACAGGGCTCTTTGTCTCACAGTCATGCGCCCTGGTTGCCACAACGGATCACTGTTTCAGAAGGTGCTGTGTAAAGAAGCTTGCGAACTTATCAAAGATGATATCTGCAAAACAGAATGGAGTGAAGTCATCAATCGTATCGAGGATGGGTATTTGAACATCGACAATATTTTTCCGGATTGCAGCAAGTTCCCCTCTGTTAAGAGTCCGGCTGGAACAGCAAGCTGTTTCTATCCACAAGCACTGCAGCGTGAGTAGTAAAGTTTTTATTTTTGCCTTACCGTTAGTACTGAAGAACTAACAACATATTGTTAATAGAGCAAGAGAGTCCCAGTTTTGGGTGTTCATTTTGAAGGGAGACGCGTAGAGACAAGTACTCTTTCTGTACGTGAAATATTTTCGAGGCTATTTTTCGTAAGTTGCTTTGATACAATCAAATGAGAGTGGCCATGAAGAGGTTTATCTTTTAGGGTAACGATTGAATTTTAGGTTTATTTTTTTAATAAGTAGCTTCTAAAGACGCAACAGATCATGGCATTGGACTGCTTTAAACTGTTTGCTTATCTAAATAAGCTCCTCAAGAAAAGTCTTGATAAAAAGAAAAAGTCCTGAAGCATTGCATGAATAGCTTCGTCCTGTAGCTTTGTCAAAGAATGTAACTTGTTTCCTCAATAACTGTGTTAGTTTATTCTACTATGTTACAATTACATCGATACAAGTTACTTTCTTGTTAATTAAATAATCCTAGTTTTGGTTTCTATAAGAATAGGTCTCGGTTTGAGCCCTCTTATAATATGTGAATGCAAATTACAAAATCATACAAACTGTTTCCAAAAAGCATACCTCTCAAGTGATTGGCCAGGTCTATTTGTAAGAACTATTTCGGCTATATGTAAAAATATCTTGGTAGGATGTATTAGAAATTGAGGAAACTTCTACCAATAGCTATCGAAAATCAAAAGCTAGCTCGTACGAATTCGGAGCTTAAAGATTTTTCTATGAAATTGTGCAGGTTGAAGGGCTTTACTGCTGTTTATTTTTGTGGACTATAGAAATGTAGGGATATGTCTACTGTAAGCTGCTATGTCGCAAGGGCCGATCGAGACTTTCTCAAAATTTTCAATTGAGATATCGTCTAGGTGGGACTGGGTAAACTGGTGCAGTGTTTCGTCTTAATGAAGTTTCAACAAGCTAGACATTGGTCTAGAAAATTGAAATTTATGAAACAAATTGGTATTTTTCAGCGTTCATCATTTGAGAGCAAGCGATTATGCATTACTTTTCTGCTTCCAATTACGAAATTTTCTTGGTTTTTTATGGTAGAATTGAGAAAATCAAAAGCAGGAGATAAGGACAACGAAAAGAAACAGGATTCACTTACACTTATACTCTCTGCTGCTGGTGGAGGATTAGGACTTGTCATTATTCTGGTAATCCTGTTGCTTTCGTACCGGCGATGTAAAATGCAGTCGAACCGCCAAGCCAGAAGTGTATCGATGCGGAACATTCCGAAGTCGGATTTCTTCGATGGGATGACAGCAGCAAGCACGACCAACGATGCTTATGATGAAGACAACCCATTATACAACAAGACAGTGCATTTTGAAGATATGAGTCTAGAAAAAATTTCAAGAGAAAGGCTGAAGTATATTGAACCAATTGCCGAGGGAGCTTTCGGAAAGGTAGGAGTAATATCGACTGTATTAGAAACATACTGGCATAATCCAACTTCAATAGATGCACCAGTTTTCTGTACAACGATAATATTGAGCAACGTTAATCTGCACTATGCTTTGGTTTCATTGTGTGCTTCCATACCCAACTGTATTATTATGTTTGGTATTGAATTTCTAGCATTGCTCATTTTGTCTCCAGTTGCCTGAAAGCTATTTTGATATTTTTCATCATCAATAGGTGGTGAAATGCGAGCTTAGCTCCCCGATTGGCAAGGAGCCCAAGTTGGCTGCTGTTAAATATTTGAAGGACGATGCCTCAGAGAAAGTCAAGCACAGTTTTAAAAATGAGGCAGAAACGATTGGATCCTTTGATCATCCAAATATTGTTGCACTGCTTGGGGTATGTATTGATGACAAGGGACCACCATGCATGGTTTTGGGTAAGTGAAGCCGAAATACTATGCACCATTCAGCAACATAGTGAGCATCCCAGCTATATGTTCGTAGGACAACTAAAAGGCATAGGCGAAATTTACACGGATCTTATTAAGCAAGGTTGCTTTGGAATTGATAAAGTAAGAACCGTTCTTTATTTGACAAGGAACGGGGTGCATAAATTATCAAATGGTTACAGCATAACCTTAATAAAAATCATTGTAAGCAGCTAGAAACTGAACTAAAACCGCAAAGAAATACAAATGTCACAACTCATTCGCCTCGTAAAGGCGTGCTCCTGTCAATGAAAGTCTTGTTTCGGACTCCTGACTGCTGACAATACTCCCACCTTCTTTTAACATGAATTGTAAACTATTAACCTTTGTTTGACAGAGCTTGACACTGAGACCTATGCTATAACGTTGAGCATGAGAGCATTGAACAAAAAATATGAATGCGAGAGTGCATTCAAAGATGGCTTTTTTACGTCACATTTATGTTTTCTTTTGAAGAGTTCATGGAACTTGGTGACCTCACAAACTATATAAGAGATAGATCAGGAAGTTTTCATGCAAGCTTTGGTAGAAATGGGATCTTACCCGAGGAAGTCGAGTTCAAGCCTCCCAAAATAAGTTTTAAGGACCTGATTGGTATAGCGAGACAAATCGCCTCTGGGATGGCGTACTTAGCAGAACGCAAATTTGTCCACAGAGATCTTGCCACAAGGAATTGTTTAGTGAACAACAAGACAAATATTAAAATTGCCGATTTTGGACTCGCTCACGATGTTTCCTCAGCAGAACATGATTATTACAGGTACGTATTGCTAGTACATATCGTAAACATGATGCATTTGTGTAACAAAACAATATATTATGACTTGTCTGTCATGTTTTCTAATCATGACGTATTTGAATGTAACAGAGTGAATGGAATAGTGCGTGATTATAACAATAAGTCTATGGTCAGACTATAAGGGACATTGTGAACATACTCTTACGAAAGAATGGCGTTTTAGAGAATTAACTATTGTACGCATTTCTTTTGCTTTTACCGTCACATCGATCAATTGTTATTTTAATTCATTGTAGAATGTGCGTTTTTTAAATTCTCCCCTGCTTAGTAGGACGCACTGATTGACCCTCTTTCCATAACATGGACTCTAATCTCTTTTGTATTCAATGGGTTTCTTAATTTTATCCATTAAACCAACCCCTTCAGCTATTATTCTTTGCGTACCAAGTTGGGCATCGGTCAGAGGGCGTACTGCCAAGACCTACTTACTAAAATACAATACTCAACACCAGCACCCACTGACCGATGCCTAACTTGGTACGCAGAATTAGTCAGTATTTCTGATAGTGATATAGACCGTCACAATAATGTCTCGATTATTTTTACTACAGAATAGATGGACAGCACCTTCTACCTATACGTTGGCTTCCACCAGAAGCGTTGACAGTAGGAAAATTCACCATCCAGTCTGATATTTGGGCATTTGGTGTTGTTCTTTGGGAGCTTTTTACATATGGAATTCAACCGTTTTACGGACAAAGTAATGAGGAGGTATGATGTTGATTAGAAATACAAACGATACAATTGCTTTTTTAAAATTAAGACGAGAAAACTTTTGCTTTTTATTCATAACACCAGACATGTGCAAAGGATGCAAAGAATTAAACTTTTCTGATGGGGATTATTGTTGCAAAATCTGCTGGAAACGACGTCCATGGGTATGGCTTGTATGATTGTCATAATTTAAGGCACTTGACTGGAAGGGTAATGTTTTGCTGGGTTGCCTTTCATAGGTTATGCTGTAACCAATAAATTTCACCTCCATGAATTATCCACCCCACTTCCAGTAACGATGACACCATTGAAAATCTAACGAAAAAATATCAAAAACTATGAATTCTCGTCAGGGATCTCAAAACTAGTGGTTGAAAAGAGCAAATTTTCTTCATGAATTCAGCACCTGCGTTTTGGCAAAAATTTATAAAATTGTTAGACTTTCTCTACAGGGGAACAAATATTTTAGTGTGGAAAGCAACATTAACTGGGCGGGAAAAATCTTAAACACAAACTTAGTCATTACTGGTGGGCGTGCTTTTGTAGATTATGAAGTCAGCAGTTCAAGGAGGTACTGCTTAGGATCTACATGACGTTTGTGCCGTCCGCTTTTTGAAAATGGACTCTAGACAAAGCTTTGTGCTACTGTCTTGTAAACAAGAAACAACTTTGAAAAACCAACAAGCATCTTCAAAATTTCACTAGTGTTACTTATAGGTACCATCCCTTAATTTTACAATTTACAAAGATTTGTAAATTTTTATTTTAACAATCTTGAAAATACACAAATGCAGACCGGCAAAAAGCAATTTCTAGTATTTCCTAAAACATAGAATTTACTGCAGAAAGAATGTGCGCACTTATTTTAAAGGAAAAAGCGCAAGTAAATTTTTAAACTGCTTAGTACTTTGGACTGTTTATATTGATTTCTGGAGTGAATTCCAGTCTTCGGGTCTGTGGAAAAGTAATGGTCTGAGACCATTGTAAAACCCTTTTCGACCATTTATCTTATTTTCTGTAGCAATTGACTATGTTTTCCCAAATCGTGCAGGTCTGTGATCGCATACGATGCATGAAACTGCTGAGACGCCCGGACGGTTGCCCACAACGTGTTTACCAACTAATGAAAAGTTGCTGGAAATACGATCCCATGAAACGTCTGCCGTTCAGTAAACTTTATGAAACATTAACAATGTGGACATTGACCGGAAAGGGACATTTTCTAGAGGATGCATGGAGCATAATGTTGAAACCTTTGGCGATGGACAGAGCGCCTACACTGCCATTCAAACGGGGAGTATTAGAACATTAGGCCCAAATATTCCATCCCTAAAATATTCAGATAGTAATGACACCATGGCTACTGATCACTGATGATGAATTTTAGTGTTTATGATAATGCTCTCCTTCTCTCTGTGTAGATAAGTACCCTGGCGTCAGAAAACATTCAGTCAGCAACTACGAGTGTGTGTTGTATTCTCTCCATCATTAGATTTTAGCTTCAGTACGTCTCTTGCTGCATATGCTTGCCACAACATGATGTAAAACTAGCCACTTAATTTGAGCGTTGATAAAGTAGGTAACTCGAGAGGTTAGACATAGGCCCCGTTCACACGGGAACGCAATCGTTCCGTTCCGTTCTTTTCCGTTCCGAAAAGCGGAACGCTCAGGGGTTGTGTTCACATGGGAACGCTCCAAACGACATCATTCCGTTCCAAAAAGTGGAACGATAAAATAAGTGATACGAAAAGTGAAACGGTACGCAATCGTTCCGTTCCGTTCCCGTGTGAACGCGCAGAACTGGTCCAGAAAATGGAACGATAAGAGTTTGGCGCATGCGTCTGTGTTGTTGTTGAGGGAAGGAAAAGGTGACAATAATAAACTCAGCGAAGAAAATGGAGGATTTCAAAAACACCATTGGCTGAATCTCGCCGTTAGTCCATTTAAAAGATTCAACACCATTCTGCAAACATTGAAATTCCTTCCTTTTAGGGTTGGCTTCAATTTTCCCACGAGCTTGCTTATTTTGGGGCGCTTTTGTATTCTCCATTTATTTAAATTGTTTAAAAAATTCAGAGATAGATCAGAGATAAATCGAAATGATGAAATCTATCTCCATTATGGACATGCGCATTAAAAATCATTCGCTTATTCTGGCGCGCAAATTGCAGAACGGAACGATTGCGTTCCCGTTTGAACATAAACAAAAATCGATACGCAATCGTTCCGTTACCGTGTGAGCAGTATACCTTTTCGTTCCAGAAACTGGAACAAAAATGGAACGGAACGATTGCGTTCCCGTGTGAACGGGGCCATAGAGTCAAAAGTCAGCTGTGCATGAATTAAGTTAAAATCATTTTCAGAAGAATCGAACTTCATTTTTTGCAACGAAGCAACTGCTATGGTAAAAGCTATTTTTGCGCATATTACTCCATATTTTTGAGGTTATAAGCTGTTGAGTGTTGGCCGTTGAAATGAATATTCGTGAGAAGAAAGAAATGCCTATACTTGCAAACTCAGATGTTGCCCGCTGACAATTTTAGCTTAGAATGTAATGTTTTCATCTATTGTTTTAAAAAAATTGTTTCAATTTTATGCTAAATCTTCATGTAAACAAATCTTTACTTGAATGAAACTGTATTTTTATAATACCAAAATGCAAGAATGCCTAGGAAATGGGAACGTAATTGAGATTCAAACTCGTATAGACTCAATCGTAGCTCTGCGACAAGTCTTCTGTTTGATTCACTTTTAACAGGTTTACCTCGATCATTTTAAAAATCAGCTTTGATGTTTTTGTTTCTGTTATTTTTCTGTTATGCTTAGTTTTGGAGGCATTTTGTATTCTTGACATGTTTTCGATACCTAAATTGCGTTTTGAAGTGTGAAACGATACCTGCCTACTCAGACGAAGACCGAATAATTAGATTCACATTTATTTCATTTTAAAATCCTGTTATACAATAAATTTGACTCACTTCCTTGTCTTGCTTTGTTCCTGCCTGTTACTTTTAAATCACCCACTGGAAGATTCACAGAATCCGAAGAACAGCCTATCCGGCGTATCTTTCTTTTGACACATTTCTTTGTTGGTTTTCTATAGCTTTAACAGTTTAGGTTAGAATTTTTGCATGATTTCATTTCAGTCAAATGAGGTCAGATCCATTTAAGCGCTGTCAAATTATGTTGAAAATGGAACAAATGTAGTTAAACGTGGTAGAAATCCGGTAAAATAAGAGGTTTTTCAACGTTAATGGATATTATATGCCCCCTACCATTCTATAGTTTACATTTTAATCGAACCGGCACCCTATTAAACAATTTTTTTTCATACTAAACATTATTTAGGCGTACTTTTTTCCGAAAAGTGCGAGATTATCGGTATCAGTTTTTGAAATATATGCGGAATTATGAGTACCATTTGAAGAAACATGCAGAATTATTATGGGTACCATTTTGGGAAAATATTGAAATAAAAGTATGAAATATGTGTAATATTGAGACTTTGGGGGAAAGGAAATGCAAAATTGTTTGATGATTTTTTGCTAGGCGCACACGAGAGATTTTAGCTGAGCTAAATGGAACGAGTAACATTTAGCTCAGCCATTTGCCTCACGAGTGCGGCGGTATTTTTGTGTGAATTTTGCCTCACGTGCCGAATTTTTAGAAATAAAACCAGTTTGATATTTTTTGTCACTCGTGTTGGTTTCAAAATAAACAATCAAAAGTATTTGCAGTTATTTCATCACAACTGCTTTGAAGCTAGTGCCATCGTGGGACAATTTTGCTCTTTAGTTAATACACCTCAATTGAATTTTTTTTATTTTTTGGCAAAAAGTTTGTTCTTATAATAATAGAATGTTTGTATGATCTTTTACTTTCTTCAATTTGTTCACGATTGCGTCACAATGTTCACGATTTCAAAGCGAGGCAGGGGAATAATATTGAAGTTAGAGTTTAGTTCATGCAGAAGTAGGAAGTGGATTGTAAAACGAAGTTGCGTAGAAATGGCCTATTTTGGTGGCGGTCCAGGCTACCAACCTGACAGTAGAGAATTTTTATGGAATGTCTTTAGAGGGTACGTTTGTTTCTATGCTTGCGATACGATTCCTTTCAAAGCATTTTCCGGAAGGCTGCCCATTTTAGCATATCTCCTTAAGCCAAGTCAATTAGCTAATTACCTAGCTTTAGTTTGTAGTTTGGGGACTTTGGTCTGCAAATGACACAGATACTTTCATATCTTAGTATTGGTTAATTGCATTTCTATTTTAACCCTGTAGAATCGATCGAAATGGAGATGGACAGATAAATGCCACAGAATTACAGCACGCTTTAAAGAATGGTGAGAGCTTTTTTAAAACATTTTATCACCCAGGCTCAAAGCTATATCTCTAATGTATATGTCACATGCTATATGTATATATGTATATGTCACAGGAAAATATGTCGAATTCTGGCTATGCGTAGCCCAAGAAAAAACCCACTATGAGATCATACCTGTGATCTGTGAGAAACAGCATTTGAGCTGCGAGCAATAATGCATATATAAACATGACAATAATATTATATAAACATGACTTGATTTGATTGACCCTTTTGATGTACAGAACAGGGTGGTTCTATGTTGTTATGGCAAATTTCACTGTTGCATGATGAACACATGAACTCAGAGTAGCAACTTATAACACTATAAATGTCCTGTTTTATACACCAATTGCATATACAGCTCTGCCTGTACCGCATTCGAGCACTTTATGAAAGACCAGCATATAGCTGTTTTCATGGTTTGATTGATATTGATGTACAGGTGTAAGCAGGCTACGTATAGCGAGTTGTCAAAACCATCATGTAAAAAATGTTGTTTTGCCACAGACCATTGCAAATTTCTTTCATAATGCTTGAAGTTTCAAAAGGTTTTCAATGTAAATTATTAAATTCATGGGTGGAAATTTTTTAGATTTGAATTATTCAGCAAACGGCTATTAAAGAGAGGCAGAATCAAATGTTGCTGTAAATCTAATTTAAGAAGCTTTTTGGATGAATCAAGATAAGACACTGTGTAAAGACTTATATTTGTTAGTAAAAAAACTGTTAAAATTTTATACAATGAGTAAAGGAATGTTTTTTCTTAGGATCATGGACTGAGTTCAACCCAGAGACTGTAAGATTGATGATTGGTAGGTCAAAATTTTTCCAAAGTTTAATTGTGCATACTTTATGTAAGAGCCATACACTACACTTATGAAATAATCTTGGTATTTGTATGTTTAAGGGGAATTTAGCTTTTTTATCTCCTTAAATTAAGGCCAAATTTGAGCAGCAACTAACAACTTTTTTCTAATGCAAGTCAAGTCAATCAAGTCAGACAAGTTTTAGGCATTCTGTTTCATGGTCACGATTTTTAGCTCGCTTTAAAGAGGTGCTATCTCTATGACTAAGTCCCATTATGAAACTTCAATTACTGAGTCTAGCCACTTCATTCCACTCAAAGAGTAATACGTCCACAATGCTCATGATCTGCAGTCTGAGTAAAGTTTGTCGAGTAAAACGTTGCTCGTGGGCCAACACCTTTAGGGGTTGGAGGCCTGAATACTTTGGTTCTCAGCACAAACTGATGCTTTGGAATTGCAACATACCAGTTAAGCAGGCAGTAATTCGCATTTTACTTATCTGTGCCTTTGAATTTGCTCTTAAAATGTTTTTTATTTTCCATCCAGTTGTTTTCCTTTTCACTGGAGTTATTTGATTTTCTTTCAAAATAAAAATTATGTTGTTTCAATTATCTTTGTTAGGCATGTTTGACCAAGATAGAAATGGGACAATAGATTTCCATGAATTTGAATCTCTTTGGAATTATGTGACAGAATGGAGTAGAACCTTTAGAAACTATGATCTGGACAACAGTGGTGCTATAGATAAAAGAGAGCTGATTTTAGGTATGTTGTAGCAAGTATATATTCAATGTATCAAATTACAAAACATGCATGTATATTGCTTTTTATAACTTTCTGTGTATCGATTATAACTTTCTGTGTATTGATAAAATAAGGTGCTTATCCTGTCCTTATGACAATAAATCAAATTAGACAGATGAATTTCCCCAACTGACTATCTCTGGAATTTGTCATCATTTGCAATAACTTGATATGTTTTTCTGTTGATTACTTGATATACATACATCTTAGACAAAAATATTTTAGTCCTTCTACTGATGAAAAATATTTGTAGTGTGAAGCTGAAATTGACTTTTAACTTCTCCAGTCAGGCTAGGAAGGAATTTGCCAAAACATATATTTCTGGAAAATTAGATGTGTTTTTAAAAAATATAATAGACACTAATGGCCATAAATCCTTAGAGCTGGTTTCTGTTTTGTTTCAGCTCTACAAGGTTTTGGTACGTATCTGTTTTTGTCAATTTTATTAATTATAATGTTTTTTTAAAAACTTATGCCCAATATGATTCTTATGTGCTTTAGCAGCACTGTTTTTATCAACTGTTTACTCCCACCATTTTTTTATTTTTCTTCCTTGAGCATGGATTTCTAGTACCATCATCACATTGCATCAAGTAACCTTTATAGAATGATAAGGAAATTCCAGAGAATTCAAGCTGTTTTATGCATTTAAAGAAATATTCCATGCAGGTATCTAGAAAGGAAAATATATCTTAATAATTCAGAATGCTCACTATGAGGGTGAAACAGAGAAAAGAAATTGTATTCAAATTTGAAAATCATCATTTTCAGTTGATAATTCAACAATTTTTTTTGTTTGCCAATTTCTTTTGATTGATTTTTAGCTTTTCCTAATGCTGCATCACTGGTGGTGTATGTCTAAAAGCATCATAATTTTCTGTCCTGCCGGGTTATCCAGAATTTATGTCATTCTTGAAGTTGCCTGTTGAATTGTCATCTATTATTGGCAGGTTATATTAAAACTTAACATCTGCAATACATTGAGATCTTGCAGGAATCTTCATATACTCACAAGCGAAGATCTCTACCTGCCCCACATTTCTGCAGTGCCTGCAGATTGGAAGTGTCTGCAAACTGCATAAGAGCTTGTCTACAATTTATAAGTTACAGATTCAAAGGGAAGCTCAGACCATATTAACCAATGGAATGGAATAGAGCAGACTGGAAGCGGTAGAAAAAGCTATCCTAGAGAAAAGTGTTCTCTCTAACAGGCACTTCCCTACCTAATGGTAGTATACAATACCCACCTTAACCATATAATAGGTTATCTGAAAATGGCAACTCTTTTCTAGCACTTTACCTTACAGACTTATTATTAGCTACATTTGCACACTCGTTTTTGCAATGTTATCTAATATCACACTATTTCTAAATATGACAGTTAAGTTCAGTACCACAAGTTGTGAAGGACGTGACAGCGAATATTTGCATCTATTTCCTTTAGGTTACAATGTTTCAGATCGCATCGTCAATATTCTAATGCGAAGGTTCGATCGTTCTGGAACTTTGGAAATACGATTTGACGATTTTGTTCAACTTTGCAGTGTTCTTCGGGTAAATACCATCTTGCTCTTCAACTCTCTATTGTATTTTATTCGCTTTGTTTTCTCATTGTCTTGATATCTTTCGATTTTGAGGATAAATTATAACCATAACATTTGATAGCAAAGAAATAGTGCATTATAGAATGACTATTAACACAGTGAGCGTTATAGTAAATCTGTGGCGATTGACAGGATAATCGTTGATCTGCTCTTATGTTAACAACTTTAAGAAAAATTACAATTCGTGATTTTTAGCAAGGTGACAAATTAGTTCTTATCTTTTGGGATTAGAAATTGACTTTGGAGTGGAATGATAGAGCTTGCTTCTGTTGATACAATGCATTGGCTGCCCTATCAAAGTACAGCACTTTCTTGGCCCAATGGATCAAACTGGATCCACTTCTAAAGCCATCAAGAACATTTGAAGTGATTGATACCAAATGACCCATTTTTATTTTTTGCAACAAGATTTCTTACTTTGTTTCTTTTTTTCATTGAAGATGCTAACAGATGGCTTCAAAAGATATGATCGACAGTTAAATGGATGGGTTGACCTTGGCTACGAGCAGTTCCTCACGCTTGTCTTCAGTCTGCGACACTAGACCGTGTATGTTCATGAGCTTCGTGGGTGTAACACATAGAGTAGAATGAACAATTTAGATTTTTTCATTCAAGTATCATAAGAGGAGTTGATAGCAGTAGAATACTTAGATGCTTTTGCTTTACACAGCCTGTAATGGCTTTCCAGTCTTCACAAAGAAGGGGATGTTAAATTAGCAATGTATCGCTTTGATGCTATTTTTACTCAGACTAGTGGCTAGTTAACTAAAAGGCTATCTATTTTTTATCGTAGACGCATGCATGTAGAAAAAAATATTGATCCGGTGAAATTCGTGATATTCTATCTAAACATCGACAGTAAACAGATTTTAGAAGCATTGAGCTGTCTTCAGGGTGTTCAATCGGATGATTTTGATATTCACTTACTTGGTTTTGATTCAGGTTAATTTATAACACTTGATTTACACGAGACATATCATTTTGTGAGTAAAGAACAAAACTTAGACGTTAAGAAAGCGGCAAGTAAGAGAGACTCGTAAGAGAATACTTCACGTCGCTTGCCCTCAGAAAGATCTATTACAGAATAACAAACATATAGCACAGCGAAATATAAGCAAATAAAGTCTATCAAGCAATTCTCCCATCACGGGGGTAAAACCCCACAGTATCTATCAACAACAAAGTCGAACCTGGCATATATTTTGCCTCCATGGGTGTCGCGCCAGGCCTCTTTGTTGGAGTAGACTTTGGAATAGCTTTGAATGGCCCCTGGGTTGTTGAGAAATTTAATGTGCCCTGTTATATCGTTTCTGTTCTGGAGTTCTACAGTAGACTGTAATGTTTTATTAGCATCAAAAACAGCAACGTGCTAGTCCAATTGGTTCTAGTTTTCCCTTTTTTTCGTAAGAATGCTTATTACTCTTTGGAACGTCAATAACAGACATACTGGTGTTATTTTGGTCGATGACAACACTTATTTATGCTAGAATAGTGTATTCCTTTAAAATCTCCTCTCCATGATTTATTTGTAAAATATTTGCAAAAATGAACACTGCCTTCAATTGTCTTAAGTTCACGAAACAATTGTTTCATTCTACCCATTATATCTTGGAAGTTCATTTTTGTTGCTTTATAGGATAAGTAGTGTAATTTTCTGTAGTTATGTAATGTTGGAAGCTGTATTTTTTAGTAACGCACTTACAACTTTTTTTCAAGTGTAAAACAATTAATTAATGTAGTTTTTCAATGTTTATAGTTGGCAATATGTAGGTATATAGCTTTTACATGTTTCACATAATTAAGGCTTTGGCGAACAGGTGTAATATAAGTTTTCCTTCTTGCTTCAGAGACATAATTTGAAATCAGTTCTTTAAACACAACAGTGTCTATCAAATGAACATCAGACACTGTGGCGCACGTATAGTTGTTAACTAATGGTAGTCCTCCTCTATGGAATTTTTATGGAAATAGATAAATTCCCTGCTTTGTTCTACTGTACTGTTGTGTAACATGGTTTCTCTTGCCCTCGTAGCTGGTTCAGCGTAGGCACGTCAATGTTTGCTCGCATAACTTTCATGGTTGTGGCTTCCAGATCAGACCCCACAAACACCCAAAACAAAATTAATGTGCGGATTCAAACTGCCTACTCTTAACTTTGTTGGTTGTGACTGCCGTAACCCTAACCTTTCTCTAGACGAAACCATTATTAGCCCTTATTATGGTTGAGGTTGCAATCTTTTACGCACGTTCAAAGAAGTGTCGCTAGTTTTAGCCAAGACACAAGTCCACTTATCTCCCCAACCTTAAGCTTCTGCGATGTCAGAATGCTTATGTATGCTATGATATGTGTTTTCTTAAATTTTCACAAACTTCCGAATTTCGACATCAAACTCTTAGTTTCTTGGCCATACTAAATCTACCAAGTGGTTGAATCTTATCGAAGTCTTCTGTCACTCCACAACTTCTATTTTGATGTTGTGATATTTTTTCAAATCCTTTTCAAACGTGCAATTTGTATTGACAGCAATGATGGGCCAACAGATATTAGGATGGGTGGACTAGTCCCCCACTTTTTCAGAAAGTTGGTCTTTGAGTTTTTTGCAAATCCGATGAGAAAACTTCGAAGAAAGAGAGGGGGGGGGTATGTACGTTATCTAGATCGTCAGAAGCTGATTTCAGTGTGAAGCCACAACGTCACTAGTATTGCCTTGTCAGTAGTTTGTAGAAAACCGTCCTTTGTTTCTTGATATGGTCTTCCTTTAATAAGCAACGAGAGAAGCAAGAGAGATATTTCAAACAGAACTGACTTATCAAATCTTCGAAAACAATTTGCCATCAAATCAAGGAAGCTGATCTTATTTATAGTCCATAATATTAAAAAGCTGAAAACTTGGCCTATCGATTAGAGCTTTGAATCCCCTCAGAAACTTTCGTAAACTATTTGTAACTTGAACAGCTCGTCGAAAAAGATTACATAAAGGTGTCACGTTTGAAAGTATTACTAGTAGCACTTTATTAAAGGTCTTGATGATTTTAAACACGTAAAGTTTGTAATTTGATAATTCTGAAAATAAGTTTTAGGCAATAGTGTTCATACATACGTACACACATACATACATACATATATACATATATAGCATAGAGTTGGAGAAAATATCACCACATGTTTTATCTCTACAAGCCTGTTTCGTGAACCTGATTGCTATATTACGCTCTACTTGTAAATGTATTGAGCACTGTGCTACGGAACTATCAACAGACAAATTTCTACATACATATATACAAACATACATACATATATTTTTATTGATAAGCAGGTAGGATACTGGCAGCTTGCAGCTGATGTGTACCTGCTATTTACTCTATTTACAATAAACAAGTAAAAGCTTTAAGTTTCTGATAAACAAAATGTCTATCTTTAAAACTTAGGTGTTCTGTTCATTGCCAAAGGTAAATTAAATTATATTTCTTGGTGTTTTCCCAGGAGAGAATCCTTCTCGCGGGAAAAAAGGCGTGGTCCAAAAAGGGGCTGGTCCGGAGTCCCCATTTGTCCCCCCCCCCAACTTATCCCGGGCTGGAGCCGCCACTTCTCTGACAGTGGTAAAGCTTCTTCAAAAGTTTATCTCGCTTTTTTAGGCGCTTAAACGCTCCGGTTTTAAACGCACATGTACGCAGCAACGCAGGCTATTCGCCGCGAACGAGGCTAAATCTGAAAGGTGAGAAGAAAGGGCACTTGACGCGTTAATTCGAGGTATTTAAGTGTTAGTTTGCAGTTGACACGTTGTGAGGAACATGTTGAGTGCTTGTGTTCAGAAAAGAAGCATCTTACGGGTGATCAAATTCAATAAGTATCTGTTTGATGTTTTTGTACCCGATGCAAACATATCGAAATCAAAAATAGGCCTAGAATCACCAATCAGGAGTTTTTCAGCAGCAACTGCAATGGGTAGCAAATTGCTCACCATCGATTCGCTCAACCCGTGTGTCAAGAACGTTGAATATGCCGTGCGAGGGCCTATTGTTCAGTTAGCGTCAAAATTAGAGAAAGAATTGCAGCAGGTAAGTAAAACGGGCGCTATACAATTATGTTAAACAGAGACCAAACCATGCATGAAGCTAATTATATTATGCAATTTTTGCATTGTGTTTTGTCAGTTACATTCACTGCCAAAACTCTTGGAACACTCGTGATATTTTCAACGTTTGCATCCATCTGTTCCCCTTCCCCCTACAAACAATGTTGTCTCACAGCAAAGTTAAGGCAAACTTTTGTGGCAAACCTTTTTCTACCGATTGCTGTGATATACTGCATTGTAAGCAACATTGTTTTAGCGGGGTAAGTCTATTAGAATAAGAAACACGGGAAACATACGAAAAAAGCAAAAATGTAGCAAAATATGTAGGTGTTCCAAGGAGTTTTGGCAGAAATTGTCTAATTTGAAGTATAATTCTTCAAACTAATAGATATGATATCAAAACCTGTATCTACCCTGGGGTGTTCATTGGCGCTGTGTTCATTTTTGGCCTTTTTTAAACTAAATTCTGGACCAGTTCAATGATTCACAAGGGTAATTTCATTTTTTAGTGACTTTAGTAGGAAGTCGATATGGAAGTCAATAGATTGTATAAAATATATTTAAGATAGAGTAAATGTAAGTAAATATAAAGTAAATATGGTCTTTACAAATTTTATTGAGATTATAGTTGCAATTCCTTGGGTATTTGGGTATACATTTTTTACAGTGTAAAAGCAGGAGCAATGGAATAAATGTGCGCAGTCTTGCTTGTTCAGAATACTATTACAAAGCATACATGTTGTTAGCGGTAAAATAGTCTGGGCAACAAAGATACTTGGTTAACAATGCATATCTTTAGTGTTAATATAATTGGGTTTTTAAATTATCACTATCACTGCTCTATGTCTGAATTGAGGCTATGCAATAAAGAGGTTGCAACAGCAAAAATCAATTTTTCAAACACACTCTTCAGTTGTAAAATTTCTAAATGCAGTTGTAAAATTGAAACAATCGATATGGCAAGTGCAATTGAAGTTAGAGATGAGGGGGCTCCAGAAATCTTACCCACAGGTGTTTTAAGGAAGTTTACCATATATCATATACACTAGGGTATCAAAAGTATTGCACCACCTTGTTCAAAATGGCAGCACTTTTTTGTAAACTTTTCGGCATTACAAAACATTTGAATGCAAGAGTTGGGTGAAATAGACATACTTTGTAACAAATTTGGCAGGAAAAAGTTGCAAATTTTGCTAACGCCATAGAAAATTAAGCAAAGACAGTTTTGTTTGTAAAAATGTAGACCATGCCTAAGGAAGCAAAATTGTCAAATGAGGGGCGAGTCGCTATAAAATATTTACAGGGAAGTGGTCTTCAGTTTTAAAAAAAATGTTGACCAAGATAGATGCCTTCACACAACAGCTGCGAGAAATTATAAAAGATTTCTCGAGAGTGTCACACTAGTAAAGAAACCGAGAAGTGGGCGACCAAAAATGAATTGATGTTAGAGGGGAAAGAATTTGTCGGTTTTATTTCACTGCGTTTGCACCTAGGGGCAGTAAAAGACATGAAACTTGAAACTGGGCAAGGTTTTGAAGCTCAAAATCCGTCCACAGAAAATATAATGAGTGTTTTGAAAAAATACAAAAGAAACTATTTTTACAAAGAATTATTTTTAAACAAAAGAAATTAAAGCTTTTACATTGCCAGAGTAAAGTCCAATTTTTAACATCACTTAAAAAGTTTGACTTCAAATGAAAAAGGCTACAAACCATGATCCAAAAGGTGGTCCAAAGACCAGAGAATCATTAATTGTAAGAGGTTTCCAGGCCTAATACGAAATTCTACAAGAATATGTTGGCCAAATGTATGGATTCATTTCGAGGAGGCTTTTTGCGGTTTCAAAAATTTGCGGCTACCCGTCAAATTATTGAAATTTGAAACTGTTTAAAGACATTTTCTACTGTCATTTTTAAAAACAAATGCTCTAAATAGATTGAAGTTTTGATTGGTTGTTGTTTTGCTTTCAACCAATTGCCATTCGCCACTTAAAAACAGAATTAATTTGCATAACAGTAGCTTTCAATCATTCTTGCGCCATTTCTCCTCCATCGAGGTGGTGCAATACTTTTGATACCCTAGTGTAGTAATGCAAACATTGAGTTACTCAACAGAGAAAAATTCTCAGCTATTGTAACCGAGTCTTTTACAGTGGCAGCTACGGAAGTCACCTTACTACAATGGGCATGCTGTATGGAAAAGCACAAAAATGGAGCATACCATTTTCATATGTGCATTTTACTGGATAAATGTCAACGGTGGCTAGAAGTGAAAAAGTACATCCAAGATCACCATCACATTATTGTGAATTTTTCCGGACATTCAGGGTATCATACTGCCTTGAACTATGTCGCAAAGGAGGATGAGGGTTTCATAAACAGAGAACCATCCAGAGGTAGCTGCTCCAAAAACAGCAAAGGCCACAATGGCTAATTCTGCAAAGAAGGGTCATAAACCATCAAAACAGCTGAAGTGTCTATGCAATTCTGATGTTGCAAAAATGATCCTAAAAAATGCAATAAAATTTGGGTTAGATCTTCTTGCGCTAGCCAAGACCTCTGCTGGAAACAGTGACAAGCATCTATATGAATTCGTTCTAAATAAGAACGAGAAAAAGTTACAAGTATTGGTAGACACTGTGTGGGAAATGGAGACAGCAACAGAGAAGCTTCAACAGGCTAAAATGACGAGGGTTGAATTCTTGCAGTAGCAGTTATCTGTTGTACGATTTGCAAAGGCGAGTGGCTTAAATGTGCCTTGGAGGTTCGGGAAAAAAACTCCATCTCAAGAGCTGTTTTTGCTGAGGCCATTTTGACGTTGCTTGACAAGGGTACAGGCAAGGGCCGTAACTTTTTTATCGCAGGTCAAGCAAACTGTGGCAAAATGTTCATTTCAGAACCACTAAGAGTTGTCTACAATGCTTTCTTGTCTCCTGCCACTTGTTCTTATGCATGGCTTGGTGTTGAAGAGAAGGAGGTAATTTTTCTGAATGATTTTAGGTGGTCACCTGTCATTCTGCCATGGGGTGATATGCTGCAGTTGTTGGAGGGCGCTGTTGTACACTTTGCTGCTCCAAAAACTGTGTATAGCAAGGATATAGAGCTCACCCAGAATACTCCTGTCTTTGCCACATCAAAGGCTCCAATTTCATTCATCGCAGGCTCCATGATGAACGTGCATTGGCAAATTTTCAAATTCCAGGGCCAGTTTGAGGAACGGGTGCAGAAATGTGTTCCTGCCTGTGGTCATTGTTTTGCCAAAATGATCTTGTGACATTATGCATCAGCAGCAATTGTCAATCACAATAGGCATTATTTGATGCAAAAGGCATCCTTGGCAGGGAAAAGCCTCACAAGGCTGCCATGTTGATGCAAAACGTGGCACAACTGTTAACCATAGTGTTAACCTTGGCAGTTTTTTATCTCATTTGTTATTAAAGTTACTCTTTCGCCCCCAAGTTCCTCAACAAGGTGTCTTCTAATTTAATCTACCTGAAAATCTATGTTTGGCCTGAATTGATTGCCTAAAAATGACAAGATTTACCAAAACTCATGGTTAACACTTGAAAATGAAATAGTGTTAGTTCATATCAAATTCAATTTTCAAAAAAAGTGTAGACCATGGGCTGTTTCTCAGTTTTCTCCTTTCGCATGTATGAAATCCAAGTCAAAGTTTAAACAGCGTTTGAAACATACATTGCACACCTCTTGGCAAAATCTGAATTTCTTTTTCTGGTCAACACAACTTTTACAGGCATTTTAAAAATCATTAACCATGTCTGTTAACCGCGGGGAAAACATTTTAAGACTACAAGATGGCCCTACAGCATTTGAATACCAATAGTTATCAATTCAATTTTGTGTATGGTCTAATGATTATAAGTATAAGCATAAACTGAGATGCCAATCTTTCACTATTATTAAGTTGAAGATTCCATACTAAAGCAGACATAAGCATGAAATCTGAAGGAATCACAAAACAGTTTATCTACCTTGGTGATGTCCATAGGGGGAAGGAGCAACACACTGTAAACAATTCTACTTGTTTGTGATTTATGTATGCATTTTTAGCCATGTCATTCTTTACTCAGCTGTTTATAAACATATATGTTTACAACTATACAAATTACAACTATACATATACAAATTTACATTATTTCAGTATTTTGTTCTGTATCCTCCATTTGTAGTTATCGTTTTGAGACGTTTATGCATAGTTTAGATAGTGAACCACTGCCATTGGCTAGTGTCCGTAACACCCTCTCCTTAAAAGCTGTGAAATCCTCCTTCTCTATCCTATCCTGCAATGCTTCTTTCAACATTTTCCTTTTAACATTGTGGAAAACATTTTCTATTGGGTTCAGATCTGGTGAACTTGGTGGTATCTTGACAAGCTTAGCTCCAATTTCTTGTAGGGCATCTTTGGCTACTCTACTCTAGAATCATTATCCATTACAAAAAGCAGCTTCTCTTTATTTTTCAAAACAGCACTCCTAACAGTGCCTGTTGTAATGTTGTTACAGCCAATTTTGCAAACCAAGGCCATTCATTTTGTCATATTCTTCAGCAATTATGACGCCTGATGAGAATGCAACGCCCACCATAACATGACATCTTCGACCCTCTGGTAGGCTTTTCCTTCCTTTTGTGGTGTATTTCAGACCCTCATTTGTTGTTCTCCAAAACTCTTCTACTGGGCGTTAATGCATCCCTGTCAGGGTTCTGTTTATGTATAAATAAAACAGTACCTAAGTAAATCAGGACGTCGTCTGTCCAAAAATTCTCGTCGTTTTTTTAAATGCTTCCCTTGAATAACGAACTCTGTGTCTTCTATCTGCATTTGAAAGAACTCCTTTACGTCTGGGTCGTAAGCATCTGTACCCAGCTTTATTCAATATTCTGACCAAACTTCTGTAGCTAACGTCCGTTATTTGGCTTTCTCTTGCTATATCCACCACCTAATGTTTGCATTTTCATCTCATCTCTCTGAAAGTTCTTAAAACCTGCTTTTTCCTTCTCTTTCAAAACCGGAGGTCGGCCTGTACCTTTATTCTTTGTCTTCCTTCTCCCGTTCAAACCCTCCTGACAAATGCGAACAACATTTGATGGAGAAATTTTACAAACATCAGCAATTTTGCGATACGCCAGTCCCCTGTCTTTTCGCAGATAGTATGAATAGGCTCTTTTCCTTTGGTTAATCATCATATGGAAGACCATTTTCCCTAATATCGCTGTGATTTTTTGTAGACTCTAAACTGCCTATCGGCTTTTTCTCTCTTTTATAATATATTTGCAATTACAGTTTTGGTTCTATTTTTATCTCTTATTGGTGTTTCCTTATTTGGAAATATAAAAAAAACATCTTTCTCTCTATACAAATGGTGCCGATTTGCTTCATAAAAATGCTGTAATCTTTTGTGTTAAGAGAAATCGATCATCACAAAGGAAAGGTGCCATGAACAAAATTCACGCTTTCAACGCATTCATATCTACCAAATTCCTCTACACAATTACTGCAATAACACCAAATTTTGTAACTAATTAAAGAAATATAACGGAATGAAACTATTGACACCATCTACCACTGTTAAAAACAACGGCTAAAGCCCCCCTACCCTCAAACTGAAGAAAGAAGTTTAGAAATCGCGATTTTTTTTAACAGATATGAAATCAGCACCATCAAAAACCTTAATGTTACCCCATGTTTATTTGACTGTACTTTTGATATTTCAGATAGGTTTCAGACAATCACTGCCAAAACTCTTGGGAACACTTGATATTTTCAACGTTTGCATTCATCTGCTCCCCTCCCTCCTCCCTTCAGACAATGTTGTCTCGCAGCAAAGTTTAGGCATACTTTTGTGGCAAATCGTTTTCTACCGATCGCTGTGATATACTGCATTGTATATAAGCAACATTGTTTAAGGGGGGGTCAATGTATCAAATTCCGAATGACAACTAAAAGTAGCCAACACTTGTCACTAGATGGAGATGGATCACAACACAACTGACTTGTCTGTGTTTTCTTGCATTGCTATTTAGTATTCTCTTGCAAATATTTATGCTGCTTACCCCTTTTGCAAGATCATCAGATCTAACAGCATTTTTTATGTATTTCATATTCTATGTACTTACAGACAGAATTAAAAAAGTAGAAGAAAATTGAACATATGAAATCCTCTTATGATTTGATTGCAAAGGAATCTGGTTATTCTGGTTTGGTTTTATGATGTTTATTTCATATCAAGACATATGTTATGGTAATTAATAGATACATAATGACATTGCTATATTTATATTTATTGTTTGTTATCATTAAAAAACTGCTTGTTGTATATTGTGTTTTAATATCAATAGAACAATGCTGTACGATTGCGTTATAATAAGGACAATAGTAGTATTCACAGTTAAGGGCTCATCTTTAGAAAGTGAGCACGCTGTTGATTTGATTTAAAGTATAGACAGTCACAAGTTGTTTTTCGAAATGCGAGTAGTATTAATGTTGATTAAGTTTCGAAGAGCCTTAATTAGGTTATCTGTATAAGATGCTCTAAAACATTACTAAATTAGATGCTCTATAATACTACATTGCTATAAGCATAATTTCAAAAATTTGAGTCATTATTTGATTGCTTCTATCCAGGACTGCAGAGAGGGTGCAGGGGGACAATATTGCCCTTGGGCCTCAAGGTCAATCATCCCATAATGTATTTTTTTTCAATTTTAAGAACGGAATCAATCCAACATAACAAAAATAGGCCTTTGAAGCTTTTCATTAGCCCAACAAATGAATTGCTAGCAATGACAAGTGCCTACAGAGTCATAAAATAGTGTGAGACATTTAAGCTTGTTTTTCAAATGTTGGTTTTTAGTCAAATAATGCTGTCAAAGTGAGCCCCTCCCTCCACATTGAATTTCTTGGTGCCACCCCTATCTAATTGCACTTGCTTTATAATGCATTCAAAATAATATGGTAAATTATTCATTATGTATTTTATGCATTACTTCTTTTCTCCACACCAGGGCATTGCTAAACCATTTCAAGATGTTGTGAAAGCTAACATTGGTGATTGTCATGCAGTTGGGCAGAATCCAATAACATTCATCAGACAGGTTCTCAACACTTCTGACAATAACCCTCATTACAACAGAGTATTTTCAACAGTCAACTGATCTTTAGGTCGTCTTGTGGACACTTCATTATTATTTGGTTAAAAAGGGGAAATAAGGAGAAAGAATATCTTGAATAAAAACTTTGTGTCTGACACTCTTCTGTTGTTTGAATTGCTTGAATAATTTCTCATGCAGAATCACACATATTAACTTATTATGATTAAAACATCTGAAAATCAAACTTTGCACATTATGGTTGCTTAAAGATCAGTAACGTGAGATTCTAGCGATGTAATTCCTGATCACAAAAAGATGGGCTTGCAGTATTATTTGGAGATAGGTCTTAAGACACTTTTTCACTTTTTAATTTTATTTTGACATATAATTCCGTAATGCCAATCAATACTAATATGTTATGTGCTAAAGCCATTTGTGACAAATTATACAAACCCAGATTAACTTTCTAATCTAGGTCATATCAGCTTGTACTTGTCCAGAATTGATTGCACAAAAGGTTTTCCCTGATGATGTCAATAAGAGATCAAGCGAGATTTTAAATGCGGTAAAAAATAGTGTTGGCTGTTATACTGATTCTCAAGGAATTGAATTTGTACGCAAAAGTGTTGCAGCATATATAGAAAAGCGAGATGGATATCCTGCAGATCCAGGGAACATATTTTTGACAAATGGTGCAAGTTCAGGTGTTAAGGTGATTGTTTTATTTTCATCGATGCTTATCATTATATGAGTGTAATAGTATAAGGATAATTAAATTTTCTATTGATATTTTTATGTTTGTATTATCGTTTTCAAAGCGATGGACCCTGTGAAAACCAGGGTTGCTTAAAGTGTGCTACTCTACGTCCTTAAAAAATTTGAAATGAAATGAAACAAAATTGGGAACTTTTTGTGAATCCTACATTCTTAATCAATAGTGATTAAGTGATCACTGAATAAAACTTTAGCATAAGAATTTGTGAAGAATCTCAAATAAAGTTGCAGAATAGTCCTGCATGTGAAAACACCATTGATCCTGTCCAAAGTTTGGAGAGATGCGGCCACATCAGCAAAGATTTTTTTCAAACAAACAGGGTAACTTGGTCTTGATTATAAAATTTATGAACCAAACCCATCCAAAAGTAATCTGTTAGTAAGCTCTGTGCTAGCCAACCTTAAACTCCGGCCAGCAGCAAGTTTTTGTCCGGCCCATCGAGCACTTCATCTAAAAATAATATTTCGGATTCTATTTAGTTTTGTTTTTGGACTGCTCGGATATTCTCTTTTCCTCTACAGTAAACGATAATGTGCGTCCAAAAGGAAGTACGAGAATAGGAAATACTTTATTTAATCATTTAAAAATTTTTTAGCAAAATATTTTACTGCTTTCATTGAATTCAATAGATGGTCGATAAACTCACCATGACCTCACCCTTTCCTCCACTTTCTGAGATCCCAGGCCCAAGGCCAGACTTAATCTTTAGTTCATGAAGTTCTACTTCTTAGCGTTTGTGTATGAGGCAGCGTGTGTAGACTAGGGCACTGGCTAATGCTTTATTGCCAAACTGTGTTTTTTATTTATTTTTTCTCTCCATCTTATTTTGGTTTCATTCATTTGTAACAAAGTTGATTATTTGCTGTTATGCTTAGATAATTCTAAAACTTTGGAATACCTCTTTTCATGTCAACATTTAAATAGATAACCGTTATGGAACCGTTAGCTATTTTAGATGCAGTTTCTGGCCATCCCTAGATTATTATAATCTAAAATGTTTCTTGCCGCCAACCATGGTGGCGGCCTTTTTTAATACAAACACAATCATTAAATTTTGGCCCCAGTTTAAAATACGTTTTGCCGTCTCAGTATACAACTTCAAGTGCATCAAATCGACCTAACAAATTTTTAACATCATAACCTAAAAATAGCGCAACTGTCTTCTGTTTCAACTGGTAAAAGAAACGCATGCTGCAAACTCTTGTGTAATCGTTTTTTTGGCTTTATATACTTTGTTACATTTTGAAGCTTTTTGTCCCCCTCCCCCAGAAAGTTATCCCTGGCCTTGTGCGTGTAAATCTGTCGGGTATTGCACATTGAGCCAATCCTTCTTACATCAAGCCAGCATCATGTTCCTAAATGTTATTATCGCCCTCCCTTTTTTCTCCTCTCATCCAACATTCCTAAACTTATTTCATGAAAAAAGCGCACTACATAAATTTTATGAATATAGAATGTAGTACTTCGGAATTTGTGCATTTTTTTGACACAAGCAAAAGTGGAAAACTCAGTGGCCCTCTGAGAAAATCCACATGTTTTCCTGGCCCGGCACTCAAAACAATTAAGAATCCCTGCTCTACGCCTTTCATTCAAATTTTTCAGCCTCCTGGACCAGATAACTGAGTTAGCAAATTTTTGATTACATTAAGTACAAACATTTTCAGTTGATAATATTTTGGACAATGAACTTCAACAAAGATATTTTTGGACTTATTTTAGCATTTTAGACAAATATATTTTTGGACAAATATTGACCAGGGTTCTGGCTGTTTAAAGGAAAACCACTTGTTGATTCACATATACTTTTCTAATTGTGAGACTTGAGAAACTTGCAAGAAACCAAACTTGCTCAAATTCTTAGTTTCTTATAAAAATATATGTATTGACACTAACCACCTTCTTGAGCGAAGTCCTCTTCTGAGAACAAAGTTTCTGACATCCATAGACAAGGAAGGAGAGACTCATCTTTTATGTGCTATTATCTGCTTTGCCATTTACATCTTCAAATGGTTCTTCTGACTAAGTTAAAGTACTATTAATAGCCTCGTCATATTTTGCCATTTTAAAACTGTTTCATACCTTAGAAGTAAGTGGCAGTGACTTTTGGACAGACGTCGATGAGAACAATGAATGTTGTTTGTTTGGAACTTATATTTTTATCAAATTAGAAGAACTACTGTTTTCAAAAATTTCCCAGACATGCTCATGTTAAAAGATTGTGACCTTTCATTTCATTTTGTTTTGCAATGGAAATGCAGAATCAAGATCAAAGACTTTCTTTGCACACATGCAACTTATGATGAAATTTTCGTTATAACAAACTTTCAGACAGCTCCAAATTATGCACAAATAAATTTTCGGACAAAATTTTGTCTCGCCAAAAATTTTAACTGTAACTTACTGTAACTTTTTGCATCTTTCCTTCCATAGCTGATGCTTGAATGCTTCGTTTCATCTGAAGTGAAATCTGGTGTCATGATTCCAATACCACAGTACCCTTTATATTCTGCAACCATATCAGAGTATGGACTGCATCAGGTAAAACAGATCTTCAGCTTTTTTTGTTCCTGATTCTGAAAACGATAAGAAACATATGTTAGATTTCCTATGTATAAGAAGATAGTATTTTTATAAGAACCTTTTTGGATGTAGAGAATTTTAACTTCAAGAAGCTTTAACGTGCTAAGTTAAGTAGGCTTTTATAGCAATGAGTTATTTTTCTTTAGGCACAAAGATGACAAATGAAACAATACATGTTTTGATTAATCTTCAAGAATTTTCTTTTTGGCTTTTGTGTTGCATAAAAGGGCAATTGTTTTCTGCATTTCTTCTGCCAAATTAGGACTTTTTGTTTGAGATTTGTCACAATGGCATTGAAAGATAATCCACCATTGATGTTATGTTTCTTTCTAACACTCAATATATTTGACATATTTTTCTATTAAAGCAATTTCAGTCTCTGGTATCTTTCACTTTAAGATTGGATATTATCTCAATGAAGAGGAAAACTGGAAGCTCGATATATCCGAGTTAAAAAGAAGTTTAGAAGAAGCCAAGAAAAGATGCCAGCCTCGAGTATTGTGTGTGATAAACCCTGGCAACCCAACAGGACAGGTATTGTCATACCAAAACATCAAAGAAATCATCGAATTTTGCATGGATGAAGGGTTGTTTCTTTTGGCCGATGAAGTATACCAAGACAATACGTATGGCACAGAAAGTTTCCATTCTTTCAAGAAAGTATTGCGAGATATGGGTTCAAAAGGAGATGATTTTGAAATGGCCTCGTTTCATTCTGTTTCCAAAGGGTACATGGGAGAGTAAGTCCACTTTTGAGTGTCTATTTTCTATTCTTTAATTTTTTATTCTTTAGTTTTTGTGTCGACGGAGGATGCAGCGCAGTAACTTTTTGGCCCCAAGTCTAACATCTAAATATCTTGATAATGTTTACGTTTACAGGTATATGAAGCTGACGCCCGAGAAAACACAATTCCATAAATCTACGAATCAGTCCCCTTCTTTTTGAAAAAACCCCTCTTTGAATGATCTTCCTGACCTTCAAATTGGCACCTGCAGTTTAATTGATAGGGTAATGCAAGGCCTAGAGACAAAAACTGGCAATCTAGCACGAATCTCTGACATGAAGTTACTTTGACCTGTTTACCATCCTCGGTTTTATCTTAAAATGTTCTTAGAACAAGAAATTTTCCATTCCATGCCAACAGTTTGTTTTCAGCAGGTATGTTAACAATTTTTACCCATGTTATTGATGGGTGTTCTTCTTTAAAAGTTCTGTATCACATGACAGCACGTTATATTACTCGATTTTTGATCTGGTTATAAATATAAGGTGTGGGTGATTACATGAAAGCGAATATTTGAGATCGATTGCTGTATTCTAGGAAACATGGAAACAGATATGTAAATTCAATGTTAATAAAGCTAAGCCCAGGTACTGAGGTATCATGGTGCACCTGACAGGAGAATGTTATTTTACGTTCAAAGCTAGATAAAAACTCTTAAAAATCTGAAAGTCTTAATATGACAACATTATTTTATAAGATGTGGCATACGTGGTGGCTATGTAGAAGTCATTGGTCTTCGAGATGACGTCATGGTTCAGTTACAAAAGCTTCAGTCTGCCCAGTTATGTGCAAACTCGATTGGCCAAATTGTTGTTGACTGCATTACCAATCCGCCGAAGCCTGGGGATGAGTCATACGACTTGTTTATGCTGGTGAGTGACCCATTTCCAGCATTATCCGGCCATCATTTACCATAGCACTTACTGCACCTTTAGATTGAAGTCAGTCAGCACGCCTTCCATTCTGTATTTTAAGTTTTTTTTGCAGCTTGTTCACTTATGATGATGTTTTAGTGCATACTGCATACAATTTGATTTTAATCAAGCATTTATAGCTGGTTTACACTATAATCTTACCAACATTGCTAATAATATTTCCGTAATAGAAATCCGTAATTTATACAATCTAAAATTTCTTGGATTGGTGATTAAAATAGTTCGATCATATTTCAATCATATATTTTTTTTCTGACTACGGGTCAGAAAAGTTTCACTCCCATCCAAGATCTTCAAAGATGCACAGACTTTGTTGAGACTGACAGGTTTTCGACATTAATCTAGAATAAAGCCTTTTTCTAAGGTTTTATAAAAACATATTTTTTCATCCTAAATTTTTTGACGGGCACAACGGGGCAAATAATGCTAGTTTGGCGGGCATAGCCCTCATGCCCTCTTGGCTTCGTGCCTGCTTAAGCATAACCTAAAACCTTAAATAGTGATCTAAAAATATCCAAAAATATACTAAAATGCGTGCGGTACAATATAATGAATTTAAATAACGATCAATGTAAGTAAATTGTACAAGGAAATTTTTTTTCAAAACAATTAACGACATTTCGAGCATAGCCCGTTATCGTTACTTGAGTTTTTTTTAATTTTTGCTCACGTTCCCTGTCCATAGTTTACGAGCTTGAAGCTCAATAAGGTGTTTTTTTTAATTTTTTCATTTTCTTGTATTTTCTATTCGTAATCGTGCTGACGTGCCTTTAAAGGAAAAGACAAAGGTCCTAGAATCTCTGAAGACCCGAGCGAAAATGGTCTATGAAATCCTGAATACCATTGAAGGTGTTACCTGCAATGAAGTCATGGGAGCTATGTATGCATTTCCAAGAGTTAACCTTCCAAAAAAGGCAATCGCAAAGGCCGAAGTATGTAATACGGATTTACTTCTATAAAATAAATTTTTATTAATAAACATTTTATGATTTTGTAAGCTTTTCAATAAATGAAATTTTAAATTGCATGCTCTCTGCTTATTTACTAGTCCTGGAAATTTCTTTCAATCGAATATTACATTTTTAGAAAAATATCGATCATATACACAAATTGATAAGCACTGATTTTTTGTATTCAAAAGAGTTTTTCATTTTATGATGAAATACTAAGGTGTAATTTTTTTAAGTGGAAAGCAAAACGTTAAAACGTTTGTCCCCTGTTTTTGCATAAATTCCACAGTAGCATTTTGTCAGTTAGCAAGGATGATTTTATTTTAATAATCTTGATTTTATGTTTTATGGCACTTGCCGTCTAGTCTATAGGATTAAAAATGAAATGTTCATGGATTATCCTGGTAGCATTTAAGACGACCATAAGTTTCGAGAAGTCGACTTTAATTGATTTTCACGAACTTAAATAGCAAATCTAATTGCAGCAATTCAACCCCAACGTTAGGGCAATCTTTCAAAAGTATTATTTTTGTTTCAGTCTGTTGGAGAGCGTCCTGACTTTTTCTACTGCAAAAATATGTTGCTTGAAACTGGGTTGTGTGTTGTGCCTGGGAGTGGGTTCGGACAAAAGGATGGAACCTTCCATTTTCGGTGAGTTATGCAGATAACTATGGTATCTTTGAATGTTTCTAACAAATCTCGGTGGTACGACAGTGAATATAGTTCTTTAGTGCCAAGTCATAAAACTTCTTGATTTCAAGTTTCCTAACGGATTACCGAGACCAAAAAAGTTTAGATCCAAGACCAAATGATAATGATTTGATGGAGGAAGGGTCTGTACTCATGTGGCAATATATGAGCTAATTCATAACACGTTTAACTGATTTTGCACATTTCGAAGTTTTTGATCATGCTCCAGTTCATGAAGAATATCAACTGCATCTATAGGCTATGTTATCAAAATTCAAAACTTCTAAAATAAATTTTTGTGACGGACAAATATGAGCTTTTATTTTGCAAAAAGCTAATTGTCTATAGGTATACACTAGGTAGGTTACTGATCCTGATTTAGCTGTTAAATTGATTCTTGAACATTAGCGATTCTCTTTGGCTTGCTGTTGACCCCGAGAACAAAGTTTGTCCTCGAACTGAACAGCATCCCAATGGAATCGCTAATGATTTAATGTCTACGCAAAAGCTGAATTAGGTTGAGTAGCTGATGTTTGCTACAAAGAAGTAATATTTTCTCAGTTGCAACAGCTAAGAATTAACAGTACTATCGGTCCTGAATAACAGTTGGTTTTTGCAATAAGGTAATCTGCAGGTGTTTGAGAGGAACGTTCAAAGCATGGTCCAGAAAAGGCCAATTCGATGTTACTGATCACGTAACATGTAAATTCCAAGAATACCTTTACTTAATACCGTTGCTTGGTTCTCAATGAACGCTTTTAGTAAAGTTACGAGCAGCTCCTATGAACGGGGATTTTTATCTTGCAGAATGACCATCTTGCCACCTGTGGAGCAGATCAAATCTTTTCTAGAAAGGTTCAAGTCATTTCATCTTAAGTTTTTGGAGACGTACTCGTAGTTAGATACAGCGTGAATGCTAGATGGTATGAAATGTTTGTGATTGTTTTTCAAACAGATGCAATGACAAACTGGGAAGAAATGGCATGGTGCACTTGAGACGAAAATTGTCGCCATTCTTATTTCTTTACGCTTGATTGTAGCAAAACCAGTTTTTATGGTTGCTCTTTTAGGAATTAGGCATGCAATAGATCTGTTTCGTTGATAAACTAATCAAAATACATTCGGAAACTATGTGGCATTGTCACATCGAACTCAAGTTCGTCGCTACCTCAATGAAACGTTGAATTGCCAATCCGGCTTTAAATGATAATGCTTTCTTGGCTTCAATTTCAACCCGGTCTGTCATTGCATACTTTAGTCGTATGGGTCTAGACATGAGAGGCATTCCAGGTGCGGGGCACTGTGAAATAATGATAATTTGCATTTTTGTAGAGGGTATTAAGATTTTCCGTGCAGCGTTTTTAGTTTACAGCCTGACCCGAATTGCCTCTCACGGCGACCTACAATATGTCGTTTGCCAGTAAATTAGGCTATGCTACATATTTTCAAATGCACATTTAATCATTGGAAATTGCTAATATACATTGAGATCTTCTTAAATATTTGAAGTTTATTTGAATTTGTCAATGAAAGAATACACGACAAATTCGCAACATTGTTTTCAGTCATTAATAGAAGAAAGCAGAAATTTCTGTACCCAGATGATTCGTTGAAAATTGCTTACATTGGTTTGATTATCGTTGCATCCATCAAGTTACTATTTATGAGTCTGAATGATTAAGGCAGAAAGACGTTGATTTTATGCTTCTTAGTACACTTGATTCTTAGTACAACTTCTTGAAAAAATCAATAAGGCGTGACAAATCTTCATTTCATCGTTCTAATTTTCAAATTGAGTTTTGTTGTAGTTTGCAAGTCTCGTTTGTTTCATTATTATAATTATCAATGCACAGATTCTTTATCTGCAATACAGAATTTGATCTGCCAACATGAGTTTTTCTTTTTGTTTTAATCTGAACTAGCGCCTTTGCTGGAAGAAGCTGTGAACACATGTTCAAGTCTCGTCGATTCTATTACATACGCATAAAATTGTTATCTGTAGGCAAAATGCATTTTGTCGTGTTTGGGTGTGGTTGCTGCAAAGCAGCTTTGAAGTCTCGCTCAATTTGTCTAGTTTTAGTCGCATCAAACAGCGTATCAGATAAAAAGTGTACAGTTTATGGATTTTTTCGATCTTCAAGCAGATGGAATCGCTGTCAAAACAGCTGATTTTTGGTTAGGCAAAGTTTCTAGATGAAATTCAAGTCTCTTCGAGAATAATGTCTGTCTGCAATAAGGTAACGTGCACTGTCAATGAAACGAGGCAGGCGTCAGATACACCAACGTTTTCAAGATATCAAATAATATTTTCAAAGTTTTGGATCATAAAAGTTACTAGTTGCTAATAAGGCCAGTAAGGCGAATAATCCGCTGAATGTCAACAGGGTTGGATAAGCAACCACCGCATTGTTCGCAATGATTAAAAAAGATCTGCAGCCATTAATTCGAGAGACTTCTTCATCCAATAATGTTTAGGCGAGAATGTTTATAAAAGCAAGGAAAAAGATTTTCTAAGGGTAACAAGTATGTGTTCTTTTGGATGCGACAATTGTTGCTGAAGTGTAAACTCGCATTCTTTATTCCTGTTTGGCAGAAAAAATCAGAAAGTTATTTAAAGGTGTACCAATATTTGCCAGATTCTAGCGCAAGATCGTAACAGAATGTTAGGGTATTTACATTATATCTTTCAAATCGTGCTCGATGGCTCTTTTGATATTTTAATAGTGCAGGGATAGTGCAAAGATCTTGCCTTGTCGCGAACAATTACAATTGCTGTATCTGAAACATTTGTCTGTGTTGGTTCCTGAAAAATGTTGACTTGTTTGCTTTTTAACGTGCAATATCAGTCAGCGCATTGAACTTTTCTCTTCACATTTGAAAAGTAATTTGATATCAGTTTTACAAAATATTTATCTATTTCCAACAAGTAACTAAGCACGGAAAGTCCAAACTACAAACGAATTGGCAATGCAAATTTACATCATTCCAGAACTGGCTTGGCGTTAACTAGATTTAAGCCATCAAAGATGTCATGAGATCAGTTACTTTTTAACCACATTAAAGAGTCTCCTTCAAAATACACATGAACCTCACCCAATAATAAAGGAGAGGCATTCCCCTTCCCTTCCCGCTCCTCCTCGTCCGGAATGGCTTTAAACTTTATCGGCTCGTTCTCGGGGTTTGTCTATCGAGAGAGTGACTGTAGCATGTCCAACAATAGATGAACTTCAAATATGGCCAATACTGTTTCAAAACTTTTAGCCCGTATACTTGCGATCTCCTGCCCGATATGGCCGATATGGTCCCAGTTTTGAGAACCCTTTCCCGGGGATATCCTCGTAAAGCAATGGCCGCTTTTCTCTTGAATGCAATCAGAAATGATTGTTTTAATGTTCCAAACGTCTATCCCAAGATGTAATGGTGGAACAGCAAGATGTAATAATTCATAGTTAATATCTCGAAATGTTAACATTACAAAATGATGAACACAGGTTTTCACTGTCGAATTGATCAACTACTTCAATTTGCACTTCACACAGAAATATATCCTTCACGCAGAAATAAGACTATGGCGCCAAGGGCCTTCCGACGAAAGTGCCGACTTATCCGCCTCTAGATTAAAATATAGATTATCCTTGGTTTCCAGAGAAGTTATTTCATCTTCCGAGAAGGGGCTAGCATGCTCCAACGGGGAGAGTTAGAGCTACCCATCCCAGTTACTCTCCTCCGCAGAGGCTATTGGGGAGGGAAAAAAGGATAGGATAAAAGGAACTGCGGAAGAAAAGAAAAAGCGGAGGAGCTGCGAGGTAAAAGGAGAAAGAGAATAGCGGCAGAGCTAGTTTTCCTTTCCTCTTCTCCTCCGCCCTTCCCCTCCTTTTCTCCGCAGCTTCTACATTTCTCAATTCCCATCTCCCTCCCCCAATAGCCTCTGCGGAGGAGAGTACATCCCAGTTCTTGACACGAGATCTCGCGCTTTCACCATCATTTCAGACACGTTTTCCGTGATAAAACCTCCTTTTACCCATCAGATGGTGTGCAAACAGCAATTTTCTACAATAATGCTATCTTAATTCGATGTGCAAGCTCAGATTTTGGCGTAAAGAAAAACATTGACCTGGAGCGTGCATCTGGTAGACTCTGTCAACTGGCAAAAATCCCTCCCCTGAACATTACGAACAACTGATGTTAGTCAACGCTAAATAGATTATATAACCTATCTCAGAATTGGCACAAAGTTCTACTTGCTGCAGGTGCAATAAGCCATCCAAACATTGGAAACCTACTAACCTTACTTTTAGCTCTGTCTTTTTACAGCAAAAAAGAAGCTCTCTATAAAGTTTCGTCGAAATCAGAACTAAATGCTTTCAAGCCCTGCCCCACGACTATTTAAAAGTACCTGCTATACTCGCGGAAATACCATGGGAATACAGCTCACGAAGAATTCTTCACAAAGGCCCGAACACCCTTTCTCTCTCTTCCTCTCTCTTCAATTCTTTCTCATGAGAGTTTCCTAAACAATTGTCAATCCAAAAGTCACAAAATAGGCTTTTATTGTATTATCAGTTCACCAAATACTCAAACTATATTGAGATGACATTGATTCCAGCGCCTTCAAAATGATTTTGAATAAAAAACCGATTTTCAGCTCTTCATTAAAAGCTATCATCTATGCGAAGAAGGTCCTTCAACTTATATGTTTATTTACAAGATATTGCAAATTTGAGAAACACAAGAAATCTAGAATACACATTCATACACTGTGCGTGTTAATCATTTAAACAGGTCGATCTGTCTAATAGCTTCCAATTATAGGATGCCAGCTAACATAAAAAATTAAGCTTCGCCTAAATCAAACATTGGACTACCGTCTATCAAAATATCCATTTTATATACCTTACATATGCCTGGACAAAGTTTTAAATTCGCTTATTCAAAATGCGATATTCATTGCTATAATTCCTTAAAATATCGACATTATAGACTATAGATAATTACAATTCAAATAATATATAATTACATGTTCCTTTTTTAGGCAAAGTCATAAAAACAAAAATAATTCACAACTGCAATGCAAGCTGAGTTCAAAATCTCGCAAACTAAATACTCATCCTTGCAATACCTCGCAAACTAAATACTCAGGGAACAGCATATATCCCTGCTTATGAAGGATTATTTCACTGTTCGTCAAAGGAACGCCAATGTAAAAAACAAGCCTTATCTAGTATCCTTAAGTTAACTTTATCTTTAGCGCAAATTGAGGCTACTCATTAAGCAGCAGAAACAGAAATTTTTGAAGATAATGAGAAAGATAATGGATTTCCATTATGATAAATCTAATCACCTAAGAGAAATAAACGATTCCTCTGTCCCAGCGCCCCTCTGTATGGCCATGAAAGTGCTATGGAGGCCAGTGGCGTAGCGTCTATGTATGCTACGCTTGCGGCGCAAGCGTAAAAATTTATAGACAAATTCTAAAATTCTTGCAACACTTTCAATGCATAACAATTTCTGCAATAAACGGCTTCTCTTTCTTGTCATGAGCAGCATGCGGTGAACTCTAGCGCCAACAGGCCAATTGGCCCCAATTGGCTATTTTTCCAAGTAAACAGAATTCGAAAAATTATGAAATTCGAAAAATCTGAAAAACTGAAGCCCCTCCACATCACTCTTTTTGCCTGTCTAAAATAAGAGAAACATGTGATGCTCCAGTACAGCTTCAGTGCAACTCGAGAAAAGCTTCTGAGAGAAGTGAGAATTTTCCGGACTGGAGCTTGCGGTCGGCCTGAGCGCAAGCCTTCCCAAATATTTGATAATCCACAACATTTTTCTACCTATAATCTGCTTTTTGCGAATATTCTTTGCGAGATACATCATTTCAAATCCAATTATTTCCCTTTCTTTACTTTGTGACTGTTGAAAAGAGAAAAGGTTTCGTCAAAGTGGGGTCAGAGTCTATTTGTCATGATCCGCATTCCGTAATTCAAGTCAAAAGGCTTGCCAGTATAGTCAGAATTTACGGACCAGGGCATGCGGTACACCTGAGCGCAAGCCTTGCTAAATACATGATGATTTGCCGGGACTAACTTTCTGAAACTTTACACATGGAAGCATTTTCAATTCTTACAACTCTCACAGCTCACTATTTTCATCTTCGTTTACTATGAGAGTAAAAAATGAGCAGAAACTGTTGCTCCTGTTCGCTTAGGCTCTGCAGTGTGTTAACAATTTCGCAATGTGGAGAGCTCCTCCCTGCGGGAATCCCCAGCTTCATCAAAATATTCTTACATTAGGTGGGCATTAGGTGATGCCTTTTCTTGAGGAATATGAATAAGAATAAAATCTTTTGCGAAGCAGTTTTAGCACTAGGAGTAATTCTGAAAATTCTTGCTAAAACAATTGAGCTTTTTTCAAAAACTTTCGCATGGCTGATAATTTTTCCCTTGGCCACCCTTCACTTTCCAACCTCTATCGGAGCCTCTGATGCAAAGAATAGACACCTTGATTGATTAGAATTAGAGTACAAATGATTTGTTACTTTAAAATCAAAATTTATTATCACGATTATCATTAATTACCGTTTGTATTTTTAAGAAGCTGAAAATACGATTACATTCATTCAACATAGCCGTATATTTTATGTTACCGCATGCCTAAGTTCTGCGCTCACGCTACGCCACTGATGGAGGCCTATTTAAGGGAGTCTGGCATTAATTACACTGCAAAGAGCAGTATAGAAAGTAACGATATGATACAATTTTCCAATCACTTTTTTATGTTTCTGTGATAAACAGATATTCTCCGATAGCCACGATCATCAACAATAAACACAAAAAGTGAACGCATTCGTTGTCTAGACAACTGATAAGCGCCCTCTGGATCAGTTTCTCCCTCTTTATCTAACGCCCCTCTTTTGTAGAGGAAGAAATTAATCAACGCCCTGTATGTTATATAGAAGATTTATAGACATATAATTTCGCCTTTGGTTGTAGAATTTGTGAGAGTATGTTGAAACGAATCTGGCTGATACACTATCTATCTGGGTGGACAGAACTGGGATAGTTTGAGGGGATGCAGGGACTGCAGCTCTCCAAACAATTGCCTAATGATGACTTGTAATCATTATAATAGCGTCTCGAATGGAAAATACAGACCATTTGCTCCTCTTTGCTTACTTAATTACGGTTCAATTCCTTTCCACGGATACTAAATCTTATTTCGGACCATTGGATAAACCATTCACAAAAACTGTCCGGGTTTTTGGCGGTTGATATTCACTTTGCTCTTCATTAAGAGGACCAATTCTGGACAGGCAGCACCTTGCGAATGGAAGCAGCCGGGCAACTTCGATGCGAAACTTCTTATTCCAAATAATGTAGATAATTGGGTTGGCGGCCGCATGCGCAGTGGTCGACCAGCCGGCGAACAAGTATACACCGGACGATAACTGTGCTGTCGGTTTGATAAGTTTGATAAATGTTATTACAACATATGGCACCCAACAAAGGCAAAATACTGACAAAATGATGAAAACAATCAGCGTTGCACGGCCTTCTCTTTGCATGTTTTTGGCTTGAGCTTTCTTATTAGTTGTCATGCTCTGATTCTTCCATTTCCTTAGCTGCTTCTGATGTCTGCGAAGCACGACAAAGACCCGTATGTAGCAGAATAGCATAGTTGACACAGGCACAACAAAGCAAGACACAAGGAGAAGAGCCACAAAACCTTTTGCATCTGTGAAAGAGAACTTGCATACACTGGATCCAAGGGACCAGGAATATGAGCTCCATCCAAGAACGGGCAATATCGCAATAACTAACGACCATGCCCATATGACAGCAATCATAGTCAAGGCCTGTCTGATTTTAAGCTTCTTCCGTCCGCCATTTGCAACAGCTTGATGCCTAAGACAACATTAGTTAAAGCAGTTAACCACTGAAAGGGGCAGTTAAGACTACAACCAACAACACAAAAATCATATTCACTAGCGCAGATCACTGTACATAAGATAGGAAGCAGTGTTTGAAAACCTTAGTACTTGAATGTTTGATTTAGAAAGAATTTCCATTATCAAAAACTACAAAGTATTTATAATAAAGTTTTAGTTTAATAGTGAATTCATTAGAAATTCATTTCCTTATTAAACATAATTAGTCCCTACATAGAAGAATGCAATAATAATAAAAACATTTTACAATAGTTCATTATTCTATTTCAAAAATGTCTTTTTTGATAAAATATATCTAAATATAGTAGAAATTTTATGTAATAGATTGAAGGCATGGAGAGTGGTATTGGATTTCTGCGAATTATATCACACTGGTGTCTGGTGTGAGCCAATTTAAAAATAGCATGTCAACGTTTTTAATCTAAGCCTCACCTGTCAACGCTGATCGCAGTCATTGTGAGTATACTAGCAGATCCAACAAAAAGCGTGAGCATTCCATTGAAATCGCACAATGCCTGTCCATGCACCCATGCGCGTTCGATATTGATGCTTATGCAGAATGGCAGCACGAGGATAGACATCAAAAGATCGATGGCAGCCAGGTTCGCCAGGAAAGAGTTCGTTACTTGAATATTACGAGACGCTCTTTGGCGATAGACAACTGCCAAAACGAGAATGTTTCCGAAAAATGTTAGAATCATTGTTGACATAAATCCGAAAACAACTAGCGATGTCTGTGTGCTTGTTACGGAGAAAAGAACATTGGCAGTTGTTGGAGTGGATGTAGCAAATGTGCTTGTATTGTTGCTCAACTGATTCGCCATCTTTTAATTTAGCCAACCCTGCTGTTTTTTGACCAACGTTGACGTCCAGTATTGTACAGAAATTATTATGCCAAACGCAAAATGTAACTTGTCAATTTATAAAAACTTTAGGTAGAAATGTTTCTGTTGCCAGCGCTTTCTATCAATATTGCAAAGATTCCAGAGAATCGTCACTGACAAACATCTGCTTTGAAGTCAAATGAAAAAATCACTGTTCCTATCTCAGCGATTTCCGTAATACACATTGACGGTCCTAAAAACCTTCAGCTGCTTTACGTTGATGATCTCTCGAGTTTCCTGTCAACAATATGCGTTGCAAATCCTTGAATACAATGAAGCTTATACGATTTTTACCTAGAAATTGAAAATAAACTAGAATTAAGTGATAGAGGCTTAATGAAGTAGTATTTGCTCGAAATGAATAACAGCTGGTAGTTTTAAATGGCATTATGGGCTCTGCAATTTGACGAATAAGTATTGACATGTACCACGTTCTAATGAATGTCAAGTTAGGAAATATGTACACCAAGTACGACGGCCTGGTTTCGCGGAAAGAAAGCTTTGCGAATGAAGAAAAGGTAAACATTTTCAAATAAATGTTTGCGAAAGAAGCAAAATAGAATCTTTCGTAATAATTAACTTTGACGTTTCAAAAAAAATCATGAATGACGTTCGAATAACATTTCTATCTAACAGAGGTTTAATTCTATTCTTATTCCACCTAATACCAACAAATAAAGGAAAACAATATCCAAATTCGTTAAAAATAATTATTCTCAACAAAGTTTCAAACAGGGTCAATACTTAAGTTATCTATATATTTTGCGAGAATAACTCTGAATTTTGTTTTTATCAAGAAGTTTCGCTGATCAAACATTCGCGATTTTAGGCCAAAAACGCAAAAAATCAAAAGTTTCTTCCGTTAAGGTATCCGAAACATGCCACCATTATTGTTTTCGAGTCTGAATTGAGAAAGAGGCATAAATTTATGTCGAAAATTCTGAGTTCTGAAACGGTGTTAACTAAAAACTGCAAACGGCAAGCTAGGCCTGTGTGCTTCTAACATGACGAATTGTGAAATATTTCAACAAAAACCACAATCGAGACAAATGAATGATCAAAAAGGAACAAGTGCTATTTAAAGGTACTTGATCTGCCAATAAGATAAGCGTCTCATCTCAAATGTTTTAGGGAAACGAAAAGCATGGAAAATAAAAGAAAGTTTAACGGCAGAAACAGTAGAACCGAGCTTGTGACATCAAAGAGGGATAAACAACATGTTTAAGAGGGGATGGATTTTCGTTCGTTTGAGGGCTAACATATGACTCAGATGTTAGCCCTTAAACGTGCTCCATCCATATGATATGAGATGGAGCACGTTTCGAAAAAAAAGTCACCCTCGCAAGACTTTGCCAACAGGGATGGCGAATCCTTATTTCAAGAAGCTAGGCCAGCTTACAGTGAAGCCGTCTTTGAAAAGTATCAAGAGAGTATAATTCGCAATTTTGATTGACCGTCTTTGGTTGCCATCCGTTTTGGGTGAAGCAAGCAGTAATTCTTGTTTGACTTCCTCTTTGTGAACGGTGTTACACGGTCAAGTTAATTTGTAATTTGTCATTAAGTGAGAGAGCAAGAGGCTATGGTCTTAAAAGCCATGCCAACAAAGCAGCTTTGGGCAAACAAATGAAACAGATCAAGTACTTTTCTTGCAATTCTGTCACCTTTTGTACACAACAAAATCTTGGGATAACAACAAGCCTGTCCCAGCGGATAAAATATAAACCTTGGTTGGTACATGAATTCGGTATCGTATGTTGATAAAACAGCAGAGAATCCAACTGTAAATAGTAAAGCTGAAAAGCTTATTTCTAATGTTTCGAACGATTTTTGAAGATTACAGGTTTACTCCATTAGCTAACAAGATAATGAATGAGAAATTCAGCTGTCAACCTCAAATACATGCAAAATACTTCTATTAGCTATTCCTTCTAGGAAACCCTAGTAGGATCCTTTAAAGGAGGTTTTGCAGCTCTTTTAAGTCCCTGACACGAAAGACCGGAATGAAAAAGGAATTGAAGGAAGACAACAATGTTTCAGCTGTCGAGTTGATAGGGTGAACCTACGGGATGGAACCGAGTGTCATATGCTCTGTAAAAAGTTTAGTAAACCTTAAATTATACAGTTTTCTAGCGTTTTTGTATCTAACCCAATAACAGATGAAGGAATTGGCAGAAATAAATGAAGTTTCTTTCAATCTAAAATAGTAAAAGATAAAAACGGGTTCTTACAATGTAAAAGTTTGAACCTGATGCATTTTCCTCAAGTTTGACCAATTCTTAACCCCAATAATATTTTAAAGAAAACAGCTGAGTGAGGAAACCGAAATTATCCATAAATAAACTGGTTAAAGATAGAATAAGGCAAATCTTACGCTTTAAGTGTATAGGACAGAAGGGTTCTGAGTTGGTACTCCGAGCTTCACGCTTAATGCAATCAAAAAGCAACTGTTCAATCAAGTGATTATATTGTCTTATACTGAATGTGTATCAAAACTGCATGAAAACTGGGCTACCTTCAAATCAGAATTAACGCAAGAAGTAGATGAAACACAATAATGAAAACAGTGTGATAGTGACAAAACATAGCTGTCAGGTCTAAAGAAACCGCGCTTCACGTATGTCGTCTCAACGAATTTGCTTAACCTAACAGTTCTGCTATGGGAACCCATTTAAAAACCGTTATTTATCAAGATTTGCTCTGGTTAAAAATCTTTTACTGTATCAAAATGCGAGTTACTTGAGACAGTGTCAAAGTAGAGCCAGCTGTGCAATAACTAAACAAGGCTACTAGCATGGTGTTATTTAACCCATTCCTTTCTCACTTTTCTCTTGGTACACCGTAGATGCTATATGCTATGACGCCTTGACACAAACACTAAATCCATAATTGAAACATACCTTGAATAATGACTGCATTATACACTTCATTGCCACCTTCAGTTATTCAAAGTTCTTCTTCTTCTATCTCGGTTGTAGCCCTGGAGCACAATTGCAAATATTCTCAGTTGACCTAGTTGGCTAAAAATGTTATATTTGGCCAAAAAGCAGCAAATCCATGGCCAAAGCCTATAATCAATATTTGCCCTTCTCCAATGCTTTATAACTTGGAATAGGCACTTTTGCGAAGGAGAAATTTAGAATGGCTTTGACCAATCACAATCGTTAAAATAATAGATTTCATTCAGACACGTATGCAATGTTTGCTGTGCGTCAATGTTTGTCCGAGATAGGACAGCTTTGTCATGTCTGCTAGCAGTCATCAGAAGGGAATGTTTGATTAACTCAAATACTCTTCCGAAATGTAATCGTTGAGATCATCAACCGACCTAATTCAGCTTTTGACCCTTGGCGTACAGTGGTCAGCCATCAAAGGATAGTCTACAAAAGATAACCTTAAAATAGGCTCTCAACTTCTCTACATTTCTGTACCTTGCAAAAACGTCGGGAAAGAACGGCACAAAATTCATGCAATGTTGTCCTCAATTGTCTAATATCACAGTTCTTTTTCTTCGATGACACATTTACGATCCATTTATATATTACAGGGTGTTTTGAAGTTACTGGCAAATGCCATCATGCAACCACGTCAAAGAAAACCAAATCAGATATATTTCAAAGAGTCAACTCCATAATCTGCTAGGTTAAAGGGGCAGTTCGTGTAAACACAAACAAATTTAATCAAACAGCCATGTAAACAATCACGGGTGTGGCATAAGTAAGCTCATCGCAAATACAGTATTGAATATGCAAATATTATGAAACGAAGCGGCAGGGATTTTCACAAAGAAGCAAGGATGCTGCCATTTTTTTATGGTAATCCACTCAATTTTAATAGTTTTGCGTAAGAAAGGTTTATTGGATTACAAACGACGGGCTTTATGCATGAGTATACCACGCTTAGTAATTTCAACAAATAATGTTAGTTTCAAAGAAAACTCTTTATCATAATACTGCAAAACTATGTTTAGATCATCGAATGAAATTCAAAGGTGATTAGGGAAAGAGAACAAACATGGATATAACAGCGGCGACCAATAAAAGTGTGCACAAATATTTGGCTCAATTATCAGCGTTTACCCAGCACAGTTTTCAAAGCAAGACGTTGCACAGTTCTGTACTTTTGACTGTGGTTCTTAGACATCTAGACCTGGCGGGCTCAGTCAGTTGGTCTAATGTATATCATGTGTGTTCCTGACAGTAGAAACTGGACTCTCATCTCTGATTTTTGGTTACGCAAATGTACCCTATTATGTGACTCTGCCAACATTTCGGGATGCTTTACCCCATTACAGCCCTGTGTGTTTTTGCCCACACTTTCATCAAATATGTCATAATTTCACTCCATTCAGCACGGCCTTTGATCCTCTTCTTGCAACTTCGATTCTAATTTTCATGAATTTTTTCGAGAAAGAACGTCTAGTCCCCTTAATACAAAACCTCAGATTCCTATTTGCATCCGTATTCTATTTTGTATCATTTTGTTTTAGAGCGTCCATCCTTTCGAGCTATGGATATCGATATCGAGTATGCTTTTTGGTCACCTGCCTGTTTTTCTTGCATAAGGGAAACATATGGGCACCGGTTTTCACAGGTTTTCAGAAAACAATAACCACCGGTTTCAATATCGGCGCATATATAGCATACTCGAAACTGTCAGATCGAATGACTGCTGAATTCCTAGATTTTGAATTCCTTGGATAATTTGAGATAAATGATGAAGTAGGAAGCTGGGAACTCTGTCGAACTCTTGTGGGGGTTTAAGTCAGTATATAAACAGAAGAACTGTAGTCAGTCAGGGAAAAATGCAGCAATTGTTGCAATTGAAATTTAGATCAAAAATTCAAGATTTACAGAGAAACATAGCTCTTAGAATTAGACCGGTTTTTTTAAACCTGTGCAACCGGCCTAGATCCGCGCCTGTATTAAAGAGCAGAATTCACTGAATTTCATTGGTTATTGATATATATTAACAGAATCAGAGAGCTGTAACACTATAACTGCAACATATTGCTTACTACATAACATAAGCAAAAATATTTCTTCTCCGGGATAAGAACAATAGACAAGACTAGATGCTATTGCAAAATTTGTTGTAATTCAATAGCCATTGGTTTGCCAAAAAAGTACGAGGATGAGCGGAGAAGGTTATGGCTCGAAATTCTTTCGCTTTTACGATTCAACGGGCAACTTGTCGTAGAGAGCAGAACCACCAATTTAGGTGAAGATGCATTAGCTTAGTCGAACGAAAAGAAAAAGCGCACAAACATGTAGAGGTGGCAAGGTAGGGTCTGAGGGCTTTAGTGCTCTTTTATATTCATTAAGGAACTCTAAGGTCTACAACAAGGTAGAGAAAACTACGGTGGATAAGGAAGTTTTTGAGACGTTGTACATTGCAACTTAACCAGGAGACCTTTCCGTCCTCCGTTATCAACTAAGATGGTGCAAGTAAGATCGATTGCACCAATTGATGAAGAATGATTCATGCAAACATATCTTGCTACTTCTAAAAAACGACAGCAATTTCGGTAACAGAAGAACTGGTAGAACAACTAGCAAATACACTCTCAATGAACATTTAAATTAGCTCAATGTCAACCTTTACGAAAAAAAGAACAAACGAAAGGCTCAGGAAAGGAATTTTTTTCTCAAGGAGGCGCATCATGTCTGTGAAAAGCATGCTGATGCTAAAGAAGTTGAAGACAAGAGTTTAAAATAACAAGAAGAAGGAGAAAAGTGATAAATTAAATGAGACCATTTATCAATATGTAGTCTGGTATAGTAGGTAGACAGAGCTGAAACACTTGTCATTTGGAATACTGGGTCACAGAAATAATCATTCTGTGGATGCTAACAATGTAAATACTGTCGACTGGTTTGTTGACTTTAAGGGAGACAACTTGGAAAAACTGCTATTGCATAGAGGCTCATTAGGTACTTGATAAAAGAAAGGTTCAAAAGAAACAAAGCTTATTACTGAACTGGAAAGCATAAAAATAGCAAACGCAGCGTAATCAATTATTCTAGATGCTATTTTTCAAATCATGGTAAAAACAATAAAAACAGAAGACACTCTGCATGTTAGCTATGAAAACTTAGCGCTTTCAACTCACCCAAGAAAACTTGAAGCTCAACTGGCAATGATGTCATCAACATAAAATTCGTTAGGCTACTGAGACGTGAAGTTGCTTACATCAAAGCATCGCATCAGCACAACTATGCACGTTTATGTGATAAACAAATGTTTTTATCATTTTTATAGTAGTAAGACGGGTGGCAAATGTTGATTGTATCAAAGGATTTGAAATCAATATCCAAAGTGAAATCCTTTATGACACGAAGCTTGAAAAACAATAAAATCACAGCGGTAAAGCAGGGATTTAGTTTGCAACTGCCCTCTTGCAACGAATACCTTTGATCGGCAGCAACAATGCATTCAAAGACAGGTGGTTATCTCCATGATGTGTTGGATAAAAAATCCATGCTCTATAATAGCTAGCATGTTTGACAAGTTGCTTGGTAAAATAACAAACTAATCCTTCTTTGTTAAAAAGATATTGCTAATAAAATTTTTGCTTACAATCAATTACGCCAAAGGTCCGTACATATGACTCATAAAACTATCCATTGTGAGTTGTTGGTATTCTCAACTACCCCTAAATTTCTTTATTTAACTTTATGTTGCTAAATACAAATACAAACAGCCCTGCAAAGAGAACAATGCATCGCTGCGTAAAATGCTCGACTCTGCGACGCAACATCTTTTTTACGAACACGCGTGGAAGGAGGGCTTAACATCAGCAAAAAACACGAACATACTATCTTTTTAGAAGCCAATGTTAAAAGGAACAAAACTTTTAAGTGCAGACATGTGAGATATAGATTTTTTAATGGACTTAAGCATCTGTCTTCTGATAATGTCTACCCAAGTTTAGAAATATATTATGTTACAGTGTGTTAAATAGATTTCCCTAAGTTAAATTTTTTTCTGACTTAGCAAACATTTTTCTTAAAAATATTAAGTTCTTTTGAACAATTTAAAAATTTGAATTTTATGTGTAATCGAGGGACCTCTCCAGATTCAACATGACCAAGAAAATTTACCTTGAAATTTAATGTTCTTTTTCTTTGTATAGATAATAAAAGAAAAAAGGGTGCTAGAACAAGGGACTCGGAAAATCCACTCCGCGCGCCCAACTTCTCCAAAGATTCAATTTCCGTATTCTGAAGAACATCAATAAAAGGTGCAAAAGATATCACAAATAAATTAAATAGGCTAATAAAGATATAAGAGGATATAATAAAAGATATTGATTTATCATAAACACAAAATCCTTTGAGAAGAAAGAAATAACACTTCGATTTCAATAAAAATAAACTTGTTACTTTTTTGTGGATTTTAGTATTATTAAAAAGAAATCTTGAAATGCTAAACTATGAAAGACGAACGGCAAAGTACGAATAAGTGACGTATCAGTTTTCGAACTTTACCTGTAATAAACCAACAACATGGCGAAAAGAAAAAATAGGCATAAAGAATAAATGGGTTCAACGGGTCTGAGTTGAGAAAATTGACAAAAGAATCCTAGCGTAATAAAACGAGCTACACCGCTATGCTTGACGATCGCATTAGGTATGTAGCTCATAGGTGCCAATTGGAATCGTCCAGATCTACACACCAATGCACTCAGCACTTAATGACAGACTGGTAAAAATTAATTTTCATTAATATATAGAGCTAGATCGTCAGCTTAAATAAATTGTTGACGTACAATTTCTTACTGGTTGACGCAAGAGCCAGTAAGAAAGTGATGCAGCAGCAGATCGAGAAAACTTGACAAACAAAGCCACATTCCACCAAGTCTTGACTTCTTCTTGACAAATATTTTCTTTTGATTGATAAATGTTTCATTTCGCCGACTGAATTCATAACATTGATAGTATCTGGTGACTATGCAAATACGAAATATGATGTCTCAAAAATGTGTTAATGTTTCTAGCCTAACTCCAGGGCAACTTCGTAAACATGTCAAGAACCACCAGAACTTCAAATTCGCAAGTTTGCAAAAGATGCCTAAACCAAAGATTCTGAACAAAAGCCAAAGATTTCTGAAGATTGAAGGCGATCGATGGAAAGAATGCAAATATCTTCATTTATTGCAGAAGCCTGTTTTATTATTACTTTATAAAAAAATAAAAATGGAAGAGACTCGTTTAGAAACTCGTTGGACAAACAATTCATCTGATATTGACAAAAACAACAAACTCTCTAAAAGGTAGAACGGCATGAAATTTTTAATCCAAGTTTCAAGAATCTAAAAATTCTCAATAAAAAATCAAGCTTCGAGAATCTAAACATATTGAAGTATTTGTTAAATAATCTTTTGAAAATAAAGGTAATTCAATGAAAGCTAATTATTACCAGAAATCCAGAAATTATTACCAGAGCTGACTACATTTTCAGTTAAATCCAGTTACGACCTTTAATCACATTTCATCGCTTCATTTTGATTAACAAAGAACAAATCGAGGTTTAAAGGAAAATTATTTAATGCTGCTGCGAAGACAAATCAAAAGACAATTCGATTATGAAATTTCTATATTGCAATACAGGACAAAAACATTTGGTTTCTGGTGGCACATTGAACAAATTACTATGTAAGGAAAATTTAGTAAGGAAATGCGAACATGAATTATGTTCACAAAAGGACTTTCAGGTCTGTGAAATTGTTTTATATTGTTTCACAGAAATAGCAAATTACGTTAATTGGCTCAAATGAAAAAAACTGATTGCTCTAAAGTAAAAACATGATTATTCAACTTTTTATTATGAAAGGAAACAAATATGCGGTAATAAATATTGAAAAACAAAATAACAAAACAAGACAGGTAAGTCAAAGGAATTATTCACAAAACAAAAAATCATCCTGCAAAATTTTGAATATGGCCCTCCCCCCAAATATAGCTAACAAACATTCAAATAGTTTTGGCAAGTTATAATTGTAAGATGATTTTCTTTTAATCTTTAAATCTGCAATGTTGTTTTATAAGAAAAAGAATACTGAAAATTTCTTAAGCAAAATTCCCACTCCTTCTATTTTCACAAAAATAAGACATACATCGATTATCTTGGTTTTCCAAAACATAAATGTGACATTGTGAATGAGTTCACTATTCACTATTAGATTCACTATGTCGAACCCTTAAAAATAGTTTTTGATTTGATTTTAGCTGTTAGCTTTGAAGCTGTAAAAAAAGTTGAAATTTTTGACTTTTAAATTATCCTTCTGCAAACTTTATTTTGTCGATGTTTTGAAGTTTTTGCGGCTTCAGAAAGGGCGTTCACAATGTTGTTGATATTATTCATTTTTCCAGTGGCTGTTTGTGGGGGATTCTACAGCGCGCATAACAAGTATGCAGTTATTTTATGTTATTTTTTAAAATATATTGTTATATTCACTTGGAGGACTTGTAGTAGTTTAATTTGTTATGATATGTCATTTACGTAATTGCCTCTTATTCATACCTATGTAAACGAGGTAAAGGAAACTGATATCTATGATGTATTTAAGACCATTGTATCGGTACAAGCAGAAAGCAATATAGATTTCCTGAATTTGATATGTTGGTTAGCTGAGTAATTTTAATTGGTTCACAAAGTACAGTAGGGCAGAGTTTTGTAAAAATGTGTTGGGATATGATGAGACGAGACGTACACTTGAGTTTTATTTCAAGAGATTTCTTGGTTTATGGATTTGTTTATTTGTTAACACTGTTAGACTTTTGTTTATTAGGGCTAAATTGTTTGAAATTCTCTAAGTATAAGACAGCAAAAGTTCCTTCTTCAAACTCTCAAATTTTTCAACGCAATCACAGTAAACTGTGATACTGATAATTGTGAAAATGCCACCAACAAAAAACTCACACGAGTTTACCCTATCGATAAGGTTCATTCAACGAGCCAGAAGTCTATGGCCTACACCATTCAACCTGCCGACATGGTGTCGTCTAACTTATTCGGTGACACGTCAAAATGACCTCGCTCAAGGCTTACGGTTGCGAGGCTAGGATGACGCGGAATTCACTTTGGCCTAAGGTCAAAAACGTGAGACGGAAAAGAAAGACCACAGGTTGGATTTGGCGATAGAGTTAAAATTCACCTATACAAATAAATATAACGTGACTATCAAGAAAAGCTATTGATACTTTTCAGCTGTGTTTCAAGTTCACAGGATTTTACAGTTGAACAAAGTCTCCTCTTCCTAGAAGAGTTCAAGGGTCACTTTCTAACAAGTAAAAAAATGGCAGATGACGATAAATATGAAGAATATGAGACTGATGACAAAGCTTACGCTCAAAGTGGGTCAAGAAAAGGAAAGTCAAAGAAAGAGGCTCATTTAGATTCAAAATCTCAATCTGGTAGCGGTATGAAGCCTGGACAAGAGCGCAAATTGGCTGAAAACATATCAAATGCAGAGCAGAAAAGAAAAGATAACAAGAAATAAAACAATCTTAAAAATAACAACGAAATTAATTCCGAAGGGTAAAATTATTTCTTATGCAATTAACGTATATTTTGGCTTTCCAAAGGATAATTATTTTTATGCTTCATAATGTGCATGGAAAATAAATGCAAATACATTGATTGCCTCCTACTGTGATCTCAATTCTTTCAGTGTGAGTTAAGCTATGTAATTAAACGTTAGTAAAGAGGGACAATGAACAGTCTGCAGTAGGGCAATAATTTCCAACCCAACAAGAGTCAAAATCTCTCTCAGATAACTTTTCTAGGCACAAGTTGCAAAATTTCATATGTAGTACCAGACTGGAAACTTGGCTTCTTGCGCGGACAAGTTTACTTTGAAAATTTGAGACTGCGCGTCTGAAATCATACACTCTTAGTTATTTTTATTGTTAATAATGGTAAATGCTATTGTCTAGGGATCTAGGGGATTTTGCGCGGCCAATATGCAAAAGCACGCAGATGTGTGCGCTGGCAATAACTTGCCGGCGCACAAGAAAGTTTCCAGTCTGGATGTAGTATTGGCACCAGGCCTCATTACAAGGTACAAGTACAATTACAGGTACAAGGAAACCAAATTTTGCCTTATCAACTAATTAAGCTCAGAGTAGGGGTGTTATTTATTTCTTGACTTTATGTAACCATAAAGGTTCTAAAGAAAATTCCTTCAATAAAGGTGTAGGAGTTTGTGATGGTGAAATTTTCCAATATTTCTTGAAAATTGTATTTGTTGAGAACAAGCAGTTTCCAGTGAGAAAAATTGTTTTCCCATAATTTCTTATGACCAATGGCCATACAGTTACTGTGAAAAACACAGTAACTGTGAAAAATATGAGGAAATAGTATCTTAACAGCTATACATTTGGCTTTGGTTCCCAATACTTCTAGTTGGGTGATTTTTGCAGATCAAAAGATTTCAAATGGCTCATTTACATAAAAATCCAGTATTGCACTTATCCAGTCTAAATATTTAGTATCATAAATCCACAATAAAAGCTGACTAAAACGATGTTCAAACTTTGTTTCTACTACTCAAAAGCTAACAGTTCATTCTTGTATTTAATGATTAACTTATCAACACACACAAATGCATCTACCAAAATGTTGACATCAATTACACTTTTTCGGTATTAGGCTGTGGAATGAATAAAAAGGGGTAGAATATTTCCAACTGCAAGTAGTCTGTGATAATTATTAACAAAGAGCCACAAATCAATCTACAATGAGAGATTTTACATTGTTGAAATCGATATAATTTTGTAAGCAGAGCTGCCTAAAATTTAATGTTTTTCTTATGGGCTACAGATAATGTGACTGCCAAGATAGTGTTCTTTACAGCCACAAAAAGACATCATGAATAACAACTTGGTTTACCATATCAACACTCATTCTGACCAAACTAATTGTCCCTTTAATGCAGAAAGAAGCAGTCCATCTTAGCAGTATTAATTGCCCCATCTAAAAACAAAATTGACTTTGATAATTATATACAAATATTCAGCCTTTGGTTTTGCAGTACCTGTTAGTTTAATGCAAATAACAGCTACCTTCCAACCTGGGATGCCAGATTAGGAGGCACATTCTGATATCTCTGCTTCAAAATAGAAACTGGAAACCCATGACAATATTATACCTCCTTCTTCAAGCATATGCTGATAACATATAGCATTTAATAGGGATCATCTCAGTAAAAAACACTGATTGTGAGTAGCTTTTTATTTCAGTTACCTCCATCTTCATGCATATACTGATTTTCTTCATGCATACATTGACACATTTTCTTGTCATAATTCCAATTATCTTTAGAAGCCTGTGATACCTGGATGTATCATTCTAAGTTAATTTACTCATTTACCCATGACCATGGTGTATTTATATGGTGACTGAGAAACCTTGTTGGCAGGTTTCTAATAAACTGCTAAGTTTTCAGTAAGGCTTGAATGCATCACACACAATAATCGCTGTGAGTTACACACAAAAAACACTGTCCCAAAACTAACATTCACCAAGATTTGAAACTTCAGTGAGGGGGCTTGGGACTGGAGACTTCTTAGGGTGGCCCTGTCACTCCAGGCAGTGTTTTGATTAAGAACAAATCTTGAGAGACTAGCAAAATAGTTAATTTTCTCTGTTTAAAAGAGTGCAATTAAAAAGTATGGTTTTAGCAGTTGTTATTCTATAATGAAAGGACCTCTTATGTGTGTACTTATTCACTGTAAAAACTGAAATTCATAATTTACTCAAAATTCAAATTAAATGAAGTATTTGAATCTTGAGCTATCCAAACATGAAATTAAGGTGGCTTTGCAAAGAAGGGTATTTCAGCCAGAAGGCTACGCTAATTTTTACTGGTGGGTATTCTTGTACCAACATGGTATGATCATGTACACTTGAACTGAAGGGCTTAAAATGCACTGCCTTTTTAATATTTCTAATAGAATTAAAACAAAATGGAAGATTATTTATAATAGGTATTTTACTTGTTCCAAAAGCTTTTCTAGTGTATTAGGACCACTTTGGCAGAGTAAAATCACTACAACATACTGGCTATTAATGTGCAGTATCAAAGAAACTACATACCTGGTTTCTCACTCTTAGAATACATCATTCTGGTACCTTTGTCAATATCCTCAAACCATGCATTTGTTTAACTTCATCTTTTAGGATCTGATTGAGAAATAGCAAAGAACAATCAAGGGTAAGGAAAAACTACCAGTTATGACAGATTATGGATAGAGTAATTTAATTCACAAATAAAGTCAATCTGCTATTTGCTATAAAACACGCCTATTTCACCCAATACATGCATTCAAATGTTTTGTATTGTCAAAAAGTTGACAAAAAGTGCCGCCATTTTGAACAAGGTGGTGCAATACTTTTGATACCCTAGTGTAAAAAGATTTGTGCAAACGCAACGGAGCCTTGATCCATGCACAAAAGTAAGCCAGATTCTATAGTGAGCAAAAGTATTGCACAGATTGGACAATAAAGAAATGGCAACAGCTTTGTATACAACATGGCTCTTGAAATGTAAACCAATTTTGTGACCATGGCAAATTTTCCCATATTTTACAGCTAAAAATCCATATTGAAACTTATTAATAACTTACTGAAGCTATTTGAATTTTGATCACTGACAAGATTACATTTAGATATTTGAGTACCAAGCTGAACATACTGGTTTTGAATTTTACAGAAAGAGGAAAATCCATAACATTCTTACCGTTTCTACTTTTAGTACTAAACCATGTAAATTTTTCCTTATTTTATAGCTAAAAATATCCACATTGTAACTTTTTTATACCTTGCTGTAGCTATTTGAATTTTGGTTAGAAAATTCTGCATCAGTGACGCCTTTTTTTTTGCTTGCTAAGTGTGTTCACAAACAAGTCTCTGTACAGGCAATACAGAAATAAGGTCAATTCTAATGTAAGAAAAGTAAAGCTTCCTATAACAGGACATTGATGGAAAGAAACTGCCCATAAGCCCAAGCAGTTTTGGAAAATGGTGAAGAAACTATACCCAAAGAATTCATAATTTTGGAAAATGGTGAAGAATCTTTTCACATTTTGCTGCGTTCATTGTCTCTGGAGAGCTAACAACTGACTAGGGTGCCATAGCAAATTACTTTGGTCGTCACTTTACTAAATGTGTCGAGAAACTTTGAAGTAATCTACCATCAATCTTCAACTGGCGAAATGAAAGTGACATAAATCAGGCTAGCACCCATTTTAAGTCACATGTTACCACTAAGAAAGAGGTATTGAGACATCTTCTAAATCTGAAGCAAAAGCACCAGGTCATGATAACCTGCCTCCATAAATGCTGAAAGATGCTGCTCTGTCTTTAGCTGAACTTCATATATACATATCATATATACATATCATATATACATATCATATATACATATCATATATACATATCATATATACATACATCACTAGCAGATTCCTAGTAAATTAAAGGCCGCCAATGTCCTACCCCTTTTCAAGTGCGGAACTAAATCTTTGATGGATAACTACCACCCAATCTCAATATTACCAGCATTTATTTTAGAGATAGTAAAGTACAAACAACTATCAGACTACTTAGAAAGTAATGATCTCATAACATCATCACAATATGGATTCAGAAGAAGATATAATAGAGAGCTCGCAGTTACTTTTTCACAAATAGAATTCGCCCAACATGGATCAAGGCAAGTTGACAGGTGCTGTTTTTATAGATCTACAGAAAGCATTTGACACGAGCTTCTTTCAAAGCTACCTTTTCATGGTGTAACAGGAAATGAGCTATTATGGGTTGAAAGCTACCTTTCAGAACGCTTTCAATATGTCCAATATGACAACGCCAAATCAGATCAGCAGCGAGTAAAATTTGAAGTACCTCAGGGATCGATTCTCGGTCCACTATTGTTCCTGACTCAGATCAATGATCTAATAAAGAAAGTTAATGGCTGCAATGTTCAATTTTTTTGCGGATGATATCGTGATATATACAACTCATCGAGACATCCAAGTCATTAAAACGGCCCTGTCGGCTTATATGATAGTCATAAAAGATTGGCTAGACAAAAATAGATTGATAATTAACTTAAAAAAAAGGAAAAACAGAACGTAAGTTAATTGGAACTGCTAAGCGACTCCCCTTTCATGGCGATCAGAAAGTAATGTTGTAAGGCCAAATGATAAACTTTACATCTAAATACAAATATCTAGGAATGCACTTGGATCCTACGTTGAACATGAATGACCATTTACATAACGTGCTTGGAAAGTTTACAGCTCGAATCAAGCTTTTAGCACGAATGAGGAAATCAATGTCAGTGTACGCTGCTAAATCAGTGTACAGTGCACATGTATTGCCAACGATTCTATACTGTTCAACACCAGTCTTCAAGATGTCAGACACAACGGCACAGAAGTTTGAAAAACTCCAGGAAAAGGCACATAAGATCATTTACTACCAAACAATTGAAGGTAGAGAGAACAGATTCCGTAGTATCCTAAATCAAAAGAAATTGAAAGTAGCATGTCTAATCTTCAAGTGCATACAAGGAACAAGTATTCAAGCGTTCATATCATACGCGGCGGAAATAAGCCATAATTACAACACCAGAAACGATAACGCAGCCCTTCGATTGCCACTGTTAAGAACTGAAGCTGCGAGGATTTTTTTTTATAAACTTACTTCAAACGGTTGCATTAGGACTTCACTATGATGGCTCAGGTAATAAACAAAGCTCGTATCAAGCAACGTTCACTAGTTGTCACTCTTCTCGATCTTAAAAATGCATTTGGACAAGTACATCATAATTTGATACCCACTGTACTGTCTTACCATCATATCCCTGACAACATACAACTTCTTATCTCTAGCCTTTACACCGATTTTAAAACCTCTATCATCACAAGTCACTATAATACTCCTGCTATTCCAGTCCGTCGCGGTGTTCTTCAAGGCGACTGCCTCAGTCCTCTACTATTTAATCTATGCTTCAACACATTCATACAGTACATAAAAGCTGAAAAATACAAATAGTTAGGTTTCTCCCCACATGATCAGAACGACCGTATGTTTCAACCAGTCCATTAGTTTCAATTCGCAGACGATGCTGCCGTTATCACCAGCAATGAGAAAGAAAACCAACTTCTACTGAATTGTTGCCAATGGGCTAACATGATCATACGTGTCGATAAATGCATCACTTTTGGAATAAAGAAATTTTCCATACGTTCTCTTCAGTATCAACCTAAGCTTTTCATAAACAACGAATCTATCCCACCTGTCTCGAATGGAAATTCTTTCAAGTACCTCGGTCGTCATTTTGACTTTGAAATGACAAACCAAGAACATAAATCTGACCTTTTATCATCACTGTCCAACATGCTCAAATAAATCGATTCCCAGCCTCTTCATGCAAAAAATAAGCTGCTTCTTCATCACAACTTTGTTCTTTCTAAAATCTCTTGGAACCTTACTGTAGCAGATCTTTCAAAGACGTGGGTTGTCGAGAATCTTGACAGCCTCGTATCCAAATACATCCGCCAGTGGCTCGACCTCCCAATAAGTGCTACATTGAGTAGCATTATTCTTTCTAAAAACCAGTTTGGACTCAGCCTAACTTTACCATCCGCCAAAATCCTACAGTGTCAAACTATTTTACGCAACGCATTGAAATCTTCACCAAACGATAACATTCGCTCTTTATGGAAAAATACCAGCAGTAGCACAAATATACAATATGATATATATAGGAACACGAAAGAAGCATTAAAGGCTGTCCAGCAAGAACATAAAGATCGTCTGCAAAACATTCTGACTTCCCAAGGGTCTTTATTATCACATCTTTTTAACCAGGATCTTCCACAAATAAACAAACTTTGGTCCAAGGTGCAAAGTAGCATGCCTCAGAATATTTTCAATTTCACCATAAGGTACCTAAACAATACCCTTGCTACACAGAACAACTCGAAAAAGTGGAACTTGAGCCAGACCTCTGACTGTTCTTTCTGTTTTCTGCGAGAAACCCTCCTTCACGTTGTTGCTGGCTGCAAAACATACCTGGAACAAGGCCGACACACCTGGTGTCATAACTCTATCTTAAACTTTCTAGCTACGTCTCTTTAAAGCTGTTAATGAATCTACCATCTACGCTGATATACCTGGCTTTCTTTCACCATCAATCATAACTGGAGAAAACCTTCGCCTAGATCTTCTCTTGAAGACTAACAACAATTACCTATACATCTTAGAGCTTACTGTTGGTTTTGAATCCAATCTTGACCCAAATGCTACAAGAAAACAGAGCAAATATGCTTCTCTCCTATCTGACTTACAGCGGAAGTTCAAATGTGTCTCTTTTGTGAATCTTTCTATGAGCTCTCTTGGCATCTTTGGCAATTCCTGCATCTCCTTCTTCAAAATGTGTGACTCTCTCTCCATCGATCAACAACAAAAACGGTATCTCATCTCTAAACTTTCCAACATTGCCATCCGTACTACGTACTACATATTTTGTTGCAAAAATAAACCATGGACAAATCCGGAATTACATCCGTTTTAATTTTGGTTGTTTTATTTTTCTCAGTTTTTCCTTTTATCTTGCGATTGTTATAGTTTTTTCTTGTAAAACCAGGCTAGCCAATTGCAAATTACCTTGTAATAGTGAGATTTGTAATTGTAGTTTAAGTTGAATTGAAAATGAAATGTTTCCATTATCATTTTTGGCGTATGAAATCAAACAAATCTCTATGTCCGCTTGACCAAAATTCGGTGATTACGTTGAAAGGATGTCTATTTTTGCGAACCTATTTATCGCAAATAATAAAGCAGGTCTGGAATAGCAAAAACATACTAGCCGCATGGTGCTTCGCAACAACAATACTGATTCATAAGAAAGGAGCCTCGAACGAGCCACCAAACTTTCGCCCAATAACATTGCAACCAAAATGCCTAAAAATATTCACATCCATAATTCGCAATCGCATGTTCGAATTCTTAACATCAAACAATTTAATCGAGAATCATGTCCAAAAAAGCTTTGTTCCAAAGATTTCTGGTACCCTCGAGCATACAGCATTACTTTCACATATAATCAAAGATGCCAAACGTAAACAAAGATCCTTAGTAATAACTTTGCTAGACCTACAAATCGCATTTGGGGAAGTGCAACATGGACTAATTGATACCATGTTGAAGTATCACCACATTCCTGACCATGTCATTCAACTAGTAGATGCACTGTATGCAGATTTCAAAACAACGATCACTACTAGAAGCTTTGCTACTTCATTTCTTAAAATTGGAAAGGGAGTACTGCATGAAGACTGTCTCAGCTCTCTTCTCTTTAACCTTTGCATTAACTCTTTCATCTGTACCCTGCAAACAAAGGAATTCGAGCAACTAAGCTACAGGTCAAATAAGCTGTTGACTCCGAGAAACTGGTTCAAATTCGTGGATGATGCAATTGCAATATCAGCAACAGAGTATGAGAATCAAACTCTTGTTGATGCTATTTCAAGGTGGTGAAACTGGGCTAAGATGAAGATCAGACCTGACAAGTGTCAAACTTTTGCTATGAAAAAGGTTGTAACACAGTCCAAGCATTAGGATTGAAAGTATCGAAGAAAGGAAAGCTTTCGATACCTCAGGCGTTGGTTTAACTTAAACATTGACAACAGTGAGCACAAAAGATAGCTTCTTGACACTAAAAATCGAAATCTCAGCTTGATTCATCAATTACCTTTACATCCAAAAATAATCTGCAACTGTACAATCGGTACTTTCTCAGTAAAATCAGCTGGGGTCTCACGATAGATAGCAAACATAGATGCAACGTGGATAAAGCAAAACCTAGACATGATTTGCCATGGATACTTCACAAAATGGTTTGATATACCTGTGAGTGGAACAGTTGAAATATTGCAATTAACTAAGGCACAGTTTGGACAGGAAGTCATAGATACAAGCACAAAACATACTCTTTGTCAAGTGACTTTCCGCAAGTGTCTGAAAAACTCCATAAATGAAGACATACGATATCTGCATAATGCAACATCAGAGAAGACTAACATTCAATATGACTCGTTCTATATAACAAAGCTTGCACTAAAAAAGATACGGGAAGACAAAAAATTGAAGGTAGAGTCATTTCAGGTCCAGAGTACAGTAAGTACAGAGTTATGGAAAACAGCACTCCCGAAGGCAAAAGACTCTTGGTTCAAAGCGCAATATCGTCTTCCTAGGAAAATCTTTAATTTTACCATAAGATATATGAACAACTCTTCTGCTTGTTTTTCTAACTTAGCAAGATGGGGTGTAAACGTCAGTGCAAGCTGTACATTCTGTAGTGAGGTTCAGACCACAAAGCATATCGTGTGCTGGAGACGTACTCACACATGTTTTGTAGGAAATTAGTAAATTATAAGTATGTATAAATTTAGTTATTCGTTTGTTTAAGGAACCAAATTAGATGCTTAGACAGTAAATTTAAGAGACTCGTGGAAACAGACAATTAGGAACCATAAATGCACACAGCATCCTGCATGATGCACAGGCACATGGTTAAGTCGCAGTAAAAAACCGTAAGTTAAGAAGATTGGTATATTAATCAGTATTATTAGATAAATGGAGTAATTTCGTATAAAAGATTTAAATACAAATACTAAAGGAGAGTTGGCGTAGAGTCGCTCGAAGTGTAGGTAAGGGACGAGCTACGTAGAGTCACGTAACAGTTGTATTTGGAATTCAGCAGAAAATTAACTAAAGATGTACGAAAACAGTATGGTCTTTTTCTTTTTCGAATCAGTAGTGTGAAGCAATTAATGCAACATATTGTAGCTGGCTGTGGGTCATGCTTAAACCGCTACATGTGACGTCATAACTCGGTGCTGTTAAACTTGTCATGAAGCTTTACTGTGATATTCCTTCGTTTTTATCACCTGAAACTGTTACTGGTAATGCTGTGCGGCCGGATCTGCTTGTTAGGGACGGAATTAGCAATTTGTTCATAATCGAGCTAACAGTAGGCCACGAATCTGACACCGTGGCAAATGCAACAAGGAAAGCACAAAAATATGAACATATTTTAAATGATAGTGACCTGAAACGTTCGCATCGAAAAATCTGTTTTGTGAATCTTGTGATGACTGCTATCGGCATCTATTCGAAACATTCAGAGGAATATTTTAAAATGCTGTAAGATTTGAACATTGAAAACACAGCCGCAACGTACAATTCTACAAAACTAACAGAAATTTGTATACGAGAACGAAAGAATGGACAGAGGCGGATCTAATGACCTTCTAAGTTGAACCTTACCTTACCTATTGTTAATTATTTTAAAGCATCTATGCGAATGCAGGCAGACAATGCCTACATTGTAGTGAGAAGTCTGACTCTGTTAACATTGTTTGTAACTTGAATAGAAATATCTTTTATCCCAACTTTTAAAACAGTATGTAATTTAAAATGTTATTATCATGAAAAGTTTCCATTATTATAAAGCGCACATGGAAAAGATCAATAATTAATATGGCAGAACAACATTGAAGTAAAAGTAAAATAATAAGCAAGACTTTTAAAAAAAAGGTCATGATGGAAGAATGCAATCGTACTTTGTTGTCGTTAGGAGTGTTCCAAATAAAATAGACAAAGAAATATATGAAATAGAACCATCGAATCAACAGTGTGAGCAAATTGGTTTCAGGCTTTTCATAAAAATGCTAGGTTTTCTATTAAGATAACTGTCAGTTTAAAAAACAGGAAATTTACAATAAACAGAATCAGCTTCTCAAAGAAGGTTAATTTCAAGCATAGCATCTGCAATCGATACTCGTGGCCTCCTCTGTATAGCATCAGTTCTGTCCGTTTGAAATGCAGAGTTTTTGAAGCAACAAGATAAGCTCGTGCCGATATATTATATAAATAATGATTTCAAACAATCATGAATTTGAAACTAAATTTATGACATTTAGTGTCAAATTGTTATTAAAGATTGGAATTGCTCACTATTGCTAGAGAGGTTAGAACCAAAGAGCAATGGTTTGGAAATAAAGTTTTTCTGTCAACAAACGGCTGGGTGGATGTTTTTACAGTCACCTTTTGAGGAGGATAAGAAGATTGACCTAATGTATTTTAACGTTGGTGTGATTCGTCATGGAAAGTTGAGCTAGTACAAGGGTCAGCGAACATCTAAAAAAGGGATAGCATATTGCTGGAGAAACCTTACCTTGTACATAAACAAGCAGGTAAAAGATACAAAAATTTGCAGAGCGTCGGGATTAGCCTGCTGGACATGGGAATAAACCCACGGTACAGGGTAACCACTGATTCACTTGACTTTGTCAAAGCAGACCAAAATGAAATCATTAATTGCGTATGCACAGCGTGACAATCGTGCTATATCCAATAACGACATTTATAGAGTTTCATTTATAGAGCAAAGCGAAAGGAACACAGTGCTCTGGCACATTCTATTAATCATTGATTGTTTCATGTGAAATTAATAGAGAAAGACAGCTTGTGCTGGATAACATGAATGAAACAAGATCAAGATTGGAACTGAACTCAATTTAAAACGAAAAAGCCGCCCGCAATATGAACAGTCCAAAAATCAATAATTCGAGAGCAATGATAGAAGCCTAAATTAAAAAGAAGGATTTCTTAAACATCTTTTCATAATCTTTGAACATGCTCTGGTGAAGCCCCGTATGCTGGGGCGAAATATCAGTTACTTTTAATTGACTTGTGTTTGTTGTTGTCTGTTCTCGGTGTGCTGTGGTATTCATTAGGATCTACATTCTTTAAAAAATGCCCAACAACTTAAATCGGAATACACAATCGTGAAGCAAAAAGTGACAAAAAGTAACAAGGAAAACGAGAAAAGTTTGAGTTGGCCGATCATAGATTTTCAATTCTGCAAATGTGAATATTAAATAGCTTTGAATTCGTTGATGTGTATCGGAAAAAAGTAGCTATGAATGGGAGGCGGACACACTCGATACGTTGCGTGATCCAGGAAAAATGGACCCAGAAAACGACAAGCACGAAAACTTGCTTTATTACCAGCATTTAAAATTTCCTGTTTAAATTTGGACATTCTAAGAGGATGTTTAAGTTTAAGTTTCAGTTGATTAAAATTTGCAAAAATGCGAATGTACTGACCTCATTGACAATGCGATGCTGTTGCACAGTTTTTTTATTTATGAAGTCTTTTGATGCAACAAAAATTTCGTACATTGATCCACATCCTCCTAAGATTTAAGTTTGGCAATTGAAGATGAAATTAACTAGATGCATTTTGAAATAAAATAATGAACAAAGAAAAACAACAGAAGATCTAAAAAATTTATCTGTGTATACCGAGATAGTTGTGTACTATTTAAGACACATCTGTAAGCAAAGGATTATGAAAATAAACCAAAATATCTTATGATCTGCCTGAATAATTATTTGACCCAAATAAACATGAAATATAGATGAATGCAATAAAATTAGTAGGAAAAAACTCAAGCCTGAAAGTATGTAAATCATATTCATCATCAGAAAATTAGAGTCTGAATAAAATGATACCTGAAATATCTCTAACCATGATTTCTTCTACATTAAGTTTTGATTTAAGAATATCTTCTATTCTTTTTTCACCAGGGGAAACAGATTCATGATTATATGTCACGCTTGTTGTATGTAAAGATCTGGAAGAACAGGTGGCTGGTTGCTTCCATGCCTAAAAAAGATACAATTATTTCTTAACATTAAATTTCATTGCAATGAAACATAACATACAAAGACAATTATGACCCTTTCCATGGTAACTGCTAAGTTGATCTTGATTCGATTGCATGATGCTCGATAGAGATTCTGATCATTTCAGAATTTCAGTGGATCTATAGAGAATTGCAATTTATCACAGCCTATTAATGAATAACTAGATTTCATTTTAATATGTACGGTGAATAATAAAACCTATATACCCCACAGCGGGAATTAGGCAAGGTTGTAATTTCCTTTCAACACTGTTCAATGAATGTGTTCTACTGGATCTTGAAAGTGGCATTAGAAGAAATGGTTTGTATCATTGTTAGCAAAGATATTGTGAAAATGTTGCCATGACTGCTCACTCATTGATGTTGAAAAATAGCTTGCATAACCAATTCTCTAAATACCAGTAAGAAAACAAAATCATATACTGCTCTTCATAAATTTATTTTACTTCATAACACAGGGTTACTTCAAAGAGCATGCCGATTTATTTACTTTATTTCAAGTTTACTTGAATTTCAGATATCTTTATTGCCTACCTTAAACCCAACATCAATATCGTTACATTTCATAGATATTTAGGCATCAATTTCCAAGTTTTGAAGTAGTATTAGGAGCTAGAAGCTGCTCCAGAAAATTATCCATTTTCTAGCTGTAAAAATGGTCTTTGTCTTCACTGACATCCCTTATCCAAAGACATATGGAAACAAGACTGGAAAATGAGAATTTATCATTGGTTTCTTTCATAAAAGGAACCAAAATGTGAAGCTTCAGATGATGAGCATTGATAGAATATAAAAACTTTCTCATTCTTTATCGGTTTTCCTAGCTAATGTTTGTTCCTTTACCCAAAGAACTTTCACTCCACTGGCATGTTGCAGTGTGAGATGTCCTTTACACAGCTCCTTATTAATAAGAGCTGTCTTAGTGAAAGCCAGGACTTCCTCTAAGCCTCATTGCAGAACAAAAATGAGCACTTGTGATCAAAGACAGCCATACCTATGTGAGACCAAACATTCTTATGCCTTTTCTGGCCCAAGGTGTATATGGTAAATATGTATGCAGTTCACTGTGATACAGATTCTACAGGAAACAGTGTATCCATGTGTCAAAGTTATATTTCTGTCCACTACTGGATATGCTAATGCTGTGCCAAGGAATAATAGTGACGTGCTTGGCATAAGGGAGGGGGGGGGGGTGTCAGTAACAGCAATGCCAGTCTTCAACATTACAGGCTTCAATTTGTGTGTGAAACTTCAACTGCAAACTATGACATGGCTTTGAAATGCCCAGTGCTTGCAACCCTCATTTAACACTGTCTAGAAACCGAAAAAAGATTCTAGATATAAATCAAAGCTGCATTGTTAAAAAAATACTTTTTGCTATTTAGATTTGTTATTAGTGTTGGAAAACATGTATGATTTGGCTACACCTAGCTGTGAGCAACAGCACACTATCGGTTGTGAACTCCAAGCAAGGCATTTGAGCTGTTGGCAACAATGCTCCTTTGAATACGATTGTTTGACATTGTGGGTCTTGTCTTACAACTAGGAAGCCTTGCTTGTATGCTGATATTGCAGGGCAAAATAAATCACATGGGTAGCTGTATGTATATGAAACTATTTCATAGACTATTCCTCTTACAGCACTACTCCTTTTGTCTGCCGCGTATAGCCTTTGCAAACCTCTCTTTACTATTAATTTGGTGTGCAATCAAAAAAACTGTTGTGCAGCATCTGTGCATTGCATCTACCATACTATGCAGACTGGAGTAAGCATACAGTTTTAGATTCTGAAAATTGTTCCTGTTATTTTGATGAAAATACTGCTGCTCTTAGCATCTTGAAACTGGCATGCCTTTTTTTAAAAACATTCTCAGGTCCTGTTGGGTTTCTCCTGTATTATTCTTTGCAGAACACATTCAAAATTGCAATGTACTTATTTTCAATTAAGAGAATTTTAAAAGAAAATGCAAAAGGATTACAGTTAACCGGACGAAACTATTATTATTATACCTTACACAAATTATTATGACGGCCGAACAAAATCATGAGTTTCATTTGAAAAAGACAAATTCATAAAAAATAATAATGCAAAAGAAGCGAAAACCTTTGATATATTTGAAAAACTGCTTCTGAGAGCTGTACTGTACAATCTTTGCATTTTTGAGCCGCTTAACTTAATTTAACAGAGAATTATTCCGCGCAGAGAAATAATATACCGTATTCTTTGATAGTGCTACTGCTGGCATCTTGAAACAACTTCGATCTGATACTGAGGCTAACAGAATGGATCAAATCTTCAAGGGAAAGTATACTTACCGTAAATCCTCGAATTAGCCCCCTGGGGGCTTATTTAATTTTTTTATTTTTAGATGGGGGCTTATTCGAGGGGGCTTATATGAGGGGGGGGCTTATAAAATTAAGTTTTCTTTCTAAGTTATCTTTCAAGAGCTACAGCCTTCTTTCTCCCCTCGGAACATTCTCTTGCGGCTGAAGATGAGATTTTTTAGACCAATGATTTTTGCCTATTTTTAAAGTGTCGAGGGATGTTTCCTATCAACTTTCAAAATGCACACGAAAATCATCAGAAAAAACAACCTGTGGCCATATCTTTGACTACATCCATTAAAACTTCTTTGAAAATTTAACAATTATAATCTTTCGTACCAAAGTAATCGAAATAATTAGTTTCACCAAAGCCAAATTACGAAAATGGACACCGTTAATTATTCTTTCACTCTGAGTATGGATATCTTCAAGGTGGCCACACCTTAGCACTCGAAATATAAAATTCCTTTCTCCCATAGAAAGCTCCCCAAAGAAAAATATGAGTTTGCGACAAAGGACGCAGATGGTTGTCAACGAGAGGTAATGGAGAGAAGTCACTTAAGAAGCCAAATGAGCTTATAAGCACTAACAAAAAACCTCTTCATTCTTAAGGACATAGATGAAGCATGCACTCTTTTAGTCCCACCCTCTTCCTGAAGGCTTGGGTCAAACCTGAAATATGATGGGATACCAAGACGAATTGAAACTGCATGTTGATCTAAAAGGTAAAATTATATTGCTTTTATCGATTTGCTACTCTTAAATTTTTTTGCGGCCTAAACAGCTCGCGACGTAGATCTTCAAAAACAAATAACAGCGCTCACTGCTTTTGTAGACAGTGTTCCCATCATCAGCTGGGTAGATACTCTGCCTGACAGAAGTTATTAAACTTGAAGAGCTTCTTATGCAAATAATCCTTTATTACCGGCTATAAAAATACCGGTATTTTGGTGCTTAGAGATATTAAAAAGAGCAAATGTATTGGAAAGAACGCTTTTTTATCTTTCCAAGCAATTCAAATTTGATTTTGCTGAGACGAAAAGCTGGAAAAAGCCTTATCTCTCGCAACGGCCCAAGTTTATCTAGCAAAATCTCAAATCTACGCAAGAATTCGTTCAAAATCAGCTTTTACAGGCTTTCGCTGTTATTTTCACAGAAACGAAAATTCTAGAATCTTAAATGAAACTGCATATTCAACACCGGTCTTGTCCTTGACTGTTCATGGTGTGTTCATCCATTCATTATTGGGTCACAGAAGATTTTGATCAGAATCTTTTGGCATTTTGAGTTACAAAAATACTTACCCCCTGACATCTTGTCTTACGGGCCATTTAATAAAGTACGATTTAAATGCATCAAGTATAAGGTTAAATACAGTACCTAATCCATCTATGTGATGAATTCGGTTCTAAATGAGTTCTAGTTCATTTGGTAAAGAAACGAACAACAATTCAAATTATCACATGTTCCCTTGCTGGTAGAAAACCAGATAAGCCATGCATAAGATGCGACATTCGTAATTTAGTATTTATTTAGCTTCAAAATCGATTACACGGCGCGAAAGATGAAAATCCAAAGAAGTTTTGGAAACAGATATATGGGGGTAATCCAAAGGTATACAACTCACAAACAGGCCGATGATTAAAAGTAAAATATTCAAGGCAGGTACTTTAACAGATAACCACTCTAAAGTTATACAATTTTCCATCAAAATAATGAGCTATATAAAGCCATAAATTGCTTTAGGATGAAAAATCTCTAGGGACTGGTGGGATCAATGATAAAGTCTCAAATGCCGATGAAAGTAAGCCGGGTCTTACTTTCAAGATTTAGGGCATTAAAGACCAATTGCTAATGGAAGAGCAGGTGTTGGAAAGAGCGTGGAATAAACACAGAGAAAATGAATCGTGCAGCAAAAGCGTAAGGAGAAAATTGGCATGGCTAAACTATCCTCTTATAAGATAAAAAAAAATTCAAGTTCAAAATATTAATAAATCCATGAACACATCATTCCTGTACATATTATGCTTCAAACTTAGCGAAAAACATACCAACCCTAACTGGAGTAATAAAGAATTGAAACAAGGATGTGTTCTTAATCCCTTGATTTTAATTCTGTTAATTGACATTCAACTTGTTAAAACAAAACTCCATACTACTTTTGCATATATTGTTTTATGGCGATTATAAATTCGAAAACCAAAAATAATATCACAAAACCCTTATCTTGATATCGTCACAGTTTGGTTCCTCAATCCAAATCCTGGAGCTAAAAAATCTTCTCTAAAAATAACTTGAAAACGGTATTGTGAAATGTATACAAATCTATCATGCATGATAAACTAGCGCTGATAAAAGTATGTGCTATCATCTCTTAAAAAGATATGCATGAGCGAAAGCGTTGCAAAGCACAAAGTACCATTTCTCTACTTATAGCAACATTTTCTTGTAGAGTGAGAATGTTACTCGCCAAAAGACGGCAGTTAGTGTATGGATGCTCTAAAATTTGGAACTCCTGATTTACGTCATCTCGATAATGCTGCCCTGCCATGATTCGCTTATTGCATCCTAAAGGCACTTTTCCGGTAAAAAGGTCCGTATTTTGAGGGTAACAGGCAATAAACACCTTAGCTTCAATGAATTTTGTAGATACTGCGGTCATTACTAACATATTCCCGTACTTGGTATACTGGATACTAGTAGCTAAAAAGTACAGATCATACGATAAAACCAGTGAAAGGAAAGGGACACGTTTACATTTGTAAAGAAACATACTTTTCACAGCAAACTAAGAACAACATGCGATTAAAGATAATTGCTTTAAAATGGAACCCTTGGATTGAACCTTACTGAAAGTTGATTCCTTCTTGCACATTGTTAAGTGGAATTTTAAACGGATAACTATGTATGATTTTGCTTAAAGTTTCTGATGATTTGATTGGACCAACCTGAAGCGTGATCACATGACATAACACAGCCTCGTGGTCTGTCAAAACTTGAAGCCTCTGATTGAGCTTGCCCTTTAAACGGCTCTTATTTTGCTAGGTAATTCCCCATTTTCTTTCAGAAAAAGGGCATGGTTTATCACACTGCGGTATCGTCATCGTGAGGCAACCCGAGTATGAAAAACGAGAGAAACAGACATGATCCAAATTGGAATGACAGCAAAGAAAAGTATGTCCAGTGTCCAAACGTCCAAATGGCTGTTACTGAATGCATACTTAATAAGAAAATGGCTGTTTTGTAGGCTTTTTTCAAACAACTCCTTCCATTCCAGCGACATTCTAGTCACCTTTAAATAAAGGGCTGACAGCAGCATAATAACAGCATATGGCGTTGATAGAAACATCAAAACATAGTTAAGAGATCCAGCCAATCTGAAAAAGATTCAAAATAAAATTTAGAATAAATTTATCGTGGAGCCCTATCAAAGTAAAAATATTAACTTCTTTGTCAAAATAGCTCCCCATTTGACGAATTTTTAAACTTCAGTTTACTTTTTTCAATTTTTCATATATTAGTTTTCTCAATCTATTTGGTACTCTCAATCTGATGAATTATTTTTGAGTTTTCCTTTCCCTTTCCATTTCAATTCAGCAGCCAGTCAAGTGGAAATCTGACAATGACACTGAAAATCTCAAGCTTAAAAGATTAAACTGCTGAACAAATTTTTTTTCGGCTAAAGTTTATAAATTCTATCGAACTCAAAAAGTTATTAAAATTGGGTAAACAAACAAATACATGAGTAAAAAATTCATTGACCCGCTAAAAACAAATTAGGCCCACTAATTGAAAGGTTGCATTGCTTTTATATATATTCGGTTTCTTACTAATATTAAACAGCTAAACACTCTCAAATGAAACCGACAAAGGTTGGAAAAAATAAGTAAGCAACTTCAAAGCCATCTCATTTTCGAGCAAACAAAATTCTACATGAGTTACCTGTTACTAGCAAACTATTTCCTTTTCACAAAAAGCAATATTATATAATCTTAAATTCATTCCAAGTAACTTAAAGAAAACCAAACAAGTCATAGAACTATCCATTGTACATTAAGCAGATGGGACCGATTTAGGATTGGCTGCCATCGATGCCGTTCAAATGCTTCTTCTATTTATTTTGTCTATTTATTTATGCGAATGCAGGAGAGATCTATTTGTTAAAAAAGAATGTGCCGATTCGAAACTTTTCAAAAAATAGATAAATTGTTGGAACGGAGAAAAATGCGACCGTAGCCTCTGCAAAATATACCTCCCAAAAGTCTCGATTCTAGCAGAATAGTCCTAAACTGGCTTCTATCTTCTACAGAACAATTTCCATTTTATAGTTCTATTTTCTATTATATCGTAACGTAAATTATATGTAAATACTAGGCTTAAATCAGCTGTAAATTGGTTACATTTGTTATCCAGCCAACATCAAATAAATAAATGATGATTATTATGATGATGTGTGATTCGTTGTGAACCCAAACATTCTCATACACGCGACAGGTGCAGTGAAAAAATCAATTTTTCACAACCATGAAAGTTTTGACGAATAATATTACTGTTTAATAGATAAAAGTGTGAAAACCAAGCTAGAAAATCAGAAGAAAAGCTGGAAAAAGTAGCTAAACGTGTTAATATTTGTCACATGATGCTTCAACTCTGTCAAAAACAAGCTAATTGGCTTAGCTACATATTTGAGTCAAGAAAGTTTGTAAAAGGTTCTCCTTGGCTTGCATGTTTAGAAACAATAAGTTGGGAAATAAAATGTTCAGAAAACGTTTAAAAAGTTCAGAAACAAAATGCTGGGTTACATGATAACTTAGTGTGCAAATTTGAGTAATTTAAAAGATAAATAATTTAAGAGAAGTTGAAAACTGTGTGAGGTGGTTGCTTCCCTATCTTGTATAAATTTTTACATGATACTTCACATTATAGATATGTTACAGAAATATATGTTCTTTTTAAAAAAAAATCTATGAAAGCCATATCAGCATTTATAGCCTATGTTTAAATTTGCGAAACCAGAAAATTTCGAAACAGGCAACGAATAATGTGTCGTCATTCACTGAATGGACAGACTAAAGCATAACACTAAAATTTAAACAGATAACTAAATATGTACCAACTTATTTTGAGATTTTTTGGGGTGCTCGACGAACCGAAATTTTTTTCATAGATTTATTAAAGATTCCTTTATGATTTAGAGTTAATAGTTTAATGTGTTAATAAGCTGAGTCCCTGATATTGCTTCACACAATTAGAAGACTCTAGTATTTCTGTACACCGTGCATGGTCATTTAAACTGCTGATGAAATTCGGGCGTGTGATTTGACTGGTTTAGGCCAAGCTACTCGTGCATTGATTGGTTAAATCGAGCACTACCCCTTCAAAGCATGCTACCACTACGGGCATTGTCTTGAAACAGAATGCAAAGGAGAAGTTTTTTACAGAAAAATGATAGAAGCCGTGGTTCTAATAAAAAACACTATGCATTATTGCTGTAAAGGAAAGTCACCTACTATCAGAATCGTCCTACAAATATGATAAAAGTATTACTGTACCGTAAAACCTCGAATAAGCCCCCACGCTCGAATAAGCCCCCACGCTCGAATAAGCCCCTACCTAAGAAATCATCTCTGCAAATGAGCCCCCCTTTGAATAAGCCCCCGGGGGCTTATTCAAGGGAAGCTTAATTGCAGAATAATATCTATTTCAAGAAAGTCCCCACAGGACATTAGCTTTACAGTATTACTTCCTTTGACTGGAGACCAAAAAGCAAAAAAGCGACTTTTGTTATGATAAAAAATCATAATATCTATTAGTTCTTTGTTAGATATTGTTAGAAAAATTATGTCGTTTTTTATGTTGACCTTTGAGGAAAATACTAAACTCTGAAATAAGCCCCCCTTGAATAAGCCCCCCCCTCGAATAAGCCCCCACCCAAAAATTCATCTTTGCAGATAAGCCCCCGGGGGCTTATTCCAGGATTTACGGTATGTCAGCTACTCAAAATAATGATCGAAACAATGATAAGATGTGTGATATCCTACATTACATTAGTGCACCGTGAGCTAAAATTTTGCTGAAAAGAAGTGTTTCATCCTAGGAAGATAACAGCATCAAAAAACTGTTTCCGCTACAAAGCGAGTAAGATCAACCGCTTATTCAAGTGTGAGTCCTTCCAGGACAGACGTAAAGAAGTTTTTGTTCCCACATCAGTGTGAAACTAAAGCAAAAAGGTGATTTTAAGGGCAAATCTGCAGATAGCACCTGCTTCATTAATTACATTTTAAGCTTGTTTCTCAGCGAAAAATTTTTATGGCCAAAACTTAAGCCTGTAAAAAGATCGAGAATACAATAAATGTAATCACACCCTTGCAAGCTCTTAAGGGAAATCTTTCAAAACTAGGAAACAAAAGGTTAAAAAAAGATGCAGTGATGAGAAACTGACTTGGTTCAATAGTTTATATCGTCGTTGTTTTGTTGAAATTTATATTTATTTATTAGAAGAAGTAAATAATGGTTATATGATTATTTTTCATCGGGACAAAATGTATTTAACCTCGACCAAACAATAAGAAATTACTTTACGTTAGATGTTTCAGTGAGATGTAGGAAAAGGGTTATACACATGCACTACTCACCGGGAAGGTTTCATGTCCAGAAACAAAACAGCTGGAACCAATGGAATCGCAACAACCAAAGCTAACGAAAAGTTCAACAATGACGTCATACCAATAACAAGGATGAGAAGGAACGTAGTGATGAGTTTGCGAGCTTTCCATTCTTGTTCATTTCTCGTCTTGGAAAGGATCCTGAGGGTTGAAGATAAGAACTATGAATAAAGCATTCCATGAAAGGCTGCGTCGGTACATAGCAGATTTGATATGTTTGTAGACCCAGTGAAATAGACAGACATTCCATGACATCACACAAATGGTCCATGAAAAATAAAAAGATCGGGATACTTTATTTCCTTGTTGCTAATTCTTGTATTTCTCTCAAAAACGGGCCTATTAGCGGTTTGCAGGTTCACGTTGTGGCAGGTTCACTTTGTGGCAGGTTTGTACCATGTTTCAACAACGGCCGACTGCAGCTTTTTGGTACATTAAACACCCCATACATGGGCTCCGACAAAGGTTGAAAAGTGAGGGAGGGGGTGGCCAAGGGAAAATTTAACACCCATAACAAAAGATTTTGAAAAAACTTTATTGTTTTGCAAAAAAGTGGGGGGGGGGCAAGGCCCCCCCGGCCCCTCTTCGTCGGAGGCCCTGCCATAACGTGCCCCAAGTAAACTCAAATACAAGCAGCATTACTTCAAAAGTAGGGAATCAGATCAAATACACGGGCGAGAAGGGGGGCGCGCTTAATTGCGGGGGGGGGCATTATGGCAAATCCTTCATTTAGCTTACGAGTAGCTGTCGATCAAATTGATACTTCTCTTGCCTTAAGGGCATTGTTTGACCTTGGCATAGCTGCAAGAACAATACATAGAAGACATAGAACTATACAAAAATAATAATGGATATTTAACAGATCCATCAAAGATGGCTTTTCACTGTTAAGTTAAAATAATACAATTGTCAAAGTTAAAGTTAAAATAATACAACTGTCAAAGTTTAGGTAAAGCATTTTTAAAATAATTTACAGAAAATGCAATGTCTCTTAAAATTAATTACATTTTTTAGCTCTATTAACTACAAAGTTTTTGACAAAGATAAAAATGTTCTATAGTTTGGACAGTTTCTACTCTAAAGACTTTTCAAACAGTTGAGAGATTAGCGGCAGCGATTGGTCAAAACAGAGAATCAATATCACGTGCTTTATCTCGCATTACTTTCAATCCGCATATATATACCAATTTTCTTCTTAACTTATCCGACGTTTATATTCCGAGGAGTATCGGACAAAAGTACCTTTGTATGATATTTTCCCGCTCTTCCGTGCTATCTTCCAATTTTTGAGTACAAAGGCGCATTCCATAACAAAATGCATGCATAAGTGCATGTGACAAAATATGCAAAAATGTAAAGATAACAAAACTGCGTTAGAAGAAAAGTCCTACAGAACGACGCGAAAAATGACCGTTGTTGCGAATATATTGATATATAATGAGGTAATTCACACATTCATGCCCACCTGCAAGCATTTCATGACGCCAGAGTAGGTAAAAATATAACTGAAGCTGATGCAGAGGGATGCAGACTAACGGGCATGCAATTAGAGAAATTTCACGAATGTCCTTGTTGTAATATCAAAAAATCCAAGTTACCAGTTCAAAGCTGAAACCGATCAAAATGTATAAAAAAAGAGAACTGGAGAGGACTAAACATAGAAGCAGCACCAGCACTATGTAATCAGCTACTTTTCCTAAGGAATTATATATGATCGTGCTTTTTGACAATAAATAGCTATTGGCGTGATTTTTCTAGATTTTCAGTCATTCCATGGATAAATTAACAAATATTGGCCAAACTTTGAAGTCCTTTTAATGAAAAGATTCGGCTAGTCGTAGGTTAATATGGAAAAAACGAGCTGATATTCAACATATGGAGACAGTTAGGCGAAAGCTGAAAAACGCTATTTGGAATAGTCAAACTCGAGAAGCACTGAGACACGTTCAGGATACACCAAAACAAAACTCCGGTAAATTTAAAAATAAAACCATATCAATCATGTCATCTTTAAGATGCAGAAAATGATCGATTGAATTTAAAACAGACAAAGATTTCTAATGTAAAGGCAACCTCGTGGTAACAGGCCAGTGAAATACATAAGAGATTGTCATTGGCTTCTTGAATTACCATGGACAAAGTTGTTAAAAAAGTTGCAAAGTGTGTTTGCAACTGGCTATCCTAGCTTAACGACAACAGGCTGAAGCTATCCAAAAGTCCAATAGGTGTGGGCGAAGATCAAAAGGTTTAGTCAAAGGTCAACAGGTGTGGTCAAAGGTCAATAGGTGTGGTCAAAGAAAATCCATTTATTAACTTGATACGAAACAGAAGGAAGAAGTGCTCTACGTCTAGCTTTAGTAATGAGTGAGAGTAGTGACCAAGGTAAAGGAGCAGTGACTAAAATAATTACAGTAATGAATATAAATTCAGGAAGATTTTCGATTTTTTACAGAGTTTACAGTTTTTCGATAGCTGTCTTACTAGAGAGGCATTGAATAGGAATGGCGGAAAATAGATCGAAAAGTAAGGACCAAATATAGGATTTAAGCACAACCAAAAACACATCTAAAATAGGTAACAAGCACTTTAATCTTCGTTTAAAAGTTTTCGTGACCGGTTCATAGAGTTCTTAAGCGAAGACGTCATAAAATGTATTTTCAATCATTTAAATTAAATAACTTGATATAAATTTATGAAATATCTCTTTATGAAATATGCAATGTTTCTTTTATACCTGTGATGTACGAAGTTTGAAATCTTGCAGGTTGCGTATTATTGAAAACGTTATCAGCAAGAATCCTTAATATTAAAATGATAAAAGCAGGAGGTAACGACAGCCTTTGACTTTGGAGATGTGAGAAGTAGGACACCAGGCTTGCCGGAAAACGTCCGCTCGACCCCTTTTGGACAGATGCGCAATAAAAAGTATTTGTACAATTACAAAAACATTTCAAAAGAAGCCATAAGATCCAAAGCAAATGGCGATTAGGAATGAAAAGATGATTTACTAGGAAACAAGATGAAAAGAGAGTAAAAAATATTAAACTACCTCAAGGAGAAGGCTGTTTCAAGAAACACACAGAAATTGTGACTTGCAATGTATAGGAACAAATGTATAGAGACCTGCGTGAACGAGAAAAACAGCTGAAATTCTGATGAAATACTAATGGACTCTAGATACCACCTACAGAACACTGTTTGGGAGATCGTGAGGGCATAAAAGGCACCATGTCCCGACGTATTCCGTTGGCCATTCAAATTTCCCATTGGTTGGACTACACATAAGATCTATTGTTAAGTATCTAATCGGCAACGTAAGGCTAATTCGCATTGTGTTCTCGATCATAAATAGAGGGCTGGTGTAGAGGGCTAGTATTGGGATGAAAACGGAACAAGGGAGACAGGGGTGCTTATGTGACCGACCGACCAAAGGGAAAAGAAAATAATAATGTAATATACCATAAGACAAAATGTATGAAAGTATACATAGTTGAACCCTAGCGGGGAGATGAAGGAGAAGATAAAGACTAGACGATAGCAATAGCACGTCAGGTGAAATCACAAAGCAAAGGTCCAATAGGTGTGGTCAAAGGTCAATAGGTGTGGTCAAAGATCAATAGGTGTGGTCAAAGATCAATAGGTGTGGTCAAAGGTCAATAGGTGTGGTCAAAGTTCAATAGGTGTGGTCAAAGAAAACGATTTATTAACTTGATACGAAACAGAAGGAAGAAGTGCTCTACGTCTAGCTTTAGTAATGAGTGAGAGTAGTGACCAAGGTAGAAGGAGCAGTGACTAAAATAATTACAGTAAGGAATACAAATTCAGGAAGATTTTCGATTTTTTACAGAGTTTACAGTTTTTCGATAGCTGATTGGTAAATAACAGGCTTGTCTGCTGTATAAGCAAATCATAGATTGGAAAAAAAATTTTCAGCCGTGCCTGTCTCATATTTTATTTTTATTATTGGCATTAAGCTTACTTTTACTTGTATAGGTTTGGTAACAATAAAGAGTTGAAGCTTTTTTCATAGAGGAAGAAAATTCTAATAAATCGAAGAATGATATCACAGGCAATATTTGCAAAAGATTCCGGCTTTTTTCTCTCTGCTGCAGCAAAATTTTGTTTGCAAATAATTTGCTTTCAAATCTTTTGCATGAAGTTTACACTATTTAATTTTGAAAAACAAATACAATAGGCAGCCTCGGTTATTATTATTTCGAGGCTCCTATGATCAACAAACCTGCACAGTGCAAATTTGCATAGTAGGTTAAGTTACGTAAAATAAGTGCTGGTTCTTCTATGATAGCGCCCTTGGCACAAAGCAGTATTCCGCAGTACATTTCTGTTCACTAATAGTGATTGACTCTAAATTCGTGGCAAGTACTTGCTGGACCAACAGAGTAGAAAATATAACCAACAATGCCAGCTGAAATAAAGATTCAGTGAGATTGTGAATACGAAGAAAAGCAGGTTGAAATTATCAGAGCAGCACCTGCCCTAGAACTTGCTGAGCAACAAACAGATGGGGGTAATTACTTGAAAAAAAAGCTGTTGAATATCAAGACTACTCGCAAATAGAGCAGAACAAACCTAAATGTTAGCAAATGGCTCGCAGGAAAAACAGATATGGTTACAAAGCGATGTGTTGGATGTAACAAGAAAAATACCGTAAGAAAACGTTTTCATATCGGCATTATAGTTGTAAGCTGCTTTATATTGGCGATTGTTTTGCTTAAATGTAACACTGTCTAAAATGGCTATATACAGAGCAAAACATTTCTGATCTTGGAGTCCAAAGACGCATTATACTTATTAGGCTAGTACCAGCTTGGATCTAAACCAATTTAACAAAGTCTATGGGCTTATGTGCTGAAAACAGTGCTTGTTTTTAGAAAGAAAGACTTTATTTTTAAATACATAAATACCTTCGCAAGATACCTTCACAACATAAATGATTGGTTGAGTAAAGTGAAGTGTGAACTCAAACTGAACAAGTGTGATCAATTGATAAGCAAAGAAGAAAATCCTTTCTACAGGTATGTTTACTAAAACAGGCAAATAAGCATTCAAAGTAGTTTTGTGTCAACTAAAAACATACAAATTGGATAAACTTCTCCGATGTAACAGCATAGAATCAAATCGACAATGGCTTCAGCATCGCAAAAACAGGTAGCGACAGTGCTCTATGCACTTGAACTAAAAACAGTAAAGCTTGAACTCAGAATTCAGATTCAGAAAGATGGAATTTAAGATTGGTGTTGTAATGCTCAAAAACAAAACGATATCACTTGCAAAATATTCATTTAAATGTATCTGGGTTTGGATCATAGTTGTTAAATGAATTTAGCTGTAACATCACATTTGCTGATGCTTTCTAGCAAATTACATAAAAATCTCAGACGTAATAAGTTTTGTAAGTAAAAGATATTTCGAAAGCCATATGTTAGATTTCTTGAGCATATGCGCAAACCGCTTGTTACAACAGAGTTTAGCATATGCGCAATCCGTGCTAAAACTGAATTTATGACGTGAAACAGTTGGTTGTTTCCCAGAGAAGGTTTACAATTCTCGTTCAAAGAAAATTGACAAAAGCGCAAGGATTAGCTTGTCTAGTTATTCAGATAAACTTTGTTCCTATTGATGAAAGAAAAACCTCTAATATGTTTTTGAAACCAAATTTTACTTGTGAAAAAAGCCTTTCCAATAAATGACAATTAAAAATTAGCAAATTATTACATAGGAATTTCTTTCAGGTTCCACAAAAAGAAACCTAGTAAGATGAACCTGCTTGAAAATCACATTAAGCGTGAAACTCTGATTAGCAACTAAGAACCTCCCTGTTCTTTACCCTAAAAGAGAGTATAGCTCTGCTTATGGTATCAAACCTTATATGACATACTGGTGAGCAATAGTTTTCATAAAAGAAACAACATGGTATAATCAACGACGGTATTTCCTACAAAAAATACCCCACTTCCTACACGCGAGTAGATCTTTCATTTGATTTCCTCTTCAACATTTTCAAAATGTATTGAATTTGTTTTGAGGCACAAACAATTGTTGACATGAAAAAGCGACATCTACATAACAAAGAAAAGAAGCAATCGGAGCCTTTTTGGATATCACAACCAAACAAAACATGTAATGTAAAAAAAATCATAATAAAAATGATTATCTTATTGGTTTTGATCCTTTCATATTGTGAGGACAGAAAAAGATCAGGAATCACATAGTCCAGAGGGACAAGGGGTTTCCTTACCTCCCGACAAAGGACTTTAACAGACTAATTTTTTCTAGCTCAGTTTTTGGTGTAGAATTCAAATCTGGATGTTGGTCGGGCGGAAGAGGGGGCTTTTCCGAGATACAAGGGGTTTTGTCGAAAAACTGGTATACAGCCTGTGAATGAGTTGTCAATGACCAACCGAAGAGAAGCTTTACCAAACCAACCTTACCTAGACCAGTTTTTGGTGTAGAATTAAAAAAAAAGGATGGGAGAGGATGCTTTTCCATGATACGGGGGCCTTGTTCAAAAGCTGGGATGTAGTGTATGAATGAGCTAACAATGGTTACCTAACTTTACCAGACCAACTTTTCCTAGATCAATTTTTGGTGCAGAATTCCAAGCTGAATGTTGATCGGACGGAAGAGGACGCTTTTCTGAGATCCGGGGGGGGGGGAGAGGTAGGTTTTGTCAAAGACTGGGGTTCTTGACTCAGAGAGAGGGATGAAATTAGGGTCATCTGCTTTTGGATTATTGAATCAGTTTGGTCTGCGAGTTATCTCTACAACATTCAAACCTGAAACTATAACAGATTTACATTAGCTTCCCTTGTCGAGATAACAATTTCAAGATCATAAGCTACCATGTCGTTAATTTCTCCTTCACCTGCACTGTCACTGAATTGTTCAGTGTCCGTATAATCTTCATCATCTATACTTTCTTGACATCTAACTGATGCAATAGCCCTTTTTTATCTTTGGATATGGCTCTTCTATCCGGTCTCCAAAGGCTTGCAATATAGATCGAGCGTAGATGTGCTTCCTAAAGCAAGCGCCTAGAGGCATACAGATTGATCTGCAGTTTTCTTGTCTCTTGCAAATATTCTTCCAAGAAGCTTCTCTCTTACATCATTCACAGCATCAAGTCGTTTTAGATTTGTCGGCCAAAGATTCGGAAAAGTTTCTGGTACTCTGGCAATTGATCAAATTGCTGCCACCGGATTAATAACGTAGAAACTGGCATCATCTGTGATACCTACGACATACCTCAAGAGAACTCACTGCAGCATTGAGTAATTTGCTTCTGCACCTTTCATTGCGAGATTATTGGTTGTCAAAGACAATGTCACCAGAATGCCACCAGAGTACATTGCATTTCCCAGTTATGTAGCTAACAAATCTGTTTCAGTTGACCGATAAAGTATGGGTGGAAAATGCACCTGCACTCGGAGAGAGGGTAATGTGTTTTGCAGAAAAGGATGTTGAAGACTGAGTAGAGATGGAGTTATTGCTGTGGAGAAACTGCATGGCAATTACAAGGAAGCACACTAAAATCTGCTCCCTACTACGCTATGAGCACAGCGTCAATCAGGGTCGATACATCAAAGAGTATTGTGAGATCTTGCTTTTTGACATTGAAGGGCCCATCATCCTTCTAGTAAGAAATATGCCAAGCCTTCATAAACTGACAGATAAAAGCAATGGTAAAAATAGAAATCGCTACGATCTTTTAGCATGTGTTCTCTCCACCATCCAATGATAGTACTTGCTTGCCTCGACGCATTTATAGGCAACGATTACGTACCGTATTTTCTGTTTTAAGGCAAATGGATCTTCTGGAATGCAATGAAAGACAACTAGTAGTTTCTAGCAACCTTCAGCTAGTTTGGCACAGTCGTTGAGCCGATTGCCAATTTTGTCAAAGGTTTCAAGAAATACATATGCTGGCTGTGTGAGATAAACGGATAGAAGAGCCATATCGAAAGGTAAAAGAAGGACTTTTGCATCAGTTAGATGTCAAGAAAGTCTAGATGATGAAGATTATACGGACACTGGACAATTCAGTGTTAGTCCAGGTGAAGGAGAAATTAACGACATGGTAGCTTATGATCTTGAAATTGTTATCTCGACAAGGGAAGCTAATGTAAATATGTTATAGTTTATGGTTTGAATGTTGTAGAGATAACTCGCAGACCAAACTGATTCAATAATTCTTTTCCAAAAGCAAATGACCTTAATTTCATCCCTCTCCCTGAGTCAAGAGCCCCAGTTCTGACAGCAGTGCTAGTCTGTGTCCACTGGATATGATTAATTTGCTAAATATGCCTGAGAAAAAAGATCGATCTATTTATAGGACGTTCAGCAGCCTTATCCCAGTTTTTGACAAACCCTGCCCCCCCCCGTTTCTCAGAAAAGCGTCCTCTTCCATCCGATCTTTCAGCTTGGAATTCTGCACCAAAAATTAGTCTAGGAAAAGTTGGTCTGGTATAGTTTTCTTGGGTAACCATTGTTAACTGATCCAGACGCTACATCCCAGCTTTTGAACAAGACCCCCCGTATCATTGAAAAACATTCTCTCCCACCCTTTCCAATGTTTTTTTAATTCTACACCAAAAACTGGTCTAGGAAAGATTGGTTTTGTAAAGCTCCTCTTCCGGTGGTCATTGACAACTCATTCACAGGCTGTATACCAGTTTTCGGACAAAACCCCTGTATCTCGGAAAAGCCCCCTCTTCCGCCCGATCAACATCCAGATTTGAACTCTACACCAAAAAATGAGCTAGAAAAAGTTGGTCTGGTAAAGTTTTCTTGGGTAACCATTGTTAGCTCATTCACACACTACATCCTAGCTTTTGGAAAAGACCCCCGTATCATTGGAAAGCATCCTCTCCCACCCTTTCCAATGTTTTTTAATTCTACACCATAAAATGGTCTAGGAAAGATTGGTTTTGTAAAGCTCCTCTTCCGGTGGTCATTGACAACTCATTCACAGGCTGTATACCAGTTTTCGGACAAAACCCCCTGTATCTCGGAAAAGCCCCCTCTTCCGCCCGATCAACACCCAGATTTAAACTCTACACCAAAAAATGAGCTAGAAAAATATGGTCTGGTAAAGTCCTTTGTCGGGTGGCAATGCACCCCCTATGTCCCTCTGGACGAAAAATGAAAATTGTAGTTTAGGTATCCGTTGAAGTAAGGAGGGTAGAGTGCTGATGATATTTAAAAAAAGTAAAATTGATATTCATATCATAGTTCGGACGTTGTGCGTATCTCGGTGGCTTCGATGCCAAAAACAGCATGACTTCGTCTTTAAAGGAATGTAGATTCGTGGCTTGCGAGATAAATTGGTGTAAGAGAGAGGTTTAAGAGTTTTGAAAGTGAATTTTGCAAATTTACGGCCGATATTGATTAGGATGGTATAGCCTGAGTTTTTAGACCGGAAGTTGAAATAGTCAAAAAATTAAACTAGGTTACGGATAAGGCTGTTTTTATTGCATCCATATAATAATTAATATTGTGTGATCATGGTGGCAATACTAATTTATTTCTTTATTCAAAATATTTGAAGGTTTTGTCGAAAGGAAAGCTTTAAATCTCAATTACGTCGTTGCTTTAGAGTATAACACCTGCTACCAATCCCGTGTTAGTTTATTATTCAAAACTTCATGGCAACGTAAATTATACGCAGTTTACGCGTTTTCGAGCACGATGATCTTGGATTTTTGAAAAGATAATTTCTTCTTAATGCATTGTTTAAGCATTAATATTTTAAAGTTAAATCAAGAAACTCGAAAATGCCGATTATGAGAAGGAACTTGCAGTCACCGAGTCTCCATATTGAACGGCACCAAAAAGACATCAGATAACGAAGAAAGAAGATACGAAAACCCATTGTGGATGCAAAAAAAAATTCAAAATTGAGATAGATCAGTAGGGTTTTAATTCTGCGGTAGGCGAAACACAACAGCAGCATTTTGAAATACTGCGAATCATTTTAAAAAATTTAATGTAGAGAAATAAGAATAGCTCACCCCATACTGAAAATCAAAGCAATAGGAGCCAAAACGATATTGAGTATTGCTTCTTTTTCGATGTTGAGGCCAGCCTTGTCTTGAAATACTATAGATGACAGCAAATAGCGGTAGCCGTAACTTAGACCTATCGAAGATGCCAAGAATACGGTAGCAGACACCAGAATCTGCGGAAAAGACTAACAATAAACAACGTATCAAAACACTTCTTTGTTTTAACAGTAAAATGAACTGATTAATAGCATTTCAGGCAAGTAGTTAAGTAAAATATGCAGTTATGAACAGGGAACATAGATGGAATAAATAAACTTGTAGGTTAGTGCGACCAAGTAGGTTAGATCAACTTTATCCTGCTATTATCTCAAAATCCGTCTATATTACTTTCCGCATACACGAATACTTAATTGATACTCAAAAAATACTGGAGAAAAACAGAATTGCATGTAAAACAATGCTTATACCTTAAAGGACAAGTGACACACTTTTCACCCTATCTTTTCTTTTCATTAACTTATAGATCATCATTTAGAAGTAAGTTTTTCCTGGTTTAGAACAAAAAATTCTAATCAGGGGGCGCAGGGGGCGCGATTTTGCTTTTTATCACGTGACCCTATGACGTACATTGTGATAACTGGGAATTTTCCTGTCATTAATAGAGAGTTTGCGAAACACGACGCGACAGGTCCAGACGAACTGAATTCGTTTAGAAACGTGTTGTAAACGTTGATATTGCACTGTATAGCAGTAGCAGCAATAGCAAATTATCACAATCTACGTCACGGTGTCACGTGACTCATTTCCCGCCATAATTTGAAAAGGGTTTTTAAGTAGGAAAATGAAATCAGAAAGGAAAAATATTTTAACAGCACTCTCATACAGCATTTTACTTTAAGTTAAAAGAAGAAAAAAATTTGGCGCCAAAAGCGTGTCACTTGTCCTTTAACTAAGAAGTGATACACACGGGCAACCTTTTGTGCCATGGAGCTGGAACTATCAAATAACGCAAGTGCATTTCTTTCGATTGTAATACGCGTACAGAGAAGGTGGAAAATATATCAAGTTCTTTAAATATCATTCGGTTATTGTAATACCAAATGTTGATTTTACTATTATTTTCAACACAAGTTATATTGATATTTGTCTTCTTTGCAGTACAGGCGATAAAATCGTCATTCTATTAATGACTCTGGAACGGTCATGCAAAAGAGGTCCGAAATGTACAGTAACTACCACAAGTCTTTCGACAGGGCATTCAATACAAGGCAGGATCCCAGTGTGCTTGATGTTGATAACTTTCGGCTACCACAACTGCAAGAGGGAGACTTAGTAGCGAACCCAATACCACTTCCTGGTAAAATGCATCAAAGAGGTGAAAAAGATCAGAATAAAAATAAAAATGGCAATAATATGCGTGAATTCCATCTTAAACCTGTCGTGTTACGAGGGGCAAAGGGGCTAAACGTAGAAAACAATCCGAGGGTACGTTTACCGCCTATAAACATAAATATGCAAGTGAAAGATCTTTTGACACAAGATAAAGTTTCTGCAGCGATCAAGAATGACAAAGACATTTTAAGGAGAGCAAATTGCATATTAACAAATGAAGCAGAAAAAATAGATTCACAAGGGCGGGGATTAAGGATGAAAGAATATAGCATCTTGCCCCCAATCGGGAAGATGTCACGGCCTTATGATCCTGAAAAGAAGAAAGACAAGCTAACAGAACACAATGGAAGCAAGAGAAATAAAACTGGTGATGTGGCAGTTGAGAGAAAATTAGGGTTGCAAGAAGCATTAGAGAATCTAGCAAATGATTTTGATACATTAAAAGAAATGTCTCAAGTAGAAAAGGAAGAGGAAAAATTTGTCTCAAGTAAAAGCGATGAAAAGGAGAACGCGGACACCTCAGCGTTGCCAACAGCGGATCCCAGTCTAGATACAGACAAAAATACAGACATTAAAAAAACAGACAAAATAACGGAAGAAGTGGTGAGCTTGGATGATCTTTCAAAAAAGAAAACAAACCGTGCCAGCATAAAACTTCCAAAAGCACCTCCAGAAAGAACTGAAGGAATAAAAAGAAGGAAAAATAAATACAGAGAGGTTGATCAGGAAGAAGAGCATGAACGGGAAATGATTGAATGGATACGGGCTAGGGGGCGAAGATCTGCTATCTGCGAAGAAATTGATGTGGTCTACCGAGACCTAGCTGTAATTGTGAAGCACAACCTCTTAGTTCAACATTTGGAAGAAATTTGTATATTTTAGAAAATCTTTTTTAAAACGTTTAGAGTCATTTTTGGAACAAAGCATGGCTCAGATTTTATGTGATTTTGCTTAATTTTAGTTACTCCCTACTCACCCATCCCATATTTTTTGGTAAAAATATTGAAGCATGATATTTTGGCTAATCATTTTTCTGTAGATAAAGATAATTCGGGGCCTTAAAAAAGTTGGTACATTATAAACAAAAATAATACCGAGAGGCTAAGATATAAAACAATATTTAACTGAACAAGCAGCAGCCTTGATGTAGTTATATCATGGATTTGCAATATTGGCAAAATCTTATCAATAAAATCTTCGTGCAGGAATGAGGATAACAAAGACCCCTCAAGTATTTTGAAAGTTCTTTTGAGACATTAATGAAGCTTTTTTGATAGGAAACCTTTGGGTATAAAACATGCAAACAAGCTAGTTATCTTAGTACAAGGAGTGCTCTCGCTTGGTTCATAACAGTATCAAATATTCATTTAATAAATACGTTGATTATGGCTTTGCTCGGGTCACGTGTCTTTTAACTCAGCTCTTTACATTACTGTACGTACTTAAAATTTTGTAAGTTCCAATATTACAATGTAAATATTGCAAATAAATGACAATGTTTGTCTTAAGACGCCTAGGCCATTCTAGCCCATAAACTGATTCCTGTTACGCTGTAACTAGGTGAGGCTTCAACTTGTAATTAGCAATTTGAAATTTCATTGGTGGGTTTTTCAAAATTTATCAGAGTAGACAACTTACTGCTCGGTACGCTTTCTGAATACAATTGGTTATCAAGGCTAATGTAACCGTAACCAGTAGCATTACAATTGAATTTGTTTGTTTTAGATTTGGGAAATATTATCAGTACGAAGGCGAAAGACGGAAGCTCGCGGCAATATCCTTTTTGAAGCTGGGGGAAATACCCTTTCCGTTTTAATCATCCAGGCTCCTGTTAAAGCATCTAAATAAGAACTCAATAATGATATAATGGTTTGTTTCTTTTTCAGAATAACAACAGGCATCATGACTATGTCTTTGTGGCATTTTTTGTAGCTCCTTCATTAATCGCAGAATATCGATAATCAAAACTGTAAGCATACATTCTCTTCCCTTAGCTGCATTTTCCTCTCTTCTTTCATCACTCACAGACCTGTCAACGTTTAATTTTTAAAACCTGGAGATTTCAGATTTTTTATTGAGAAAAACAGGGAGATTTGGCCAAAAACAGGGAGATCCCTGGATTTTGTTTAATTTGTAAACAACATACCTGTCAAAAAAGTCATGTTGGACAAACAGTTAATGGCAACAATTATCATGGGTAGCCTAATGGATTTAACGTTTTCGTTAATTTTTAAACCCCAACAGAAAACTTTGTCTCGAAGAAAGTAATTTCAATCTTTTTTGTTAAAAGAAAACCTCTGCTGGAAGACAAGAAAAAACAGGGAGAAAATTATCAAAAACCGGAAGACCGGGAAAAAGCAAGCAAAATCTGGAGTCTCCCGGTAAGACCGGGAGAGTTGACAGCTCTGACTCTATTCCTAACAACTTAAAGAAATAGGGTTAGAGTTATCTGTAAGCAGTGGCCGCGCCAAGGGGTGGTATCGGGGGGGGTAATTACCTCCTCACTTTTCTGAAAATATAGTTTATATATTTATTCTAAAACTGGATTAAAAAGCGCTGGGTAGGGGTAGATCAAATTTCCCAAGGAAAGGGACGAATCACTGGAACGAGGCAAAAGGGGCGTGGTCACACTGGCCACGCCCATTACTCTCCCACTCTGTATTACCGCCACTGTCTGTAAGTGGTGAAAGATAACTCTATCAGCAGAGGAAAATTGTGTAGGTGTTTTGCAAACCGTATTTTAGAAATATGTTCAACGAAAAAGACATGAAAGTGTCGGGAAAAAACGAGGCGAACCGCAAATAAAAGCTTGCAACAGCGAAACAGTAAAGAAACATTAGAAAATGACTTTTAGGAATGTTGAAAAGAAGAGATGAGAAATGGCAAATACCGAAGAGAAAATTATGTCCGTGTGTTCTCTTCAAACAACAAAAAGCAAATCTTTACCCTCTGTGACTACTAGCTACTCACTTGCGACATGATTTATCCTAGCTTTATAGCTAAAAATGCTATAGCGGCTTGATATTACTGCAAGATATGCGGGGGATGGGGGATTGGCTGACAATAAAATATGCAGCGTCAAATTGCTAGTGCTTGCTTAACTGCAAAATAACTAACCTGTTGTTGAAAGCATGGATAGAAACTACAACTTTGGAGCCTTATTGAAAAATAGAAAATGGAAAGTTGAAAAGAAAAACTGAGGAAAGAAGAATTTAGGAATAAGAAAAAACGACACTGAACTTAAATAAACACGAAATGTAAGAGGCCTCAACGGGATGCAAACATTTGGCGATCAATTGACAAATATTTCACAGGGAACAAACTTATTGTAACAAAACATCATTGAACTAGACGAGTCTCTCTTTTTGTAATAAATTGAACTACTTATAAAATTTGCAAAGAGCTACCTCGTTTTAATATGCTTTCGAAAAACCTATAGCAAGACAGGTGTCTTTAATGAAAAAAATAACATCTCATTTCATCAAACTCAGTTAATTTGATAAGGAATAAAGTTGAAAATACAAACTAAATTAGACTGTTAGATTCAAGGTCATTTAGCATATATTCGCATTTTAAGAAAAACCTTTCCGCTAATAGTTTTTACACCATTGAATATATTGTCTTCACAGGTACCGTGACAATCAGTTTCTAAAAAAATGAGTCATTGTACAATTGCAAACTTTTTTTAACACGACAGCGTACTTGGAAAAAAATCTCGCTCCTAACACATAAAGGATAGATAATCTGTTATATAAGCCAATTTACGCTTGATGAGCAAAGAAACAAGACTGTTTAGAACCACTCCGAATAGGAATAGAACGCTTTTGCTTGCACTTTACGTATGCGGGACCTTACCATATAAGATATTTAGTGCAATTATCAAGCTCCTACTAAATGGGTCCAGTTTGGATATGATCCATCTGGGCATCGCGTGTCAGTAAAATTCTGAATTCAGACAAGAAAAGATAGAAAGGGAGGCAAGTTCCTGGTTTACAGAGGACATGAAAAGTGGACTGTTCGTACCCTGGCAACGTGGACTTCACCCTACCCAGCAGTCTTGCACTAAAAGAAATTTTTAGACCCAAAAAGCAAGGAGTTATAAAAAAGCGTGCACAATTGATACACAAGTAGGCACCAATTAGGTGTATTTTACAAAGATAAAAGTTCTGGGTCATGATAATAAAGCTTTGATAAACAAATAAACTTTAATTGTGGCAGGAACATTTTAGAAAAGAAAATTTTTCCAAGCATAAAAATATTTAATGCAGCCTTGAACAGAACAAAATGGAGCCAAATAATAAAAATATTAAGCCAGCACTAACCTCAGGGGCCCCTTTGCTGGAAACAGTATCTGGTTTTGTTACTTCCATCCATAGTTTAACAGCATGTAGCAGTGGACCAATGAGGATGCATCCAAGTACAGGCATATACAGTGCAATAGAAATGTACCTATTACCGGCTGGCAAAAGGTACATGAAAAAAGATTGGTGCATGTGCTCTTGAAGGTTATTCAGGCTTCGAAAAATCCCTTCAACTGTCCTGTAAGATTATAATTTCTTTTAATATTTGATCAGGAAGGTACAAAGACGAAATATTTCAACTAAAATTTGCTTAAGAATCCTGCAAGAGCAGGCCAAACACTGCGATAATTCCACTGCCTGGAAAGCGGAACATTCCTTAATTCGAGTAAGATTTGTCTATTCATGACTGTTCTAACATAAGCCAACTTTTGTTAATTCGAAACAAACTTGCTTTCATGGAAAGTACGATATATCGAAGATGGGTGTAGTTACAGCACTGTTGTTGTCCCACTGACTGCTAACTACGATAGATAACTGCAAAATTTTCACTTCATGAGTTGGAAGAAAAAATTGAAAAGCCAAGAGTTCTACGTTTATACTCCAATATAATAAAACAAAATATCTACCAGGGTTTGTCTACAAACTTTGATCCTACATAACAAGATGGGTATCAGTTTTTTCATTTGAGAAAACCATTACCGTTACAACTTAGAGACTTTGAGAGCTATCAAGTGGGCTTTTGCTGCAAAATTCGAGCTTTTTGCCTGCCCATGGTATCTGAATCGATCTAGTCAGGAATTTACCTGTTACAGAGACAAGCTCAAATTGAGAAAAAAATTGTTTTAAGAGATTTTCATAAATTCAACCTGGTGCATACCTTCCCATTTCATTGAAACTTGCTTCTTTTCCATATTTTTCCACTGCAGAATTTCTTAAAGTGACAGCCTCTATACGATACTTAACATAGTAGCCATGTTCACCAGTGGGATATCCAGATGCAAGTCTCAAAATGCATCTTGCTAGAGTTCCGAGGCAGCTTTGAAACTCTTCACTCTTGTGAGCATATCTATTATCGTACGTGTCCTATAAACACAAGAACAAAGCTGTATGGTATAACCTTTAGTTTCTATTATTAGATGTTCATAACGACAGCATAAAAAATGTGCTTGGTCCACTAGAACCAAAACAACCTACCATTGTCTACAATTTTATATTAGTTAATTCCAATAAAGCTTTTTTCGCTACAGTTTTCTGTTATTTAATTGCAAAAAAATATTTGTGTTTGCATAGTAGCTGTTCTATCTTCCTTTACAATCATATTACAAATTAGTTTGCATGCATATCATAACTTATTATTTATTGCAGACCTTCCATTAGCTCAAAGTCCGAAAAACAGATGGATGCTTAGATGGATAAATGGATAAAACGAGCTTTCCCCTCAATTACCGCCAACAAAATAAATATATCCTTCGTATAGGCTCTGTATTATCGCATTTTTGAAAAAAAAGTAATCCTCTTTGTCTAACTCTTTGTCAGGGTAATCCAACGCAGAAAAATTATATTACTTTAGTTTATAGACCAGCGCTGCTGTACCGTTCGTAAACAATTAATAGGTGAAGCGCCTCAAATAGCACTTTGACTACGCCACTTCAGTAATTAAGCCATTAGGCATAAACATTTAAAAACAGGTGTCCCAATGAAAGAAAACGTAACGATAAGAAATTATTGCGATAATGTAACATTATTACCTGGTTATGTAATTTGATTGGAATTTCTTCCGATCTTGACACGGCAAAAGTCATACTTATAAGGTCAAGATTTGGCTCGAGACCATTTGATCCTTCATAGAGAACGTCAAAGCCATTAATGGCTGCATTTGGAAAGTCAACGACAATTGCTGCCTGGATCTTTCCAGCATGACCTTTGAGGTCTGAGGCCTGAATTCCTAACATAGAAAAAACACTTTTCAAAGCATGATCCCAAAATGAAATACACTAACTGAAAAGCTCTAAAAGAAACCTCCATTAAACCTCAGGTTACATTACCATATGCAAAAATGATTCTCGACGCATTAAATAATTTGGTAAAAAAAGTATTCTGTCTTCCCTCTTGTGTAAACCTATTTAATGTTTACAAAGATTTCACGGCAAACAAGAAACTACCTGGTTTCTGTGTTTCTCCATGATAAGAAGCAAGCCAGGCTGGCACCCCACACAAATCTCCTCCGCTCACCAGAAAGATGATGTCCTTTGCCCAGTAATTCTGGACCTTGAAGTGATCGATCAGTGAAAACAACAATGCCAATGCACCGTTTGATCTACAATTCGGTCTGTTTGGCACGTTCAGTACGAGAGACTCAACACCGCTTGATCTTGTCGATCTAATAATTCGCAAACAAGTTCAAATCAGTTTGAATATATTTTCATTTTATAATTAGCATACGTAGGAAAACATAAATCTACAACTCTTTGTTTGATGTGAATGTGAATTCTATCTTTAGTTGTTTAGCTTTTATCAATATACAAATATTTGTCTACTTCTTTTGATGCCCATGATATCAATCAATGTTTTAGCAGCTTTTTTAAAAACCAAATTACCCTGAGACAATTTGAAGAAAGTAACGTGTATCTCCATGAAATCTGATAGATAAATGTGTATTTTCAAAAGACCAATGCAAGCAAACAACACTTGCTAAGTTTGAATCAATAAAAATGACAATTTGGAATTAAACAATATTTATGAGAATTGGAAATAGCTATAAACTTCTTTCTGGCCTTTTCTTTAGTGATCTAGGCAATACACATCAAACAACAGAAATACATGTTTCATCTAGATTGCTTGAAAAAGTAAAATTTCAACTTAGGGTCTTTGTTACAAAATTAGGTAAACTAGAGAAAGGAATTGACAAGACAACTGAATGTAGTTTTAAAACAAGATCGAAAATTTAACGAGAATTTTTTTGTAATTGCGAATATTCTAGGCAACCACAAGGGTATAAAGTCAAGTATGCTTGATTTTTTTCTCCTTACCTTAATATTCCATAGATATTCTTTCTTATTCCTTGTCCATTTAGACAACTCACATTCTGATGAAATACTTCAAGCCCTGCTGAAACCATTTGACGCTCAATAAACTCCCCTTCCAAACTACTGAAAACAGAAACAATTCTAAATAAAGCCTTGTATCAAATGTGTTGTTTGAACTGTGTTCACAAACCCTTGCATTATCATTTTCCTAAATCATATTCTTCTGCTTTAAACTGATTGTCTGCAGCATTGTGTAACTAGTTAACGCATTCAATTACAGTATGGCGTACATCTATTGTCACTCAGCTAGGCTAGAAACAAATACATATTTCCATGACATCAAGAAAACCTGAATTAAAGGTTTGAAAAGTCATTGATCTTTCTGTACTGTTGTTTAAAACTAAATTCACTTATGATGCCTACAAGAAGGGTGTATCGTAATCAAAACTTCTTTGTCCATTTGACAAACATTTTAGAAGGAAACTAGCAAACATCACTAAACAAACTGCCATGAAACCCACAGAGATATGTAGTATACAGTGTTATCAATGCTACAAAAGCACTTGAACCCAATGATCTTACTCTCTCTAGCTTATAACCCCAAATCTGTGCATAAACAAAGGCAAACTTGGTACTTTTGATGAGCCATGTTGGATACCTGGCAGTTAGCTCTAACAGAACGAGATAAACAGTATTACAATATTGCAGCATCAACACTACAGGATACATATGTGTAAATGCATTTAATTAGGAATGTAAAACAAAGAAAATTGCAATATCATTCCCACATATTGAGTCTGAAAGTTTGATTTAATCCTAATAAATTTTCAATCAATTAACTAGCCTCTCTTTTTACTTTCAATCAATCAACTGGCCTCTCTTTTTACTTTCAATCAATCAACTGGCCTCTCTTTCTATTTTCAACCAATCAACTGGCCTCTCTTTTTACTTTCAATCAATCAACTGGCCTCTCTTTCTATTTCAATCAATCAATTGGCCTTTCTTTCTATTTTCAATCAATCAACTGGCCTCTCTTTCTATTTTCAACCAATCAACTGGCCTCTCTTTTTACTTTCAATCAATCAACTGGCCTCTCTTTCTATTTCAATCAATCAATTGGCCTTTCTTTCTATTTTCAATCAATCAACTGGCCTCTCTTTCTATTTTCAACCAATCAACTGGCCTCTCTTTTTACTTTCAATCAATCAACTGGCCTCTCTTTCTATTTTCAATCAATCAATTGGCCTTTCTTTCTTTTTTCAATCAATCAACTGGCCTTTCTTTCTATTTTCAATCAATCAACTGGTCGTTCCTTCTATTTTCAATCAATCAACTGGACTTCTTTCCTTTCAATCAATCAACTGGACTTATCTAATTCTATTGCACATCAATTTTCAATATGTCAATAATTACTTTGAAAAGCAATAAAAAATTTATTGTAAATACAAAGATGATTGTAAACATCACATAAAACTTACAAGTTGATTTTGCATATTTCACTCAGTTGATCATAATGTCTATGGGCAGTGTGCTCTTCAGAATATTTTGTTTCAACTAATGCTGGCAAAAGGGCATTCTCTGATATATAGGTCCTGGCATTAAAATCGTCACTTGCAAGGAAAACAAGCCATAATAGACCACCAACATATCCTAAAATGCTAAGAAGCACATATTTAATTGGTACATGGAAGGAACAGACTGCGCAGCAAAATACTATTGAAAATTTGAACAATACTAGTTCCTGGAAAGATTCTGGAGATATATGTAGTACTTATATTGGAAAAAACAATGGTAAGAGACATCACTTACTTTACTGCCACATTTTCATCTAAATCAATATACCATTATGTATGAAAAATTTACATGCATGGGTAAACAATTATGGAGTCAGGCAAATGTAGAATACATCTTTACTTGCTGTCTATCTAAATTTGCAAAAGACCTTCAAGAAAAACAGGCATAAACTCTTGCATCCACATTAATGAAATCAGCAGGTACTGACATCTGCAAACAGCCTTTACTAACCTTAAAGGAGTTCGCCATCGATCTAAAAATTGTCTTAGTTTCTTTCTCATTTCTGGGTCTGATAAAAGCCCCATCCCAACAGCTGCTCTTGGGTTATTTAATTAACCTTGGAAATAAAAAAGTCAACATTGATAAAAAGAAGTTATGTCAATAGATGCTTAGAAAGACCCAGAAGAATAGTTTTTTCCTCCCTTATCAAGCATTTTACTCAAGCTGGAATTTATTTTCAAATAGTGTCTGTAAGGCTTGAGGTGGGAAAAATTATTGCCTGGGAATGCATTCTGTACCCACACCTAAACATTGCAGTCTGGCACCCATAGCCTCAAACTCTTTGATACTTTTATTTTCTAAGCTGCTGAAAAGCTAGAAAATACTTTTGCTTTTAAACTCCAATAGAATATTTATTATCTTAAAACACAACTGTTTTCAATTCATAGCATATCAATAAAAAAACATTACACAAGTTTTTTAAAAATCTTTTCAAATTTTTCTACAATTCTTAAATTCTACACAAAAATCTACACATGTTTACAGACTTGTGATCCTTCAGGCCATTTGACAATGTCAATGAAACTGACCATAAATATACTCATTTTTCTATAAGAAACAAAGGTCGATGTTGAGTATTCCAGTTTCTTAATGTTCGGGAAATTTCAATACTTGTTGTCTCCTAAGAGTTTCTTAATTATGATGTCATGAATGATGTTATGAAATGTTTGTGACCTTTTTTATTACATCAAGAGATTCACTTATATTCTGATGCTGTACACTAATTTTTAATAAGAAACAGGTTATAAGAAACGATAGGCTCAATTTTTCGAAAGTTAAGAAAAAACCCTACCCAAATTGAAAAAAGCTAAGAAACTTTTTTAATTACAATTTTCCAAGTTGACACTTGAAACAGTCTTGACATTGAGCATCACTGTATATTGCAACACTATACTTGACATGCAGTCTGCATACATTCTCAATAAATTTCACACTTAAGAAGTTTCCATTTAAAAATTTGTTTTGACATCAACTTGACATTGATGAAGTTCAATAGCTCAACTGTTTACAGATGTCAACAGAGTTAGTCATTCTGGGAAACCAAAATTTCTTAATCACTTCGTTAGTTTATCTCTGAATGCAAGTGAACTATTTACTTTACCTTGGAAGCATGTTTAAAATACTCATTACCGTAAGAAATTTAAGAAACGTGTAAGATACTTTTGATAGCAAAATGACCAGAAAATTTAAGAAACTGCCTACCAGCACCGAACCTTAGTTTCTTGTGAAGAAATACCCGTATTTAGACGTGGGAAGTATATTTTTGTCCCTTGTGTCTTGAGTTCTATAGTCCTTAGATCTAAGGCCAACAGGGCAATCATGTTCTTGGATTTTGCAAAATCTTGAGATCTTTATCACGATATAATAGTTTCTTAATTTTTTTCGCTTCGACTACTGAAGTTTCTTTATTTTTCTGACTATCCTGTAATCGTTTCTTATTGCCAGTTCTTTATAAAAAAATGAGTGTAGTACAGAAAAAGGATGCAAAAAAATCAGCAACACAGCAACAACGCCCCCTCTCTGGAACTGGAAGGTGGCGTTCTATTATGTTCAAATTTTTTAAAAGTTCTTGCCAAATGAAAAATCTCAAAAACTAGCAAACAACAAGTAATCGCTTAAAATACAATGCATTAAAAGGAACTGAAATACAAACCAATCAACTTCTCTCCAGTGGTGGTTGTTCGAGGCAAATTTTGGCTGACCTCTCTTTCAAAATCCCCAAATTTCTTTGCTGCGTAGCGCAGGTTACATCACTGATCTAAAAAAAACTGGATCGCGCATCTATTGTTCTAAAAGTGCGGCCGCTGAGAAATCGCAGCGGCCATGCTCTTGTGACCACTTTTGCAGACTTGTGGTCTTGTTTACTACGAGGAAATGCCGGTTCGAACAAGTAAAGTCGAAGTTTCTGTCGTCAAATAGTGGCAAAGGTGGGTAAATCTAAATATATATGAGCGTAAAGGACCATCAAATTATTAAATGTTCCATTTTATGGAGGGTAAGGCATTTTGGTTCTCTATTTCTTGTTGCTTTACGGATAGCCTACACTTTTAGGCCTATTATTAGTAGGTGGATTGAAACTCGAAAACAGAAATCAAACTAAGGTAAATCTAAATAAACATTTTTCTTTCGTTGTTGGCACTCAAAAACAGTAATTAGACTGTTTCCTAAACTCAAGTCTCCACGGAGAGTCCAACGATGCAAATATATTTATTCGAATCAGCAGGCAAGTGACTATATGACTAGCTACCTTTTACTTATTTGATCAAATTAGAGCCGTAAATTGCCATGAAAAAGCCACGTAGCAGCGATAATTACATAGAATATAAGTAGCTTTCATATGTAAAAGTTAATTTTAATTGTTTCTCTGATAGGATATAACCCCCAGAAACATCTTGGGAGAAACCCCAGTGTAGTACTAAGTTTCTTGTAGATAGAAAATATGTTTAATTTGTGTAGCTGCTCTTTCCAGACAAGTCTAGCCGTGATTTCAAACCTCTAACTTTTTGTGCCCCTCTACATTGTTTAAGCAATACATTTTACATTGAAATGATGTGATATGAAACATGCTTACATTCAAGTGAATCACCGCTTGTACTATGTTTGTGACTTATGTGACTTAGGACTAATTGAAGAGTGATATCATATTCCTCTGAAAAAATAAGCCTTAAAGAATATGCCTGGTTGTACTTTTGAATCAAAATTTTAATATTACCTCTGACAAAGCATTTCTTTATTTTGCAGAATAAAGTGCAATGGAATGGCTTGACAGCTATTGAGGGATACAATCATATATAGTTTACTGAGCTAGAACTTCATAAGTAACAGATATTACAATGAATAGTAATTAAAAGATTGTGACTTTGTTTCAAATGAATTTTAAGATTGTGATTTTAAAAATTTGAGGTTTTTGAATTTGTTATGTATACAGCTCTTTGAGAGATATTGAGAGATAAATCCTTCATATTTGAGAGATAAATCCTTCTGCCCTGAGACAAAAGCTATGAGTGACAACACTTTTATGAACTGAAGACTAATACGGTTCATAAAAAAGGCTTACTACAGCAAAACATTTGATTACATTGGTAATTTTGTTCCAGAAATAATCATAGATTACTGCATAAAGCTCACAAAATAAATTCATTTTACTGCTAAATTATCTAAACATATACACAATTTTTGTAGCAAACATTTGAATTTGTAAAATATGTTTGAAGAACCTCCTGAAACAATCTAAATTACTGTTTCCACTCCAAAATTAATGTTATGAATATTGCAGTTTGTTTTGCTTTAGTAAGATTCAGCTGCTAGCAACAACTTCCATTGCTTAGTCACATCATAACATCTCAGTGATTGGTTCCTTTCCAAAACTTGAAAATGGAAAACCTTTATGGTTTTATAAACAGATGTTTATTTCATTTCAAAACAAGTGGTGAAGGCACATGTCTTTGTCAATCCACCAAGTCAAAGATGCACACAAGTTGCTCTTCCTAGAAAATAAAATATAAAAGTATTTTTCGTGTATCTATTAGCCTGCGCCTTTATAGATCTGATACATTCTTCTATGAGGCAGTCCCACATTTCAATTTTTCCATGGGGAAACAAAGATTAGGCCTAGTGCCATGTAGAAAATTATTACTGAATTCATAAACATTAACTATAGCAATCTATTTGGGTATCTAAAACCAGGCAAGACTTTCCAAATAGCTACCTACTTCAAAGTAACTAACTGTAGCAATCTATTTGGGAAACTAATGCCCCGTTTAAATTGCCACAGATGACTTGTTGATCCGTATCAAAAGTGATACGGATTGGCCTCCCGTTTACACCACTCCAAGCTATCCGTAGCAAAACTGATACGGCTAACCGTATCACTTTTGATCCTTTTAGCAAAAGGATTTGAAATGGTCCAGACTCGTGAAAACCCAGTTTAAAGGGGGCATAACTGTACCTAAGAAATACAACGATCTTGGCCTACTAAAATAAAAATAGTAGTGTACTCACGGTGAAAAAGTGGAGCGTAGCTTCCTTTTTATTTGCAATCCTTGATTCTCATGGACCTTGTTGTCATTTATTCCCTTTTCATCGTCAGTTCCCTATTTCGCATTTCTTACAGGCAAAATAAATGCAGCGAATACCTTATTCTCCAGCATCCTAGCTATTCATTTTCCCGCTGAAGTGGTCACAAGCGCATGGCGCCGATTGAAATTCGCCGGCCGCACTTTCTAAGGTTTGAGAACAATAGGATGCGCGATCCAGTTTTTTTTAGATCAGTGAGGTTACATTAAACGCCACGAAGGCGCTTTTGTCATTGACTGTTCTAGTTTGGAAAGAGGAGAGAGGTCATTTTTAAGGCCTTCTATGTTAGGTCCATCTCTATTGTTAATCCTTGTTATATTTAGATTAATATAAAAATAAAGGTCCAATTAAATACAGAATGTAGCAAAAATACGGGCCGTAGACAAGGCGTACGCAGCTACGAAAAACTTTCACAAGAAAAACCTCGTATTCAGGTCATTGTTTGATTGCAATATTTCGTTTTCTTTTAATTGCTCTTATCGTCTTATGCAATCATAAAGCTCTTCCGGCTAAAATCTTTATTCAGAAACAATGACTGTAGCTGTCTTGCATGCTTTTCCCAAACCACGAAAGAGTCTTGTTTCAACAATAGCAAGAGTTCACTGGTGAGGGTATCTACGAATGCGTATCGCCGAGCAAGCATAACCAGTAAAGATTTTCTTTTGACGTTCCTGCCTAAGATTTCAATCAAGACTTTTACAACGAAATATGGCAACAGTTAAGATTGAACAATTTCCTGAAGGCGAGACTGAGCGGTTAAAGAAGGTGTACCCAACTCCGTTTATTAAATTTGGCCAGAGGTTCATACGGACGATCCCTGGCAATTGTGTTTTTCCTGCCGCTTTCGAAAAATTCAAAGATCGATTCAAGACATGGAATACACGCGCAGACGATGTGTACGTCTTAACGTTTCCGAAAAATGGAACAACCTGGACACAAGAGCTTGTTTGGTGTATTCAAAATGATTGTGATTTTGACAAGGCCAAAAAAGTCATGGCGATTGTCAGGGTGCCATTTCTGGAGGCACCAGTCCTGTCTGACTTCATAAAAGATCTTGTGCCGTTTTTTAGCGAAGATCTGTTGGCGAGGGTTGACAAAATGGATTCGCCAAGAGTTCTGAAATCTCACCTACAATTTTGCCTGTTCCCTGATGACCTTTTGGAGAAAAGCAAAGCAGTCATATGCCTGCGAAACCCCAAGGACACAGTGGTTTCATTTTACAATCATGAAAAGTTGATACAAACTCATGATTACGATGGTGATTTTGAAAGCTATTTTGACCTATTCATGGATAATCTGCTAATCTACACTCCATATTTCGACTATATAGTAGAGGCATGGAAAAGAAGGGACCATCCAAATGTGTGTCTTTTGTTTTTTGAAGATATGAAGGCTGATCTGGCTAGCTGTGTAAGAAAAGTGTCGAAATTTCTTGGAAAAGAAGTATCAGATGATCAAGTAACATCTTTAGTTGATCATTTGAGCTTCAAAAATATGAAAGAAAACGATTCGGTGAATATGAAGATATTCCAGGATGGAAAGATTTTGAAAAAGGAAGGGAGCTTTTTTCGTAAAGGAGAAGTTGGAGATTGGAAGAATTATTTCACTGACGAGATGAACAAGCGGATGGATGAGGCAATTGAGAAATATTTAAAACCGATAGGACTGGAATTCCGATATGAGTAACTAGATTTTTCTTAATACTTTTTAGAATACATATAGCAAGAAGCATAGCACTCACTGATATTAGCATTCCTCCACCTTTTTCAAGGGCTTTCTATGACCTTACTACAAACTTACATCGATTCAAAATTTTCTGTATTAAGACGTGTTGATGTAACGGGGTTTACTTGTAGTCCCTTATATTGTCTTTTCTTCGTCAAGGATATCGTGTATAGAGTGTCACCCCAACCTCCCAACGTACGTAATAGGATTGCACACTCATATATGTAAACTATAGAAACATTCGTATGTTAATTAATGTGTCTCTAATTTCATGCGTATTATTTGAAAGATAATAATAATGGTAAGCCAGTTTCGAGTCTCCTTCGGTCCTTACCAGTTACGACTGCTCATAAGTTACAGCTAATCCTAACCTGTAACAAGTACAAACCTATGTTTAACCGTATTTTTATAGAAAACGGGAAATCGCTACACTGAGGCTAAAACTGAGGGGCTTTTATTTTTAAAGCGAGTCTTTTTTGACTTTCTTAAAGACATTGAATTATGATGGGCAAAAATGACTTTTCTAAAAAAACAATTATTAGGCAAAAATTGAGTGCTGGCATATCCTAGAACATTACAGTCGTCGCTAATCATACTAAAGAAGGAGGGCAATAACCAATCAAAGAAACTGCTTTAAGCCTTTTTTGGTACCCCCGAGGAGTCAACGAGTCCTCGAGATTGTAGAAGCTAAAGCCTTAACTAGCATTCGCCTATAAAAACATATTCGTGGCTTTGCCATTCTAAAATCAGCTGAAGGGGAAATATAATGTCTGTCCCCTAGGAGACTGGAAGAAAAAGGCGCGTTATCAGATCACGTCAGCACTCGCGTCAGTTTAGAATACTTGCGGCTTTTCCATCAGCAGCTACGTATCAAGTTAGTGAATGTTTTGTTTGCTATTCTATTGTATGCTTTATGTTTTCTTAAGTTTCATTTTAATGCTTAAAAAAGAAAAAGCGAGCTAGGCCTACTTTTCAAGATGAAAAATTAGGGATCAGGGCCTACCGATGATGTTTTTATATGTAATAATAGATGTATAGGCCGAAATGGCCCTAAATCTACTTACAGCAAAGCAAAACGTCGTAATTTTAAATGGTTAATTGAAATTGCTACATCTGAAATATTACTACAAATGACCACAAAAATTATAACAGCTTGAATATACAACGGCAAACTGATCAGCTCATTTCTTTCAAAAGGTCTGATAAAAATTTCACGCTTGGAATGCTCGCCTTACTGTTATCGCAAGAATTTGAATCAAATCAGTATCTTCTTGACTCATCATCCAAATAGACTTGTTCTCATGACTAAGATTTTTTATATAAGTAAACCTCTCTTCAATTTTCACCAACAGTTTATTCCTTTCTTCAGAGTAAAGGGGGCAAACCATTACAAAATTAAATTCGTCTTCAATAGCGTGGATGGAGATCGTATTGCAGTATCTGCAGATTCTTTTATCCTTGGGGGTAGGCTTGTTGCCATATCTGCCAGTCTCATTATGCAAGTAGTGAGAACTACCGTTAATTCCTTTTTAAGCCCCCCCCCCCCGGGGGACTTATTGTTTTTCAGCACTTTGAAGGAGGGGCTTATAAGAGAGGGGGGCTAAATTGAGAGAGGGGGCTTGATAAATATTTTGTAATGAAAAACCATTTATAGTGGTAAACTAATTTTTTGTTATTTGCGAAATAAAAAACATCAAATCAGCCTTCTATAACAATTATATCGTCATCGTCATCATGATCAATTATTAATTCTAAAATATCTTCTTGGGCCATGTCGCCCTCGGAGTACCAACGGCCTGTAATTTTGGTAAAAGGCTCTCACATGGCCCGTGCTTAATGCACATTAAATCTTTGTCTTCGGATCTGCCGTGGCTGGAAGAGATATGATGTGAATTTTGACTCGATGCAAAGTGTTAAACAGCCAATTAATAAGATGAAAATCCCTGTTTTTTGTCAAGTTTACTTATTTCAGCATCATTGGAAGTTTTGGGGGGGGGGCTAAATTGAGAGGGGGGTTAATTAAATTTTTCCTTCTAAAAGGGGGGCTAATAAGAGAGGGGGGCTTAATTGAGAGGGGGGCTTAAAAGAGGATTTGCGGCAAGTCTTAATCTGCAAAGCATGCTTCCTGTTTTAAAATCTGGAATAATATCAAGATACTTTTCAAACGTAAAGTGATTTTGAATAGCGCATTGGTCCGTAGCTTCTTTTCGTTAAAGATGTGGCCTTTAATTCTTTTCATGATGCTTGAGATGCAGTGAAGCATTACTTTAGATTTATTCAATAGCAGGTACACTATCAGAGACATTAATGTTGTAGAATGTGAACAGTTCCTTGGTATCTGAAATCCAGGTTTTAATACCAGTCAAAGCATTTACTGATAACATAAGGAAAGCGAGTTTTGCGTAGTTTTCAGGACTTAATTACATAATCTAAAGACAAATTCAATCATGGCAATATGCCTCATAGCTAATATATGAATTCTGCCTAATCCGGGTAAATTACATCTGAGGTCTTTGCAATACGATTTGACCCAAAGAGCATATTTGCAGGCTTGCAAGTGTAGTTTTTCCAGAGTTGGACGCTCCCTTTGGCCCCAAACCTCACACGAATAATACATAATAGGAATTATCAGGAAGACGTGTTGAAAACGAAAAGGACTGAATGAAACAGGCACTTTTAGAGAAAATTGAATCATATATATAATTGCTTAACACCACATGCTTAAAATAGGGCAAGTGACGAATAAAGGTTGGACATTTTTCAGGGTAGGGGTTTTTGTGACAAACCTGTGTGTATTATCGATGTACATGGTGAAAGCATGCATAAATATGAGTGAAATGCCAATTTACCAAACAGGTTGCTTCAACAGCCGAATAATAGTTTGGAGAGTTTTCGGGATTCCAACATTTCTCCTCCGAAACTGCCACTGTCAAGGCTCACCCTGGTTCACAAATTTTACTTAATACTTGCAGTGCATTTGAATCAAATAAATCTAATCGAATAAAAAAAAATTTGTAATAACTGTATTAAATTTTCTCCTTAGCAACTTCAAGCATTCTATCTCAAGAGCAATAAAAAACTTCAAAAAACTCTGATCTCATCACCTTTTCTTACTAGATAATTCCAGGAAATGACCCAGGAGCCTATAGTACAGGACCAAACAGAGCTGGAGATTAAGAATGAAAGGAGGTAAGTTCAAGTTTGCTGATTTTAGTTTAGAAAAGAAGATGTGTCATAAGAAATTGGGAAGCAGGAGGAGGTTAGAGCACCATCAAATTTCAAAACTTTTGGATCTATATTCATTTTGCTAAAATTGCAATATGTTTTCTCTTGTCTTGGAAATTTTTGGAATATACGAACATATTAATCAGTTTCAAGAAAATGAAAAAATATTTTGTGTGTATGCGATTACTACAGGATGAACTAATACTTGTTTTTAACTTGGTTTACAAAATATGGCCAAAATTAAAAATACATTACAACCATAAAAATAGACATTTAAACCCCATCCAAATTACAATGTTGAATTTTATGAATAAACGTTCTTGTAAAAATGCGTTCTTTGTTAAATACATTTCCTAAATTTTTTGTGTCAATACATTTGCAAAAAATTTTTATGATAAAAATAAAAACTTGCAACACCTGGATAGATTTTGAGAAAGTTGAGATACTGTTCCTTTAGTAAACGCTTTAATGATAGCATTCCAGCTGTAACTGTAGGGACAGGGTCCTCAAATGAAATATGTATGCCTGTGCTAAGAAATAGTCATTCCTGATCCATCCCCATATTGAGGGCCCCTACCCTGAAAACATTGTTTAGCCCCCCTCTATATGTAATATGCTCCACAGGCCTTTTCTCTAGGATTGATCATGTTCAACGCACATGACCCCATGCACCAGAGTAGCTTCCTATCCCCCTCTGAGCCATGTTGTTTCATGAAAGCCCCCTTCAAATATGAAGAGCTTTCCTAAATTACATATGAATCAGTAAAAGACCTTACAGAAATTCAAGTGTTTAAATTTGGTCTGATGCTTTGTTGGTCTTTGCTTGGGTAAAGCCTAATAATTAAATTTACTCCACAAATTACATTCATATGGGGTCTGTGAATATTTGCCGGGCACGATAATTTAATACATATTATTCATTTGCATTTATGAAAGCTTGCTTTAATCTTCCATAAGAAGTCGTTTTCTAAGCATTTGAATATGCCAGGAGCCCTAATGACCTTGAAAACAAGAATGCTTAAAATACAATGTGATAAAATATCTAAGCAAATGTTAATTTATATCTCTCATTTTTGCTTCTGGCAATCAATGGGTTTAGAGCAAGCAACATGTGTGATATGCTTGTATAACTTTCTATTATACCCTTGGCATTATCCCGTGCTTATTCATATATGAAAGAAATTGGTCCGGAACTTCTGCAAGCACCTCCCTGGCAAGTGCCTCGCCTGCAATACCATCATTTTTAGTAAAATCTCGAAATGGAACAAACTGTACAATATCTCTTTCTGCAACTTTCCCTCTGTACTGCAACTTGACTTTGTCAGCATCCAATTCTTCCATTGCATCAAACTCAGCAGGTCCAATGCCAACAATGATAATTGAAATTGGTAAAGTTGATGCCCTGATTATTGCTTCTTTGGTTTGATCAAAGTCAGAAATTATACCATCCGTCAGAATCAAAAGAATGAAATATTTTCCTCCAGGGCTACTTTTTTCTGCTTGTGTTGCAATAAAAGATGTCTGATTGATAATTGGTGCAAAGTTTGTTGGACCATATAGCTTTATACTTGCAATAGCAGCAGAATATGCTTGAATTATTCCATCTACCATGTAACAATTTGGGTTCTCTGTCCCATTCAAAGCAAATTGGTGTGAGACTTTAAAATCTGGTGGCACAGCTGCACCAAAACCATAGGCTGGAAACCATTTGTCAGAATCATAATCCTGACATATCTGGCCAACTGATAGCAATGCTTTTATGTAATCATTTGGTTGATATGGGTTGATGAAGTGAAGAGATGATTGGTGGGCTGGGTTGCCATTGGAAGCAGTGCAGTCAACAGCAACACTAAAACATAATTCAGTACCTCGTTGAACATAATCCAAGAAAGATGCCCTTGGAGTGATCTCAAAACTCACAAGATACAAGTGCCCTGAATTTTTGTATCCTCTCTTCTTAATTTTTTTCTTTGGGTTTATGAACTCAGCAGAGTAATTTGGATTTGATTTGAGCTGATCAACATCAAAGTAAGCTTCTCCAATCAAATCATGGCCCCCATCACTGTCCCAATCAAAGCATTCTGCCTTTATTGTTCTTTTATAGTCCCCATTACAGAGCACAGCAACTGGTATTGAAAATTCTTGCCAGGTAGGATTCAAACTGTTTTTTACAACCTCTGTTTTGTGGACTGCAGTGTAAGAATTATCTTCATTGCAACGGTATAAAACTAGAAAAGGGTCTGAGAGCCCAAAGAAGTCTTTTTTATCCAATTTCTTCCCACGAAATTTGATTGTTAAGATATCCTTGCATGAGCTTACCTCTTCTGCTGTGATCAATATTTTACCAACACCACCTTGCCCACTTTTTGTTTCTAAATCTTTCTGATACCTTCCTGAATTTTCTCCCATAATGCTACCAAGAGTACAAACTGCCCTGCCGATAAAATCATGTTCGCTCAGCTTTGCTGAAGCAGAATCCGAATCATAAACTTCAAACTGCAATCTTTGTAATTCTTCAAAGTGGTAATCCAGTGAGATTGCCGTTACAAAGTCAGGATTTAGGCAGTCTTGTACCACCTCAGTACGGCCTAATTCGAAGTATTTTGAAGATTTGCCATTTCTTTTCTCGATAGAAACAACAACCATTGGATCGGACTTTGATAAAATGTCACAGTCTTTTAAACTGCGACAGGCCAAATGCAACATAACCTTTGATGTAGGTTGCATTGTTGGTCCTGCTCCGAAATGTGCCGCGCCATTGTAGGGACTATTAGCGTAGGGTGGTGCACTTGCGTTTGACATTGGATACCCTGGATGCATCCCTTGATCATGTCTGCTTTTAGCTTCTTGCATAGACTGTTGGATCACTTGTTGATACATTTTGCACTTTTCTGAAGAATCTTCTCACAGTTTACTTCCTACGTTTTCATCATAAGGGTACCTGTCCCAACAACAGATCAGTGGTCACAACACAAGAGGAGTATTGCGGTGACGCCCTTTTCGTCTCGTTTTCGTGCAAAAGTAGGTTTATCAATGATATAGAAGTACATCAATGATATAGAAGCGCCGAAGGCGCTAGATGTCCAACCAGAGATATCAAATTTGTTTTCCACTTTGTAAGACCAAATTAATAATCTTTGTCGTGAAAATGTACCCCGGTGGAATATAATTGGCCTAAAGATGCAGGGAGGTACGCATTGTGCTGAAATAAAATTACAAGCAACGAGTGTGATTTTGAAATAGTCCAAAAAATATCAATGAATATATTAAATCAAAAATTGGTCACTTTATTTAGATTCTGTAAATAATATCCAAGCATTGAATTATGATCTATTTTCGGCGTTTTCTAGAGCTAGGCCTAGATATTTCATAGCAGTTTCTGTAAACAAAGAAAGAAAAAGTACTGATTGACAGTGCTGAGGAGACGGGGGGTCAAGGGGGACACTGATGCGGAGGCCCATGACGGTAGGGGCCCATAGATAAAAATTTAACTAAAGAATTGATAATGAGCAGTTCAGCCTCTCTATTATCAAAACCTGTCAATAATAGCAAAAATAATAGGAAAGCCTTTAAATGAAATAAGGTAGAAATAGCCCCGTTATGTTTGTCAAACAGTGCTAGTAGCTTTAGGTAATTTCCGGTCAATGATGGAGCTATAGTCAAGTTTTTCGGAAATTTCAGTTTCTATGGACAATTTGAACGATATTTCAGCTGATGCAACACTACCAGGCAAATTCAGAAACAACCTTGATGCAATGAAAACATTGGGAAATAAGCGTTGCAAATTCAAATGCTTAAGCCTTTTCAACAGCTGCAATGGTTGGTGCTTCTTAGAAAAAGGATGTGATGTTAGAAGATATGCCATCCTTTTATGCTGCGCAGAATTTTGCACTTTTTTGCTAGGTCATCTTCCTTCAACATTTTGTAAATTCAAAGAATACTGAATCTCTCCTATGTCTCGCCTATTGACATGAATCGCCTAATTACGTTTGCTGTAACACTATCAATAATCACAATGCCAACAATAATCTTGAATTTTAGCAAAGGCATTTTCTTGGTTTTCACTTCAAGGTAGAGATAAACTTGACTGATTTCCCTTGGTCTTCAATTTTTTGGGACATCTAGCCCCTCGTCTAAACGAGCCTTTTCCAAGATCGAATCAACTAGTTTTTTATTGACGTTGAAAGGCTGCATTCTTTTTGCTAGGTGTAAAGTTTTTCAAATTATTTGAATAATGAAAATCAATTTGGTGCAGTATGTCCGTTTTTATCAAATTTTATTTAATTTAAACGTTTTTGACTTCCTAAGATATTTTAAATGTAAAGAATTGCATATTTTATAGTTAAGAAGTACGCATGCATTATGACGATAGTATACCAGTGATATTTAAACTGTATTGATAAGACTTGAGGAGTAAAAGCGACCATCGCAATTTCAGCAACCAAATTAGACGCAATTTTGGCAACCATCGTCTCAAAAATTGTCCACGAACCCCTTAGAAGGTTCGCTTACGGTGTGCCTATTTTTTATCTTTCGTTTCGACCCAGGACCCAGAAATCCTTTCCGCGGCCCTGCTGAGTTACTATACCGGTTATGTGCTTGCGTTTTTGTGATTGGCCTATTTCGATCCAAAACTGGGTATAACATTTTTTCACAGTAATTTCTATACATTTATAAAAAAGTTGGCCTCCTCCCCCTTAATGTCGAAATCCTAACAACCCCATGTTCTAGACCCTCCCTTATTGGGATTTGGGAACTCTTCTACCCACCCTGTTTATTCCAGATACCTATTTAAGTCAAATGTTTTATTATTGCCATGGCAGAAATGAGTGCAATGTTTTTAGAGATACAAAAATGAGACATTCAGTTGCAGCATATAATAAACTACATTGAGCAGAAAAATTCTAATCCAGTAATTTGACATTTAAATTAATTGTACATTATCTTTTTTGTATCTATCCAAGAATAAAATGCAATTATTAGTCACTTAGAAAGAATCATTTTTGAAGTGATAACAAACAGGGGAAACGGTATATCTTTAATAAAAGGTCAGTGTTTGGAAAAAGCACAAATCAACAATCTGCTAATGACATGATTATGAGATTAGTTTAAAATTTTACATTATCTGGTAACCCAATGTACATGTTCACAAAAAATTTCTCTAGACTACCCAATCTTTTCACCTTTACAAAACGACTACAAAGAATGAAATATTATAGCTATATATAAGTAGGCTTTTGAAAAATCATTTCAAATGAAATTACAATATAATGCTATATAAGTTTGTGTTTGCTTGGAAAAAGCTTCTGTCTGCTTCTAAAAGTTCAAGTGAATAACAGTGTTAGACTAAAGTCACCAATGTGTTTTGTCTTGGGTAAAACTCATATCATTTCAAATGTTGAGGTGCTTGAGGGTATTTGCCCAGAAAATAGAGAACATTATATTTTCTTTTGTTCCACTGTGACATGCTTTGACTGTGCTATGGTCAGTGGAAAACTGCCTTTTTATAGTGAATCTGTACTTACACCAGGGGAAGAATGTCAAACAAAGTTCCTCTTTTTGCCAGTAAAAAGTTTTTAAAATTTGGCTACAACAACCCTAACATAGAAGATGTAATTTTGCCAGCTGATTGTTAACAACCTTACTTCCTATACAAAATATTTTAGTTAAATACCTATTAAAATCTTAGTGTTTCAAAAATTTCTTCTCCCTAATTTCTTGCCAAGCAACTAAACATGGCTAAATCCAGACATAATCAAGTGATAATTAGCCTCTCTCTAACAATGTAAGGGAGATTACAATTTCATCCCTGGTTTTATACCACACCTCTTCATATATGCGAGAAACTGTTCCGGAACTTCTGCAAGCACCTCCCTGGCAAGTGCCTCGCCTGCAATACCATCATTTTTAGTAAAATCTCGAAATGGAACAAACTGAACAATATCTCTTTCTGCAACTTTCCCTCTGTACTGCAACTTGACTTTGTCAGCATCCAATTCTTCCATTGCATCAAACTCAGCAGGTCCAATGCCAACAATGATAATTGAAATTGGTAAAGTTGATGCCTTGATTATTGCTTCTTTGGTTTGATCAAAGTCAGAAATTATACCATCCGTCAGGATCAAAAGAATGAAATATTTTCCTCCAGGGCTACTTTTTTCTGCTTGTGTTGCAATAAAAGATGTCTGATTGATAATTGGTGCAAAGTTTGTTGGACCATATAGCTTTATACTTGCGATAGCAGCAGAATATGCTTGAATTATTCCATCTACCATGTAACAATTTGGGTTCTCTGTCCCATTCAAAGCAAATTGGTGTGAGACTTTAAAATCTGGTGGCACAGCTGCACCAAAACCATAGGCTGGAAACCATTTGTCAGAATCATAATCCTGACATATCTGGCCAACTGATAGCAATGCTTTTATGTAATCATTTGGTTGATATGGGTTGATGAAGTGAAGAGATGATTGGTGGGCTGGGTTGCCATTGGAAGCAGTGCAATCAACAGCAACACTTAAGCAAAGTTCTGTACCTCTTTGGACATAATCCAGGAAAGATGATTTTGTAGTTATTTGAAAACTAACAAGATCTAAGTGTCCTGAATTTTTGTATCCTTTCTTCTTAATTTTTTTCTTTGGGTTTATGAACTCAGCAGAGTAATTTGGATTTGACTTGAGCTGATCAACATCAAAGTAAGCTTCTCCAATCAAATCATGGCCACCATCACTGTCCCAATCAAAGCATTCTGCCTTTATTGTTCTTTTATAGTCCCCATTACAGAGCACAGCAACTGGTATTGAAAATTCTTGCCAGGTAGGATTCAAACTGTTTTTTACAACCTCTGTTTTGTGGACTGCGGTGTAAGAATTATCTTCATTGCAACGGTATAAAACTAGAAAAGGGTCTGAGAGCCCAAAGAAGTCTTTCTTATCCAATTTTCTTCCACAAAATTTGATGTTTAAGATATCCTTGCATGAGCTTACCTCTTCTGCTGTGATCAATATTTTACCAACACCAGCTTGCCCACTTTTTGTTTCTAAATCTTTCTGGTACCTTCCTGAATTTTCTCCCATAATGCTACCAAGAGTACAAACTGCCCTGCCGATAAAATCATGTTCGCTCAGCTTTGCTGAAGCAGAATCAGAATCATAAACTTCAAACTGCAATCTTTGTAATTCTTCAAAGTGGTAATCCAGTGAGATAGCCGTTACAAAGTCAGGATTTAGGCAGTCTTGTACCACCTCAGTACGGGCTAATTCGAAGTATTTTGAAGATTTGCCATTTCTTTTCTCGATAGAAACAACAACCATTGGATCAGATGTAGATAAAACATCTGTGTCTTTCAAATTGCGGCAAGCCAAATGCAACATAACCTTTGATGTAGGCTGCATTGTTGGTCCTGCTCCGAAATGTGCCGCGCCATTGTACGAACTATTGGTGTAGGTTGGTGTACTTGCGTTTGACATTGGATAGCCTGGATGTATCCCTTGATCATGTCTGCTTATAGCGTCTTGCATAGACTGTTGGATCACCTGCCCATACATTCTGCAATCTTACACTTTTGGATTGTTTACTTCCCCAACTTGCACCTTCAACGTTTCTAGCAATCCGTGGCAACTGGCAACGCCCTAGACTTTGCTGTGCGTCCCTTCCTGCCTGCCTCCATAGCCTCGATTTCATGTCTCCAACTTTTTTCTGGAACAAGGTGTTCAAGCGAGTGGCCTACGTGACTTTTAAAACTCAAATTTATAAATTTAACATCTTTATAAATTTTAAAGAAGCTAGAAATATGATAAGCACTTCAAAAAACCAACAGCAAATCAGGACTTGACACGATAAGTACAACATCTGATTATAACCTCATTTGAAAAAGTGAGTGTTTCCCAGGTGGATGTCTTTCGGTATTGCCTTCCATTTTTTCGTAGCAGATGTTACCTCTATCAATTCAAGGAATTTACGTTGTTGACCCTTTTTTGGAAGCTTGCTCAGACTATGCTAATATCCATATCTATACTAATACGAATTTGCTGTAAGGTCTGGAAAACATTTGCTCGCCATTTCAAATTCCCTAGAAAAATTGCAGCTTTTACAGAAAAAACTATTGGCCTACAAATTTACGTTTAAAGCTATAATAGATCATACTTTTGAATGCTTTTGAAGTATTGTAGAGTTTAATATGTTTGTCTTTCGTTGATTTCGGTAGAACTTTATATTCAATTGACAATGGTAGCTTAATTAGCTGTCTTTATAACATGGCATTCCACATTTTTTAAAAATTGCCTCATTCTTATAAAGGAAAGTTAAATAGTTTTTCAGAGGTTTTTTTGAGTTGACTTTATTAGAGAGTCTTCTCTTGAAGGTACACCCTATTTAATAATAATCAAGAGACCATTCCACTTGCGCAATACAAAACTTTATCAAAATGTATCTTGTCCTTGGAGGACGTTCACTGTCATTGATCCCCACACTCTCTATCTGATCACAGAATAGTTTCGCTGGACACCCCCATCCATGAACCAAAACTCTTAACAAAGCCAACGCGTGGTCTTTCCCTGCTTCGCTTTCCTTTGATTTTCCCGGTGACCGCTAAACATTCCAACCACCTTTTCCTCATAATGTGTCCAAAAATTCTAGTTGCCTCTTTCTTATTGATATAAGAAAATTTCTTTCCCTTCCAGCTCTTTCCAGAACTATACCAATTTGTGTGATATATAGACGCACTTGTATGACATTTGATTACTCACGATTAGCTGTTTATTGCTCACGATTCAATACTTATTGCTTCCGATTAATTCTCTCTGAAAAACCTAAAAAACGTGCTTTCAAAGCTTAAAGGAGGCTGAACTAAAATGTCCAAATCGGCACAGGACTTCTTTGTTGCTGACATGTTCTCTCCATGATATTCTAAGCATCCTTCTGATGAAGCACATTTCTACAGTCTGCAGTCTTTCTTTCATTACATTGGAAACATTCCAGCTCTGGCTGCTATAGGTCAGTATAGGATAGATGTAGCATTGTAGAGCTCTCAATTTTGTTTCTATTTTCATTTTCCAGTCTTTGAATATCTTTCGTATTTCTGAAACGAATCCTTTGCTATGCCAATGCTTTGCGAATTTAGTGGATCTCTTGACAGGTGTGATGGTGATAAGATTGTGAGCAACAAATGCGGCCTATGTAAAGACATACTTATGCGACTTAGTAATCTGTCAAAATTTGTTTTGAAGATGTCCAAGGGTTATCAATTTATCCTGGTGACGTTGATGAAGATGAGGACCTTATAATTGATAAAGTAAACTTTCGAAGCTGCTAGAAAAGTTTTTTGAGAACATTTGTATGACATTTATATAACGAAAGGACCAAGAGCGTTTTTAAAACATGTTTGGCTTCAAATTATTAACAAGCCCTCTCTCTCTCTAATAAGACCCCTTCTTTTTAAAGCCCCCCTCTAGGACAGAAAAAACAAATGATTCCCCTGGGGTCTTAATAGAATTTTTACGGTATGTTATAAAATGTTTGCTTTTTCAAAGCCATTTTCAAGTTCCATACCGCCAAATAAATTGCTATGGAAATTCCTAGGTCATAATGGCTATTGAATTGACCATCGGATTCCATCGGATTCCATTGAATTGGATTTGAATCCGATGGCTAAAGGGTTTTGTGTTTGCAAAATATTGTTCAAAATTTCTGCTATTTAATATAAGATGAAGGAACCAAGCCATCAGTATCTAAAAAAATACTTTTAAATAACTTAGATAACTTTCTAAAGCTAATTTGAAATATTTTTATAATTTTTTGTGCTTGTTAGACATTGCTAGACACCCACGTAGATAAGCAACTCATCTATGAAATTTATTTACTGCCTGTTTATATCTACTCATCCCCCCCCCCATCAACTGTGAGAGGTTTCCCTCGAAGATTTGAGAGGCATCAAAAGACGCACTTGTCACGATTTGCCACCTCGGCAACAACTAACTTTTCATGTAAAATAACATACTTAATATATATTCACAAACAAATGATGACTAAGGGCTAAGAAAATGTAAAAAAAATGTAAGAAAATGCACGGAAACGAGACTACGGATGCTAAATTGTCTAATCATATCCCTGTTACACAACATTTTATTCACAAGCTTATTTATTTCAATAGCAGCGGAGAGGTTGCGAAGGAGATGGACAATATATTAACATAATTTTGTTAAATTTTTGATAGTGTTCAAACAATGTCTTAGGTTATAGATTCTTGAGCGTCTGAAGAAATTTGACTAAACAACCAATCTATTCAAACTAGATATGATTATGAAAGTATCCATCACAGATGTTTGCTTAGGGTTGCTTTCATCGGGTGCTTAGGGTGCCTTAAAAGCACTCCCAGTTGATCTGGTACGCCTCAGTTAGCATTTGTTCTGACTCCCTCTTCTGGCAGTGAAAATGTAAAATAATAGCTGGCATTGACTTGTTTGTACCACTCTTTTACATAGATAAATATTTGTTACATTTATATACAATTTAGATTAATGGAAAAAGCCATAAAATAGTCAAAAGGTCATGTCCTTTAACGAAGAACTTTATTTATACCGGCTACAAATTGCCAAAGAATATACGTTTGGTAAACGACCAGGCTTTGGATCACTATGAATTGTTCGCGAGAGTTTGGCATGCAAATTCAATTCATCTTTCTCTATCTGTTGAGGGTAGAAATTAGATACATTTAGTACATTTAGATAAATCACAAAGTTCAGCAAACTTAATCAAACCATAAGTTTGGCTTTGACTTTTAACCACAAAACCTTGCGAACATCATGAAATACCCAGAGAAAGAGCATAATCTGTTGCACATCGACTGAGAAATAGCAAACTTTGTTTTGCTAATAGATTGCTGTTGTGTTGACCTGGTTCAATATCAAATCATGGGAATTTGATGGAGAAAGATGGGGAGAGACATTACGCCAATCTAACAAAGCATTTGAAATATCGTAGATATGGATTTTGTTCAACATTGTTAATTGTTGGAAGATATAGAGTTTTGAAATAAGAAATTCTTATTCAATTGCTTGCTAATTCTAGCGCGATACTTGTGAAAAAATTTGGTACTATGAATTCATCATACTTACACCAATCTAATGTGAATTGGTTTCCCTCTTCATAGCAAGTTTTTAAAGTCCTGCCGGGTTGCACATATACCCATGGAAGATGATTATAAAAGCAGTTGTGAGTTCTGGCATTCCATAAAAATCCTCGTTTTTCTCTTATCCATCTTGTATCTAAGGATCCGCATGACTTTGGCACAAGCCAACGATATCCGTTAAGAAGCCCAACACATAATTGTAAACTTTGATATATCAAGAATTCACCATTGAATACAAAGTATCTCTCTGGGCAGTCCACACTTCTTAAAAACTTGTATGCTACCTGATCAAATATTACACATGTCTTAACATAGTCCACCTGACTTATCAGAAATCTATGGCCTGAAAGAAATATTTATATCATCAACAAACAATAACCGAGAAAATGGTATACCTTATATGTTAACAGAGGCAAACGACAATTATTCTAAAAATTAAATAACCGAGGCTTTCAACAACTCAATAATATTAAAAAAATCTGAAACTAACGACGGATTCCATGAAAGAAAAAATCAATGAATATTAGCCTTTCTTTCGCTTTATTAAAAAAATCATATTTTAATATCAACCTAATCTTCTCTAAATATTATTAAGTTCATTAAAAAAGCACCATTAATGAATATCTCTAAGTTTATATGATCTTGTTGTCGTAGTTATATAGTATAGGCGGAACGTCGTTCGGGAGAAAATTTTCAGAAATTTTTAACATCTGCTACCACCGAGGCTTACAACTATGTCACCAATCACTCAAATTTATTCTATAAGATGAGAATGTTATTGGTACCAGCGGACTATTCCAGAAATTCAAGCAACTGATGCTTTCATTGGCTGTCTGTTCGATGTAGAATTTAATTAGAAGCAACTTACCGTCTGGACAAGGGTAACTAATATCGGTTCCACATTCAATGCATTTGTAACCAGGACATCTACAAGTGTCTATGCAAAAATGTTTTCCACAAGGTTTATTTTTCATGCAATATTTACCCACCTAGAAATAATTAATGCAATAGAACGTACTGTATATAGAAATTAAGTACAGAAAACAGGGCCCGCTTCACAGGGGAGGCCGGGGGGGCATGACCCCACACTTCTCTCGCTAACTTTAGTTATTAAATCCCCCCTTTAAGTATTTAATAGGTAACCTCCCTTTTTGCCCCCCTCCACTTTAGAATCGGTGGCGCGGGTCCTGGGAAAGCACCAATTTCGTCACAGTTAATTATGATTGTCATATTGCTGTTTAGTTGGAAAATAAACATTCAGTATTAGTTACACTTTTTGGACTCTGCGAAATTGTAATGGAGAAAGAATGACGGCGAAGTTTGTGCTATGATGTATCTCTGTATCAAACAGAGAAAACCAACCGTGATAATTTACTGCCCTTGTTATAGCAAAAGCCTTTCTTCTATATGAAGTAACATAACAAGTGCCCATTTAACTTCTTTGGTATCATATACAGTAAATACTATGATGAATTTATTGGATTTTAAACCCCTTCTCCACAACCTCCTCAAACTTTCACCATGGTTACGCAAATAGTTCTAGGCAGGGCAAGCGAAACGTATTTGAAGGCGGGGTTGGGGCAAAGTTCAAGATTGGGAAGGGTTTATAGTGTAGTGGAATTAGATATAAAAACGGTCTAACCCGGACTAAAGCTGTAATTTGGCACAGATGTTCTATACTAAGTTGGAAATGACCAGAAAAAAGCCCCATCAATTGGACATTGGGAATTCCTTATTTGGGCAAATACCATAATGGCGCACTGATCAGTAGTGGTTCAAAATTTTAATGTTGCTAAAACCACATAGTATGTACATCTTTTGAAAGATAATTTCATGCTGAATAACTTTTATTTAACATACGTACCCTTAGAATATGCAAATTTAGAAGTGATTGGGCAGAAACAAAGTGGGACGAGTGAATATTGAAAAGCGCGCGGAAAAAATGGCTGATCCTCTTGCTGAATATTTTCATTTTACATCGCAAATTCTATCGATGCAAAATCATTAAATGTGTGAATAAGATAAAGTATGATAATACCCAATCAGCCCGGGCTGACTTAAACCTGGCCCACTCAGCCCGGGCTGACTCTAGTGAAATTTTTTCACTGCAGCAGCAAATTCCGGTCAAATCTAAAGAAATATCTAAATATTCAAAACTAAGTAACTCGCGACCGAACGGTCCAAAAACATGATTTTTTCATAATAAACTAATTTAAAGATGAAGATTTCAATTCTGACATTTTTTCAACCTTTTTCATTGACATCCTCCATCTTAGTCATTTTTGTTACTAAAGCCCCGGCCCAACGACTCGATTTTTTACTCGATTTTTTACTCGATTTTTTACTCGACAAGAAATCGAGTGAAAAATCGAATCGTTTGGCCACCTTGTCGAGTGAGTTGAGTAAGCGCGTGCGCAGTTATCATCTCTTATGCTGGGTAGGGAAGCATACTACCCTGGGGCTTCGAGGTCAAGGGGACCTTTTTAAGTGATGAATTTCATTTTTAGAATGGAATTAATCAAAAGAGACAAAATTTTGCCTGAAAATTATAATTTGCTTAATCGAAATAAGTACTTAAAGTGCCTGTGACATGATTTTTTTTATTCTCTTAATCGAAGCGTTGCACTGCCTTTAAAGTAGATCTGAACTTTTTTTGAAATAAAATGTTTTCATATTGAAATCAAGCAAAATAGTGCGGCCTAGCCAAGTCGATTTATCATCATTCGCCGTTCTCTTGTGACGTCATGGGAGGAACTCGTTATTGTAACAATGTAAGCGCTACCTTAAAAAATCTCATCCTCGCTGCCACTACTTTCTCTGGAAATATCTCTCATCTTGGACCTGTTAGATTTCCCTCATTGACTACGATACAAAAACTCGAAGGAGGAGGCGATCGGGTCCCTCCCGTGACGTCACTGTCTACTCATTCTGAAAACCAAGATGGCGAATTTTGGCGTAGAAGATCGCCAATAACTCCTTTCTTTCTCACAAAACGTAAAAACTAACCTCAGAAATGAAAATAACAGGCCTTTTTACATAAGAATATATATATAAACCCAAAAGTACGAAAATCATGTCACAGGCACTTTAATGGCGGTTCCTGCATTAAACGAACGAACATGGTCATATTTCGCTTGGGTTCGTCAAAAGATTGTGAAAGGATATTTGCACGTAAGATAAACACGGCAACCGATTTGCGTCTCTTTGCCTTCATTTTTTTAGCGTGAGTGAAAAATCGAGCGAAAGATCGAATCGTTTGGCCACCCACGCTCGACTTCGCTCGATTTTGAGATCAAATGTCGAGAGAATAATCGAGCGAAAAATCGAATCGTTTCGCCAAGGCTTAAGACGTAAAAAACACTGCCAAATTCAGTGCAAACTCAAAGTGGCTGCACAAAACTACAGCTTGATGCTGGGCCAGTAATATTCCCTTTATGCCCTTCTTTACCAGAAAAAGAGATAACTTCCAAATTACGTATAATCCCAAAAATTTCAATTGAAAAGTGCGCACATGTAAAAGAGGGTGTTTTGAGAGTACCTAGGACCCAAAACCCGGAAAAATGTTATGAAAAACGAAAAACCCGGACTTGGAAATTGAAAAAAACCTGAGATTTTCTCAAAATAATACACGGATTGCAGAAATTTCAAAATGTTTAGCGGGATTCTTAACCTGCTCCTTGTTGGATAGGATTTCATCATCGCATGTTTTGATCTTGTTAACATATAAGTTGTTCATAAATAAACTTATATACATTCAGAGGTGGCGCCAGAAGTCTTCCGACAGAAGGGGTTGGAGCTTCCAACAGGTGGGGCTAAATTGACTATAATATGCAGTTTTCGTACGTTATTTTGTCAAATTTGCTGCGACAATGACCTAAAATTTTATTTCGATAGGGGGGCTAAATGCTTCCTATGAAGGGTCTGTAGCGCTTTAGCCCTCCCCTGGCGCCACCACTGTATACATTCTAATGCCCAGTTGCCTCCATCCGCTATTTTTGACCAGAAAGTGCTTATTTCCACATTTTGAGGGCGTGTATGTTGAATAAAAGTTGTTCAGCATGAAACTGTCTTTAAGAATATGTACATATAATTTGGTTTTAGCGACATCAAAATTTGAAGCCCTGCTGATCAGTGCGCCATATGAGATTTGCCCAGAAAAGGAATTCCCAATGTCCAATTGATTGGGCTTTTTCTGGTTGTTCCAAGTATCGTATGGAACCTATGTGCCAAATTACAGCTTTTTATTTTTTTTCCTGGTAAAATCGTAATTCCACCACACTATCTAGTGAAGGGTTTAAAAGAATTTATAAATAAAGTATTTTTGACCGAAGGAATACCGAGGGAATATTTTCAATGTTCTTTTTTCACTATGCCCCATAGTTTAATCCGTTCTAATGTTGACATAAAATAGGAAAGATATTTTCAAGTTTACGAACAACCTTTTAAACACAACGTGTATTAAATAAAAACTATTCTAGAGACTAGAAAAACTCTCAAACTGGGCGGGCCAAAACGATACTTAATAGAATTTTTTATAACTAATTTGTTATGAATTTGTTATCCAAAGTAGATAATTTGACAGTATTCTTTTGGCAAGGAGGGATAGTATGCTTTGCTCTTCTTTGAATCTCCCTCCTCTACCGTGAAATTATTCGTTTATATTTTGTAATTAAGGTTGTGCAATTAAAATTTGGCCGTACATAATCATCGATAAAAAGAAACGTTGAAGCTTTCTTAACGACACTTTACTGCAATTTACTGCGACACAAAGAATATATCTACCTATTCTTCCTTTCTCGATTGCTTCAAACGTTTCTTCCTAGTGGTTTCCTTCCCTTTGACAGCTGTCATTATTCAAAGATATTTCATTGTCGTTTTTTAAAGTTTGTCTGCTATGTCCCAGTTTCTCCAGCTCTTCTAGATAATCAAATGGTAAATATATAGAAACGAAACTAAAGCTAAGGTCCTTATAAAGCACAAAAGCTGGCAGAATTTTAGACTATATCTCTTTCCACTTTTGCCAAAGCCCCCTCCTCCCCCCACAAAAACAGATTTCGCTAGCCCTACTAAGATTTATCTTTGTAACTAGATAAAGACCATTCCCCATAAAACAAACCTTCAATAAAAAGAAATGTGCAATTGCATACCAAAGTGTCACTGAAATTTGTAGATATGAAGCTCCAGCCATGCAGTTGCGAAAGGCTCTTTCTTGAGAAATTACTTGCCGGATCCGTCGGTGTTTCACTGCTTATTAAGCAGGTCCCATTTTTGTGAAAATTTACTGCATTACAAGATGGACTATGAATGCATTTTTCTTTGCATTCTGGCTGCGTTAAATCATAGAAAGTTGCTAGCACTGACATGAATAGTGCAGATCCATTCCATTTTACCCTGAATCTAGCATAGTGTTGGCAGCTGTCGCGTAGTATTCTACAATGTTGAGTATTATCTTGCAGAAACAGTGTAAAAACTGTCATCAATAGAGGCAGTTTTAAGTCCATAGTCATTTAGGTTCATGTATTTGTTCTTCAATCATGCAAGCACGCAATTATGTACACATTCATTCTTCATCTTAGAATTAGCAGTAACAACGAACGGTCATTTGCTAAACCCTTCTTTTATCTTCTAGACACCTGCTCAGAATCTTAACAAAGGAGTGACCTTATATATTTTTCCATTCAAGAGAGCAATAATCAAAATCTGAATATACAAAGCTTGGACATCAATCTTCCTTTCATTAGAGCAAATAAATCGTTTGAGGATTTTTAGTTGACCTTTCTATAGTTGAATCAGCTTTTCTACAGAGTTCAGAGATATGATGTTCGAAGTTCAAATTATAAAATACCTAGCAATGTGACCATTTCTTACAATTTGATTATTTGAACATCCTTGCGCGCGTTGAAATTTACTTCATTTGTAGGCTTTGGTCCTTTCTTATAATGATTGCGTTGAATTTTTTGGAAAAGCTATCATTTGATTACGCTTTAGCTAAGTCAAGGCAATTACAACTTTTCTTCTAGCATGTCAACCAAATTTTGTTGGGTCTTTGATAAATAAGCTGAAGGACCATTATCAGAATCATTTTTACAAATGGGGCGGAAATGATTCGCTTTGACGATTAGGCACTATGCACTGTTGACTCGGTATAGATGATAGAAAAAGGAGCTCTTTGAGACTTATAAGGTGTTCAATTTCATGTTATCTCACGCTACCTTCTTGTGTTGCTAAAAAAGTTGCTCTTTAGCATTTGACATTTAAGAAACATTGCTGTTTGTTTGCCCGGAGGCTTTCCTGATTTTCACCAAAAAACAAGAGTATTTACATCCAAGCCATGAGCATTTAGTTAGGCTGAAACTCACACATTGTTGAATCTAATATAGGGTTTAGACCTGCTTTTTTTAATCATTCTTAGAGAAAACAATGGAGATAGAGGATTCGGGCGACCAACCCTGATGTTTTTGGGATAAGGTCTAAGGAGGAGAAGAAGCAAGATATGTTGTGGGAAAGAGCGAGAAATAGATCTTGGGGAAAATATAAAATAAACAATCGTTTCGTTCAACTGCAGTCAAATGGTTCAACTGTATGTGATGCCTCTCCTTTTTCTAAAGGACAAACCGTGGTGCATCACTCGTTACCGTGAACTCTCGCTTTCACGAATACCAGCTATCTCGAACAATTCGATATCTCGAATGGATTCCCATCTCCCTTCGTTTTCCTATAAAGCTTTGTATAAAAATAAACCCGTAAACTCGCACACGGTTATCTAGATCTTTTGCTATCTCGAACTCAATTTCTATCCTGCGAGAGAAAAACCCGGTTTTCTCGAACAACAAAACAGAAAAGATATTGTTTATTCTATCAAAAGCTTGGCAATATAGAAACTGCTATATAATATTGATAGAAAGTAAGACAAAACAAGTCATTATTTTTTTTGTTGATATTAAACATACGCCCCTTCTCCAACGACCCTTCTCTCCTTTAAACCTCCCCTGCAGCTCAAAGAGTGAAAACCTAAAAATGCAATTCTTTGTTTTTCATGGATCTTTATCGGTAGTCAACGCTGTATCCATACCTTTAGAGCATCCAAAACTGAAAAAAATCTTTCTAAGCATTAATATCCGGGGCAATGGTAAGAACCCAAGCATTAGGCCTCCGCATGGATTACGTTTCTTGCAGTTGTGGGTAGTCTGTGATATACACTCATCTGGCTATAAGAAACGAATACTGGACAGTCAGAAAAAAATTAAGAAACTTCAGTACTCGAAGCAAAAAAATTAAGAAACTATTAAATCGTGATAAACCTGAAAATAACGAAATTTCGTAAAATCCAAGAACAAGATTGCTTTGAAGGCCTAGAAATTAAGACACAAGGGATAAAAATATACTTTCCACGTCTAAATGCAGCATCAGAACGAAAGCGAATCTCTTGACGTGGAAAAACGTTCACGAACATTCCAGAACATCATTCATGAGAAACAATTAAGAAACTCTTAAGAAACAGTGAGTATGTAATGAGTGTAAGCATGTTTGGGAAGCAGAGATGTAACTAGGGGTGTATAGAAGAATGCAACACAACCCAACTGTAATAGACTGTTGATTTTACAAAAATTAGTGTCTTTCCAAGCATTCTCTGGTGGGCATTCCAGCATAGGAGCAGATGACATTTGGAAAGTGGCGTAGATAGAAGGGGTCAGGGGGGTGAAAAGCCCCCTATAAAGCTATATAGCTATTTTTTCGGAGAATTTCTGATCTTGTCAGAACAATACCATGGTTTGTCTTTTTTGATCTAAGTGTTATATTTTGAGAGAAAAGATTCTAAAGGTGAGACTCTTTCAATAAGGTATGGTATTCAAAATATCTTTTTGAGGGGGTGACTAGAAAAATCTTCAAGGAATTCAATTTATAATACCAGACTTAGAAAAAAGGTTAAGTGTTCTATTTCATTTTCAATGTCGTTATGTTTTGCACAGAAAAATAAAATTCCTTATTATATTTTTGTTGGAAAATATAAATTTATCGCCCCTCTTGTAAAATTTTCCTATCTACGCTACTGTATAGGGGCTAAGAAGGCTACAGCCCCTTTAATCAGGCAAAATGTAGCGCATGCGGGCCCCATTCGGAGAGTTCTATCTCAAAATAGCAATACTAGGCAATGTCCATACGTCATACGTCCCCTTAAACGTTTAGCATCCGCTACGTCCATTCATTCCAGTATATAATTTGACAAATATGCTTTAGTCGTGTGCTCTAGCTAGGATTACGAAATTGTTTTTGTCAAAACCAGAGATTTTTTCAATAAGATGTTGCATAGGAAACATCCCCTTAAGCAAAATTATCGGTGCACATCAGTTTTGCTGCAGTTATCAAGCAAATTGCCTCAAAAAATACTTAGCTGGATAGAACATTTTACGTTACCTTAAACAATGTGACTGTGCTATTTAGGGCGATACGTTACACTCTTTTGTCTTGGAAGCATAAGGACCTTAATCTTTAAGCTAGGTTATAATAACAATTGCATTATATATGACTTTTCATCAAAAGGCAACTGTGTCTGACATCCACCTTACATTCTTTCAAAATTGACCGGCGACTATAGAGCAAACCATTTGACATCTAGTAATCAGAATTCATCGAAATCATCAATAATTCATCGAAATAAACGCCAATTTCACTCGTTATTGTCCCTTGCAAATTTCATCTGGATAGTTTTATGTCTGTGGAGTCGATCTCATTTTATTTCAGGAGCCAACAACAGCCCAACACGATTCCAAGTAGGCCAAATATGTAGAATCATAGCATACTTACCTAGAAAAAGCAAAATCAAACAATAGGATTCGCAACGGTGTCTCATCTGCAAATGTTTACTATCCTATATTTTCTAATGCAAGAAAGTACGTCAAGAAAATCTAATATCTTTACCAATCATATTATGAAGAACCTCAATTGCATACATTATATTAACTGTACTGATTGTGCAGTTATATCAAGGCACAGGTATTTTGTAGTCTGAAAAATGGGACTGCAACTATCAATCTATCGAGATCTAAAGATTAAGTGTTTGACCTGAATCTCAGCATTGTTTTGTATCCTTTGTTCAAAGATTTCCTGCGGATAATTTATGAAAACGAGATTTTTTTTCTTTTTTATGCATCTTCTACTATGCAATTCATTCTGCGGGCGGGGTTCAATTCAGAAGCAAGCGGATTTTGGCGTGCAATCCGTACATTTAATATCCCTGCACTGGACCATTTTGTAGGACATTTGAAAATACGCCATTGTAATGCAGAATGTGGCCAGCAACAGCTTTGCTTATTTTGGCCTCCTGCAATCAATCAGAATATGGCAGGGGGAGGCAAACCAACAAAAACAAGCAAATTTGTCAACAATGGCAAAATTTACCGACAAAAGCACTAAAAACGTGTTTTATCCGACAATTTAACAAAAGCTAAGGGTGCTCGACCGACTCCCTCACACTGCTGAAATTCCCCCCAGTGTGTTGTTGTGTAAATTGCTAGCAATCCCGTTGCTGTTTTCAAGTACAGCTGAATAAACGGATACTTTTGTATATCTCTAAATAATGACATGGGTTATAGCTGCATTATTTATTAAAAATTCTAATCTTTTGATAGAATACAAATGTTTTTGCCTGAAAATTAGGAAAACTACAGAAGAAGTGGAACCAATACACTCTGCGCGAACAAAACATTTTACTTACATCAAAGAAACTGATGCATTTTGGAAAAAAGAAAGGAAAGACCCACAGGAATGCAGAAGATTGTTTAAAATATTCACCAACGCCTTTAAAGGTAACCTACATTTTTTTAATAAGCAATTAATTGTTCACATTACTTTAATAAAAAAATACAGTTACACGTTCACAATATAATCTTCGAATTTTCGCTGCCTTCCGGCGCCTCATCATTAAGAGTTCTTGCTGAGGAAGATTTCTTGCTGAGGAAGAATTCTTGCTGAGGAAGAATTCTTGCTGAGGAAGATTTCTTGCTGAGGAAGATTTCTTGCTGAGGAAGATTTCTTGCTGAGGAACATTTCTTGCTGAGGAAGAATTCTTGCGGAGGAAGAATTCTTGCTGAGGAAGATTTCTGACATTTGTTAAATCCTCTTTGTTGATATGCTTTGTGCGATTCTCTGATATAAAATTTATTTATATTGTGGGGTGCTTTCAGGTGCAAAAACTGTCTCCTACAGGTAAACTTTTGATATTGAAAAACGGTGGAGTAACTTGGCCTTTATTTAACGGGTGGCAGTAAAAGGTGTTAACGACGTTTGTCATAAAGAAAAAATCTATCTGCAAAGTGACCAATTACAGAGACTGCGGAAGCGCGAGAGGAGGCTGAGGCGGCTTTAGCCCCCCAATCATCTCTAAAATGTACTTTAAACCATACCAAATGTCGCCTTGCTCTGAGCTTTAGCATGTTTAGCCTCCCCCCTAAACGTTTTAGCCCCCTCAATCTATACAGTACTCCGCGGTCCTTGACCAATTATCCTATTTTAAATCAAATTGTTTTTTCTTTCAAATGATCCACTGATAAACATTCTTTCTGTGTATTAAAATGATGATTTTCAAAAGTGTTGATCTTCCTTGTCAATCTGAAAAGCGAAAAAACACAAGATATCAGTAAAAGTCATATATATTAGTATAACTATCGGAAAACTTCAAATGTTACACGTAGAAAATGGTTCTAATTTACTGTCGAATATTCTGTCCAAAGTCAAAAGTTTTGCTTTGGGACAAAATTGATGACATTTTGTACCCAGAAAGGGTTAGTCGAGCCAAGAAGGGTTTAGCAATTGACGCCAGAATTCTGTATAAACCCCCGCATATCACCGCATAGCAACTCTCTTGATTCACCTGATAATCTCTCTGACAGGGGCGTTGCGACCGGGCGGTGTGGGGGGACAGACCCCCCAATAGTATCTCAATAGGAAATTTCAGGGAAAATCCGCTCGGTGGAAGAAACGCTTTAGGTATTTTAGAGACCTTCATGTCATAAAATCAATAAAGGATCAAGCAAAGGTAGTTGCTCCGTTGGTTAAATATGATATTCCTTGATATGAATAAAGGCAAACAAACTAATGATTTGAATATTTGATGATTTCTTGTTGGCACTAAATCGAAAAATCCAGGCCCTCTTTATGTAAATTTGTGTCTTGTGTCCATTTCCCCTAAAGATTCTCGCTAGAAGCGTCAACTGCAATTCACTATGAGCTCCAGATTTTTTTTTAACATTCAAAAGGCATGCTAAGATGGAGAGAGGGATCTAAATTGACAACCAGTGCTGCTCGTAACTGACAACATGGCATTTCTCAAGACCACGGCGAAATTGTACCAGTTGTTTTATCTGCTGTTCAATTTGTTTGCAAAAAAAATAATAAACAATTTTTTTGCGGTACAGAATTTGAAAATGGCTTTGAAAAAGCAAACATTTTAAAACATACTAAAAGCTTTTTCGTCTGACACTCCTCAGGGCATAAAACGTCAGAATAAGGTTTCGAAAGAACCCAGTTGTGGATCGAAATAGGCCAATCAGAAAATCGCAAGCACAAGGCCGGTATAGTGCTTGCGTTTCAGATTAAGATGAATCATGTAAATAACTGAATCAATATAATACATAGGAAAATTGTTAACAATAAATCAATGTTTAAGTTAATAAACCAATGAATTAAAAAATAGATAGATAAATTGATAAATAAATTAATTAAATGATTTATAGATAAAAGAAATTTAACTGTTTATTATAAGTTTGTACAAGCTTTAAGCTGGTCTTTGATATTGTAAATTGAACTAATTTACACCAACTATTAACTGAAAAAGAAAACTACATTATATCAAAATATACTATTTACAATATAAACATTATCTACAATGCTTATAATTGCAATTTTCTCCCCTCCAGTTTTTATTGTTAATATTGAATATTGTAGCTGATGAGGCGCTCAAGTCAAACATACTGTTTCATAGAAGGCAGCCTGTGCTCCAGACCCCTAACTTGAAAGTAATGGGTCTGTGTAACCGAGACCAAAATCGCGTACGAGGATTGAATTGAATTGTTTGCATAATTATCATAGATCTGTGTAATCATGCAAGAAGAATTGCTTCAAGAAGAAATTGTTGATCGGTCGTGATGGTATGATGTAGCTTTATTTGTTAGAAGAAAGGTTTAGAAAATACTGCTCTGCTATTTGATGATGAAGATCTTCGTTGGGAAACTTGATTGGTTCTGACGAAAACAGATTAAGGGGCTGTGGGCCAATCTTGCTCATTTTACAGCGGTTGATGGGGAGTGAATCTACGGCAGCAATCGAAGTAAAATTGCCTTGAGTAGAGTACTCATTTTGTTTTGCATGGTAGAAGATGATTATTTACTATTTTGGCTTGAGTGCAATGTAAAGAAGGATTTTTGTGACAAGATCTGATGAATACGATGAAGGAAAACATGACTTTCAGAGTAGCGATAAGAAATGGAAACCGAAAAGTAAACAAGACGCTTTGCCTTCAAGCCGTAGAAAATGATCTCTGCTTACAAACGCAAGTTTACAGTCAGTGGAAATTGCTTATAACTCGTGAAACATTTAACATTGATCCGGACAGGGCTGCTCAACTGAGTAGACTAATTCCTTTAGCAATCTGAGGCAGCAGGCCTAGGCCTGTGTCTTGTACTTTTCAACAATTCTTTTCATCATGAAAGTGATTGCTTTGCTGTAAATGCGTCTTCTAAGTTTGTTGTTTGAAATTCTGGTGTTTAAAAATGATTTTATAACGTTCATTGACACATAAGAGAAGAGTTACCAACAACAAGCGTGTGTTTTGCTAAAAATTCATCCTCGGGTTTTTGAAGTGTTTCCATCCTCGCGCCGGGCGGTTATCTAGGAGTCATGATATATTCAAGGCTTCAGACATCATTGCGACATTGTCTGACAAAATAAAAAGTAACTTTGAATTTGCACACATTTCTTTTCACTATTTGAATGTGTAAACTGCCCCTGCAAACTAAGATCTGTTCACGCTGTTGTTCACTTTTGTCTTGTGAATGCCGCATAGTTTTTTGCATAATTAATTTTCCCAGAGATCCTGGGAAACGCTCGTACGCGATTTTGCTCTCGGTTACACAGACCCTCTACTTTCAGGTTAGGGGTCTGGGACACAGACTAATAGAAGGCTGCCCCGAAATTTAATAGAAATAATGCCAATTTTTGCAAAAAACCGTTAGCTTTCCAAATTTTGCATCATATGCACATGCGCAGTTAAAATCAGTGACGTTATCCTCACATCGCATTATATATCCTGTAGTAGAAACATTCCTTGCTCTTATGTGAAAAAGCTAGTCTCGAATTAAAGAGTCTTGAGAAAAAGGTGTCTTGAGAAAAGTAAGAATGAAACTTCGGTTTATGTGATGTTGTATAACTGTTTTTATTAAATGAAGTGAAACGCTTTGAGAAAGAACTTCCTTCTGCAATCCTTCCCCCTACTGCGGATATACTTTCTCCATTGGTTTGGAAAAATGAATAAAACAATAGCCCTAAAAATGGGAATCTAGGCCCTGGGAGCTCTGAACAAGATATAAGGAAAAACTTCTGATAAACATAATCCCTATTGTTCATAGACAGAGGCTTGTTAGTAAACAAATGCTGATTTTCCAGTGCGCCCACCAAAATTGCCACTTAACCAAATTCGCTAATCCATCAAAGGTTCCGTCATGCTGTTCCAGAGCAGTATTCTCGATTTTCCACTTTGACAGAAATAATTAGTTTTATGCCAGAAACCAGTGCGCCCAGGGTTCTAGACTCGTCTCCCTGACATTTGTTTCTGTTCCCCCTATCATCAATATACAAAGGTTTTTGAGAGGTACAGTCGTTTCATTGTTCTTTGCAAGCAAAGAATTCATACAATTTGGTCATTTCCAAAGTAGCTCTTATCATCCCTATCTGTACTTCATCAGTTGATATATCTACTTTTTATTCCCCTATATTCCAGTTTAGTAGTCTTGTCACTGTCAGTTGAAGGTAACGGATTTTTTAGGGATTAGTGTAGCGTTGATAAAGAAACATTTGAACCATTCAAGTACTTACCCCAAACAAGAGAGAGTTTGTTTTCTTCCATATAACATGCAGATACAGCTCTACTGGTCATTTTGAAAACGCCTTCTATGTAATTATACAAACAATTCTTTGTTGCAGCATTCCATAGAATACTAGACCCATTTCTTCTCCAAAGCGTGTCGATGGAACCACATGCTTTTGTTTCCAACCACTCCTCCCCATCATGTAAACCGACGCATGCGTTTGTTTTCTGATGTTTCAGAAACAAGCCATGTCTCCCAGTTACAAAATAGAATTTGTCTTTCCCTCCAGACAATCTTTGGAAGGTATTACCATCTATTTGTGTCAAACAATAAAAGTTCATACCTTGCACGAGAAAAGGATGCCCTAAAAAGCGACATAATCACAGTTCAACGACGGTATTTGCCTATCAAGGAGAAATTGGTAAAAATTTGTAAATTCTCTGTAAGAGTTATCAATGATACGTTTCAAATTTACCAGATTGATAATGCTGTGAAGAAGCTGCATCTAAAATTTTATCTAACTAGCCTTTTAGAAAAACTTCCTAAAATTCAATAAAAAAAGGGCGGGAAAGGCGTGGTCTAACAGTGGCCTCTAAAATATTTAAGTTATGGAGCTGTGCAGTTAGAACTCTAAAATATTTGTTATGGATGACCTTGATTATGGCCATCATCATTCTGTTCAGACTGGCATTTTGTTCAGGCTGGCATAGCATTATTTTCTTTATTCCAAACCATCTATAAGAAACTGAGCCATAAGATGATCAAAAGAATTTGATTAAGAAAACCAAACAATTGATCACCTCCAGCATTAAGAAACTGTTCAAAATAATTCATTTAAGGTGCGATGGACGTAATGCTTTTTGACGATTTTTATTTGATGACTTTTTGGCGATTGCTATCTTTCTGGTTCAATTGAAAATCTATTTTCCCTCTGTTTTTGCTGTGTTTGTTTTTTCTTTCTAAGAATAACTCTTCAGCACATTCCTATCAAAGAAACCTTTTTTACAACTGAAAGTTTTAGTACTTTAATCCAAAGCTTACAGAGTACTAATCCCAAGCTTACTTTCTTTTGAACAAACGCGTTTATGTATAGTTATTAAAAAATGGTCCCAGTAATATTTCCTTACCATCAGGGCAATTGACGCTGGCATCCGTACCACATTTAACGCATTGAAATCCAGGGCATTGACAGGTATCCAGGCAGACACTGTCACCACAAGGATTATGTCTTTTGCAATTGTGACCAGTCTGTATAATAAAAAAAAATGCTACAAAGCTGACTTGTTAACTACAGAGCCTATCAAATTTACGCAATGAGCCACCATAATCAAGAGTGTCACAATTTGGCCCTGTTTCTTTTCGCCAGTGATAGCAATTTCACCTTAAGCCACCCTAGGCACGACACCACTGCTCTAGCGTTAACTGTATTCATCAACTTGGTCTTTTTAACAATTTTTGACCTTGATCAACAGCTCCCAGGACACCATCTTATTGATCTTCAGCAATAAACATCGTCGTCATGGTAGATTACATCAGGGTTGCTTTCTTTTTCTATTACAAGAGGCTGCTGTGGTAACATGTTTCTTTCCTTTCCATTGTCGTTCTAACCAGACAGTGTGCTGTCTCACTGCCACACCATTTGCTGCCGCCCATTCTCTCATTTTATTTTCATTTCATTTCATGAATATATTTTTAGCAATTAATTGGATTGATATAAAGACGCTTTATTTAAAAAATTAATCAAGCTGGAGCTGGATTGTTGAGAGTTTCATCAAGGGTAATTAAAAAGTGCTGACACACATATCAAAATAGTTCAAAAGAGCTTTTGAGTCGATGACGAACCTGTAACTAATAAAACAGAACATGAAAGTTACAAGTTAACAGCAAAATAAATATGGTAAAATGTCAATATGCTAAGAATATTATTTCATTTTGAGAAAGTTCAATAATAATCAAAAATAATATTTATTCAAAAAATAAGAACTGAAAGATAAAAAAATGCAAAAGGTTAAGGCCAATATATGTTCTGTATTGCTGGTCCGTTTAGTAATATTAAATAGCTACCTAATGCGAGCAATTTCTTGAATTTTTAACAAAATTCGATCATGACAATATTCTGCATGTAGCTTCTTGTTGGCACAGCTGTCGGTATTGGAATCTCTGATTACTGGAAACATTTTATCTGGACTCGTGCCGGAATCCAATACGTTCTACTAATACTATAAGCGGTACAAATTCGCTTGCAGCAATCACTTTCAGGCAATCACGCCACAAGTAATGCTAATTCACAGGTTACGCGCGAATGTCTATTCACGCATTGACGCACAATAGAAACTTGTTTTGTGAGTTCGTACATCGAAAATACGCTGATCTGCGCTTTATTTTCAAATTATTGCAGTTTCTTGCAAACTTAATCAATAAGCGAATCAAATTTTAATTGTTCATCGATATGGTACGATCAATGGCACCTGTCAAGTTTCAAATACCATACCTTCTGAATGGGCGGGATTAGGGAAAGTTTTTCAGCTTGATCTTCTAGAAAAATGTCAAATTTGGAGTTTTGATTCAAATTGATGTTGATTTTTTCCCTTTGTTCCTTCATTATTTCAAAGCATTTATGGTAATTGAAGTTCTGCTATTACAAAGAGCACGATTGCTCGTTACTACTCAAATCTGTAAGCGCAGTTGATACTAATCGTAGAAGGAAGGAAGGTTCCAAAAATGCTATTTTTTATAAATTTGTATATTTGCAATGTTCTGGAGATTCAATCTTTACTTCTACCAAGTTAGCAAATCCTTCCATTTAACAAAACCTTACCCATTTCTCGCTGTAATTGGTTGACATGAAACTCCATCCTGTTTCTTGTGTAAGATTTCCTTCAAAAATCGTGCTTAGTGAATCGGCTGGAGACTCACTGTTGAGTATGCATGTTCCATTCACGTTGTAGCTTATTGCTTTACAGTTTTGATTGAAAACACATTGAGCTTTGCACTCCTGTACTGATAAGTGGTCGTAGACAGAAATTTGGGCAAGGAGCAATGCATATCCCTTTCTTGTCACTGTGAAGTTGGCAAAATGCTGGCAAGGCAACCTGAGAATTCTGCAATTCATATATCGTGAATATATGAAAAATAGTGAGAAAAACCAAAGCAAACATGTAGTAATTAATTTGAATTCCATTTTCGGATGCTTCATCTAGATAGTTCGCCGATTTATATAGAGAAGTACCTGCGCAATCCATGCCTGTTGGCTGACAAAATCTCGATTAAAGTCAATGGATTATTGTCAATGACCATTCATCTCACTTTCGTCATACTGTTGCACTTGTAAAGGATGTGTCGCATTAATCGACCGAAACAAATCATTATCTTTGCGAATGGCACACTGTGTTCGGTACCTGCAATAGTGTTGTGATTGTCATTTTCATGCAGAGCAAATAGAATTAAAAACCGATTTTGATCGATATTGGTTTACCTTTTTTAATCCTGTGAATTTTATGTCAGATATCTAGGATGGCAAATGGTTAGTGAACAGTCCATTCCAGGTAGAATGAAAATTTCTCTTTTGTTTTACCATCAATGGTAATAGTCAAAAATTTTAATCAAAGTGTGAAGTTGACACGTTTTGTAAGCTTATGAATAATAGAATGATAAATGAAGGTAGGAATGATCTAGAAAGTTTCAAATCCATTTCATCATGTGCTCATCTTCGTAGCGATAGCGTATATGCAACCTCGCAGCACATTGGTATTGTACTAATGATAGGGCGATCTCGCAGCGGCTTATTTTGTTTGCATAGGAAACGGATACTTTTTTGCCCAACCTGGTATTTGTCCTTTCAGTTTTTGGTGTTTGCATTTTCAGTTTCAGCTCAAAAATGCGCGCTTTAAAAATGGAAGCAATATTCACAGTATTAATGAAATTTTCCTCACAGTCATACAAAAATCTACAATGTCTACCTTAATGTTAAAATTTGAAGTTCTGGTCATCCAGTAACCTGAATGAAATTTGCTGTTGTTTGAAGTTATCTTTTTGTGCTTCTTGCTGCAACTATTATCAGCACTGAGCACAAATTTTTATGATACGTACTCATAAAACCACAAGGCTTCGTTTCTGTTCCTTTTGCTTTTGTACTCTGACAGTCCGGAAAGCTTTCGTAATAGCGGCTCGTGCAAAACTACCACGATCCTGGAATCGACTCATTTCATTGAAAAGTTCCTATGAAAATACCTGCCATCTTTAGTTGCCATTACAACATCAAGATTAGGCTAAAACCATATATTTTGCACATTTTAGGTACGGAAGTTTTTTTCCCAGATAAAGTTAACATTTCCCGCTCGACAAACATATTACGAATGTGCCAAATTGCAGAAGTAATGCTTTTTAATCTAAGCTTTTTGACATGGATTAGGTCAAGCCACCAGCTTCCATTTTACCGAAAAGGAGGAAGCTTAAAGAAGCATTTAAGATATTTAGAATCGTTTTTATCACGAGTCCTCGAATTATACGAGTTTCAGATTCATGTTTTGCACTCTTTACATCTACCCACGTCCGCAGATGGCATGCTCTGGTTTTTACAATTGCCACTACCGACATTGCTTCTGTGAGAATCTTAAATGCTCTTTGACTTGCTTCAATTCACTCTATCAACAGACAGTTCCAATTCAACCAATGAATTGTCATATAATATATGACTGTCATATGATATCTTAATATTAATATTAAGATTGTAAACTATACCTGTAGCTTTGTCATGAATTAATGAAGAACTGCTTTTACAATGTATCTATCCATTCAAAATGCTTTTGTCAATTCAAAAGCAATATCTATTCATATGTCACTGCTTAAACAGCTGTTATAAAAAATTCAGGGTGCTCCCAAGTTCTAATCGGACTTGGCAAAAGTTTTAATTGGTCTTATCGGACCAGTTCGACAGTTTTAAACTGTTTGCAAACTTGTGTTGAAGACACACGCAAGGAACTTGACACTTCGCATGATGTCATCGTGATCGGAGCCCCCCCACCCCCCCACCCCCCAGGAAAAATGCTTCATTTCCACCACTGAGACGATTTAGTTACTGGACATAAATTGTTCGTTTGAATGGGGTCCAGAGAGATTAGATGCGATCAGGGGCGTCGAGATGGGGGGTTAAGAGAGGTAAAAGGTCCGGGGCCTGTGCTCTGATGGGGCCCACGCTCCGATGGGGCCCGTAATAATGTAATAAGATTTATTTATAATGCAAAAAGCTGCTATTTCAGCTACCTAAATGGAATCAGCACCTGTAAGTTTATTACAGAGAAATATCCACATGTCCCTGATTCATGCAAAATGTTTTTGCACATTCCTGTAAAAATCCTTAAAAAACTTTCTCAACAATTGTAATTTAAAAAAAGGCGTTTCCCAAATTCTCCCACAGGAAATTTTCTTAAGGGGGTCCAGTTATGTGAATCACCTCTGGGCCCAAGCTGGCTCTCGACGGCCCTGGATGCGATAGCCATTGTTTCGAATCAGCACGGTTTACACAGGCAACTTTTTATATGTAACTTCATGCAAATTGTTGCACAAACGCGAGGAGACCAAAGAACTGCAGGTGTAAGAGAGCATGCGACTTGTTGTAACTTTTATTTTGCAACCTTTTGCAGCCTACTGCAACCAAATGCAGCCTGCAACTTATTTAGGATCAAAATCGTTGCATGGTGAAGTTGCACTAGGTTGCACATTACTGGCCAGAATATTGCACAATATAATGTGAGTTTCACATGTTTTTTTCTCTCTGAAAAATGAATGATGAGCTCCTAATAAATTACTTCTAGCGAAGCTATGCCCCACCCCTCAGCCACAGTCGCTGTTTTATTTGTGTTTATCTACCGTAAATCTTTGAATTAGCCCCCATCTGTGTATAAGCACCCCCTCCTTCAAATAATCCTCCGCCTAAAAATATTAATTTTTGCAAATAAGCCTCCCTTCCTTTGAAAAAGCCCCCGTGGGCCCTTTTTCGAGAGAAGCATTAGCAACTAACTAGCTTCCCCCCACAATGCTTATTCTAATTCATAATTAGCTACAATAGCTATAGAAAATTGCATCTGTTGTTGATGACAAAAAAGCAAAAGGGGATGTCATATTATAAGTTTTGTCTGTTTTCAACAATAAAAATTATCTTTCTTTCATGTTGGCCTTTAAGAAACTATCAAACATTAAATCATCCTCACCTCTCTTCAATAAGCCCTCCCCACGAAAAAGCTCCCACCTAAAAATCATTTTTGCAAAACGATCTCCGGGGGCTTATTCGAGGATTTATGGTATGCAGTTGTTTATGTGGCAAAACCAAGAGCAGTGGAGCTACTACATAGCCTGCTTCTACCTGTTTTGGTTTTACTTTTTAATTGGTATCCAGGATTGCCTCCGATTATCCTGCAACTTGTTGCGACATTTTGCAAACATATCCCGCTAGGAGTTGCATCTATTTTCTTATGTGTCAATTTTACAAGTATTTTACAGCAAGTTACAGCAGCTTAATGCTACCTAGTGTAAACCGGCCTTGGGTGGCGATTGCCACCTGACCACCCGGGCCAGTTCACCCATATTGCACTCATATTTTATAAGAAAATTGCCATTAGAAACGTGTTCTAAGTAATCGGAAAAAGTTGAAAAGCTACAGTACTCGAAGCAAGAAAGCTAAGAAACATTTGAAAATTGATAAAGGCAATAACTCAGAAGTTTTGTGAAAATCAATTGATATGATTGGCTGGTTGACACAAAAATTTAGACCAAGAGAGCGAGAATGTACTCCCCGAATTTAAGTACAGAATTACATCGGAAGCAAATCTCTTGGCAGAAATTTCAAACAAGAGCATTGGAAACAAAGGAGATTGTCTTTGTTTGCAGTTGCGAAGTTGTCCATGCGCCGTAAATATCTACCATGAATAATACATTACCTTTATCTGAAAAACCATAGCCGTAACCTGAAACTCAGTCAGATTTTTCTCTAGACCAGTGGCGTGCTTGGGTTGAGGTCGCAGGGGGGGGGGAAGGGTCAGAATGCCGCCCCTTTACAAACTGAAAGTTTAGCTTATTTTACATATTATCGTTTTTGCATTAAGTAGGTTTGGAAGTCTATAACAACAGATGCTTAGTTATAACGGGTCCATAATCACATTCAAATCGACGAAACCTATATAAAAAATTGACTTGAGAACTCAAAAAATATCCTTGCAAAAGCGAATATATATATTTAAAGTTTAATGCATTCTTTACGTTTATGTTTGAAAATAAAAAATGCAATGCAAAAAAACAAATACACCTGACATTTTTTGAACCTTTTTGAATATGTCAATTTTTACGTAAGTTAAGACAAAAATATTCTTCCTCCAGTGTATAGTTGATAGTTACTTGAAGATGAATTAACAGCGTTTATACCAATAGAGATATTTTAATCAAATAAAGCAAGTCTACAATTTCATGCTAAAAGAGCTTTTGTAAGTTTGGGAGAAACTGTCACTGTCAATGACCTTGTCTTTGTTGATCAAAACAACAACACTTAGAATTTTGCAGAAACTATGACCGAAAGGGACACTTAGGGAAACCAAGAACAAAAAAGATTGAAAAGAGGGACATTTTAAGAAATGTGTCGCGAAAGAACAGTCAGCTTCTTTTGAAAGATCTAGCTTTAAAAGATCGACAAAAATTAAAGTTTCTTCATAATATTGCTAGTTAATTGATTAACTGCAATTTGAGATATATATCAAGTGGTTGTATAGCTTTCAAACTTATCCAAATTAACAACACGCCCTCTATTAACTTATACAATGGCTACCATCTCCATGACTGCTCTGTGTATTCAGCATAATTGTGTCCACATTGACCGATTATCCAATGGCAGCTTCTTGCAAAATGTTATATGCTTTGTAATCGCTCTTACAGAATTTATGCCGTAACAAAGCTGCTTTTTCTCTACATAGGCAAGTTCTCTTGTTAGTTTTGCATGACCAAAAAACTGTCAAAACTCTTCCTGTTGCATCATTTGCACTCGATTATCCTTTGCTGCAAAATGTAGAAAGGCGTGTTGTGCATTTTCGACCGTTGAAAAGAAGATTTGCTAGAGAATAGACTGTCATTGTTTGGGGTGGCTTGAAGGCCTTCGGGTATTTCTGCGTGCCCTTATGCGGATGAGCATACACGATTTTCTAGCTTGTTTATGAAGCACTTGTCTGTGAGGTAAACTGTATTGTCTTGCATGCAATTTGAATTATTCCTTGTTATAATTCTTTGCAAATTATATTTGTATATTCCTGATACAATTTGTTAACTGCAGGTTGAAAGGACAATTTCTCCCATTGGAAACCCGAGGTACAAGAGTTACAGCTAGAAGACGCAGATCCGTCTATAACAGTGAACATAGGTTAGTTGAAAGCTTTGATCTGGCATTGTATGTAGTTCTGTTGGCGTGTCGTGCTTGCATAGGTTCTTGCATATAGATATCTGTTTTGGCTTGTCGTGCTATGCATTTGACGACTTCGGTTTCATGCTCACAGAGGGTTCCAGTCAGGGTCAAAGAGGACCAAAGCTGAAATGTTAAAAATTACCCTCAAATGGTAGTCTTTTTGACAATAACCCTCAAATGGTAGCACAAGGACAGAAATTATGTCCTTGGTAGCATCCATTTCTTTGTGCACGCCTGGTCCTTTTTTGACATATTTCTTCGCCATTGACTGTTGCTGATTCGGGAAAGATAAAACCTTGTTCATTGTCTATAATAAATCGCAAGCCAAACTCAGGCGTTGTATTATTACCTGGACCCCCCTGTCAGGCTTATAGGAGTACCCCCTGGGATCTGACCTAATCCAAGTAACCAAAAGTGTATGCATACAACAACATGCAACAACAAACGAATTTTCACTTCCTCTCCCCTTCAGCAATTTTGCGTATGAAAGGCACATTGATTTACAACTTGCACCATTGTACTCGGGGAGAGGGGGTGGCGGTATCAGGTAAATTTGTGAAAAAATTGCAGTTCAAATATATTTTGTCAACGGTTGTAGACAATTTGCTGGGCTCATTTGCCAATGGGTACCTGATATCTTAATGCTGCATCTTATGTTGTAGACGTAGTATTTGTAGTTGACGTTCTGTCCGATCCGCGATTACCTGGTGATATTTCACAATTATGCCATGTGAAAAGATATGATTTCTTTCAAAGATACCTGCTAATCGAAGGGTGTATCCAAATACTTGGCACTCCGTTTTGGAAAAACAAGAAAGAGTTCCAAAGTGGAACGTTATAAATAATATCTTCTTAAAGATAAAAATTTTCGTAAAAATAACATAATAAAACACATCTTAAAGTGAAGGATCAGTTAAGTTAGCAAATAAAAAGTCTAAGTTTAGCCAATAATGTTTTTCTCTGGTTCATTGATTGTTTAGATAAAAGCTAATCACAGCAATTTGATGGGGAAAAGAGGTTGTACTATTTGGCTATTTATGGCGAATACAACTGTTTTGCACATTTTTAGAAAGGTTTCATAATGACATTTAAGGTTATTTGGTCTCAATATAAAATTTCTAAGCATATATTTTATGACGTCATCACTTTTGTGTCATGTTGCAATGTCGTGTTAAAAAGACCGTATTTCAATCCACAGAGAGCGACTTTTGTTTTATCGAGTTGATTTAACATCAAGTAGTTCCCAATGAAAAGGGCGCATCAAATTAGCTTTACCCAAAACGATCAAATCTGAGTCGCAGATGCTGATGATTCGGCATCATGTAAGGCCTGTGCCTTGGCCACTGAACTTCCCGCTTCTGGAAAGAGCAATCGGGATTTGGGGGGGGGGGGTAATCACGAGGATGGTATCAAGGATAAAGAAAATAGAGGGTAGTAAAAGACATTTGAATGCAGGAAAATAGAATCAATGCCCCTTGATTAGGGATTGTTAAAAACAGAATGTAGCAAGCCATTAAGGTATTCGAACGTCAGTTCATTTGTGCTCATTTAATGATTTTTAGAAACAATATTTAATAAAAAGTTTATGAAGTGGTATTTCCTAAAACAAATAACATGGTACACAATTGATTTAACAAAAGTTTCCGAGCATAAAGTTAATATGTAGAAGAAAACTGCAAGAAATAAAAAGGAATCGAGTTATAATAAAAAAGTGCTTAATTTTCAATAAGTCTGTCTAAATGCTTTTAAGTTTGTCTCTAGACGCTAGTCGATACTGAAATTTTCTACCCTAGTGACTGACATAGACATGGTATGTAGTAGACCCTTAACACATACTGGTTGAAATATAGAAAAGATTATCTTGGATGCTTCATTCTTACTATGAAGTCATCCTTTTTAGACATCAGTCGCCTTTTCCTTTCAAACTGTCACGCCCATTGAAATATTGCCTGGGAAAACCCCCACGTCGGGGGCTATACTAAATCGGTTTGATAGACTAAAGCAAAAGACACATATGTGGGAAAAATACCATCAACGTTTTGAGTATTTACTTAATTCAAAACATGTGATGTAATTGATTTATCACGTTCTCGTTCCAGATAATCTTTACAGGATGAAATCTAAAAATTCTTTTGGCACGTGAATCTTATTATCGCTGTCCAAGTAAAGGACTGGCTGGTTTCAAGTTTCTCATATCATACAAGATATATAGAAAATGTAATCCAAAAATTGAGGAAAATACCTTAAAAGTGAGAAAAATTTAAAATGAGTAAAAATCTATTCAATTTCATTGCACTATTTGAGGAGAAGGCAAAAGAAGATTAGAAATATCAGTTTATTTAAAATGTTTATATTGCGATACTGCTGTGTCACAGTGTAATTTTCAACCTTTTTATATGCTTTTATGTCCAATAACCGTCCAAATACTTTGTAAACGGCTTGTTTTTATTCTAACTGGTTATTCTTGCTGTCTGTCTGAAAGAGGAATGCAATATGATAAAAATCTATAGCTAACAATACAGAAACACAAAGCGTCTCCTATGAGCTTCACAAAAATGGTTTACTTAAAAGAAAAAGTGTTTTCTGCAACGTCATTGGGAAATTATGTGGACATCTGTCGTATTGTCGACATTTTTTGTGCATACGCAGTATTCAATGCAATTCAATTCAATTTCATTGACAAATATACCTAAATACATTTCAATACAGAATAAAATTTATTAACATAACATTACAACATAGAACTTAAACATGGAACATTACAAGACATTATGTATTTAAATTAATTTGTCTAAGGAGGAGCTCTCTAATAGATGAACTAATCGAGAGAGGGCCCCCCAGCTAAAACTAAGAAGTGAAATTTTTTCTTTAAATCAAAAGAGAAAACAGAAAGCCTCCGCAAAACATTGGAATAAACAAGGACTTAGAGACTGAGGAGATCCTTAGGAATTACCTCAATATTGATGTAGAATATAACCATTTATGAGAAATTCTTTCAGTTTTGATTTGAGAATATTTAAGGACGCTGAAATTTTAAAGTATGTTGGAATATCATTCCAGAGTTTAACACCAAGGTATCTAATCGACCTGAGCCCATACAAAAATGTATTCCTTGAAGGTTGGAAAACATTACCACTAATTGCCTGACGCGTTCCATGGCTGTGAACTGTGCTACTAAGCTGAAAATAGTTGTGGAAATGAGAAGGTGAAAGATGATTGAGTGACTTGTAAACAAATTTAAGAATATCCTGGTGAATCATATCCTTTAATTTGAGAATTTTAAGTGAGGCAAATATTGGTATTAAGGGAGATCTATTGGGGTGAAATGAGATAGACCTCAATAGCTTTTTTTGTAGTAAGAAGAGCGGTTCCAGAAAGGTTTCATGTAAAAGACCCCAAGCTGTGGAGCCGTAGCAAAGAAATGAGGAGAAATTGGAATAGTAAAGGTTTTTTAAAATATCAAGGGGAAGGAAATGTCGGATCTTAATGAGGATACCAGATGTTCTTGAAAGTTTCTTAGTTAGTTCTGAAATATGATATCTCCAGGAAAGATGTTCATCCATCAGTAGGCCTAGGAACTTAACATACCCATATCTAGAGACAGGCTTTTTACCAAATTTTATAGTTATGTTTTCAACGAATTTCTTTCTTGGTGAACAGAATATGACAAAATTTATTTTCTCAATGTTAAGCGCTAGTTTGTTTATTTCAAGCCACGACTTTACTTTCAGCAACTCTCTATTAATTATATAAGTTAGTTTGTTTAAGTTATCAGATTCGTAATATATATTTGTATCATCTGCAAATAAAAAAAAGAATTTTGGATACATTCGGCAAGTCATTTATATAGATCAAAAAAAGTAAAGGTCCTAGTACAGAGCCTTGAGGAACTCGACAGGTCATTTTTCCAGGATTAGAGGAATATCCATTTTCTGAGACAATTTGCAATCTGTCAGTCAGGTAAGACTCAAACCACTTTAAAGTAATGCCTCTTATACCATAATGATTCAGTTTTTGCAATAGAATTTGATGATTCACAGTATCAAGAGCTTTCTATAAGTCTATGAAGATTCCACATCCAATTTTATTAGAGTCAAGTGTACATTTTATTCTCTCAGTTAAACTTATCAATGCATGGTCAGTCGAGTGGCCACTACGAAAGCCAAATTGCAACTCAAAAAGAATCTCATGGAGTTCTAAAAAATTATAAAGTCGCTGATGCATTAGTTTTTCAAAGATTTTGCTAAAAACTGATAATAGAGAGATAGGTCTATAATTTGCCTTATTTGTTATATCACCTTTTTTGTGAATTGGAATAACCATAGCCATTTTTAATTCTAACTTCTAAACAAGGCATAAAACTTGAAATTTGACATGTAAACTTCCTTCGTCACATCCAAGACATATTTTTTATGGTAAGCTTCTAATGAAGTCTTGCTATCTTGCAAAATGGAATGAAGTCTTGCTATAATGTTATTACTGGACATATATGAAAGCGGATCTCTTCCCTTTTTTAGTGTCTGATAGATAAGATTAGAAATTAATCTTTATCTTAAGAATTTTCATTAGGCTCATGTCTAAGATTTAGTATTGAGAGAAAAACAGCCAGAACAAAGTTTCCGCTGCTTTAGCAGTTATTTGTCTATTATTTTGAATCTATTAAAAGCATAAGCAAAAGTCAACAATCGATCGAAAGGCATTAAAAATTTTGAAGAATGTAGGAATTTAGCTTTAGAAATGATTTTAGGACAACAATGATAGGCACATATGTAGTTGATTATATTCTATGCGACTTGGTACACGAAGATAAACATGTTTTGAGAAATTTCGAGCATAAATTTTGATCGCAATGTCTATCTTTCAAGCATAATGTTGCCTTTTAAAGAAAGTCGACGTTTTTCTAACAGCGATTGACGTACAGTCGCTTCTTGCATCTTATTCTTGTTCATGAGAATAATTCGATTTGAAGTACTCACCGTAAACAATCGACATTGTGTTATTATGTTTATAGCATTCAGCCAGCTCCCTTTTTGTAGACTCGTATACCCAAGGTAAATGATTGAACAAGCAGTTATTTGTCGCGGCATTCCACAAGATACTCGCACCGCTTCTTCGCCATATTGTGTCTAAGGTCCCACACTTTTTTGCTAATAGCTTCCCTTCTTCTTCTTTGAGACCAACACACATATTGGTTTGGGTATGTTTTAGAAATAGGCCATCCTTCCCAGTTTCAAAGAAGAATTTTTGAGTGCAGTCCTTTGTTCTTCTGAAGACATCATTAATATATGTAAGACATACTTTACCGTTCTTCATAACAAACGTATGACCTAGGCGAGACAGCAAAAGAATTCCTTGTCAAAATTTCTAGGAGCAAAGAAACTTAAGGTATTTAATTTGTTTCATTCTTGAGCAGAGCCTCCTATGTTCATGTATTTTATTTGGTATTTTTCTAAAACAAACACATAAAAGAAAATCTCATTACCATCAGGGCATTCTACGGTGGCATCTGCGCCACAACTGATGCACTGATATCCAGGGCATTCGCAAGAATCCATGCAGAATTTTTCACCACATGGTTGATGCTTCTGACATATGTGTCCAACCTATTAAAAAGCAACACATAACAATTTTTGAAGTTTTCAAGAGTAACAGAAAACCTTCAATACTAAGTATTTCATGCAAAGATATATCCCTGAAAACAATATCCAGGGTGCACAATCTGAATTTGTAAACATTATTTACCTCCATTGAAACGTCATTGACAACATCAAACCTGCTTCATTTTTATTTTTTGCTCTCACTTGTTCTCTTTGTTCACATTTATTAGGTTCCTGCTTATTAAAGGATTTTGAAAAGCGGTGCAAAAAACTAAGCCTGTTTTGAATTTCACGTAACACTTGTGTGCTGTTTGTGATTAATCTACAAGCATAAAAAGAAAGAGACCGGAGACGTTTAACCCGGGGGTACTGTGGGCACGTGGTACCTTTCACATTTCTGCAGAAGCACAGAGAAACTACGTTTTCCCAATTTTGTCATGTCTAAGTTGATACTGTGCGCTTATATTTGATAAATTGGTGTTTAGGTATATTGAAGTGAATGACATTAGCTATTATCGCGGACAAAAACAGTTGAGACTTTTCAAGGAAAGTTGTTATTTTCTGTTTTCTTTGAAAAATAACTTTCCCCCTCCCCTTGTCTCAACAATTTTGTCTTGGATTGAAGAAGGCCGATGCTAAACGTTGATTTGTGGGTAATTCTGTATTTTCTTCCTAGGATTAAGATTATTTCTCCAAACTCTAAATTACATGATTTTAAAATTTGGTTGTTTTTTATCAGTTTTCCCTTTTGAACTTATGATTTTAATAGTATTAGCTTGTAAACCCAGGCTAGCCAGATGCACATTATCTATGTAATAGATAGGTTTGTAATTGCAGTGTAATTGTTATTTTAATGATTGAAAATTTTACACTATTATCATGATCATTTTATTACAACTATCGTATTCTTATAACCTTTGATTAAAAGCTACGATTTTAAGCTTCTTGCATTCAAGCGATTTTTATTCAAAAATCAAATTGATTTTACCAATTTCTCGCTGTAATTAGTTGACATGAAACTCCATCCCATTTCTTGTGTAAGATTTCCTTCAAAAATCGTGCTTAGTGGATCGGCTGGAGCCTCACTGTTGAGTATGCATGTTCCATTCACGTTGTAGCTTACTGCTTTACAGTTTTGATTGAAAACACATTGAGCTTTGCACTCCTGTACTGATAAGTGGTCGTAGACAGAAATTTGGGCAAGGAGCAATGCATATCCCTTTCTTGTCACTGTGAAATTGGCAAAATGCTGGCAAGGCAACCTGAGAATTCTGCAATTCGTATATCGCGAATATATGAAAAACAGTGAGAAAAACCAAAGCAGAAATGTAGTAATTAATTTGAATTCCATTTTCGGATGCTTCATCTAGATAGTTCGCCGATTTATATAGAGAAGTACCTGCGCAATGCATGCCTGTTGGCTGACAAAATCTCGATTAAAGTCAATGGATTATTGTCAATGACCATTCATCTCACTGTCGTCATACTGTTGCACTTGTAAAGGATGTGTCGTATTAATCGACCGAAACAAATTTGCGAATGGTACATTATGTTCGGTACCTGCAATAGTGATGTAATTGGAATTGTCATTTTCATGCAAAAGAGTAAAAACCGAACTGGATCAATATTGATATACTTTGTTTGATCCTATGAATTTTAAACCAGATACATGTAGGATTAAAATGGTTAGTTAACAGTCCATTCCTGGCAGAATGAAAATTTCTCTTGGTTTTGCCATAAAATATAATTGTCAAATTTTTGAAGCAAAGAGTTACGTTTTAAAGCTCTTATTTAGAAAAAAAGGAAAACATTCAACGTCTTGCTGTTTAACTTCAAACTTAATTCAAGGCTGCATCTTGAGACTGTCTATGCCTGTTACTGGGCTCCACCCAATGGCTGTTCCAGCGGGTTCCAGGGGGACATCGCCCAGGGCCCCGCGCTTATGATAGCCAGAAAAGGACCCCGCCCCACACCTGAGAAAAGATAATAAATTGTAGAGAACAAATACCCCACAGATTTTTACAGCCCTCTCCCCTGCAGTACCTTAAAACCTCGATCTTGTTAATCAGGACTTCATTAACTCATTGGTCTCTAATGAAAATGCTTGCTTTTAAAAAATTTCTAACGAAACCGCTTAATTAAACCCTCTTTCTCCACAAGTTAAGAAGTTGCAGACGTTTATGTCTCTAAACGACTTTCTAAATCTTAAGCAAATAGTTGGAAATTATTTTTACTTTACTATCTGTCTCATCATATCGCTCAAATATATTTGGTAGCGATAAATACTAGAATTTTAGACCTAATCCTCAGCTTGACATTTTATGTGTAACTCTTACACCTGACAAGGATCAGAAATTTTTAACATTCAATCAGTCTTTGAGTTTGTGACATTTAGATTTAAGGAAGTTATTGAGAACAATAGAGAAGGATAATGATTTGTAAATTGATATTGGTATTATTTTTATTTTTTATCAGGTCCAAGTTTTGTTGCAATCAAAGAGGTCAACTAATACCATACAAACAGTCGCTTGTAGGTAACCTTACGCTTGCAATGTTCATTCGCTAACTCGGATCATTTCCTTATTCAACTGCACTTTCTGAAAGTTATTTAAAAATGGAAGGCAAAAAAGAGAAAATGTTGAGAATAGCCGGCCAGTTTGAGCGACGTTCAAGAAAGTGCAGTTTTCCCTACTCATATATTCTTGTTTTAAGATATCATATCCCGAGCATGGGAAGAAAATTGGCTTGAAAGCAAAGGTATAGGCCGTCCATTTGAGCCTAGCTTTTTACCCCCTCTAAGGGAAATGCTTTCTTTAGCCTAGGGTTGATGTTTTCATGGCAAGTGCCTTAGTTATTCTGCGGTTCATTGGAAGTTTTTTCTAAAATCGGTACAGAACTAAAATCGATAACAGCCACCTGATTAAGCAAAATTTAGCAAAATCAAGTTTAATTGCAAAGATTCCCAATTCCTGTTATCGCAAAATTCATTTAAAGCGAAAGTTTGATCAGCAAATGCTGCATGATTCTCCGAATACCTTGAAAAAACATATTTTGCTTTATTGAAAGTAGTATCATAACTGTGACATTACCCACAAGACAAAACTCACTGCAAAACTGGTAAGATTGTAATTTCTGTAATGTCTGTAAACTTTATATTAATTCCATGTCTGTAGAGGATGTAGATAGAGGGTGTAGACGTAGTGAGAGGGGGGGGGGGCAATGGGGGTATCTGAGTATCTCAGACAACCTCGCGTCTATTTCTAAAAAAGACATACTTAATAAGAAGAAACTAAAGAGGATTTATTTAATCGTTTTTGTACGTTTAGGGCCTACGAGGCGATCAATTTCCCAATCAAAGGAAACACCCTGAATTGCTGTTGATAGTCGGTATCTCATCGTCAATTACGAGAAAGGAAGTCCCATAAGCAAAATGAATTGTCTTAGGTAAGTATTACTTCTTACATGAATAATTAAACATTATTTTGAAACTAGAATTTAGGTAAAAGTAGCTTGTTTTGGTGTAAAATCGGATGGTTGAAAATTGGGAAAATTTTGTTAGCGTTAAAGGGCTTGGGGAAGGTGACATTTTCCATCATTTACTGCTAGTCATTGGTAAAACGCTCATTCTGCACCATGATGTACTGACATGATATCTCTTATAAATGATTTGTAACTGTAGCGTAGATGCAGGAACAATTCACTTGTACGACTAGAAGGAGCAAACGCGAATCTTACCTTTTCACATCATACCTCTTATTAGATATTCTACAAACTTTTAAAAATAACTGTTTGATAAGAATGAAGTCATATATTTTGTTAAATTTATGAAGATTGCGAGTTTAGTGGAAAATGATTTTGTCTCTTAGGCTGGATAAGTGTTGCTTTCTCCCTGTAAAATCTTGGAAGATAGTGTCGCGCTAACTTAAAGATAGGCTTTGGGCTTTAATCTAACTTTCAACTCTTACATATCTCTAGCAAACAATATATCAATTGATATCTAACATTTTTATCACCTGTGTACACGTTTCAAATACAGTCAATTTGTCTGAGAGTCGTCTTCATCCAAAAGCAAATTATGAATAGAAATTTACTTTGATTTTCAACATTGGGCATCTTCTGCCGTTCTATATATCGCGATTTCAAAAAATGTTTCTGAGGACAAGCCCCCGATCCCCCGTTTAACTTGCAACCATTCAGTCATTTATTGCGAAAGGTTTTAAAAATGAATTATGACATTATCAAAAAACTGATTCTTGGCTACACAAAATTTTTCCAGACCCATTTTACAAACCCCAAAGTTAAGCAACTATCGAACCTATTGCCGCCCTTTTGGTTGCTTTTCCCGCTGGGTTGAATGGTAGCCAGCCCGGCACTGGTCGCAAACATATTTGACGTGACTGTTTACTGTATGTGAGCATTGGTATCTCCCCACACGCTATCAGATTCAGTTGCACATCCTGTTAAAGGGAGAATAAACAGCCAATAAATAGGTTTTGCTTCAAATATAACGGGTACTGGCTGTCATGTTTATTTGGAGTGTCTTGATATTAAGCGGACCAATTTTATTGGCTACATTGAGTCTAATTCACTTTAATAAAGCAAAGGTACGGTAATCACAATTAGTGGATTTGTTGACTCGAATCGCTGTTTGACGATAATATTTCTGTCACTGACTTGGTACATAGCAAATTTTGATGCAGGAAACTTTGCGATTGGATTGCAATAGGAAGGAGATTGGGAGATAATCTGGTCTGCCAATTTCACCAATAAAATCGGCAGCTGTAAAGATATCCAGCCTAAGAGGTTTCTTGTCAGAAGTCTACCTACATTACTACCAATATTTTGTCTTTAGATAAAAAGTTATATTATTTTTTCTTCTTGCTCTCTTAATATCATGGATATCTTACAAGCTGGGAATTATTCTGCTTTTTTGAAACTTCAAGCCACCTTCACTCTGTCGATGCAAGATATACCAATTTTAAGAATTGCAAGCTGTACTGTCCACGATGAAATTGTATCATTTGCAAGTTATTCTTCTTGTTTTCCTCAACTCTTTTAAAAAAGCTGAAACCTACTTTTTTCATTGGAATCTTGCTGTTCGTTGTTTTAACAGCCAAATTCGAATTTAAAAACAATTGGGCATTCTCTTTATGCAACTTTATATTCATAGAAGATCTTGTAAACTGAAGATCCACTAAAGTCTAGCTCGTTATACTTAAGCGCTTTTTGTCCAACACTTTGAATTCTTAAAGGAGAACTGACACGCAAAAATAACTTTGGCTTATTCGATGCAAAATTTGTCGCTGACTTCAAATCTGGAAAAAGTTTTCTTCTTAGATTCGCCGTTTTTCTGATATTTGCACTTTTATCCGCCAAATACGTCACAGCCAGGACTCGGGAATTTCCCGAAGCGGAAACAAGATTATCGCCAGGAGTTGTTAAAATTCTCGGTTGACGTCACAAGTGACATGTTAACAATGCCGTTGTAAAGGCTTTCACCGCAACGGTGAAAGTACAAGTGAAGTTTCGTGTTTTATTGAAAATAGTCCGCGGTGAAAGACAAAAAATTGTCAGGCATTTCATTTATAAGTATATAGAAGCTAGAAAATCCTAGCTACATGTCTGCTAAGACGCTTATATCCACATAAAATTTATTTTCATGCCATGATATCTTCGAACCAGCATGCTTTGAAACATTGAAAGAACCTCTAAGCTTGTGAAAAAAGGAGTCGACTTTGTTTGAAAACTGATACCGTTTCTTCAAAGTTTTTATTTTTACAATTACAGAAAAAATCGCAACATGGGGGGTGGGGGGAGGGGGTTGAAGCAGTAGCCAAAAGACAAACGAAATCCAGTGGAGACAGCGGTAAAAGCGATCCTGCAACCTGCTTTGGGTGCAGAAATATGAATTCAAGAAAAAACCTTGGTTGATGGGAGCTGCGAGTGTGACTAAATAATAATTTCACTGAACTTGATTATTGTATTTTAACAGAGGTTGAGATACTAGGGAATAACCTAGTCTTGCAAAAAGCCCATCCCCCACCCAAGTCAAAATTGCTTGCAAAAGAATATAATGCGCCAGTTGATATTCCTATGACAGCTAAACAGCATTTTCTTCGACTAAGAAATCAAGTTCTTTGACTAAGAGCTAAGAGCCTATTTCGTAAATCCAGATCTTTCGACTGCCAGGTAACTTATCAGTTCCCGAAACCCTTCACGCCGGGTGAAAATGGCATAAAATCCGCACAAGTCGACTTTTAACCCGCCTTTACTATTCAATATCACTATACAGTTAACGCGTTTAAAACATTGAAAAACAATCATAGAATGTTATATTAACAATTAATAACTTGCAGTTCCGTTTAGGGCATCATGGGCATTTTAGCCAATTTAGGCCATACAGACAAAGCAGTCTGGCCAAAGACGCCTCAATCTGAAATAAAATTCTAGTTTTACGATACCTGATCTCATTTAGATTGTAGCAATAGCATTATTTTTAATAGAAATTCCATATCAGTTTGCACTTCCAGTCTGTTCTTTGTTTATAATATCGTCACTGTTGAGCCATGGGACGACTGTCTGCCCAAGCGGCAGCGCTGGTTGGTAGCAAAAACTCAGACGGCTGAAACTCTCCATTTGTTTCGAAATCAGTGTAATAAAACTCCGATTCAGAGTCCCAAACTATTGAAAAAGTCAATTATGTGTCAAAAATCCAAAATTAGCTCCTTTCACATGCACAAAATAAACATTTGTCCGCAGCATTTTGTTAAAGGTTTCTATAGAGAAACACAATACGTGCTGAGAACATGTCACTTGTGACGTCAAAGATGATCGTCCACTCGTGACGATTTTCGCCTCGAGTCTCAAGTTGTCGGAACAATTGTCGTTTCTCAACTTAAAACGCCTGTATTTCAAAAACGGTAACTGTGATTTAAAAAATTTTTTCGATCCTGGAATTTGCTTGTCACAAACTACCGTTTTAGCCAAACTTATTTTTGCGTGTCAGTTCTCCTTTAACACATTCATTCAATAAGTAAACCAAAAAATGCATGGATCCTAAAAATGCATGAATTCAAAAGGGAACTTTTCCTGTAAAGCTACATTATGTGTGCTGATTAGTGTTGTGTTTTGCAAATAGGTCAAATCGTGCATCAATCTCTGTGCATCATTTTCCTCTTTCTTCCTTGGATCTTTGTTTTTAAACTCCGAGAACCTAGATGTATCTTGGCTAACTAAAATTTTCATCAAAATATTTTTGAAAACTTTGTTCCATAATGAAATTTTTACTCAAAATATTATGTATACAGGGGCGGATGCAGAAAAAAATCTGACATTCGCAAAGTTTAGACCACGCCTATATGACCACGCCCAAAAAAAATCAGTCAAATTTTACTATAGTCTCAGAATCGAAGTTTTCCACTTAAAGATGTTTTTTTCCTTATATTAAGTTTTAGGATTAGGAAACTAACAACACATTTTTTAAACAGCATAGACTAAATAAAAATGTTGAGGCTCAAAGGTTGAGAAATTTAAGGATAGATATTGAGGCTCAAAGGTTGAGAAATTTAAGGATAAATATTAAGAATAACATCCAGGTCTGGATTTCATTGACAATTTGGCATTTTACTTATTGAGTGAACATGAAAAGAGATCTCTGGAAAAATTTTGAGAAACACTCATCAAGCTTTTGTTGTGTTGGCATGTTTTGTTTCCTACATGGCTTTTGTGATGGAAAAACAGCAGCAAAGATTTGAAATGTCCTCTTAATAATGATTTAATGGCAAGTCTAGGCACAGAACCACAAATTGTCAAGAACAAAGAGGATGAGCTAAAATAAGGGTATATTAAATGTGTGTATCACCCCTTCTCAGGGAGAAAAACTCATGAAAAACATTTTATGTCATTTAAAGAAAGGAATCTTAGTTCTATTTATACAATGATATTATTTAACAATCAAATACTGTGTTTAGTGTAGAAATTTTCAATTCAATATCCACCCAAATGTTTGACTTCAACACCAAATACCTTAGGGGCTCAGAGCTTTTCTGTTATTTATTTTGTGCATTCACCTTTCTATCTAAACTGCTGTGTGATGTGCCTTAAACATGGTCAAAAATACCAGTTAGGTCAATACACATCATACAATTTTAGTATTTTCAGGTGTTGGTAAAACAGCAAATGTAACAGAATTTAAAAAAATTCATTGTCTTTCCATAACAAGAACATCATAAATATATATTATATACAAATTTAAAATGTACATCAAACAAAGTCAGTAATGGCAAAGAAATAAGGCAAACATGGTAACTTTTACTATATGGATTTATATAAGATATTTACTTGGCAGGACCAACTTGCTGTGAATTTCTTATTAATAATGTAGTAATTCCCCCATTAGGATCATTCCATTGATTGCACTTATTTACTACCCACATTTACATTTATTTACACACACAATAACATAGAAAAGAAGACTGTCAGTCACTTGCAAATTCATAAACAAAAATTAATGAATCTTAAGGGTATTTCAGAACCAAAAGTTTCAAATGGTATACTCTTATAGTGTGGAAACCACAAATAATTTTACTAGTTTTAGAGGTTAAACTCGTGAAAAGGGTTACCATATTTATGGCATGACCAGACAAATAAAATCAAAATACTATTATAATTTCTCATTTACAAATATGGCAGTCTAGATTTTTCCAAAACTGACAGCATAAAATTAACAAGAAAAGAATACGCCGTAGAAAATGCAATATCTTATTCAAAAACAAATCCCCAGCACAGTCAAACTATTTACAGGTTTGTGATAATAACAACATCTATCAAAAAAAATATCTAGAACTCTAAAATTCAGCATATTCAAATTCATCAAGATATTTATAGAACAGCATCATTCGTCAGAATGCTACATCATCATTATCAAGATATACCTGACTTGAACCCTAAAAGTTCTGATTGACAGCCTGCATAAAAATGGCTATTTACCTTAAAAAGCATCACGTATTCTTCAAAATATTATTTGAGTCTGAATCTCTGTCTAAATAACGTCCGCCATCATGAAAATGAAAACATAGGCAAAATTTTGGTTCAACAATTTTAGGTCCAACTGAACTGTCCTCGCATATTGCCATCTATCAAATTCCATCCATCAACCAAAATCTTCGACAAACTTTGAACATCTTCATAAGAAATCCGCTGATTCAAATTAAAAATCATCTGCAAGCAAATGTCTCCACAGCTTTCCAACAACAATCATGGCCGTTGATCTGGAAGCGAGGTTTCTATCTGCCCACTTTCCAAGGTTCTCTCCCTCAACTGGCTACCGAACATAGTTCGCATCTACCTTCGCCACATTCGCAAAAAAATTTCCCATATGCATTTCCTATTGGTTTTCAGATGGCTAAATAACATAGCTTGACTGACATTCGCACAAATTTTTGGCATACATTTTTCAGTACTACTTCATTTGCGCACGCATGCCTAATATATTATAATTCCATTCGACATTCGCATCAAACCTTATTGGTGCTCTGTGAATTTATGCGTAAAAGGGGGAGCCCTCTTTCGAATATATCATCTCTAAATCACGAAAACGAGGGAATAAAACCTAAAAAGTAAACAACAAGGTGACTAGCATAAGCAACTAGGGCAGGAAACAAAACTTTTATTTCTTGTATTCTGTGGACCTTTTTTTATTATCTGGCCATTTCTAGTACATTATTCGCAATGCTAAAATGTTTTAACAGACAATTACAAAAAGACATGTGGAAATCTGACATTCGCCAGTGCGAATGTTGCGAATGTCTGGATCCGCCCCTGTGTATACAGCTTTGCTTTTCAATGTTGACATCTCTTTTTTGTGCATAATTGTGAAGACTTCGATTATATATTGCATTTTAATAAATAATCATATTCAACTATTCCATTGAAAATGAGAATTTTCATGAACAAGAGACATACTTGTGAAAATGTTTTCATTTTAATGTAAATAATTCCATATTGTAACAATTACGTCATGATCTGGTCCGTAGTTGATAATTCAGACATGCAGTTCCGCGTGAATCAGTTTTCTAGAAAAAAGATGTCTTTACAGTTTAACCTTCTTTACTTCCTCAAACAAGAAGAGCTAAGCCTAATGTTCTTAGGGCCTTTTAAAGAAATTAAGGCCTACCAGCCTTGTTCCCTTTCTTATGTGTACCGAAAGTCTATAAAAAATCATAGATATCCCTACATATCTAAAAGCTTTGCAAAATTTCATGTTTTATTAATTAAATCGTATCTCCTTTGTTTTTGAATAAACTTCCCTAAAATAGGAGATAAATAGAAGTTGGGCGCCACCTTGCTACTAACACCTTGTCATCATATGCATAAGACAAGTTTGAAGAATCAATGTACCTATAAGACAATGCTTACTTAGTCTATCGAAAACCATTACAGTTTTCCAAAAGACCTCTTTTATCATGTTTGCTAAAGTTCCGATTAACTTTTGCTAAACTCGAAAAAATGAATCGGTTTTGTCATGCCAAGGAACTTGATCCCTCAAGATTGAGTTGATTAAAGCAACAAATATCCTTAGAAACTACGTACCATAAATGATTTTAAACTGCAATCTGTTCTCATTACAACCACTGTAAATAACGATATCGGTATCTGCAGAAGGATATGTTGCGCCCAAAAATGGATGTACGCATTTCCCTGTCGAAATGTGCTCCATTGAGAATGTTGATGTTTGTCTGAAACGTGTATCAGCATTGCTACAGTCACTTGTGAGACTGATTCTTGCATCATCGTTGAGGCTCTCTGGCAGGGCACATTTGCCTGATTGCATGTGTTTCAATGCACTGTCTGCAGTAAGGCTGAACTTCTGCGAGCAGTCAGAGTGAAGACGAAGTCTGTTATTTGATGAGCGCAGGGAGACACACAGCCCACTGTAGTGTTTGATGATAAATGTTCTAACTGGGGGTGCCACTTCGAAGAAAAATACAAAAGAAAGACATAAAAATTATGCTTTTTTAATGTTTTTAATTTCATTAAACAAAAGACTGATTTTCATGCAGCATCTAGTGGGAAATCGAGAAATATAACTGAAACTTAAATGGTCATCAAAAAATGATTCTTTAAAATCAATCTTCATAATAAAAAAATCCTCGATAGAGACAGTAAGCTTGATTATCGCATGTGGATCTTTCATTTTCTATAGCACTTTGACTATAGTAAGAACCTTTCGCAGTACTAACTTTTATAATGAGTTATTGATAATGCTGTTTTTAGTTTGATGGAACTGCTGTTTAGAACTACTGTCACTACAATAACGGTTAAAATCATTACCGAATGAAAATTTCAATCGGTCCACATCGCACCCTCGATAAATGACTACAGGCTGTCCTTCCTTTGGATACAAAGCTCCATTCAGTGGATGGACACAAGAACCGGTCTTGATTTGTCTCAGTGACCCAAAAGATGTGAGCTCGAACTTCGTGTTGTCGTCACAGTTTGCGCTTAGTGCGATGTAGGAATTGTCACCGTTTGACAAAGGCCTCACGCATTTACCAGTTGCGTAGTGTACTAGAGACTTTGTAGTGCTTAGATAGTATAAGTCGTCACAGACAGATGATAGCTGGATTCTTTGGTTTGCAGAGTCGAAGTTGAAGCACTTCTTGCTATAATGCTGTATTCTGAATGAGCCTTGAATCGGTGGTTTTGTTGTTGGTCCACTATCTTTAAAGCAAAAATTCTCGTTTTTATTTCATATTATTTTGAAAAAGTTTTGAAGAATGAAATCATTTTGCTGGGAGTTTGCTGTGGTAGTTTAATGGATGTTTTAATGGCATCTAATGGTTTTAGGCTCTATTATAATACTGTGAAAATGCTTTCGAAATGATTTCCAAAATTCAAATATCTATTAAGAAACATTTGTCTTTAATACCACCCATTGATGAATGCTCCAACCTAGTATAAACTAGAGCTGATAACTTAATAACATCCCTTTAGGAAAAATGCTTGATGGATATAGTCATTTCGATGCATTGACGTCATTTCTGATAGTACGATCACAACATGGTAATAACCAGACCATCTTAAAACAAAATGCCTGGTTGTCTGATATTATAGTTACAGTAGAATCCTTTTTCCTTCTGGATGACTATTAATAAATGATTGTAAAATACCTTTGATTATTGAGAATTTTGTTGAAGACGTTCCATCGCAGGTCATTATGTGCAGGTTACCATTGCTGTTGTATAGACAATATCCGCTTGCAGCATGTACAAATGAGTCTTGGGACGTCGAAATGAATACCGAAGCATGGCTAGAGCAGTCTCCTTTCAGCAAGATTTTGTGCCATTTGTTATAACTGCCGTACCAGTCATAAGGCTCTAAACACAAGCCTGTACCCTGGTGCTGCAAGGTGCTTTGCTTTGTATATGTGAAGAGATCTTTGCATCCTGTGTTCATTATAACGTTGGCTTTTGAGTAATCTGCTTCAAAGCATTTCCCGTCCTTCTTGCTTTTGATGACAACATCTTTATTTTCTGTCACCGTGAATATAATGTTTTAAAGTATTTACACAGATGAGAACCTTTTCTGCTAAATATATAACTATTCACAATCTCGTGCCTTTCTGTATTGCATATATGTTCATATGTAGGTTCTTTAATGAAATTAAAGTTTGGTTTCAAAAAGGTGTCTGAAATTGTCCTATGGCAAAACATTTTAACGCCTTTTAGTTTTTACTTCCACTTTAATCATTCTTAAGCTATATGATACATACATATGGCAAAATCAACTTTACCCAATAGAAGTTGCTCTATTTCTTAATAACACTTCAGTTCAAAATTTGTATCATTTTCCTGACTTCAGTTTTTGGACTTAACAGCCCATGGAGCTGTTGATACTAGCAAGCAGCCAATCGGGAAGTTACTGATGCTCCGACCAGCTTTTTGGCAATAGGCCAGCGTTCCCCTTTTTAGGGTGTTAATTTTAGCAAACATGCAAGAGTGATTTTTACTTACCAACAGCTGGCCCGTCCGATGCCGTATAGAACAGCTTGAAATGGCTTGCAAAAGAAGCATCGCTTTTGTATGTAACATAAAGGCTATTTGTGGATGACGTCACGTGCATGGACGGCGGGCTCCTGCAGTATCTGCCGATCAAAGGGCTGGAGGACAAGCCACCATCTCGAACTTCAATATAGTCATTTGGGCAACCCTCATCAAATTCGAATTTCATTAAATTCATTATCAATGTCACCTTGCTCCCTTGACTTACTCGAATATTCCAGCTTTTCAAAATATTTACATTTTCGCTACTTTCACCGATCTCGCCGAAATCGCTTCCAGAAAGAACAATTGGTGTCGCTGTAGAGAAAATGCTGAAATTGAGCCCTTTTTAATGATAGGGGAAAATAAACACGGAAATCATGGAAATAGGGAATAAACAGATCTTGGTTGTTCTTCAAAGGATATATTGTAAAAAGCTACAATTCATTAGTAGCAGCTAAATGGAAGGTAATAAGGAGTGCGATGCATGTAAATACTTCAGATGTTGCTATCAACAAGAGCATAGACAATTGAAAATGTTTATTTGTATTTATTTAAAGAAGGTTTCTATATTCGCTTTTTATCTACATGCAAAAATGCTGCTAAAGTCATTTACATCACTAATCCTTGTTGCATAAAAACGCAAACAGATCAAACAAAATACTCATCATTTTTATTCTGAAATTATAAGTCTTTGACCAATTGAGAATTACGTAATTCAACTCGGAGCACGAGTGGTAAATGTTGCTTTTTCCAACAAAAACTGTGTTAGCATGTCATGCTTATCTTTAGATTCCGTGTGACGAGATTGTATAGCTACTCTCAACAATGTAGAAAATATGTATGCAACTTAAAGATATTTAAGCAATTATATGTTTGATATACTTACGGCTACAGCCATTTCTGGTGCGGTCAAACTACAAAGGACAGTTTTAAAGCAATTTATTTGAAAAATTCATAGGCAATAGTAGCCATAAAATGCTTCACCTATCTATGCTTTTTTGCAATTTATGCAACACCAGGATTGTGCAAGTTCTCCTATCAACGGGTCACTGTTATATTTCTAGATTTGGTTTTGCTGTTAAGATAATACTTTTGGTTATCATTATCAAGTATTGCAAATGCACATTGAAACACAAGCAGCAAAAATTTATAAGAAGATGTCTATTCTTTGAAAATAAATGAACAACTATCAGACAAAAAAGTATCACAAAACGTTAACATTTCTCCGGGTCAGTGCTGAAAAGGGGCCCACATTGGTGATGTCAACATTGTACATTCTTCAATAGCTGGCAGATGAGTTGTTCAGTGTTTCGTTCACTAGCAATCGAAAGCCAATGATTTAAACAAATACAAGGGTTTCAGCTTATTTTACTGCATAGGGACTGATAAGGTTGAAAATTGAAAGAGACTGATAAAGGGGAATACTTCAAAGAACAGGGAAACGCTGTTAAGCAATACCCTATTCTCCCCACAACGCTTTTGATTACCCCCTAGCAGAGTTCCAGTTTCTCCAGCTTGTTTGTACTAAAAACATCTTCTTGAAAATTAAGTTGAGATTGTGTGCAAATTCAAACTCAAGTACGAAAAATTTCTCATGTTTTTAAAAGACCCAATCATACCTTCAATGGCCGCAAAAAGTAGTTGGAGCACCGAGATTAATAAATGCATATTTTTCAGTTCATTTCCCTTTTTCAGGCAGACGAATCCCTCTCCCCCTTTAACAATGTTGGGAAGGAAGATGAACATGTCGCTAAACATCGGTTAAACAATTTACCCTCCAACTTACATTTTTGTCATTTTCTAGTCGAAATCTAAAATTGTATATGAGGGGAGGGGAGACGTCTACAGAGGAACCCCGCCTTACGGCCACTTCGTTAATACGGCCACCTCGTTATTACGACCACATTTGTTTTGCCCGGAAAAACGGCCATACATAGTCTCATAAAAACCCCCGTTAATGCGGCCTCCCGTTAATAGTAATACGGCCAGCGGCCACATTTTGCGATCCCAAACAGCCGGATTCTTTATAATTCTACCCCGTTAATACGGCCATTTGTATCGTGAAGCAATATCTTGCCTTGAAGATGTATTATGATTTCTCGAATCAAAAGGAAACAATGACACAGCAGAAGCCCTTTCAGGTGTGATTTCCCACACTCAAAGTGATTGGCTGGAGCGCAGAACGAACCAGTCAAAAGTCACCAATCTTTTTGCAAAATCATGAACATGACTTGGTGATTAAGGCCCAAGAACCCAGGACTTTCGTTTCGTTTTGTTTGTGGACTAGTTATTTAACATATTTTTTTATATCTTTATCTACATTTCCATATGTCTATTAAAGAGGACAGCTCCTTAGGATGTTAGTATTAATTTCTACCCCTAAAACTCCAAAATTTGACCCTTCCTCGTTAATACGGCCACCCCGTTAATACGGCAAATTTTGGTGGCCCGTTGGTGGACGTATTAACGGGGTTTCACTGTAGTAGGAAAGATGAAGGGACTGACTGTTCGAGCACTTTTTGCGGGCATTGTCTGACAAGTTAAATTTTTAATTTGACAATAAAAATTTGACAAGAGAAGACTGACATGTTAAATTTGACTGATTTAGTGTTTTGGAGGGTGGACGTCATAATCGGTAAACCTTCAATGTTCTGTTTTGTTTTCCTGGCAATTACTGTTTATTGTTAATTTTTCTATTCATTCAAGGTATCATAATACCATTTGTCTTTTTGATATTACGGATAAAAAAAGAGCGTACATTTATTTTACGAGAACAAAGACGAACTTGTCACAAAGAGAGATTAGCAGACTATGCAATGTATCGCCGTCATTTTTCCTGAGAATATGCAGAGAGTGAATTAACACAAAAAGTGAGGGGGAAAGCAAAGCTGTCAAAATAAAAGCAGGAAGACCAAGTCTATTTACCGAACGAGATAGGGCGCGGTGCATAAGAACATTTTTTGCGTATGAGAGAAGAAAACCGCAACGTAACAGTGCTTCAGGAGGGCAGAGAGGCCGATATGGTGCATGTCAGCTGTAGGACTTTAATACGAACATTGAATGAAGCAAAGTATTATAAATTAATTGCAAGAAAAAAGGGTATTTTATTGGCCGATGACCGATTAAAACGCGAAAAGTTTGCGAGAGAGGTAAAAAAGAAACACGACAGTCGCTTTTGGAGTGATGATGCTTTGCTCTATCTAGATGCCGTTTCATTTATATACAAGAGTAAACCCTATAGAGAAGCTGTATCATCGCAGGGCAAAGTGTTCAGACAGAAGAATGAAGGACTCAAGAGCAGAGGATCAAAAAATTTGCCTGGCGGGAAAAGAATACATCTCCTAGTTGGCAACAATTCTGGATTTGGTATTGCATTAATAGAGGAAACTCAAAAATGGAGGGACATTAATTTTGCAAGTTTGTGCAAAAATCTTCACAGAAAGTTCTTGATATTGGCTGATATGAAGGGAAGAGAGAAGTTGATATTTGTCAATGGACAATAGACTTCGCAACAAGCAAGGTGGCGCTTGACACTGTAAGATGAGTGAAACAGTGTCTAA